AGCTTCCAGACGTTCTGCAGGTACAAGTTTGCGGATCCGAGGGCAGACACTGTGGTGTGAGTCGGAATGAAGTGGGCGCGTTTGCTTACGGAGTCGACCACATTCATGACAGCGTCAAATCCATCGGACTCCGGAAGCTCAACGATGAAGTCGACACTCAGGCGATCCCAGCGTTCATCCGGAATGGGAAGCGGATGAAGTTCACCCATGGGCGGATGCCTTTGGGCCTTCGTCCGGAGACAGAGGTCGCAATGGCGGGTGTAGGATCCGACGTACCGGGACATGTTGGGCCACCAGTAGCTGCGTGAAACGAGCTCTAGGGTCTTCCATCTGCCGGCGTGTCCTGTGACCTTGGTGTCGTGGTGCTGAGCTACAATAGTCCGACGCAAATCCGGTGAGTCCGGAACGTAGATCTTACCCTGGAACATCAGGAGTCCGTCCGATTGGGACCGTTCCGCACTTCGGACTGTCTTGCGACTGCCCTGGGTCTTCTTCAGCTCCTCCGCCGCCTTTGCCACTGCATCTTCAAACTTCGCATCTCGCACTCCAGTCCGGATAGCCGTGAGGATATCCTTCTCCTCCCCTTCAAGAGTGACACCCGTGGCACGGACAGCAAAGTAGGATGGCTTGAGCATCACTACATCCTTGTTGTCATCCTTACCATCCGAGTGATCCGAGCGTCGCGAGAGAGCGTCCGGTTTACCCATAGTCCGACCCGGACGATGCTGGAGAGTGAAGTCGAAGCGGGAGAGGTATAGCGACCAGCGGGCTTGACGGCGGTTGAGTTTCTGGGCCTTGATGAAGTACTCCAGGTTCTTGTGGTCCGTCCAGATCTCGAACGGAGTCTCTGCGCCTTCAAGGTAGTGCCGCCATTCTTCGAGCGCCCGGATGATCGAAAGCATCTCCTTGTCGTGTATTTCGTAGTTCCGCTCCGCAGCCTGTAGACTTTTAGAGTAGAATGCGACAGGATGCCATTTACCATCATCCGGATCCAGTTGCGACAAGACTGCACCCGTAGCGTAGTCCGACGAGTCCGCTTCAACTCGGTATGGCCGATCCTCCTTCGGAAAGACAAGAACAGGTTCCGAAGTGATCAGCTCTTTGATCCGAAGAAATGCGGATTGAGCGGAGTCGTTCCACTGCCATTCCTTCGCGCAAGTGAGGTCAAAGAGAGGCCGGGCGATATGCGAGTAGTCCTTGATGAAGCGGCGGTAGAAGTTGACGAACCCAAGGAAGGATTGGAGTTCAGTCCGAGTCCGAGGGGTTGGCCAGTCCGCAACTCCGGAGACCTTCACAGGGTCCATCTCGATCTTACCCTCGGAGATGACGACTCCGAGATACTCCACCTTGGTCTGCTCGAATTCGCACTTGTCTGCTCGGAGGAAGAGCTTGTTCCGCTGGAGGATCTCTAGCACACGCCTGAGGACCCGGCGATGCTCTTCGCGCGTCTTGGTGTAGATCAGAATGTCATCCAGATAGATAATGACCACACCTTCCGTAATGAGCTCCCGGAAGAGGTCGTTCATCATGGTCTGGAAGGTGGATGGGCTATTCGTTAGTCCGAAGAACATCACCAAAGGTTCGAAGAGTCCGCGCGTAGTCCGAAATGCGGCCTTCCACTCGTCACCCTCCTTGATCCGGACATTGTTGAAACCCCACCGGACGTCAAGCTTGGAGAAGTAGCGAGCATTCCGGAGTTTGTCCACCAAGTCCGAGATGAGCGGAAGTGGGTACCGGTTCTTGACCGTCATGTTGTTGAGCTTCCGGTAGTCCTGGACCAAGCGGAGCGATCCGTCCTTCTTCTTAACAAAGAACACCGGGGCAGCCATGGGTGACTTGCTGGGGCGGATCCGACCAGTCCGGAGATTTTCTTCCAGGAATTCGTCCAGCTGTTTCTGCTCCGCCGGGGACAGTGGGTAGCACTTGGTAGAGGTCGGTTCCGCTCCGTCCAGTAGCTCAATGGCATGGTCCCACGGACGCGGCATGGGCAGTTCATCAAAGGATTCCTTTGCGAAGACGTCCTCGAATTCCTGGAGGAAGTCCGGGACTGCGCTGTTCCGAGGATCGTGGGGTTTGTTGCGCTGGAAAGCCAATGCGAGGCGCTGCGAGACTGTCTCCGAAGCCCGGACGTGTTCTTCCCGAAGACTCCGAAGGTACTCCGGAGTCGGAGGAGGAATAGCCACGAAGATACGGTCACCCCTCTCAAGTCCGGAGTCGTCCGGAGTTGTGACATTGTCATCCTCATCATCATCCTCGCAGTCCTGAAGCTCTGGGAGATCATCCGAGTGCAGTTCCTCAACCCTTGGCATCGGACCCGTACGACACTCCCGGAGTCGTACGGACTCCTTGCGTCGGGTCAGCTTGTCATGGCGGAACTCCTTCCGACAGGTGTCGCATCCGGACGGACAGCGGCTCATGGTCACCTCCTTTGTCTGCCAGTCAATCTCGGGGTTGTGCTTCCGAAGCCAGGTGTATCCAAGGATGATGTCCTGCCGTCCGATGTTAGTGACTGCGAAAAGCATCCGTTCCGTGTGATCCTTAAACCGGAGTACAAGGTCCACGACTTCGGAGATAGATCCGTTCTCATTTGGTGATCCGTCAACGTTGAAGACCGGAATCGGAGCGGACAGCTTGCGTCGGGTGAAACCATGGGCATCAGCAAAGCGCGGATGCATGAAGACTCCGGTGGCTCCGCAGTCCACCAGGGCCTGCAGGGTGCATCGGTGTTGTGTATCCGTGCTCTGCACTTCAACGGGTATATCTAGCGAAAGCTTGCCGGGCAGCGCGGAGATCTTATAGCTACTGGGTAGCCGCCGTTCCCACTGCGGGCGAAACCTTCGGAGTGTGCGGATTGTAACCGGAGTTGCTTGCTTAACGTCGGACGAATCATCGGAGTGATTGGAATCGTCTATTTCGTCTACGCTAAGACAAGCAAATCGGTTATTTACCAACGAGGTCGCACTGATCACTCGTTGGTCCGGACAAAATCCGCCGTGTCCGATTCCTCAACCGGGGCCGTTCCCTCATCGTCTATTCCTTCCGAAGTCCCCGTACTTTCTACAACGTCGGCCGCGGTCAAGAGATCTTCAATGGCGGACATCCGCTCCTCGGTGGTCATGAACCGGACGTCGTACCGGAGTGGGCACTCGCGAGACATGTGGCCGGGTTTGCCGCATCGGTAGCAGAGCTGCGAGGTGGCGGGCCGGGAGCGGGTGTGGTCGACATCCATTGGGACACCGGGTGAGAGAGCCTTTGGAGGAGGCGGAGGTTGGAAACGGGGTTGCAGAGGCGGGAGCTGAGTCCGAGGCGCGGGAAGCACACCCGCAGGAGTCCGACCGACTCCGGAGCCAGCTGCTGGTCGGACGAGGGATCCGGAGTGTCCGGAGTTTCCGGAGTGCACGCCAAAGTGGAAGGATTGGTTAGCAGCACGGTTGTCAGCAACCCGCTGTGCTGCCTTGTACCATTCCTCGAAGTCATCCTCGTCCGGACAGTCTGCGGACTCGGCAACGCGGCTCTGGATGATGGAGTCCAGTCCGCGACGGAACTTCATCGTGATGTTGGAGCCCTCGGAGTATCCGGACTGGTCTACAAGGTCTCGGAACTCGTCGAGGTACTCCTGGAAAGTCCGACGCCCTTGGTGGTACCGGGTAGACTCCAGCTTGAGCATGGCGGCTTCGCGTTCCCGATCCGGAAGGAAACGAGTCCGGAATTCGGTCGCGAAGGCGGCCCAGGATTCGAAGTACGGATCCTTCGGACTCCGGAGCACCATGTCCGCGTACTCCTTGGCGCGATCCTTCTGGAAGAAGGAGAGACACCAGAGGATTTTGGCCTGCTCGGTCGGGAAGTGGTCCGGACAGAGCTGGAAGTAGATGGAGCACGCGTTGTAGAACGCGCGACCATCCTTGCGGTTTCCGTCAAAGATCGGGGGAGAGGCGGGCTTCAAACGGGAACGCGGGGTGATTTCAGATCGACTCGGGGCGTGCTGGGAGGCTTCAGTGCCCCTCAGCTCAGAGTCCGGAGTCATTTTCGGAGTAGTCGGACGGGGTGTTAGGAGGAGTCCTTCAATTCGGGCGAGTGCATCCTGGATGGAGCTGATTTGGGTTTGGTGTTCGTACGTCTGAGCCCACAAGGTCTGCAAAGTCTCGGAGTCCGGTCCTGAAGCGACTGGCTCGGATGGCGGGATCTGGCTGGAGGCGCCCGGCATTTCGGAGTCGTCAGGGGAGCGAGGGATGGAGTTCCTTGGGTCCTCAGAGGTGGGTGGGAGTAGCAGGAGAGCGTCCGGAATGTCCGCAAAACCGGAGAGACGTCGAGAACGAGTCCGGAGTGGCGCAGGACGTTTTCCGTAGGGCTCTGGTGCCAGGATGGGAGATCCTGTTCTGCTGTAAGGGCGACCTCAAGATGGCCGACAGCGCAGGCCTAGCAGAGGGAGAATCCAAAGTAATGAATAAGACTAACTACAATACATGAGAGAGCTGCTCACCTAGCAGAGGGAGAATCCAAAGAGAACAGGATAAGGATTCTCCATGCTAGGAAGCGAAGTATATACTGTAGTAGCGTGGGAGGAATGAAGGGTAACTGTACAGTACACCAGCCACAGGTACAAACGAATATCACAAGGTACGAGGAAACATGTGATAATGAAGTGGAAGGGGAATGTACAGGAGTCGTGCCGGCGACCTGGGGAAGTGGGGACAAGGAGTAATGAAGTGGGAAAGGAGGATAGAGGTAGCCCGGACGAGCCCCGGAGTGTATCTACGAGTCCGAGCGAGTCCGAAGCGTCCGAGCGAGTCCGAAGCGTCCGAGCGAGTCCGAAGCGTCCGAAGCGAGTCCGAGGCGCGGGAAGACTCCGGAGTCACCGGACGTGGCTCGGATGCGAAAGGAGTGGGCGGAAAGGAAGTGGAAAGGAAAGGAAGCGAAAAGGAACAAAGGGGAACGAAGGAAATGTAGGTAAGAGTCCATGGGATGAAGGAAAGGAGAGAAAATAGGAGTGTCCCCTTACAATGATGGGAATCTTCTTACATTCATGCAACGCGCCCGAGGATATAATCGAAGTTCTCGCTCGTATCGGCGTATCGATATCGACCACATCAATCAACGATGCGATCACTAACTTATCCAAAGAGTCTAGTACAGCCCTGCGGAGACTAGGGAAGACTCTAACAACATCATTTGCATACGACAATGTGGACATAGAATTGAAACATACCGTTCCAACCCTTGAGAAACCCCACGAGACATTGGTTCACCTCACATCGGGCACATTTATTCCACTCGATCATGGTGTCGTTCGAGAGGATCTCGATTGCTCGCAGGAATTGTGGCAGAGGTCACCGATGAATGCCGACCGAAGTGCTGTAGAACCTCCGATTAACGAGGACGAGCTTCTGCAGCTTCATCCAGAGACCCTGGAACATCCAACAGGCCTCCTTCGATCTGGCCGATTCAACGCTTGGGTGTTTAGGCGTGACTTGATCCAGCACGGTCCACCATTCTTTCGTCGCTACCTTAAGGAGCTGGGAAAACCGGAGGTTGTGGAGCAGATCCCTGTTGTGAGATCTAGCCAAGTGCCTGCGAAGATGATGGATATCAGTCAATCGACACCGCAAGGAAATGGAGACGCTCTCGCCGATCTATTTCGGCAGGTAAATGTCGGCAATCCGACAGAGAAGGGCTGTAACGAAGTGACAGACGTCAAGAACTATGTGGTACTGGTACACGGCGATCTACTTACCGGTGAACGAATCCAGAGCTTCCAGGCCTCACGCCGTATCGAGAAAACACCATGGCGGCGTAACCAGTTCATCATCTATGTGATGGGCCTCTTTCATTTGAAGATGGCGTGCGCTGATGCAATCTGGCGGATTTGCATATTCCCCAAGGCTGCGAGAAACGATCCTTCCAGTCTTATTGCATTTGTTGGTATCCTTCGCAAGAAGGAGACAGCCAAAATTGAATCGAAGCCGGGGTTCCGCCGTATGCATGAAGTTATCGAGCACGTTGGAGTCGTCTCACGATTGGACTGCTGGAAAGTCCTCGCATCGAAGCACTACATTGTTCTCGTTGGGCAGTGCAAGAGTTAGAGGCCGCGAACGTTGGCCTAGTTCAGTTTCTCGTTGGGCTTTTCGAGCGGGGCAGTTCGAGTTCGTTTCTACTCAAATATTAGTATGAACAATAGAAAAGGGAGTTGTAAACCCACTGATATGACCAAACTGGTGGCATTCGCTGCATTGGCACTGCTTTGCTGGTGCGCGAGTTCGCTTGGGTGCGGAGGAGACACCTGAAGGAGCTGGCAGGGCAGGTGGCGGCAGCTTTGGCAAATGCTGCTCGATAAGGGCTATAATCTGTGCGCCGAACTCGTTCACTCGATCTAAACTCCACCGTGTCTCTCTCGCAAGGTCTTCGACCGTCTGAATCTTGTTTCCATGGGCGCAATCAACGACACGTTGGATAACCATGTCGTGCATGAAAATCTCCACTCCGTATCGACGAACTGTGAGAGGGCCGAGCTTGACAGGCGCAGTTATCTTGCGCCATGAGACAATCGCGGCTTTGAGGTCTTGTTCTGACTGAACAGGCTGGTACTCCTTGATTGATGAGCGATTTGGTGCACGAGCCTGGTGAGGGACAGTGACTCCGTCGAAGAGTTCCAACAAGGCTGGAACACATTTGTCGCAACAAGGAGACATCTCATTGTTGCAGCTCTTTGGTCGGCATCTCGAGCATCCATCCGGTGTTGTACGGTCGCAGAGAAGGTGGTCGTTCTTTACTACGGTCATTGCCAACGTGTGTGAGAAGATACTCAGAGGGAAATAATGTGGGCTTCCCACTTACCACATCTGTCATTCCCAAAGTAGATAGCAGGCGGCTGTCGACGACAATCAAATCCACGTGTGTGAGCATTCACCATGTCGTCCAATGCAGGCTCGAGTACGTGGTCCTTGTGTTCACTGCCAATTGACCGATACTGATTACAGCGCTTGTGATAACTCTGGCGTTGTGTCTCCACATCAATGTCAATGGCTCCACCTCCTGTACCGTCCCCTTCACTCATGGGATCCTCACCAACGTCAAATGGCCTTGTTCCAACGGCATTCGTTGGCAATACTCGGTTAACGTTGCATGAGGCCAACGCAATTCGCTTTGAAGCTTGTCCCTCGGTTCCCTCCGGTGCTTTCCGTTTCCGACTCCCAAGCCCTTGTGTCGCATCCTTCTTCTGCCGGTTCCCATCGAAGCACTTCTTCTCAACGAAGATGATAGCCCTCGCCGTATTTCCTTCCCCACGAGCAGCACGCCCAATTCGCTGCCAGATCGCACAAAGACTTGCATTAACTTTCCACTGGATTACAAGTGATATACTCGGTAAGTCCAGGCCCTTTAACAGTCACAGACATCAGTTGATTATCCCAAGATTATTTAGATGTTTCTTACCATTCCAAATGCATCGGTGACGCAAAGCCCCCAGAGATCGCCTCGCTTGAAGGCCTCGTATTCGTCCAGGCGATACGCCGATGTCATGGTCGCATGAAACCAACGGATTCTCGAACGGAACTCCTTGGGTAATCGAGACTGCAGGAAACCGACTGCGTCTTCCGTCTCGCGAGTACTGTCGAAGAAGACGACGAATTTCGGCGGCGGTGCATCCCCTCTACGCCATCCATCTTTGATCAGGAACACTAAATCGTGGTAACTCGTAACCGCGTACTTGATCTGTCGGACGATGAGTGCAATGTTTGGACGATCGTTAGAGCGTATGAAACGCTTCGTTCGCATCGGTCGTAGCCGCAGGATCTCTGACACCTCGGACAGAACTGGTGGTGGTAGTGTTGCTGACGCAACGAAGAAGGGAATGGTATCCGGGATTACGAAACGAAGGCTGCCCAGATGCAGGTAATCCTTCCGGAACGAACTCCACTGGCTGACACAGTGGGCCTCGTCGAAGACGAAATTAAGGATAGTTGCGGTAAACTTCCTATTTTTCCATAACACTGTGCACGCCGAGCTCATCAGTATTTCAGGATTGATTATAATTACTTTGTATGCGCCGGATTCAATGGCCTATGGATTATATCGGTTAAAATCCATCATTCTGACTGGACGCAACTTACCTTAAATGTCTCCGGGCCCGCATTTTCCGCTGTTACTGAAATGGCCGTTAAGCCAATGGTGTTCAGCTGATCGCTGTTCTGCTGACCGAGGAGATTCAGTGGGGTCACAATGAATATTACTTTTTTCAGCCCATCCTCCAAAGCCATGACAAGCGGCGCGAAGAAGGATAGTGTCTTGCCGGATCCAGTTGCTGCGACACCGACAACATCAAATCCCTCGTACACTGCTTTTGCCATCTCGATCTGGAACCAACACGCGCGTTTTCGGAAATATTTGTTGAGGACGTCGCGGATCCGTTCATGGGTCCAGTTGCTCGACGACGACATGGTTCTCAAGGCGTTTGGGAGGAAATATAATAATAATAAAATAGTCATATTCAAAAATGGATAAACAGTATTGAATAAACAACAAAAAACATGAGTGATAACGACAGCTAAGGACTACGATAAGTGAGCCAAGACCAGGGTCATGGCGGGCGTCTCTGACAGTCTTGCCAGCCGCTCTATCGCGAGTTCGAGCTCTTAGCTTACATTTGTCTTTGTTTGTTTTTTTTCTCACCGGAGTCGTATGTAGCATCGAGGAGCTCAACTCGCGATACGACGCGCGCTGGTTCTAGGAGCCTGGCGTGGATTCATCATAAACTTTCACGAGCGCTAATGCTTAGTTCCTGAACAGGAACTTGCCTAAGGAACCATGCGGGTTCGTACAAACTCTCAATCACACGAAAGACCAGCGAAATTGGGGCCTTCACAAGCTGACCATCACACACGCTTCCATTACATTTCATCCCTCCCTTTGCACGCTTTTACGCGTACGGTAATAGCCCAGCCCAACATTTACTACCTCGAAACCGAGTCCATCATTCACGTTGAGGCGAGGCTTCAAAGTTCAATCAGTCAGCATTACAAAGTCCTGGTACTCCATACGAAGAGTCTACTGTGGATACGGATGGATCCGAAGGCGATGTTAACAGGTGGGCCCAACGAGACCCGATGCCCTTCATCCAAGTCCCGAACTTTCCACTCCTAGTTCTGGAATGATCGACAGCGTTTCGCCGGCTCGGGACGCCCTCTACGCTCGCTTAACTCTACAAACACCCAAAATTCCCTCCCGATTTCCATGGTCCGGAAGTTTTTCTGCTTTGTGAGGCGTCAAGCTGTGAAGAAGCCCATGAGACTTGGTTTTCATGGGCATCTATGCTTTGAACAAGGGTTGTGTGCCGATTGGTATATAATGTGGACGAAGATAGCTAGAGACCACAACCAACAAGCCTCACATCTTCACCGCTACAACCCTCCAACTTTACATTCGCCTCTACATCGATAATCAACATGGTCTCTACACGATCCCAACTCGCTACCATCCTCATCCTCGTCCTCGGTGTTTCCTCCGTCGCTGGAGCACCCGTATCCCTTAAAGACCTGTACGTTGTTTGCGTCTAACGATGCCATTTGTCCCCTAACCGTTAAATCAGGGGCCACTTAGAGACCACCAACGGCAAGCCAGTCTACCACAATAATCCCGTCGTCTATTCTAAGAGGTACAGCTCATTTATTTACCTTTTTATATCAGAATCGGTATCTCATTGCGACGCTTCCCCTCTACAGAGTTGACGAATCAATCGCTACTCGATCGTCCAAATACGCCATTGACTATCTCCCCACTTGGGCAGTCGCCGCTCCCGAAGCCGAGCCCACCAAAGCGTAAGCGTTCTTGTCTTCGCCTTGTAGCAAGTGCAATCATACTTATGTCTTCCTTCCAGTGACGCCAAGAAAGACACCAAGATGCCCAACCCCTCGAAATACGCTATCGACTACCTTCCCTCGTGGGCAGTAACCGCAAAAGCGGCTTCTGCTACTAACGAGTAAGCATCCTCCACTTTACTGCATCTCACATATACTCAACGAATCAATTGAATCACAGAGCTGAGAAGGATGCGGCCCACGTACTCATGGCCACAACCAAATCCCCTGCCCCGCCTGCCACCACTTCGACCAGGGCATTGAAGTACAACATCTCTAAGTACGCCATTGACTACCTCCCTACGCGCGCCGGCGATGTCTCCGAAGCGGAAGCAACTGTCGCCGCCGCTGACGAAGACAAAGCCACTCCTCTCGCCACGCGCTCATCAAAATATGCTGTCGACTACCACCCCACCTGGGTCGCCAATGGCCCTGCCGAAGCTACAGGTGCTGCAGATGAAGACAAGGCTGCTCCTATCGCCACACGTTCATCGAAGTACGCCGTCGATTACCACCCAACTTGGGTCGCCGGCACTCCTGTCGTGGAAGCAACAGCTGCCGCCGACGAACAAAACTAATCAACGGGTCGAGTCCATGCGCTTGCATCGCTGCATCAAAACAAAAGGCCTCATTGGGTCACGCCATCATTCTGGCATCCTGCTTTTCTTTTCCTTGGGCTTAATCGGACTTCTCTTAGAATATCGGGGTTTGACAGTTAGATTTAGACGAGACTCCTCAGCAGCTTTCCGTATTACAGGAACATCTGCTCCCATTGATATATTGGACACTAGCTTACAAGTTTGGCATAGATAATTAGACATAGACTCCGAGGAAACCTTCGAGTAGAGTAACAAAGTAGTGTACGATCATCCCAAAAATAATATCTGTCAAGACGCCTCTTGAGCGATGTCTGGTATTTACAGCCTACAGCATACGTTGTATGCCTACTTGAAAACTGGGGTTCACAATGTGGTACAAGACGCGTACTTGCATGCGAGAGATTATGTACACTGGAGTCCGTGTGGCTGGATAAAAGTACAATTACAAGTTAGTACAAGTAAAAGCGGAAAGTTATCGTGATGCTACAAAGAATTTGGACGTGCGGATGATGGTACAGTAACTAGTACAACAGGCTAACACGGGTAGGGTATCGTCGTGAGCGTCGTGTGGTATTACAAATTTGTCCGGAGCGGGAAAAATGGCGAGAGGAGAAGGACAGCCGCATCACAGGTTGTGAGCAGCAATGTGCCGCATGATGAGCAGCGAGGCCAGTAATTCTACGACGACGACGGTGAGTATGCGACACGACGTGGTGTGGAGCAGTGGAGACGTACCGGGGGCGATGTGAGGGTAGGGTTCCTCGACAGTGAGTGAGCATCCGGAGGAACCGGCGTATTCGGGTTCGCCATGGGGTTTGAGGCTATAGTACGCTACGACGTAGCCGTTCGCGTTCGTGCACTGTGTAGATAAAGGGAGGAAAGACAGGAGAGGATCATGATGTCAGTCAGGTTTCATGGGAGGGAGTAAGGGAAACTTACAGCCCATTCCTGATCCATTTGTCCCCTATAGGCCCAGCAATAGTCCTGCCCATCTGAAGCTCGGAATCGACGCGACTTGGAACTGAGCAGTGAGAACAGACGCCTAATGTGAGTACTATGTGCGGTTTACGTGTAAGGCGCCGGACAGAGGGAAGATACATACGATCCTGAGGAAGTCTGGATAAGGTACTTTTGCATAGGGAGGGACACGTTCGGCGGGAAGCTGATCGTGCCCAAAGCGTTTTTCGGACCAAAGTCCAAAGCAACCAGGGGCTGCGTCGTGGAATGTGGAGAATAACCTGCTGAGGACGTGGTGTTGAAGATCATGTACGCGGCGCGCATAGTGTCAAAGGTTGTTCGACGGAGGGTGAGCCTCATCCGTCCGTATATGTCGACAAACTCGGAGCCAGTGAGTTTGCCTGTCATGTCTTCGAGGAAGTAGGAGAGGCCGTAGGATCCCATTATGCGTAGAGAGGCGGGCGACGATAGTGTTGCTGTCTACATAGATGAGGACAGCTTTATAAAGTGGAAGCACAAGTGCTCACGGATTTAAGAGGAGGACCGTGGCAGCTCGCGCAGGCATCCTTATCGGGGGAAACCTACCACGCGAATTACATGAACCCGGATCGTATTGAGATGACGAACGTCGCGCGTGGGGGTTTGGAACAGCCCAATCGACCACGTCTGCGCAAAGCCGCCTATCTGGCTTGATCAAAGAGAAAGATTCGGGGAGATACGCCACAGGTTGGCGAGTCGCAGGACGAATGGTCAAGGGCTGACTTCTGTGCGACCGTAATGCGGAGATTTACAGGTGCGCCGGCGGATGCCAGCGCTTGACATGTAATTGCAGAGCAATCCCACCCTGATGTTCGTCCTCATGGGCATCGCAGGTGGCACAAAGGAAGTCTCTGTGGGGTAATGGTGTACTGCATCAGATGTTAGTAGACTCGTGCATCACAGATATTATGTCTTACCGTTGGACGTGTCCCGCAAGCGAAGCAGGCTCAGCCTGGAGATTTCCGCTGGATACCCACGAGGCAATTTGAAGTCCTAAAGACAATTGCCCAATGCTTGAGCGTGCATAGACTAGCACCCACCGCCCTTCCTAAGTCGAAACGCGTACAGCAGCTCCAATTTGAAGCCATTGGCCTTGGCCAAAGCTAGCAAGCGTGAACTAGACGCGGTTCGGGCTTGTGTAATAACCGAGCCGTCGGGCCTCGGCAATGGCCGCAAGTTCAAGGTTCAAACGGTTCAAACGTTCAACATACTTATTCTCGAAACGACAAGACCAGGCCACAACAAATCTAACTCCTCGTTGAATAATGCCGCCGTCAAATCGCAAATAAAATGAATACGCGACTGGCATCCCATTTACCGCCCGTGCGCTCAATGACGGATCAAGTTTAATCATGTCAGAGTTATTCGAGTGGGCTTTGCCTGGCGAATGTAGTAGAAATTGATGATGAGCACATGCTGCTATATTTCTCTAGCTTCTTGGAGAAACCCCAGACGCTAATCGGAATGAACTCTTTGTTCCGTACAGCATCCTACAGCATCTATACCCATCAATCCATCACGCTCGAATCCCCATGTTCAACAACACGGTAAGAAGACATATTCTTGACGTAAGTTTTCGGCATCGCCACCTTTACTTACTCGAATAATAACTCCACGCTTCAGATTTTAGCACGGACCGCTTGATTGTAATCGATTTTGCCTGAATCATACGGCCTCATATGGCTACAAAGTCACCCATCTCGCTCATGTTGGGTCTCCATTCGTAGATTCCCTTCGAAAGAGGACATCCGCAACATGCGATGCGAGGGGTGAGATGCGGTGTATTTCCGGCCCATGGTACATCAATGATCATATCTAATTCATTTGTTCGCAGAAATATGATCAACACGCCCCCTCTTCTGCCCGAGAATACAATTCAATACGCCACCCGCCCTCCTGTACGGCACCTTTCTTGAGGCACCTGAAGCTGCTAGCTTGAGTCACTAAACCTCTCCTCGGGATTTAGATATGCGTTGGGAGCACGCTGTCGCGGACGCTCCTCATTACGCCACAAAACGGTTCGGTACCGGCGTGAAAGACGTGTAACCGAGAACAAACGAGGGCCATGACTTATATTGGGCCTTATCCTTTCCCTTCTCTTTCATTTGGCACGGTCGCGCAGGAACCGGGAACTTAGAGTTTCTACTCTCTTCTACTGTGATATTACTAGTGTGTTGGAGGTGAGCTGCTTTCTCCCTTGTTCTCGACCAACCAGCGAACGGATAGCTACGACTACCATTGGATACGCTGCCTGCAGCCAAGCTCCTTTCTTCTTCATGATCAAAGTGGCGTGACTGCGTAGCACTTGCTACCCCGTCCCTTTCCATAGAATAATCGCTCAGGATCCGGATTTGTGTATGTATTCTCGTCGTATCCTTCGCTAACACACAATATTTGGACCCAAATGCTCACTGCTTGATGACGGCGGCGGGGGAGGCTCGGACATTGGAAGTGCGATCCTTTCCTCCACAATCTTGAAGTCGTCGTTTGTGAATGAGTCTCGAGTGCCTGTCGCGACGTCTATGACTTCCTTGAATACAGTAATGCCCCCTTCTGAGCTATGTCTGGGTGCCATTGGATCTACCTTCCGTTCTCTGGACCGCACCTCACTTGAGATCGGTTAGTTCGAAAGTAAGGGACTTCCTTTGTCGGGCCCATACAACTTGTATCTTCGTTCGTGCTGATCGTGATAATACATGGCTTGAAATAACCATACCATACCCCCAATGGCCCCATTAGAAGCACTTGATTAAGGCTTGGCTGACCGCTGCAACCTACAAGATAATTGATGAAGACCCCGAGCTGTCGCCTTGTGAATCCCGACGCCCTCCGGTTGTATGGCCTCCTGGTAAGTTTTCACTGGAGGTCAATACGGGAATTACTGCGGTGAAAGTGCCGGGTGTGGTGCAAGTAAGCTGTCAGAGCGAGGGCGAAGAATGTGTCAGGAGACCCGAAGATACATCCGTGCATGGCGACGACAGGAGTGGGCAGACGCCAGGTATCGAGAAGCCAGAGGAGCGAGGTCACTGGGACGAAGAACTTTATGTCGAATCGCCAGGAGGTTTGTGATAGCACATGCATAAAACGAGTAGGATTTCGTCCATGTGTCAATATCCATCGCCGTGGCGGTAAGTGAGGTAGGCTAAGCGTCGATAACCGAAGAGTAGTAGTGTCAGACGTAGTTGTGGTCAAAGTGTCTCATCACTGCGATCGTGCCAGCGTCGGGACGGCGGGAGCCTTATTCCGATACGTCGGGAATTCTCCTGACATGATGAACGGTAACATACTGCGTCAAGCGACTTCGGCATCGAGAGAACGATAAACGATGCCTTCATGGGTAAAACGAACGACGATAAACCGACCGGGATGCTTTGGGAGTGAAGCCGGCGTACGGTTGATGAGGGGAATGACTAGGGCCCGGTGGCCGACTCCCGAGCAATTACGCTGGCCCAGGGTCGGGTTGATAACTTTATTTCTCGCCCTAGCACCTCTTAGCAGCTCCTTCAGAGGTCCGCAATGTGATATACTGCGCCTCACTCGACGATCTCCAATCCCCCATGTTCATGCCCGATTTATGTGGGTCCACGGCGAGTCCAGCGTCCCCACGCAGACTGACTCACCAGAATTTCGGCCACCGTTGAAATTTCGCTGGAATCGTCTATCAGAGACCGAGAGGAGGCTGCGGGACCTAGCTTGTCCCGGAAGGTGATTTCCAAGAGGAGTATACCAGATTCGTACCTCATAAGATGATGTACGAATCTGGATGCACAGCCTTGGGTTGAAATGAGGATCATCGTGGCAAAGTGAGTAAAGCCGCCTACCTCAAATAACCGTGCGTGCCATAATTGAGGACTCACTCCCTTCATCCTCCCCACCGCCGTCACCCGCTCACTGTGCCCGCCGTTTCTCAAAATCCGACACTGGAGGCAAGAGGGAAGGGCTGCCGATCCTAGAGCGCCCAGGATAACATTTCCAAACATGGAACCGGCTATCCAGCTTCACCTCGCGACGTGCGGCCTCCACCATCACGACAACGTCCATGCCGTCGGACCCATATTATCGCTCTGCGCTCACCAAGATCAACGAGCGCACCTCTGGATCAGCTCCTCCGCCTGCCACAGCCAAAGTCAACACTGCAGGCCGCATAGTGAGCAATGTGCGTCGTCCATCTTTGTCGTCCATCATGCGCGCCGAGAAGTTCGACAAGGAGCTTCAGCTGACCTTGTTACGATTTCTTGACAAAAGGTCCCAGAGCCAGCTGCGCGCACGCCCTCAGAAGACGAATTCTTCGCCATAGACGATACAGGGGACAGGAAGCCGAATCCCACTTTTCTGAAGCAACATTTCTTTCGAGAAGGGCGCTTGACCGACTCACAAGCCTTGTATATACTTCAACGCACAACGCAGGTACTATCTAAGGAGGCGAACATGGTGCATGTAAAGAGTCCTGTGACGAGTGAGTCTGCTACAAATTATGTATGTATTCTTGGAGTGGGCGCTAGAACCATTCTTTGTAGTCTGTGGAGATATCCATGGCCAATACGTGAGTCTTGCCGTCGCGCAATCGACCGATTACGATGATATACCTCCCGCATAGTACGACCTGATGAAGCTGTTCGACGTTGGTGGACCGCTAACGGATAACTCGTATCTGTTCCTGGGAGATTATGTAGATCGTGGTTGTTTCGGCATTGAAGTGAGTTATCTACTTTGCTGCTCCCCCCTCGTGAACATTCAAGCAATCCCTAAGTGCCTGTTGTACCTTTACGCCCTCAAACTTTGGTATCCTGGAAAATTTGTACTACTACGCGGCAACCATGAATGCCGACACCTCACCGAGTACTTTACGTTCAAACGCGAATGTATGTTCCTTTCACCTCAGGCGATGCTGTGTTCATTCTCCTCACATAGGCTTGCATAAATACTCACCAGAAGTGTACGAAGCATGTATAGCTTCGTTCAACGCCCTTCCTCTAGCAGCCCTTGTAGACGGCCGCTTCTTCTGTGTACATGGTGGCATTTCACCTGAGCTTGTTACACTAGATGATATTAGGGCTGTACGTCTACCGACGCCCGCCTCGACTAGTCATCTCACTATGCCCACATAACAGATTAACAGATTCGAAGAGCCTGGATCTCACGGGCTTCTCTGCGACCTCCTCTGGTCCGACCCCATCTCGGATTTCGGCCATGAGCAAGAACGGGGAGTACCACAGGGCACGACCTTTCTCAACAACGCCACGAGAGGGTGTTCATATTATTTCACGTACGGTCATATCTCTGCGTCGACCCGAGTGGCTCTTTCTAATCTATGCCATAGATATGAAGCAGCCTGTCAGTTCCTGGAACGCAACAATCTTTTGGGGATAATACGAGGGCATGAAGCACAAGATGCTGGGTGAGTACCCTCATCGTAAATATGCTTATATACGAGCGCTCATATTTCGTCAGATATACCATGCACCGGAAGACGCCGACAAAGAAATTCCCTTCCGTCATAACCATCTTCTCGGCACCCAATTACCTCGACGTATATCATAATCGCGGCGCGATACTGAAGTACGCAAACAAAAATATCACCATCAGACAGTACAACTCCAGTCAGCACCCTTATTGGCTACCCAACTTCATGGATGCTTTCACGTGGAGCCTACCGTTCGTTGGCGCAAAGAGTGATGCTTCTCCCCTGTGTTGACCTTGGAATAAGCTGACCGATGACCTTTAGTCACTGAAATGTTACTCGCGATCCTCAGTATATGTAGCGAAGAAGAGCTGAACGAATCCGACGAAAGTGAGGAAGAAGAGGTCACCCGTCCATCCGAAGAAGAGATCCAGCAACGCAGACAAGTCATCAAAAACAAGATCCTGGCCGTTGGTCGTATGCAAAGGGTCTTCCAACTTCTGCGGTGAGCGATCAACAGCTGTAACATTTTGGGCTCGCTGCGGACAGCACTGACTCGTACTCGTGGCAGAGAGGAATCAGAGAACGCTTCAGAATTGGTACCGACTGGTGAACCTAGTGGTTCAGCCTCTGTTGCTGCTCGCAATGGACCAGACGCTCTTGGGGTGCAAGGCTATCAGATACGGCGACAAATACACAGCTTCGCCGATGCGTACGTTCTCTTCTCTAACCTATCGTATCCCCTCTCATTGTACCCCCCGTCACCTCCTTTAGACGCCGCTCCGACATCGCGAACGAACGTCTACCTACTAGAGTCGACTCATCGTCGCCTATATCACCGACGTTCCCGCCGCCAAGTATGCGACGCGGAAGCGAAGACGGCATCAATATGGAGATGCTCATCAAGAAGACGTTGTCGGAAGACGTCGACGACGGTGGGTATGTACAGCGGATCGCTGATACCATAGCTAAGGAGAGACCACCCGTTGGTAGACCACGGGCGTTGAAGAGATTCGAGACAACGTGACGACATATTTGCCATCTGTCTCTCCTGAGCCGACTACCTAACGCCGATGCCGATCATACTGTGGTATCTACATGTTTCAAGGGGACGGGATTCTGTATCTAGTCATTATTGGATTGATATATGTATCTGCTCTTCTTACTACTAGGATGGCGAACTGAACGCATTGTAGTTATGTACCTCAACGTTCAATGTTCAACTATGCCTTCGAAGCGGTGTTTATGAAAACTTATCAAGACTACAGGTGGCGGTACACAGACCACATTGAAGGCTGTATGAAAGTGTTACATGTCTCTTGTTTCTCTCGTAGACAATATTTTCATAATCTAAACATTGGGTGGGATGGGCCAGGATAGGGACTTGAATGTACATCCCATCCGAACTAGACAAGGTTCGACGGCTGTCGACCGACGACTTTGCATTTGCTGGTACAAGAGATGACAGATCCATATTCATTCACTTAGTAGATGATACTCTTGAGGCGTGTGGTCATCACTCCTTATATACATATCGTCCCCTTTGCCCCACTTTCCTGGTATATCAGACCTTTTATCATTTAACGTCGCGTACTAAAAACGAGCGTTATCGCTGGTCCCTGTCGCGACCAACCTCGCTCGCGCGACATACTTTTGACATCCTCAAAGCTTTCCCAGATATATGATATACCCTGACTTGAGCTTGAGATGATCGCAGAATGCTCGTGCAGCTAGTATTACAGACGACACTATGATGCACATGCAGCATAATCGGCAATGACTAGTACTCAGCTGCGGTACCGTCATCTTCGTGATCCTGTAAATGCATTTTGTCACGGAGAGGTAAACTCGAACGAATGTGGTCATACCTCGTTCTCAGTATCTAGTATCGGTGAAAGGTCAGGCACCGGCGATCCCTTCCTCAGGACACCTCCCTCTGACTCTGGCTTGATGATTTCAGAAAGGCTCATGACCGGGAGAGAGGTGAGACTCTCGAAGTGCGTTGCAATGTAGTCCCGAAAGCCAGTGTATGGGGTGTCCTTGAAAAACTCGCGAGGCCAACGACGGGTATGTTTATCTGGTTCCTGCTTCTGCAGTTCTCTTTGCGCGGAAGCAAAAGATTGTCGGATGACCACTGGCCGGACTTCCTCCAAAAAGGGGGCGGGGAATGACCCAGTCATCGCCCAGAATTCCCTCAGTTCGCGCCATTCCTCGTGGCAACCCCCTTTAATCACATCAAACCGTGCCATGTTATCTACGGAAGCAAACCAGCGAGAGGCAGAGGCCCGGAGAGATTTAGCAGCTTTCTGGAAGCCTTTATCCGCAACTAGGAGGGACGTGGGGACATGGTTGAAGAGGAACCAAACATACACCCAAATGAGAGACTCAAGGGCGTGGTAGAAGTTGAAGCTGACTTTCTGGGCGGGGCCGTCGTTTTCAGGAGGAAAGAATTGATAGGTTTGTGTTGAGTATTCGGTGGGTAGAAAATACGGTGTGCCCTGAAACAACTATTTGCCGTTGGTTAAGAGCACACTGACATAATTCGCTCACCGTTATATGTTCGTTGGGCTTGCTGTCCTCGTACGGCCGGCAGTATTCAAGATCAGCGATCTTTCCTATGCCTGCGGCCTTGACCGCCGTCGTATCTTCTGATCGTTCCGGAGCGTACCAGAGAATATTGCCGCCACTAATGTCCCGATGAACAAACCCTGCTTGTCGTAGATAGTGCAAGCCTGGAGGATGCCATCAGCAAGAGGGAGCAAAAAGAAATGCCTACTAAACGAGAACTCACCAACGATTGCGCCGTCAAGACATTTCGCAAGGGTGACACTGTCTTCAATGTCGTATACGGGTTCACAGCACTCCTTGAAGACCGTACGGACGTGGATGCGGGCCTTGGGTGCTTCACGAGAAGGTTGGAAAGATATTTTGGAAGCGCCTTGATCTAGGGGGGGCTTGCTAACTCGGGATCCCTTCGAGATCCTATTTTTGGTAACAGTCAAGGATGGCGAACGACAGACCAGTCGCAAGTGGAGTAATGTCTTTTCGTTCAACATCATTCGTTTTGAAAGACACCTCAACATCTTGGAGGATAGTGAGGAAGTGCGGCCTGGCTTTCTCTCGAGTTCCCTCGTCGAACTTGCCGAAGATTTGGTCCTGATTATCTTTCTCCATTGTCGACCCATGATAGAGCCAGACGTCTCTCAAAACATGTAGTTCCTTGTCCCTCTCATCCTCGCGCCAGCCCGCGCCGTCCAGAATAACCTTTCGTACCTTCCAAACACAAGTTGATCGTGAGGATATATGATATGCCGCGTCTTGATTGAGCGGATCGCCGACAGTCTCATAGTAGACGTCGCCAACCTTGTAGCGAAAGACCGTCCCCGTGCGTCGGATGACGCGAACGACGGTAGGATCGAATCCAGGTTCTTCTTTGGTTGCTGAAATGAGGAACAAGAGGAACAGAAGGAAGTCGTCTTGCGCCTTGAATATATCATCAACAATTACGGCAGATAAGACGCGAAAGCGGCTCACTTTGTGGATGTTGAATGGGAGCGAGATGGCGATGTGAGAGCGACAGAAGTACCACATGGGCAGTTGCTTGCCTTGGAGTGTCATCGCATAGACGTGTCTACGACAAGGATCATTGTAAAGTGTGCTAGTGGCGGCACCTATCGCCTTCTTAACATTCTATGTAGACTGTCGTCAGCACATTGTACGCCGTGAATGTATCAAGTGCGTACATCAAAGAAGGCCTTTGGATTGTTCTTCTTATTGAGTTCCCCCGCGAGGATGCTGTCGTGGATCTTGAGCTCGTGATCGTCCTCCTCTGCAACGCAATCTGCGGCCCTCTCCTCGTTCGAAGCAGCGAGGAAGATACCACCGTCTAAGAATGTGACATAGCTCGGATGGTCTGAGATCTGCGCTGATTCATATTCTGCGGAAACTTGGCGAAGAGCAGACTGGCTCTTTGTCACAATCTCTTGGATGTGCGAATAAATCTTATTTCCCAGTTTGCCAGTTTTTTGGGCCGCGAGTATCTTCGTGAATCCCTGCGGAGACAAAAGATTTCCCTCAATGAGCGCTTTTTTGACGTCCGTAAGGCTTTCGATGAGGGTGGAGCGTATGACTCCCGCCAACTCTGCAACGAGTCCACAATGAAAAGATTGGATTTAAGGTCATCTACAATGTCGGTGCGGTGACCGTCAAGGTCTCCCAGAATGGGCATTAGGAGGAGAGGATTTTAGAAGTCAGCTCGTAGAAGTGGTCAAAGTAGGCATCCATTCGGACTCCGCCGGGAAGTGCCCTACCGCGCCAGTTGAACGACTTTTGAGACCAACGAACGTGCAAAAACTATTGTTTTATTTGGTTAAGCGGACGAACGAAAGCACCCCGGGTCCTATATATCCAATGCGTGTCCTGTACCCCAACCGGTTAGTTGTCTTCAGGTATGCCTGCATATTCTTCCAGCCCCAGTGCTATGTTCACATTCTATGGGAAGGAGTCACGGCGTCAGTGACCAGTGAACCCTACAAATAAACACTCCTTCTCCGCACCTGCAAGCATTGTGTCGCTGCACCCTTCAGCAAGTTATCTAGGCCACCCTGTGAACAGACGATTGTATCAGTATGCAATATATCTCTTCTTTGACTATTCTCGCGCTGTGAACGAGAACGTACCACGACCACGACTCTCTCGCCCTCGCTGTGCACCTGAAACCCTCCAACAGTCCACCCCTGCTTCCCCTCAACGTCTCTCAACTCGGGAACGCCCTTCTGGATCTTCACCAGCCTCTCTCCAGAATACATTTCCTCGTACAGCGCCGCGACCTCCCGGGCCGTCAACTTCTGGTTGATCGGCATCGACAGCGTCGAGATGATCCCGCTGAACCACGGCGCGACCATAGGCACGAACGCGAGCTTCATTTTATCGGGGCCGTTAGCGCCTCGGGAAGTGAGGAGCGTTGAGAGATGATGCCCGGCCTCGCGTTCGTGGATGTGATCGGTGAGTGCATATGGGCGCACGCCGCCGCCGAGGATCTCTGGTGTGACCTTCGGTGCACTCACAGGTCGACCGTCGGGGTCTGTGGCAGCTACGGTGCCTGCGCCGCTGTACCCAGAGAGCGCCATCACCGTGGGCCAGGCGCCGGGCTTCAGGTATTTTAGGAGCGGTGCGATGAGCAGTTGCGAGGAAGTCGCATAGCATCCTGGGTTTGATATTCGTTTCGACGTCCGTATCCGCTCGCGCCCGTAGAGTTCTTCATATAATGAAGTACACGGCGTCATGCAGCACATCGGAGGCGAAAATAGTCGAATTGATTTGGTTTACACAAGCGACGTATCGTTTTTTAAGGAAGAAAATATCTATGAACACACTGATAATGTTATTTACGTCGATGACGAAGGAGCCTCACCCGGAAGACCATACGTCCAGCCCTTCTCGAACCTGTAATCCGCGCTCAGATCCACAACCACGCTACCCTCCCCGGCCTTCCGCTCCTTAGCCCCGCGATCCACGGCGTCCACGAACGGCTTGCACGCGCCATTCGGCAACGCCATCACCCACGCATCCACCTCCCCCTCTTTCTCCATCTCCGCGACATCATCAACAGAGAGGTTTGAATAATTGATGGAGGCTTTGGTGTAAGAGTCCAACGGATACCCGGCCAGCTGGCGGGAAGACACATGTGTGAGGTCTAGGGTGGGGTGCGAGGAGAGAAGACTTGTGAGTGATTGACCAGTGAAGCCCCGCGCGCCGATCAAGGCGAGACGCTTCGGCTCAGCTGCAGCTGGAGCAGAGGTCGCGTAACCTCTGGAGTACCCGGGCATCGCCTTTCTTGCCAGAGTCGAATACTGCTTCACGCCGCCGAGCCCAGCATCCTTCCTTGGAGGTGCAGCAGGACCAACAGGGAGGTACGACCTATCAATCCGCCCCTTCGCCTCGAACCCCTTGATAATCCGCTCGACCTCCGCGACATCCTGCACACCGTACCAAAACAGACTCTTCCCAGCACGTGTGAAGCTCCCGTCGGCGCGCTCGAAGTGCCAGGCACGGTTCTCGTCGTCAGCTTGCGCAGTCCAAAAGAGGCGGCGATGATCCTTCTTGATGGCGTTGAAGATGTTGTCCGTGACGTTGTTCAGCACACCTGTGCGGCTCGCGAGCATCCGCGTCATCACTGGGACCTCGCCTTCGGGCCGCGACACGACCGCGACGACGTCTAAAGGATCATCGCCGTATACGGTGTACGGCGTGTTCTTCAGGTCGTTGAGCACACCCGTGACGCTCTGCAGACCGGCAAGGACTTCGGGGTCACGGTCATGCACGACCTGCCGGAATCGATCTGCGCCAATTTTGTCGATGCTGTCGTGTTTGAAGAGTTTGTAGCCGCGGCGAATGAGCGTGCCTGCACCGCTGTCAGTGAAGAGCTCCTTCTGGAGCGACGATGCCGAGATGACGGCGACGGAGGATGTACGGGGGAGGTGCTCGAGGAGTTCCTTGAACTCGCGAAGTTTGAGCTTTGTGCCATACTTAACCCACGGCTCTTTCATCAGTTGGTCATATTCCTGTATATGTAATCGTAATTAGAGGAGCAAAGACGACGTGATATAAGACGCACCTCGTCGAGGTTGATGATGTCCAGTTTCTCGCCGGTAACTCCGTGGAACAGCCCCCCCTTTTCGTTGAGGAAGACAATCTTCATCGGCTCGAGTTCCTTGGCGAGCTCTCCAGCAGCGATGTCGGCATTGACGTTGAGGATCTGTCCCTCGGGGGACTCCGCGAGGCTGGTGAGGATTGGCAATGCGCCTGCTCTGATGGACGCTTCAAGGGGACGTTTGTCGACACGAGTGATCTTTCCGACAAGCTGGTATTTATCTTTGTCGAGGTAGTCGGCGGTGAAGACACCCGATGTGATAGGGCGAGCTCGTGTTCCTAGCTTCTCAAGAGCAGCAACGAGCTTGAGGTTCTCTTCTAGGAAGACACGGCGCGCTACCTGGAGAGTCTTTGCATCTGTTGATAAAAATGATTTAGGGCGGGTAGAGACATGGGTCGACGCTACGCACCTGTCACTCGAATTCCGTCAATGTAATCGGGGACAACGCCCTCCCGTTCAATGATATCGTTGAGCTGAGGACCCCCGCCATGTAGAACGACCGGGTAGAGTCCAACGCGATACAAGAAACTCAAGCTAAGAGCGAGTTCGTCGAGCTGTTCCAGGACTGCACCCCCGACCTTGATGACAGCGAACTTTGCTGGGTGCGATGGGTGCGACGCTGCTGAAAAGATGCGGAGATGGCGCTCGACCTCTTTCTTGGTTCCCAGAGAATACAGCAGCCTTGTGATAGTGTCCTGTTCAGCGTCAGTGCAAGTTCATTCAAAATCCCCTTGAAGCCAGGCTGCTGCCCTTCCCAAGTAAATAGTAGAACCGTGGTCCCGTCGCCGGCGAGAACGTCGAGAAAGCCATGAAATCAAGCTCACCCTGTCTGTTTGTTGAGCAGTCTGTATTCCCCTTACAGCTCTTCGAACAATTTGCACTGGAGCGTGCCTTCGACCAGCCACGACGACAGCTCGCTGGGCAATTCGAGTAGTAGACAAACGTGTCGCACACGCCGAGGACAGCATCTTTCTAGCGACGAAAAGTTTTCTGGGAGGACTCAAGGAGTCAATCAAAAGAAGGGATTTGCGGCTTTTCGGGTATTTGACGCCAATTGGTAATTGGGACCGAACTTTCGGCGACGACCGCACTCATTTTGGCTGCAACTACTCTGCTTCTCTATCACCATCGTAGCCAATGGTGCTCTGAAATGTCACCAATCGCGAATCAAGCTTCTGAGGGTAATTTAGCTACTGGGTCGTGGCCGCCGCGCTATTGAGGGCGAGCATTTTCTCCGAGTCACAGCCGAACGAGTTGGGGTGCACTGCTGGTCTATCTTTTCTGCCCCGACCTTTGGTGTTGAACGTTCGGCAGCTGGACTGCGGGGAAGAGCCCAAGGCCATGAAGAGCACGTCGAATGAACGTGTGCGTAACCTCTGTGACTTGCTTCTGCATCACGAACATGCACCTGAAGCGAACAAACCGAGCGGATTGGATCACTTGTACAGAGAGCAGGCCCGTCCAGTGTAATGACAACATTCGCATGCCGTGCGCCGAGAAACACGTAAGGCAGCTGGGCTCTTTATCCTTAGAGGTGTGCTCCAACCTATCGCTAAGCGAGCTGAATGCATTCCAGTACCCAAGTGGAACAAGTACAATCCAAATGGTGTATAGTGTATCAGAGATGAGAGTATTTCCCAAGGCAGGGGTATATTATGTATGTTGGCGTCGTACGCAGAATACATAAAAGAGATAGGCTAATTTAGTGGAGGAGGCCTCCAAGACCAAGGAGGGGGAGAAGCCCGTCAAGAAGACCGGCAATGTTGAGTTGCAAGATGAAGGGGATGAGCTTGAGGATGGTAGGTAAGAGGCAAACCAAAAGGCCGCCAACGAGACTGAGAACAAGCGCAAGGAGTTCCGTGACGAGTTTCCTGTGAAGAAAGTTGTGGATCAGTGGATGGAGGGACACATCAAAGACTCAAACACGTACAGGACTTCACCGACAAGAGGAAGGAGAATATCGCCCTTGACCTTACCCACAACCTTGACAATGGCGCCGAACGTACAGAAGAGAAGCTGCATTGATAGCCAAAGTCAGAATCAAAGCATTGGTGCAGACACATTAACGTACCGTGAGGAGGTCGCCAACAAGGACAGCGATCACCTTGACGTCAACTTCGACGACATGGCCAACGAGCAACTTGACTTCCGCGATAGTAGCTTTGAGAACAGTTGTAATCTCTTTGATGATGGGGGCCAACTCGACTTCGACTTCGAGCTCGATCTCAATATCCACGCCTATGGCATCGGCTGTGGAAAGAAAGTGACAATATTAATTCAACGAAGAACGTAGTGGACGTGACGCATAGAACTTACTGAGCTTGTTACAGAGGGGCTTCAGTCCCGAAGTGGTCTCGGTGAGAATGACTTCGAGGGATTTAAGGTGGGCATCGTCAGTGCGTTTGGTGATGGCGAAATCAGACGGCGAAGCAGCCTGGGGAGTGGGCGCAGCGGCGGCGAAAGCGGCGAACGCGAAGGTTGCGATGGAGAAGATGGTCTTGAATGAAGGCATGGTGAATAAAGAGTGTGGTGGGGTGTAAAGAACGACTGGAGAACAGGAAAGGTTGTTAGGGAGAACGAATAGAATCGACAGAAAGTCAATGGAGAATCCTTCAGCGCAAGTCGATGCCCTTTATACGAGTTAGCCCAGAGGACGGGTGTGATTATGATCGATGCATGAAGACAGGGTTGGCGTTGGCATATTTTTTGCAGGGCATTGGCCTCATCAAGGATCGAGTTTGAAGTCAAAAACCCTGCAAATGATGAATGCGGCGTCGCAACTGTCAGGGTTCTGACCACCGGCAGCAGACCCCACCGGCGTCATTTCGTCCGTCCACTGCGTGTTTCGAGTTGGATGGAGGACTCGTTTCGCCACTGGAGTACCGTGTAGACTCAACCACGCGAAAGGAAAGGTTTTGTCCGCCACAGAAGAGAAGTATCGTATCCACGGTGCGTCGGGAGGCGCCGTAAATTTTAGATGAGTTAAATGATACAATGGAGCACTGTGGGGCGCTAAGATGGAAATGTCAGATCAAACATTCAAAGATTGCGCTAGAAGCATTGAAAACTAACATGCGGCGGGACTTACGAAGGGTCGGACGCAGTATTGAACAACATCGTGCATTGATGACTCAATGACTACTTCGCCGCGTCGAAATGATCGCCTTCACGAAAGGCCGATTCAAAGCTGTGAGCAATGTACATGGTAAATCAGCAGCGCCTGTGAGTTTTGAGTGCCTTGAAGGTTGCCCAAAAGAACCTACTATAACGATTTCCCAGTTGGCTGCGCTTTGGCGGACGTCGACAGATAACGTGACAAGTACCCAGGGAGTTAAAAATCTCGGCATATCAACTGAGATCATGGTGCCAAGCCACCATATGGACGAAGGGTCCGCTCCAATCTGAAAGTGTCATAATTAATAAGTGTATATCGGCTGTGGAGCAACACCTACAAGTGGTTTCATTCCATATGATTGTTTACCATGCATTCCACCGCGACAGCACGCACCAGGGAGGTGCAACAACACTGGTTCTGAACTGTTACCTCCCAAGGGTCGCCACTTAAAGAAGAAAGTAAGTCGGTAAGCTAGCTGGTCATCAAACCAGAGGATGACCTGAAAACACTTCGGCAAAGAAGATGAAATGCGTCGAGAAGGAATTTTATTGTGCTATTATGAATACTTGGCTATGCTAAGTAATGATACTCTGAGCGAATGGCACGACTGTGAAGGAGCATGAGAATGACAATATCACTGAACGATCCCATACTTACACTTATAGACCAAGAACGGCCACGAAAGCCCAGAGCTTGAGGCGGAAGAGAGCGGGAACGATCTTGCAGATCAAGCCCAGGACCAAAGGAAGGAGGCCATGGACGGCGATGAAGATCGTAGCAACCAAGTTGCACACGAGGATACTAAGCAAAGGGCTCTACGTTAGAAGTCGAGCCGGCGACGAGACTGTGATTTGACTTACCCAACGGCGGAGAGGAGAGGGAAGATGACAGCAACCTTCGCGGCAGCAACAAGCTTCAAGCACGCGGCAAGGGCACCCAAGACAAGCTAGTATTAAGGATGAGAATAAGTTCTGAAATAGACCATACACAACCGAAAACAGCAGAACTTACGCAAAGGAGGTCGGCGACGAGCTTAGCAACGTCGACGAGGGCCAACACCTTGCCAGATAGGAAAAGGACCTTGTCGAGAGGAAGGCCAACGAGGAGCTTCACTTCGGCCGTGGCCTCTACGAGGACATTCGAGATCTCTTTGCAAATGCCACCAACAACCTCGACAGAGATGTCGACATCAACCAGAGCACCTACAAAGGACAATTTAGTATCCTAATAGACAACAACCTCGAAACCACACACCGAGCCTTTGGCAAGCAGGAGTGACCTTGGCCGTGACGTCGATGAGTATGGCAGGCAGGCTGCGCGGCTCTCCACGGCCCTGGTTAACGTTGCCGACGTTGGCGCTCGATAAAGTGGCTGCCACGATGGCCGCGGCATCAGCAAGATCGATATCGTGGCCATCACGCTTGGCCCCAGCGAGCCCAGCAAGTACAGAGTCAAGAGACACAAGATCCCCCCCAAGCTGGCGTGACTGGTTGAAGTTGAGGACGTTGATATCAGAGACGATAGCCTTGATAAGAGCTTCGATGTCCACGACGTCGCGACGAGATTGGGTGAAGTTCAAAACGTTGATGTGCTTCAAGATAATGTCAGCGATAACATCGACGTCGATGAGATCGCGAGCCTGGTTGAAGTTCAAGATATTGATCTTTTCAAGAACAGCAGTCACGACAGCGGTCAAATCAGCGACATTCGCATCGCGGGCCTGGTGGACGTTGGCAACGTTAATATTCTGCAACACGGCTTTGACGACGGCTTCAACGTCAATGGCATCATTGCGAGCCTGGTGGACGTTAAGGGCATTAATGTTTTTCGCTCCGACGAGGGCGACAGCATCAACATCCGCAAGATCATGACGAGCTTGCTTCACGTTTGCGACGTTAACATTCTTGACGACGGCGTCGACAACAGCCTCGACCTCAGCGAGTGAGTAGTCGTGATGGTGGTGGTCACCACCTGGGGCAGGAGCGGCCGAGGTGAATGTCGCAAGAGCGAGGGAGGCGAAGGCGGTGAGGAGTCCAAAGGAAGGCATTGTTGTTGTAAAGATTGTGGGGAAGGTAGATGAAAATCTAAGAGAGGGAGAGGAATGAAACGAAGTAGAAGGCGAAAACGACGAAGAGCTCGTTGGTATTCTTCAGTTTCGCAAGTCGTCCTTTTATACTTAGTAACGGCATAGTAGCACCAGCTTTCCTAGGTCCAGGCGGTCTGTGAATCTGAGACGTAGCTGAGGAGACGTAAGATGGGACGCGAATAAACCAACGGTCGAAGCATGCAGAGGTCGACCCTGTGTAGCAAGCGCTTTAGTGCATAAGAGAAGTCGAAGCGAGTTCTCCGTGCCAGGGTGGGTAAACGCGGAAAGAAGCCTTCATAATACGAAACGTTTTCATGAAGATGCCAGCTTTGGCGCACGGTTTGGCTACAGCACAGTTCATCGGGTTGCGAGCTGCCTCTCTAGTATTCCAGTTCGAGACAAGACTGAGTCCTGAGGCCTGAGGTAGCAACATTGTAAAGCCATTCCAGTAATTTCCAAATGTCGCGTCGAGCGATCGGAGAGCCAAAAAAAACCAACACTCGTAAATTTATCTTTCCAAGCATCCGATTCGATGGCCAGTATCCAAGACTGTTCAACGGATTTGCGAGTTCATCCAAGGTGCAGACAGACCAGAACTTGAACCACAGACGCGTAAACACGATCCAGAAGAGTCACTACAGAGCCCAGAAGTAACGAGTGCCCTTGAACGTGAGCTCGCTGAAGTTTGAACCTCAGTAAAAACGTGTTGGTGGTCATCGGTCTCCATTTGGGAACGTTTGGTGCTCACATGTCTCCAAATAGTATTGAACCGGTCTCTATTTTACCAAATCACGACCAGATAGTCACAGTTTGGTGGTAATTAAAGAGAGTGTGGGAGAAAATGTGTCCCGATGCGCGCTTAGAGAAATTTCTGAAAATACTGCCTAAATCTACTGTCCCCCCATAGAGCAACCTAAGAATACAATGTATAGATACTCTGCAACATCCCAAGTGATTAGAGTGGCGGTATGGACCATGTACAGGGCCTCAGTGGCTCGCAAATGGTGAAATCAATATTTTTATTCCCACGGAAATATTCAAATAGTCATACATTGGTGCCCAATTTACCTATCCCGCACCTTCGTTTTTACTGAGTTTGAACCGCCAGTAAATGCCCGTTGAGTCAGTTGGCCTGATTCGCAATGGATGATCGTCGTGGGCGCGAAGTTGTGGGCGCCTTCGGAAGTAACTTTAAATCTCCGCTACAATCGACTAGCTTGAACAAATTTCTACGGCCAAGTCCACTGACCGTCCCTGACGCCTTCACGATCTCCCCATGCACTGGCTCTACCCAACGTAAAAAGTGGTACTTCTGAGGCTATTCCTGTGCTATCCAAGCATCGTTGGAAGACGAGTCGACCAGCAACGCAATACTTAACTATCGGCAAAACACGTACGCGAAGACAAACTCGGCTCATCATTTTGTTTCTTAATTATAATTACGGCATTCGAAGCACATCACGCAATCACCAATTCACAAAATTTACTAACTCCTGCTCGCCTATCATTCTTACTTAATTCAAGGAAGTGCATCGGTTGAATGTTTGACGACTTTTGGGGATTCTCGCGGCCGCACCCAACCGTTTTTGACATCGCATGGAGTTGAAGCAGCTTCAAGTATGCTTCAAACAGCCCGGGGGTGGCAGAGGTGTAAATTACTGGATACGTTATCAGTCAATGCACGGCTACTTTGGCACAAGTCATAAACAACACCACTCCGTGTAAAGCCAGCGGCCTAGGGCTAAGCAGCAGATAGACGTAATTTGCGCACCGTGAAAGTACCTTCCTTCCCGGGAAAGCTGCATGGGCGCACGGACGCCCCATCAGTGACCAGAACCTACAAAAACCCCCGTCATTTATTGAGTTCAAGGATACATGGTATTATTAGGGAGAGAACCCGAGGCAGGGAATGATTGATGACAATGCAGTCGGATAAGTACAAGCACTTGTCTGCAAAACGCCATGTTTGATAGATGAACAATCGACGCGCCAGGCCTTCCTAATCACAGTCTACCTTCCCGCTTTTCATGGAATGAAGGATTCATGATATATCAGTGCGTCGAAGCCTCTATCTGCATATTTATCTTGTATCCATCACACATTGGCAGAACAACGGGAGTTTTAACGGTCCATCATGTTGGCCGTGAGAGTGGATTCATTCCAGACGCACGGCTGTTTGCTGAAGTCTGACAGTGTCACTGGAAGAACGATCATGTTAACCTTCGTGTCTCCTGGATGAAACTCTCGTGTTCTGCTCCAGACTCTAGAGGAGATCTGGGATCTGGAAGACGATGCTGTCACACGGCCGGCTCCTTGCCCACCAAATCATCTTGGTACCCGTCAGGCCGCCCTCATCGTCGATTTGTTGGATAATATTTTGTGGAAGTGAGTTGTTGTGACAACGGAATCATTACGCTGGTCGCACACGAGAGAGCCTGTGCATACGACTTCCAGATCATGCACTTACTTCGCCATCGTAAATCAGTGACCACGTTGTTAAGTGCATAACGTCGGTAACCGCACCTGATCCAAAATAGATGATAGATAGAACCCCTTTCGTGGGCGCCAACTCTACATCCTTTTGATCAGAACACTTGAGGTTGATTTAAAGGCATACGCAGGTAATGTTGGCGACACACAACTCTCCACATTTGACGTTCACCGTATTTTAATCTGCGGACTTCAAGTCATAAGGACTTCGAAAATAGCATTGGATAGGAGTGTCCCCTGTAGTAAGAGTCCCACGATCCTAAGCGCCGGGTTCATTGTCACCAAGTCCGAAACCGAAACTAGGCCACGCCTTCCACACGAATACGTTATGTCCAATATTCTTCCTAATCTCGAAACTTTTGCCAAGGTACGCGAGCAGTCACCTCATTCGCCATGAACCGCTCACTGACTGGTTTCCGAAGGGTGCTTTTGCTACCGCTGCTGGTGTCTCGACAGTTGGTGGGTCGTAGCCGGCAATTATTGTCGGCGAGCATACTGCTCATTCTATGCAGGAGCCGGGCTGTTGTGGTACGGGCAGAACTACTTGATATACCCGTCTGCCTTTCCCCCTGGCTCGCGAACAGGTGCGTATCCTCCTTTTTGGTGTACTGGCGCAGGCTCAGTGATGAATGTGCCGTTGCAGACGTACCTATACCCTCAGACTTCGGACTTCCTTACGAAGACCTTGTATTGCATACACCGGATGGAGTGACACTGAGAAGCTATCTACTACTCCAATCGAAGGTGCTAGACAACCCCCAAACGGCCGAAATTGCATTTGATCGACGGGAAACGGATGAACAGGTGAGTTGAGCCGGCCATGCGTTTCAAGCGTCATTTTGCGTTCAGATGGCCCTTCGTGGTACATTGATCCAGATCTTGGCAGAACTTGTCAGCTGCGTTCTTTATCACAGCCAGATGAACGCGCCTTCTGCATCTGACATATCCTAACTCCATTCATTGAGCAGTTTCGAGCTAGTCGCCCGCTCGTGATGATGTTCCACGGCAATGGCGGTAATCACGGCCATCGCATTCCGTTAGCCAAAACTTTCTTCCTGAGGATGCGTTGTAACGTCCTGATGCTTTCATATCGTGGGTGAGTAGCTTCATTTCTTGCAAGTTCGGTCTTGTCATGTCTCTTTACCTCCGCGCACCTCAGGTATGGAAAGTCAGACGGGGAGCCTTCTGAAGCAGGTATGTTGAAGGTTGTGTCTACCTAAGCCCAAACCTGCTTACCTTGGCATGGAAGGACTTTGTACCGACGCTCAGGCGGCATTAGACTTTGTCAAGTCAGATCCCGTGCTGCAGCAATGCCCACTCGTGAGCACTATGTTCTATTTCCACATGGAATTACTGATGCGCTCCCATAGGTATTGTACGGTCAATCAATAGGCGGTGCGGTTTCCATAGATCTCGCAAGCCGTAACCCTGATTCAGTAAGCCACCTTCGTATTGTTTCATCGTGTCTATATGAATATATGAACCCCGCATGTCAGATAAATGCCCTAATTTTAGAGAATACCTTCCTATCATTGCCTCGACTCATTCCCCACGCTTTGCCAGCACTCAAGCATTTCTCCTTCCTGTGCCACCAGAAATGGGATTCAGCCTCAAAAGTACCACTGATACCCGCGAAGACCCCAATTCTCATGCTCAGTGGGCTATTGGACGAAGTCGTTCCCAAAGAGCATATGCGGCAACTTTGGGAAATCGTCGCCTCACGTGGGCAGAAGCGAAAGGGGAATGCCACCACTTCTTCAAACAATACAAAGCCTGGGCTTGAAAGGGCGAAGTTCATCGAATTCGAAGACGGCGATCACAGTACGTGACCTTAATTTTGTGGGCCCGGGCTGCCGCTCACGCGCTCACGGCCGGATATGATAGATAATACCTGTGTCCAGCCCGGGTACTGGCAAGCCGTCGCTGATTTCGTTGCTAGTTTGGCCTATATGGATACGGCAAGCTCCCAGAAGTCGTAATCACAGCCGCCGTCGTAATTATCCTTGCTGTCTCCTGGATTTTAATATTATTGGGTCTCAGTGCGTATGATTGGAAGCTATTTCTGAGGTTCGTCGACTGAAGCACTGCCCATCTACAGCTCGTCCCCATTATCATTACATATGGTTTTGGTGTAATATACATTTCTGTACAGTATATGCAATGACATCCGTCTTTCGGTGCCTCTATAAATAATTACAGTTGTCAAGTTCCGCCTCCTGGGGGCGAGCGTTAAATCACCCCAGGTATCAAACGATAAGGTACGTTCTCCGCATACTCATCCCATGTACTCCCGAACGTCTTTCGCAGGGTTTCGTCCTCTATTCCCAGCCGCGCAATCGTCCCCTTGGCGGCATATCCACATTTAACAATCCAAAACGCTAGCGCTAGTATCCCGCCACGACTCAATACGCCACATTCCATCAACCAACTCCCAGGGGAGCACAAAGCCAGCGTCGCGCCGAGTAACGTCATCGCCACTCCCGTATAGCTCGGATGCCGCACATACGCATATGGCCCGCCCGTGATCAATTCATGCTTCGCGTCAATTGTCACTTCAAATGTGAACATTCTGCCCATTGTTCGGAAGCACCAGAGGCGCAGGAGAGCTGCCAGGAATGCCATGGAAGAGCCGATGAACAGCCCCGAATGCACGGTCCACATGGTGCTGAGGGGTCTGGGCGGCTCGGGACAGAATAGCGATGCAACGAGGCTTGTGGGCTGCGCGAATAGGACGCTCGAAGCGACGATGTCAAGTATGACTCCCAGCCACGTCATGGCCTAGTGAGCCGGTCAGCCGGTCCAGCGATGATGGCTTATCTTGGGCAGGCGTACCTTGGAGCAGAAGGTGATGTATTGGATGAAGCGTTCGAACAACGTCTTGCTTCCCGTGCATTTCTGCAGGGCGACCGGGGGGTTCGGTGGTGACAAGGAGAGATGTACGGATATTGCGGTGATCAAAAGAAGTGCGTTCCTCGTTGCTAAGTTCGTCATGAAGTCCTCGCTGATCATAATGTCCTTAGAATCAGAGGAAGGGGGAAGGGATTAGGCGAGATGAGATATCAGCTTCATCTCCTGGTACCTTGTCAAGCTTTATATCCGTAGCATACAGTTTTGATTCCCCATATGCACAGCGCCGCACCACCGCCTCTTTCAGCAGATCCACTGTCGCCGGGCAAAACGAGTTCACATTCCGGGGATTACTGTACTGTGTTTGGATGACTATTCCCAACACATTACCCCGGTGATCTGGTCCGGGATATCAAACAGGAATAGGTGAATCGTCAGCCGACATGGACTCGTGTAGAACTATTACAGGCAAGGGGGGGCATTCATTTCTGTGGCTTCCGCCAAGGTCGATTATTCGTTCAGCAGTTCCTGGTGCGTTCCTCGCTCGTACTATGGCAGGATAATCACTAAGCCATGTACGGCGATAATCAACATGGAGCAAGTTAACAACGGGTTCCTTGCATAAGATGACGGCACCAAGCGTTTTAATCCGATCAGATATGATCAATCAGCGGTTGCTTCGGAAGGAAGCTGGTCGTTCGGTGTCTTCTGCTTACAAAAAACAAAGTACTTGGAATAGTACTCGGTCCGTTCTTAAAATTGCTCATCAAGGCGACTTGTCTTCACCGGTCTTCTAGCTCTCTTGCAGATGTTGCTGCAGAATGTCTCACGAATACCCACGTTGTAGCATTGGCCGCCACAGGGCTTCAAGTACGTGTAGGATACGACCGGAGGGCCGAGGAGTTGCCTATTGCTCTTAGCCCAGCGCAGGCACTCATTTAGGGGTCTTAGAGGTAGCGAAAATGTGCATATTTAGAAGGATGAAGGAATGTTCATAGTGAGTGCCAATACTCTCAACGAGCCACAATCGACTATAACGCTGTGTCTAATTCACGCGCCCTCTGCATTCAACACGAAACGACCGACGGATGGTGAGCTTTTCCCGCTTGACCTCGAGCGGAGGGTGTTGCGAAACGATTGCCACGCCGACATTCGCCGTGTTTCCTCTATCTGGTCGTGAATTGGTATGGGAATACTTTCTCCGTTTCCATGACCCTGCCAATTGGGGTAGGCAAGGTCAGTAACACTGTCTGGCGTAGGTAGCAGTGGGCTTTCTCCGAGCTGCTGATTCATGTCGTCGAAGTCATCGAGGTTACCGCCTTGGATGCTCTCTCTTTCGTCTAATACCTGGTAAGCAAGTCTCCGTGTAGCTGACAAATGGATACTCACATCGAGCGGGAGAGCGGCCGTTTTGATTCGTTTGTGGTAAACCCTCGTAGAGGACATCCGCCTGAGGGACTTCTACGGTTCAAAATGCAAGGATTAGTACGTCTGCTCAGATCTTCTTGACATCGCCAAGGATCGCACCCAACAATTCGTTCTTCTGTGGACTATTATGCGAATTCGCCGTAGTTACAGTCCGCTGGTTGTTGCAGTTTGTGCGATGATCGTTGGTGGTGGTGAAGTGATTTTCCTGGTGCCCCGAGAGTTCGTTCATGGTGCAACTATTCAATGTGCAGTTGCTGACGTTTTGGAACATTTTCGGTGCAGGGGCAATACGGGTTACGGAAGAGTATTGAATGCTCTGGGACGAAGGCGAAGCTGAGCAGATGAAGACAGCTTTGTCCACGTATCCCTTTTATACTTGTACTAGTTGTACTGAAGAAGTCTCTACAGCATTACAGCTATAGCTGTATTTGCCGCCATGTATAGCCTGCAGCGATGCACCGGAATGGACTTCATGATCGGATGCAAAGCTGTTGATGACCGCAGCGTCGAAGCCGCAGTACTGGCAAGCATTTCGCTACGCAGCAACCCCGGCAAATGGACTTCGCCTTGCTTTCACTACCTTAATCATCCCATTCACCTGTCAATACGAAAGCGCCCTTTGTAATCGCAGTCTGAGGATCAATGATGTTGGTGACTTCGAAGACTGCGTTGGATAGCCCAAGAGACGTTTCCCTAATCGAATATGTCTGCTGCTCTATAATGTGCTTTGAGGTAGTTATATATATTAGTCGAACTGACCTACAAGCGTCGAGCGTGAATCGTTCCCTTTCTATTTCTTGGCCTCGCGTAGGCCAGAGTTGCATGACCGTATCGCACGGGGTTCTGAGTCGATTATGAGTCGAGAGTGTGAGTGTGTAGGTAGCTTTGAGGCAACTTATGGTAGTGAGCTACATCAATGAGATTCTGGATAACCACAGAAGCTTGAAGAGGCTACGCACTTGCGATCTAATCTAATCTGAAACTTATGTTCATCTCTCAGTGACCCTAGGTCCAAACACAACCAAACTACCGCTTGATTAACGCGCCTTTCATCTGCAGCCTATAGAGTCAGTCATCCTCCTTCAAACTCTCACCACTACTCACACGAGCAATGGCTCTCCCCAAGGTAAGCTGATAACATTTTGCTTATATGACGGCCATTCTGATGGACGATGTTAGCGGATCATCAAAGTATGGCACACTTTACCTTAATTATTGAAATCGTTGGTTAAAGCCATCAACGTTAACGTTTGCCTCGTCGCCCGATCCAGGAAACAGAACGCCTGGTAGCAGATCCGGCTCCAGGGATTACCGCTGCTCCCCATGAAGACAACTTGCGGTACTTTGATGTGACGATACAAGGTCCTGATGGCAGCCCGTTCTCAAGTGCGTTTGATTGCAGATTTGCTTTGTTGGGCGTGGCGAGGAAGCTAGCGATGCTGATTCTTGGATTGGATGTATAGGCGGTGTCTTCCACCTCGAACTCTTTCTCCCCGAAGAGTACCCGATGGCACCACCGAAGGTTCGGTTTCTGACAAAGATATATCATCCCAATATCGGTGCGCTTTCTCGTCACACTGCGCTCTTATTATGCGCTGCCACTCACTTATGCATCTCTTTAGATAAACTTGGTAGAATTTGCTTAGACATATTGAAGGGTATGGATCTAACTCGCAGTGTACTTCCTTAACTCCATCTCCCGTCAATTGCAGATAAATGGTCACCCGCCCTCCAAATCCGGACCGTCTTACTCTCCATCCAAGCCCTGCTGAGCGCACCTAACCCCGATGACCCCCTCGCTACGGACGTGGCTAAGCACTACAAAGAGGACGAGAAAGACGCGCAGCGAGTGAGCCGAGAGTGGACGGAGAAGTATGCCTCAGGTTAAATACACGATTCATGCGGTGCGGGCTTGAGTAGAGGAATAAATGTTTGTTATAATTAGGAGATTGTTCATGATCATTACTTGCCGTTATAGCTCTAGGAGCACACCGCGGAACAGACGTAAGAACCAGCGGATTGGGGCTACTATCTGACTGGACCTGCCAACTTCACGGATGGTCCGCTGAGGGCTTATTGAGTATGCATTGACGGGAGTTCACGCGCGAGACTCAACGCGCACGCTCCGCCGCCGGCAACGGGGTACCTAATGTTGTCCCGGTATTTGGCTTTCTCCCCCGATCCAAGCTCTGGAATGTCGGCTCGATATCATTTCTTGTCCCGAACGTCTCCCGTTCAAATACTCAAGTATGGACCTCCTAGGTGAGCTTGATGCCAGAATCAAAATAATTCTGTAACTAACGCACACTATAATCAGACATCTCACAGACAACCTCGGACAATGAAACTACTTCGGTGAAACGGATCTGCGTTATCGGGGCAGGTGCGGGAGGACTGGCTGCGCTGAAAGCCATCGTGGAAGCTCCTCAGCACAAGGCAGGCGAGTGGAAAGTCACCGCTTTTGAAGCAAGAAACGAAGTTGGCGGTATCTGGTCAGTCTATTGCTCACCTCTGATGATTTCGTTGATCATTCTGATTGAGTAGGCTACCAGCTCCCCCGACAGATGACCCTCCGTTAACGCCTCTATACGATTCTTTAACCACGAATTTACCGCATCCAGGTATGTGTATGATCAATGATGGTCCACGTTGGCTAAACAACACCCGTGGTTGGAACTTGAAGTTATGGCATTTACGTGCTTCCCATTTCCACCATCAACCGCCATGTACCCGTCGGCATCGGTGGTTGAGAAATACCTCACCTCATATGCAGAACACTTCGGTCTGATGGAACACATACAACTCAACACAGCAGTGACTAACGTTGCTCGAAATTCCACCAATACTGGGTGGACGGTAACACTGTCTACTGGGGACGATAGCAATTACGACCTCGTCATCGTTGCGAACGGACATTATCGTGTCCCACGATATCCTAATACGCCAGGGCTGGATCTATGGCTGAACGCGCATAAGGCTAAGCACTCGGCATGGTATCGACATCCTTTGGATTTGGGAGCGAAGGTATTAGTCGTTGGCGACGGGCCCAGCGCTCGAGATATCTCAGCCGAAATGTCCACTTCACCCACCACAAAGACCCTCGTCCGCTCCGTGCCTAACGCACCCAACACCGAAATCGCCAATATCAAAACTCGCGGCCGCATTACCTCCTACTGCGCCGACTTGAGCAAAGTCATCTTTGAGGACGGATCAACGGAAGAGGGCGTCGATTTCGTCATCCTAGCTACTGGCTATGAGCTCTCGTTCCCTTTCTTATCTCCTGAGATCCTCAAGCCTGGGCTGGCGCCTCCAATACCCCCACTTCCTCGGGATACGTATAATTCGACGTACAACGTATTCCCACTCGCAAAACATATCTTCCCGCTCCAATCTCGCTACCCACCGTCATCTCTGGCATTCATATGTCTTCTCATGCGTGTCGTCCCGTTTCCTCTCATGGAGGCCCAAGCCCGGGTCATCGTACACGCGTTCGCGAACCCCGATGCAATTGATGATACTGAAGAAGCCGTTGATATCATCACCCATCATGAAGACTTGCGCCGTGAAATAGGTGACATCGACGCCGATGCCACGTCGCAGAAGATATCTAAGTTGTGGCATGTTTGCAGAGGAGACAAGCAATTCTCTTACCGTGACGAGTTGCATCGGTTCGCTGAACGGGACGGTCTGGGAATGGTTGTCGTCCCCGATTGGATTAAAGAGGCGTACGAGAAAAAGGAGGTGCTACGTGAACTATGGGTGGATTTGGTGAGCAAGGGAGAGGCAGATGATTGGGTACGAGGCGTAGGTGAGAAGGGCGAGCATGAATGGGTGGATGTCTTGCGAAGAATGATACAATATGCTGAGAATCGAGAAAAGCGCTTGGCTGGAAAAGAAGAAAACAATATAGTTGGTGACATTGCCAAGCTATGAGGATGGGTAGATTTTCTAAGTGCTCAACAAACAGTGTAGTGACAGCCATCATCACAGATGACAGTATGCAGTAGGCAACCAGTGTTAAATAATTACACAAATAGAACGTGAAGCGAGTCGTATCGTGTCAATATAGCTAAAGTACATGCAGTATTAATGTCATCATCGAGTTGTCCAATATGTAGTTGATCAGTACCATTGAAAGGGCCTAGGATCGTCGTCACTACGGTTCCCAAGACGAGAGCGAGGCCCACGCGGTTGAGGTGGTGACTCTGACCCTCTATTTGTGTTTCGTCGTTCACCTTCACGTGTGCGGTCGGAAAGGGCACCCCATGACGGAGGCGGCCTATTAATCCGAGAACTCATCATGGGCAAGCGATAGGTATCCCAGACGTCAATGTCGGCGGCAGCTCCTGTGATCGGTAAGAGAGGGGGTGGCTCTCGCCGTTGAGGAACGATCCTGAGGGCTTCGCGCTGCCTTGTAGCTAGGCGGTGTTGCTGGGTGTTTGAAGGCCCTGTATCTGGGCTTTGGGTTGGGCCATCAACCGTCAGCCAAGCTCGCCTTGCTCGAAGAGCGGTGAGCTGGTCCCTGTCAAATGTACGGCCGGTCCTTGCGTCGGGTTCTGAGCCTGTCCGGGAATGTCCATGTTGACCTCCAGGCGCAGGTGGCCGAGAGGTCTTGACAGTATTGCGACAAACGGGGCAAGTATTGGCGCCTCGAAGCCATTGCTATACCATAATCATCAGTTCGGCGTTCCCAGGAGTAAGCATAGATAGCCACGGACCTCCAAACAAGCTTTGTGCAGCCAGTGGTTACATGCCGGGAGTTTAAGAACGGGGTCCAAGGGTTTGTACTAAGAAATCGTGAACGAAACGCTCGGGACTCGATATAAAGAAAACTCACATCGTCAAGACAGATAGGACAGCGATGGTCGCTATCAGATGTGGCCCAGTCTTTGTAAAAACCTGTAGGCAAACCAGCAACAACATGTTCTGGAGTGCTCTTGGGTTTAGCATCGCCCAGTGTCGCTGCGAGACTCAGCAACCCTTCATAAGAAGTATCGAGGTCCTCATCTCTCTGCTGGAGGTTTCAGCACGAATCGCTTGCGAGGAGAACTGCGCTCACCATGTAGTCACCAGCTGGCCTGCCCCGTCTATGCGCGCGTGCACTGAAATCGTGGACGCCGCTTGGGCCAAACATGAACCCCATGGTATGATTGGCTGGTATGCGACCACGCGCAGCTCGCGTCCGGAGGCGGTGTGGCTCCCTGTCTGAAGGGGCGGAAACTAAGAGCGTATGAGCAACCAAGGAAAATCGAACCAAGGTGATGTACCATTAGAGTCAGCGTTTGCATCCGAATTCTGGGCCGACGAAGGGTCTAGCACGTCGACCGTACTCCACTCATACCGGCGTCCCATTGGCCTCGAGCGGTACGATCTTGACGTGATATCTTCAACGTCATTGGGGGCGTAATCCCCAAATGGTGGATCAGGTGTACGTGTTGTCGACGCGTTGGCGTGAATCCTTGTCCGTTCTGCTTCCCGTTCGCGTTGATGCTGCCGCATAAACTGATGTGATCGTGACACACTCAGCCCATCGTGCTGCATTACTTCAATGGCAATCGACAACCCCTCTTCTGCGCCGCGCGTAGGAGCTGGGTAATTGTGTCGTGGGTGTTGGGCTTGTTCGAGGGGAATGCGGGCACCTTCAAAGCGGGCATGGCGAGATAGATGTTCGTGAACATCACTGCTACTTCGAGCATGGCGTTGGTGAGGAGGGACATGATCAAGGACATTGGGAACGCCCGGAGCATGGAAATGCCGATCGGGGATGGCAATGGGAGGTGGCCGTCGCCTTTGGGAAGCGGCCCAGGGTGCAGCGACATACCTCACACCAGACTCATCATTTCGTGTAGGATTCAGCCCTGGAAAGCGCCAGAGGTAGTCGTCCTCCGCGGACACGGAAATAGAGTGCTGCGTTGGACCGTCAGCCGCAGGCCGCGTGGCCGTATCATGGGACTACAGCTAGTTAGTATAAAATAAACCAACGGACACGGTACTAACCAATTGGGTTCGAGCATTTCCCTGAGATGATTCTCGCTCCCACTCAAATCCCAAGGGGGGAAGCGAGGGCGGAGATGCTTGTGGTGGAGGATTTCGCAAGCGATCGAGTTCTGCGTATCGCTGGAGAGTAGTCCTGAATATGCCTGGACGGTAATCGTCTGGGTTTATAGCCCTAAATGCTGGACGCCGTCTGGTAAGTTCGTCCACGAGGTCACGAAAGTCGCCGTGTTGGGCTGAGCGTGTATCGTTCGGCATATGCAGAGGCCGGGAAAGAGGGGCAAGATATTGAAATTCTGCCTGCAGTGGAGCACTTATTGGAGGTGTTGCTCGATTGATGCTCACGGAGGACCTTGAGGGCGTTGGTCTCGAGATGTCGTAAACAGGGTCGTTATCAATATCCAAAATGGGAGAAAGCACCGGGCCCAGGTCCGGCGAGGGCAAAGAAGGGGGTTCCCTCGAGGGAATCCCGTCGTCCGGCATCAGGTGGTTCAACCCGGGAGAGATGGGAATTGGCGGTGAAACATTGAAGGCTCGTCGTTCATCTACAGAAGATGAACACCGCTGCAGAATAACAGCTGTGCATGAGACTCACCTTCAGCTTGTGCCCTCAACCGTAGAATCTCCTGTGTTCTGCTGCTTCGATAATCGTTCACCGACGGCGCTTCGCGATCACGTTGTACAGAAGGAACGAAAGTTGATGAAGACCATGCCGGTGGTCTGCGGAGGGATCTTGTAGCGTCGCCGTGATACGGCAAGAATAAAAACCCTGAGGTATCGTCAGATGACTCTGGCGTAGACTGGGAGTTCATGTTGTTGAGGATCTCAAGACGAGCTATATCCCTTCGTAGGGCAGCCGCATTTTCAGAAACAAGCGAGTTAGAGCTTGACGCAGGTGGCGGCCTGCGGTGGCGGAGCCGTTGCCCTGTCGCCATTGGTGGCAATGGCGGGGGAACGTGCGGCTGTGCAATCAGAGGTCTGCTACGAGGCGGGTCACTGTCGTCTACATCGTCTTCAGATGTAATCATTTTCGGCTGAACGCACGAAGAGCGAACAACGTACCGGTTGGAGCCCATCTTGTAGAATTAGCTACGATAGTCCCAACATGAAAGGTAGCTAGCGATGAATAGCCGTGAGACTTACTAGGTTGGTTGGCTGTATCATCGACATCAAAATCCAGGCGAAAAGGTGAGAGCTGACCGGCGTTCGTCGAGAGTCTTGGCGCCCGTCGGGCGTCGTAATCCCTGTCGCGATTCACCCAGTCCGAGACCAAGGAGGAAGTTCGTGTTCGGGCCTCCCTTGAAGATGTATCGCCATATGATGGCCAATCTTGTGGTTGATGCCGACGTTCTTGCTCGGTCCCACTTACGAACGCTTCTACATCGGCCAGGGGCGGTGAAGATCGTAACGCATGAAGAGCTTCATCTAGCCGCTCTTGAAACGACGGATCTCGTTCAGCGGTAGGGTCCACGTGCTGCCAGAACATCGGCGGTGTTATGGGCCGTGCAAAGTCAATTCTTGGTGGCGCGCTTGTTGCAGCGTTGTGTGTCTCGGGATCTGAAGAGGGAAGAGCAAGTGGGGGAAGCGAGGGAGGCGGCGAAGATGAACGGGTCGTCTGTGCTGTTTCGGAGATGCCAACACGCAAGACGTTTATTTCACTGTCAAAAGCATTGAAGCGATCTAAGATGGCTCTGTATTGCTCGTCGTGCTGGGGTGAGTGCTGGGGTGAGTGCTGGGGGGAGGCAGCAGGGGGTGCGCTTGTGTAGGAAGGTTCCTCTGTGGGTAAATAGTATGCCATTTCGACGTCCTCAAGTTCTGGGGTAGGCAGGCGTGGGGGGTCCGCTGGGATGGAGGGCGCTTCGAGTTCACTGCCTGATGTCAACGTTCCGTCCGATAAATTCCCGCTCTCGGAGGCTTGTGAGGAGGCAGAGGACGACTCTGCCACATCTGATAGACTTGACTCACTCCGTGGCCGCTTGCTGCGTTCATGGCCATCGCCACTTGACCCCAAGGTCCCACTGCTGCTGCTTCCAGGTTCCGCCTGACTCAAAGGGCTTTCAAGGTCAAAGCCAAACTGTTCAAAGGAACGCTTGAAGGATGTGGTGTTTGTGGGCAACGCAAGATGCAGCTGGGGCGGACGATTTGAGGACATGGTGGTTGGAGAACAAGAATCGTGGGTCGAGGCGATGATGGGTACGAAGTGAGTTAGCAAATTATTACGCTATATGCTAAGTCACAATCAAACCTCGAGTATCTGACTTAGCTTTCCCTTCAAAGTTGTTAACGGACTTTCGCGTTATATTATAACGCGTTTAGTTTCAAACCAGGCCTGCACAACTGCACAACCTACTACTAGTATGAGCGCAAGTACATCTACTGTGGCTACCGCCTACCGTCCTAATTTTGCGTGTTCTAGTCAGATTCAGACTGGATCCGTATCACGAGCCGCGACGGGTTTTCTTTCCTAGCGAAGCGCAATGTTGTCAATGCAAGTGGCACACTGAAGAATATGCTGGACGCGGAGAGTAGGTCCCTTCTTTATCTAGCAGGGAGTTTCAATAATGGGAGTGTATATCGATAGGCAGTTTCCAGGAGGGTATATCAAAAGTTTGTCCGATAGATGAACGGTGGGTTTTCGCCACCGCGATATCGAGATAATCCCTCTGAGCTTTCGGTGCAGACCTATAATCGTGGAGAAATTGGTGGAGTACATGGCCTTCAAGGCCTACTACCAGAAGGCTGGGCCAAAGGAAGACGTTCCGGCCCAAGAAATTATCGAACGGATACCCCTTGAGCTGGTATTGGAACTGTGAGTACCTTGTCGGCTTCCACGGTGATCAGCACGGCCCTAATGCCGCCGGTGGGTCTGCGGTAGACTCCTTGCAGCAGATTATCAGGATAGTGAGTGTTACCAGCTAAGTACGCATTGCGAGGCTTACGTTCTATCTCCAGTGTAATGCTTATCCCGACTCGGTCATTATGCGACATAAGGTGTAACATGGAAACAAATGCCTGTTTGACGGACTCTTCGTGTCCGGTTGAAACCTATGGCCTAAGCAATGGAACACGGTGCTAAGGTACTTCGACGTGTTCACCTTTACATCAAAAAGCAGCCTCGCGGCCTGCTGAAATAACCTGATCGGATCGTCTCAGAGCGAGTTGAAACTTGCCGGGGAAAATTCTAGCATCACCCGTGCGTAAGGCTACAGCAGCACAGTGATGATCAACTCTTTAAGTCAAAGTGGCCATTGTTGAGAAATTTAGCTTTAGTGTCGCTACGTATGGCCGTTTCGCACCATTCGACATTCACAAAGTGAGCCATAGCCCCTTCGTGACAGTCATTGATACATGCACAGGAGCAAGATGTCTCACTTCTTTTTTCTCTCATACCTCGTTTCCGCGTCCAAGGAAGAACTGGGATTTGACTACTGCCTACTATGCCCCAGAAACGCTGTTTCGTTATAGGATTGAGAACGTCTTCTACGAGACCATTGGCGATCCACTTAGCCAGCACGACGCGTCTAGTATGTTCTCACCATCGACCCGAGTGTGGAGGGTACGCAAAAAAAGCACGGTGAATGCGAAAGGTTGGTGTTACAAGATACATGAACATTTACAGGTTGGTGGTTGAGATAAATGACAAATAATGTGTAAAATGTCCGGGGATGTGAATGTAGGTTCATGTTAATGATGAGACGATGTATACGTATATGAGAGTCAGATCACGATGAGGATAGATGTCTGGGGCATTCAGAAATAGAAATAGAAACGGAGAGAATTTCAGAATGACCAGGGGAGTCCGTAGTTGGGAGGATCTACGAGCGTCGAGCACAAGGAGTCGAACTCTCCATCACTTGGTGTTGCATCAGATATTGAGACGGACTGGGATGAGGTAGCAGCGACATCGACACTGAACAACTCGTCCCAGTCAATAGTAACACTGTTGGTGCCAGCTGGGCATGTGTCCTGGGCGTCGAATACCGCCATTGCCGCCGACTTCGAACTGTCTGCGTCTTTGAACCCCGTTGCAGGCAGATTGAGCAACGAATCCCACGAGAGCTCCGCAACCGGCGCCTCCACTTTCGGAAGAGAAACCGGAGAATACGATGCACTGAATGGCCAATCGGCAAAAGGTTCTATGGTCATGGTCTCTGGAGTGGGGACGACTGGATAGGAACCCGGGGCTGCCTCGAATCCCGTAAGCGTGAACGGCATATCCGTCAGTGCGATAGAGCCGTCAATCTGTGGATAGCTGAGGCCAAGAGAGGCAAGATCGGTCTCTGCAACCAGTTGTTCTTGTTGTTGGGAGAAAAGTGAAAGTCCGAGTCCCATCTCGCTAGTGGCGGAGGAGTAAGCGTCTTTCTGCCAGGGATAGTTGAGGAGCAAGTTGTCTACTGCGGTGACGGAGCTGCAGCCAAAAGCCTGACCACCCATCGTTGAGCAGGACTCTACGGGGGAACAAACCGAGGGATACGTTTGATAAGGCACCAATGCAGAAAGCTCGAGCGCGCTGAAGTCGTCTATGAGAGTCATGTTCACTGGTGTTGCCGGAGTGGTGGAGTCCGAGGGAGATGGAGCATCAGAATCGGAGATGGTGTACAACGGCGATGGGGCGGAGGATGAGGACGAGGACGAGGAAGACGAGGACGATAAATCAGACGATCCAGAGGAACTGCCAGATGTTTCCGATGGGCCTGATTCCGACGCAGCGGGGGAACGAGGGGATGCAGAAGGATACGGTGAGGCTCTCTCAGTCCTCTTCGCGGCGCCTCCGAGTCTCGGCCGTCTCGCCTTGGGTTCGTATCCATGCATCCTCTTCCTGTGACGAGTAAGCGACCCGGGATCCCCAGTGCTGAATGTGCACTCTGGGCAGTGTCTATCTTTCACCCCGCTGCTATAGGAAGATGAATGATTAAAGGAATGTTTCGCGGAGGATCAAGGAGGGATACTTACTGTACGCGAATGTGTGTGTCCACATTGCACTTTTGGAGGTTCGCGAATCCGCAGCCGTCAAAAGGGCAGCGGTACATCCTGTAACATACACGGCGATTAGCCCAAGGTCGCATACTCTGAGACAGACGGACGCACATTCTGGATTTTTCGTTATCGTGCAATCGCATATGACGAGCTAGATCTGCGCGGCGGGCCAGCGAGGCGAAGCACACATCGCAGGTAGTTGAGGACTGATACCCATCCCGAACATCAGAACAAGGAACTAGAGTATATGGATCGAGGGTACTCACAGGTTTGCTAGAGACTTTAGGCATCTTCACAAAATTGATTTACGGAGTACAGGCGGGTGGCTCAGAAATATCCGCGGTGCTGGTATCCTGCGGGAGGGGACAAGTTGTTGTCGGAAGCGAGCGGTGGAGGGGAGGGGGCGCTTTGACGGGAGAACGACGATCCTCAACCGCCCCCAATTTATAGACATCGTGCGTGCCCTCGCCAGTTGGATTGGTTTCGCCACTCGCCAGTCGATTTCTACGAGAAATACCTTATATAGAAGGAGTCATGGGGGCTCGCGCGACCAATCCAACGAGTGGCTGAAGAAATCCGAAGTGAGCCACCGTACGAGGGGAAAAGGAAATAATGCTGGATTGGTTGCCAACATGGTCGGAGAAAACAAAAGACAAGACGGTGAAAATTGCCAGATTTGGGTGCAGCGTGGCCAGCCCCTGTCGTGGAGGTTGGGCCTTGAAGGAAACGCGTGTCTGGACGGGGAGAAGATGGGAGAAGATGGGAACAAAGCTCGCGCAGTCAGTTCAATAATGCCAGCCGAGCGGTGAGTTGACTTTGGGCGATTTGAATATAACGAGAACCGACACTCTAACTGTACTATAAAATCGAATCCTTGCCTGGCTTTCTCGTATGGGAACACCTGGATCTTGTCGGTTGACCTGCGGGTAAGGCGTTGAACCTTCATGTAAGTAACCAGAATCAAGAGCTTGCGAAACGCGCGAGAAGCCGCTTTGTGGGTCCATATTTACCAAGAAGCTCCTCGGCGTCGCGCCACAAGTGTTCTAGGTTCAAATAATATCTCGATTTTAGCTTCCATTTGAACACAATTTCTAAGCTACAAGCGTGGAGCCCTCGACGCTAACGTCCAGCAAGTACTGTCCGCATTTCCGGAAGACGACGAACGGGCTACGACGACGGATTGGGACACCAATATCAATACTCGAGTATCTGAAGAGCGCGACATTCTCACATACATACAGATAATACATAACTAAAAGAGGCCTGCGAGATCTGCGAATGGATCCTTTCCTTGTGTTGCTGGTGTCGATGATGCTGGCGCAGTGGCGGTAGAGGACGGCGGTTGTTGAGTATGCGGATGCGTTTGCGGTGATTGATACCCAGAACCCCCCATTCCCATTCCCGGCATGGAAGTCCCGCTGTGACCGTTACCGAAGTAATTGGGAGGCTGTGTCTGGGTATTCTGCGCGAACGTCCCTATCGTCGGCTTCGGTGTACCTGGGAGCATTATTGGATTAGGTGTGTGTGATGTTTGTGGTTGCCCATACGCCGGCATCGACGGTATTTGTGCGTGAGGTGAACCGAAGGTGTTTGTGCCCGCGAATTGTGAGGGAGCCATGAATGATGGCATGGAAATTGGTGGTGCGGCGGTCGACGTCGTTTGTCCACCACCGAACAGTCCAGCAAGATCGTCTACACCTTCGGGGGGAGCGCTACCACTTACACCATCATCAAAATCGATCAGAGACAGATCATTCGCCGTCCTCGCGCCCGCTGCCGACTCTGCTGGTATCGGATTCGACGCAACCGAGTAATCCCCCCGCTTGAACGCGTCGTAGCGGTTCAGCACGCTGTTGATCTGGTCGTTAATCTGTAGGAACGTGTCCAGCGACTCTGGATCCTCCGTCTCTGCGTCTGAGATCCACTTCTGTATCTTCGGCCGCGCGCTGCTGAGGATCGACGCAATCTGATCGTACGCATCGCCCGACGCGAACCGCTCCCCGCGCTGCGAGTCGAAGTTATCCAGCAGTTCGTTGAGCAGGATCACCTTCGACTCGAGTTTGTTGAGCTCCGTGAGCGCCTGCGCGCGGTAGTCGGGTTTCGCTTCGGGATTTGCACCAGCGAGCGCTTTCATCAGTTCCTGCGCCGCAGCAAGGTCTCGGGGTGTCCCCCTCCGAATGAGCTCCTGCAGCTTGGCAGACTGAGCTTCCCTGTCCTCGTTCTCGAGCTCCTCGGCGGATTTCAGGTTCTGACATCGATTGAGCGAGAGAGGGAGAGGAGGCAGTCTAGGAGCACACTCACGCTGACGGCCGCAGTCTCTGGCTGTTGCGCCCGAGGGAAGTCACGGAAGCGGTATCCCTTGAACGACAGCAACCGGTGCATATCCCTGATATTGCCCAAGTCCTCTTTCCACCGCGAATCCGTGCAGATCGTCTCCTTCCACGTGTGAATGAGATCGAGGATACGGCTCATGACTGGGCCGGGGAATGGCGGGGGGCGTTCGGGAAAGCGTCTGACGAGCTCGTTGAGGAACTCTTTGGTGGAAATTTGGAGGTGGAATGGGTAGCCGCACGATTGGACGAGGGTGTCGAGGAGCGCAAGGGCGAGAACGGCGACGTGGGGGTTTCTGTGGTTCGCCAGGCGAGCTATCAGCATCGCTGCCTCTCGCGGGCTGCAGTAGCATGGTAAGTAGCTGGTAGATCACGGATGAAAGAAGCGCACTTGTTGGCCTTTTTGGTATTAATGTATTCTGCGACCTCGATGTGAGAAGCATAGTTTGGTTCGTGCAGAGATGGATCGCAAGCTCTGGTGACAAGAAGTTCTATGGGGGACACTCTGGACCAGCTGGTGCCAATTGGAGTGTTCAGCATGATCCACTTCCGATGGTGTCGATTGGTGGTCAATCTGAGGCGACCGTGAAGTGTGGCAGAAGATCAGGGACTCGGATGGTGCCAAGCGCCCAGTGAGCGCTAAATAGTAAACTCGCTCTGTATGGACTCCGAGTCCGGGAGCGACCTCGGCGACACCTTGAACGACGTTGCACATGATCTTTTCCTCACAGAATCAGTGGAGAGTTGGCGGGAAACGTACGCTCGTCCCTCGTCACGTCTCACCGAAAGCCTCAGCAAAGTCAAAGCAGAGCTCATCAAGGGAGATCTTTTGTCTTCGCAGGGTTTTTGTCAGACACTCGCGGCCCAAGAAACTGGCAAAGTGGGAAATAGGATTTATTCGCACATCAAAGAGATTGTGACAAAGAGCCAGTCTGCTCTTCGCCAAGTTTCCACAGAATATGAATCAGCGCAGATCTCAGACCATCCGGGCTATGTCACATTCTTAGACGGTGGTATCTTTCTCGCTGCTTCGAACGAGGAGAGGGCCGCGGATTGCGTTGCAGAGGAGGACGATCACGAGCTCAAGATTCACGACAGCATCCTCGCGGCGGAATTCAATAAGAAGAACAATCTAAAGGCCTTCTTTGATGTACGTACTTGATACATTCACGGCGTGCTGACGACAATCTACGTAGAATATCAAGAAGGCGATAGGTGCTGCCACTAGCACACTTTACAATGACCCTTGTCGTAGACACGTCTATGCGATGACACTCCAAGGCAAGCAACTGCGCATGTGGTACTTCTGTCGCTCTCACATCGCCATCTCGCTCCCATTCAACATCCACAAAGTGAGCCACCTTCGCGTCTTATCTGCCGTAATTGTTGATGATGTATTCAAGGCGCAAGACGACTTCCTTCTGTTCCTCTTGTTCCCCATTTCGCCAACCAAAGAAGAACTTGGATTCGATCCTACCGTCGTTCGCGTCATCCGACGCACGGGGGCGGTCTTTCGCTACAAGGTTGGCGACGTCTACTATGAGACTGTCGGCGATCCACTCAATCAAGACGCGGCAATGATATCACATATGCTCACGATCAACTCGTGTTTGGAAGGTACGAAAGGTTATTCTGGACGGCGCGGGGTGGCGCGAGGACGAGAGGGACAAGGAACTACATGTTTTAAGAGACGTCTGGCTTTATCACGGGTCGACAATGGAGAAAGATATTCAGGACCAAATCTTCGGCAAGTTCGACAAGGGAACTCGAGAGAAAGTCAGGCCGCACTTCCTCACTATCCTCCAAGATGTAGAGGTATCTTTCAAAACGAATGGTGTTGAACGAAAAGACGTGACTCCACTTGCGACTGGTCTGTCGTTCGCCATCCTTGACCCTATTACCAAAATAGGATCTCGAAGGGATCCCGAGTTAGCAAGGCCCCCCTAGATCAAGGCGCTTCCAAAATGTCTTTCCAACCTTCTCGTGAAGCACCCAAGGCCCGCATCCACGTCCGTACAGTCTTCAATGAGTGCTGTGAACCCGTATACGACATTGCAGACATTGTCACCCTTGCGAAATGTCTTGACGGCGCAATCGTTGGTGAGGTCGCGTTTAGTAGGAATTTCTTTTTGCTCCCTCTTGCTGATGGCCTCCTCCAGGCTTGGACTATCTACGACAAGCAGGGTTTGTTCATCGGGACATTAGTGGCGGCAATATTCTCTGCTACGCTCCGGAACGATCAGAAGATACGACGGCGGCGGTCAAGGCCACAGGCATAGGTAAGATCGCTGATCTTGAATACTGCCGGCCGTACGAGGACAGCGAGCCCAACGAACCTATAACGGTGAGCGAATTATGTCTGTGCGCTCTTAACCAACGCCAAATAGTTGTTTCAGGGCACACCGTATTTTCTACCCACCGAATACTCAACACAAACCTATCAATTCTTTCCTCCTGAAAACGACGGCCCCGCCCAGAAAGTCAGCTTCAACTTCTACCACGACCTTGAATCTCTCATTTGGGTGTATGTTTAGTTCCTCTTCAACCATGTCCCCACGTCCCTCCTAGTTGCGGATAAAGGCTTCCAGAAAACTGCTAAATCTCTCCGGGCCTCTGCCTCTCGCTGGTTTGCTTGCGTAGATAACGCGGCACGGATTTCTATGATTAAAGGGGGTTGCCACGAGGAATGGCGCGAACTGAGGGAATTCTGGGCGATGACTGGGACCTCCCCCGCTCCTTTTTTGGAGCAAGTCCAGACAGTGGACATTCGGCAATCGTTTGTTTCCGCACAGAGAGCTGCAGAAGCAGGAACCGGATAAACATACCCGTCGTTGGCCTCGCGAGTTTTTCAAGGACCCCATACACTGGCTTTCGGGAAAGGCAGAGGGCGGTATCCTAAGGAAGGGATCGCCGGTGCCTGAGGCCTGACCTCTCACCGAAACTAGATGTCGACAACAAGGTATGACCACATTCTTTTGCGTTTACCTCTCCGTGACAAGATGCATTTACAGGATCACGAAGATGATGGTACCACGGCTGAGTACTAGTCATTGTCGTTATGCTGCATGTGCATGACAGTGTCGTCTGTAATACTAACTCCATGAGCATTCTGCGATCATCTCAAGCACACGCCAGGGCATATCCCGTATTTAGGAAAGCTTTGATAGGCGAAGTGTTCGTCTTGCATGCGAGTTCTGCGTGCCAGTGCGTGCCACACAACATCAACTTTGAGCAATCGTTCTCTCAACCATCTCGTAACTAGAATGAAACCATTTGTCGTTGTCTCCGCCATCCTCTCCTATTTTCCCAGGCATCTTGCTGAGTGCTCTAGCTACATAGATCTGGGTGGCATAGCCACCTTGATAAGATAAGATTATGCGTCGGCGATCTCTGCAGTGCCAGCAGAGCAATTCTGCCTTCGACCTCCAGGACTGTCACGGATTCAAACTAATATCCGAGTTGTAGCGCTGTGAAAGGTACTTAGGCCACTGAATGGTTTCGGGCGAGGACCTTTCGAGCCCCAACAAAGCAGTATAAAGCCCATACATAAATACCTTTTCTCAGCTATCCGAACATTGGAACAAGAAGACCAGTTACTACTCAGGGTACAAAGAGCTTGCACCATGGGTGGCTTCAATAAGGCTTTGTCTCTCACACAGCTATTTCAAATCTCTTAAAGCGATGGCATTCTTCGTCGTTCAAAATCATCCACCATCACTCTGTGACTACGTTCCATGCAGCCGGGTTCACACATGTACGCCAAAATGACAAGTCCGACCGAGGGGGGATGTGACCGATCACCTAGTCGAGTAAGTGGTTCAAGCATCGGTACCAGGCAGCGTATATCTGATGTACTCGCTTCTCAAGTTCGTAAAAGGGCTACATTCCCCATACGTCAAGCCCGACTCAAAGAGGTCGTCGACTTTGTGCGCAACTACCACCATTTCCCCCACGATCGTGAAACACTGACTGCACGACAGGATTAGCTGTCCATACGACCATCAATGTAAATCGACGGCACCCGACTTTGCTGCGCTGATGTCTCATGGGGTTTGCACACAGTGAGTAACATCTCACATCCCCGCCCTAGTCGCTAACATCATGACCGAACAGTGGCGTATTCGATTCATTCCTATGTCCCTTCTGCCCCTTTTCTATAGACAATCCCGAGGCGCTGGTCCACCACGGTATCATGAAGCACGGTTTCTATCCCAGAAGCCACCCAAGCTGTATCGATCTCCCTTGCTCTGACTCCACGCGGACCACCTACAGGGCGAGGAGAATGCCTGATCGCTCCGATTACCTAGAGGATAGAGTGCTTTCGGACCACCTATCATCGGATAACCCTACTCTGTCGTGGCGGCCTTCCTTGGATTATGCAGCCGAAGGACGCTTACGGAATACCCATTCCCGTACTGGTCATCGCGAACGTAATCCCCTTCGTAGTGTAAAGAAACACCGCTCCCACTCAAAAGACAGCAGTAATACCACGCCTTCCCCCTCTCCCTCCCCCTCTCCCTCTCGTTCTCCATTGAATTTGGATCTTTCTTACGATTATACCCCACCGGTGGACCTCACAGCTAGCGCCTTGTATAGATCGCTCCTCGCACCCTTTGTAGAACCTGAACCGTATCCGATGCCAGATTATGCGGAAGACACGGTCATATACCCGCTCGAAATGCCGGAGTTCGACGATGATGTCTTTGGTCGGTCGTGTGCCGATGACCTGTAATGGCGAAGAACCATACCTTCTTTCTCATTGACTGAAATGTATTAACAACATACTGTATCGATTAGTTCATCTATTTATCGTGTTACCTCATGATCAGATCTGCACCCATAGACGTCCCGCAAGCATACGCACCACTGGCGTCGGTGTAAGTCGTTACCGACGACAGGGATTGTCGTGAAGGGCATAGTCTCCCTCGTTCTCTGAGCTCCCCCCTGCCCAGCTCTCTCTCCATTCAAATCAACGAAGAAGATGCCCGTGTAATGGGTATTCGAACCTGGCGAGACTGATCAGGACAATACAAATTCTGCGGTCTTTAGAAGATCGCGCAGAACACGCTGACTTTCTGCGACAATTCTTGCAACAAGGCGGGATTGTGCCCATTTGGGACGTCAACGAAGCCCTCCGGGGACAAGATCTTTTCCTCAGTGAGATGCGCTTCCACAGCGGAAAGTTGATCGCACAACGAGGCTACCGAAGGTCAGGCGTATGTTTCTCGCCACTGTTCCACGGCGGTGATGGTGGAAATAGGGCAGCGTTATCTAACAGGATGGCGCCCCTTCAACATCAAGTTATGTAGGTTACAATGAAAGGGAGATGCTGCCAAGAGCTTGACTATTGGGCTCGCCAGTACGCCCGTGGCATATATAACAAAAGTCGATGGGTATCTCTGTTCGCTTGCAATAATCTACTGAACCTGCTACATATTCATACACATGTTGAAGTGAGTCGGGGAAAAGGTGTAGAAACCAGGCGAAACTACTCGCAGGGATAAAAGAATGCCTTGGTGCGTGTGGTGCGTAGACAAACAATATAGCTTAACGTAAAGTCCTAAATTGAACAACACACATGACTTGTTTGCATACACTGATCAAAAGTAGGTTGGAGTTTGAGGAATGTATACAGCAAGTCTTAAATGCGAGGAGAGTCTGGACGATATGTTAGCCTCCGATGTGAAAGGGCAGGGCTTTTCATGTACATACCAATGCGATTGCGTCAAGAATCAGTCACAATGCCCTTCACGCCTCCGCTTTGCGTCCTGCCACCGTCTCTAGCCCGAGCAGTATGCATCCGCTGAGGTTGAGGCTTTCGAATAGAATTCGTACGTGTGCGATCATCAGGCGGAGGAAGCTCATCAGGCGACCGCTGAGAGACGGGGAACGGGAGGGCTGCAGGCATTGGGATGGGAACAGGCACAGGGGTCTCCGCGCCCTTCTTACTCTTCTTCCTCTTTGACTTAGTAGCCACAATGGGGGGAGAAGGGTCGAATGCTGGCGGACTCCTACTTGGCCCGGGATCCGACGCAGGTACAGGCGATGCCGAGGACGCTCGAGGCAACGAAGCAGGCTGAGAAGGCGGGGGCGAAATCGGATCAACCCAATCATCCTCAATATCGTCACTGAACGCGCCTTCTTCTTTGACGTAGTCATTATCCCCCGCATCTTTATCGTCGGCCCACGCTAGCGGGCGATTAGGCAAGTCAAACTTGGAGTTCGGGCCGGGGGTGATAGGACCAACTGGATCGTCCTCAGTATCGATTTCCTCGCTTCGACCTCTATTACCGTGGTTTGCACTGGCGCTCGACGTAGATGGCGTGGCAGATCTCGTATCGAAGAACTTTTCTTCGCCTTCTTCATCTTCCCCCTCGGAGTCCATATCCATATCATCCGGCTCTGAAATTGACTCCAAACCCATCTCTGAATCAGAAGGCCAGGTAGGAGGCTCATCTTGGATAGAGAAGATAGTCCGGTAGTCCCTCGCAAGCTAGGTACGAGCATCGTCATAAGGAAGCGTCACGCAAAAAGACAAACGAGAGAGCATACCTCGCCAACCCTCCGCCGGAAATCTACCCAATCAGCTTCATCCTTGCACAGGAATCCAAGGAGCATGCTTGGGTCTAAACCACTGAGAGGCATCTTCCGTACCCGATCACAATGGAAGGTCTTGAGCTCTGCGTCCGAGTAGGCTGTAACGTAGTGTTGCTGCAGTGGGTCGAGCGACTCGCCACCGCTGCTGAGGAAAACGACATCGCTTTGATCCATCTCGGTGCTCACATCAGGGGACACAGGTTGACTGACGGAGGCCGCGCGAGTAGCACGGGGCGTCCTCGACGTCGACATTGAGGACTTCATAGGAGGTGAAGAAGAGGTCGAAGGAGCACCAGGATAACTTGAAGACGAAGACGAATGCGAATGGGAGGAAGATGAAGAGTATTGTTTCTGCAGCGGCGATGGCGACAGCGGAGCGTGATAGGAGAATGTCGAAGAGCCCGTACGCGAGGAGGAAGGGGACGCTGGGATGCGCGAGTGGCTGGGGTCGTTGTAGCTACTGGGGATTTGTCGTGATCTTCTGTCGCCGTGTTCACGCTCGCGGTCGGATTCACGGCCGGCATCCCATTCAAGGGCTTCATTAGGTTGAGGGGTTGGGCGAAGGGGTATGGCGGGTCGCGCATGGTGTGGATCAAGATAAAACAAACTATCAGCTTGAGACCCAACAAAATAGTATGAGGAGCTTGGTCGGCCGCCCGCGATACCGACAGATTGAGGAAATGTGTACAGAAACTAGTGATGATAAGATGTCGAGACTACGGTTTCAAGGAGTGACACCCCTTACCTTGATAGAATCATAATATATCGGATTAACACCGTCCAAGCCCAAACGTATGCCGACAAGAATGAGGACAGCACGATCTCCCCAGTTATTTCGGACGTGGCGTTTAGGCAGGGTTCCCGAATTCGAAGCAGCATAAACATCGGACTGAAAAACAACACCATCGACTCCAACGGAAACTCCTAGCGCAGCGTCAGGGAACGCAGAGGCCAGAGTCCTGCGAAGAAGGGAGATGAGGCAAGTGAAGTAAGGAGAGGAAAAACACCCACTTGATTGCTCCAGCAGCCGTGCTAGGGCCAAACCATTGACCGACATCTTTCCCAAGGTCCTTGCCAGCAAGTGCCATCCGATGTACGCTAAACGGTGCTTCAGGTGAAGGAGTATCAAAAAACCATGTTAATATCTGAACGTAGGTAGCGAAGTCGGCAGTAGCAACAGGATGTGGGGGTTTGCGCCAATCTGAGCGGTGGATTAGTTTATCATGGTTGTGGTGCAATTCAGAGACGAACCTCGGCTGAGATGGAGATGAAGGAGCGCATTTGCAAGCAAAGATTGGCCGGTACGCAACATACATCCCCAACCCGAGTCTGAGGTCCAGCCTTTCTCTCCTCTGCCTACCCACGCCCACACCTTCGAGGGCGGACTGCTGGGCTGGAAGGTCTCGACCGGTTGCTCGTTAGTCAAATCGCACAAGCGGACGTCTCTGATTGGCGTAAAATGGGATCGGTACGTGAGCCAGATCCGTGAAGTGAAGTCGGCGTAGAATACGGGCGGCCAGTTAGCTGACGGGTGTTTGACCCCTAAACTGCTTTGAGACTCGGTGGGAGATTGGATGGATGAAGTGGAGGAGCGCAGCGACGGCGATGAACCGCGTCTGCGGTCTGAAGAGCTGCGCGGAGGCGCGGATGCTGTAGAAGATGTCAGCGAATTAGGGATCGGCGGCGGCTCCCAACCAGGGTGCTGCACGCCAAGCAGCCAAATAGGATCGGGACACTCGTCGGGCGTCGCGTCGCTGTCCAGGATGTATCGCATCGCTTTCCCAACTAGATGCCCCCTCCCATACTTGGCCGCAGTTAGCAGCGCCGATCCCTTGTTCTTGGGAGACGAGCCTGCCGTCGACATGCTCTGGGTCTGGGATATGAGGGCAGGAAGCGAGAGATCGGTCGATGATGTGCTGAACGTGTGCGAGAACCAGCCTGAGAGTCGTGTGGGGAGGTCGCCAATGCGCGAGCCCGTCGAGGATGTGGAAGCGTAGAGCGAGACGCTCGGGTGGGTATCGGATGCAGTGCTGAGAGGTCTTTCTGAGCGAGTTCGTGGTCGGGGGACGTTGATGGGTTCGACGATGACTGGCTGCTCGTCGTTCGGCGTCGTGAGTTCGTCAATCTCCAAATCCTTGTCCTTCTCGCGCTCCCTCTCCTTGAAGGACAGAAACTTGGATTTGCCGCGCTCCGAGGTCGATATGGAGCTCCCGCTAGCAATGCTGCTGCCGCTGGGGCTTCCACTCACGCCTGGGTCTGTGACGGACTTGGATCTGTCCCTGTTGGCCTGTTTTTGCAGGAACTTGGGCAGTTTCGAAGCATGATGGGAAGAACCGGGGGTCGACGGCGTGGGCGACTGGCGAGAATGCTTACTTGACATTAGTCTTTGAGTCCAGGACCTGCTCGCTGCCCTCTGGCAACTTCCTCAACGAATTCGCCGGTTTACGTGAAGTGCGTTGTCGTGGAGAAGGTGGTGGTGGCGCTCAAGCCGTTTTCGGCGCTTCTCCTCCTCAGACACGGCCTCAAACACGGTCTTTTCTGGATTAGTGCGCTCTCCATGGTCCTGCGATTCCGGGGTTATACTGGCGCGAGCTAGGAGGACCGTAAATGTTTCCAATAGCAAGGCTGAGGCAAGATCGTGGCTCATCAGTACGCCCTTTGATGATATGAACGCCAGAACCCATCTCATTTATCACTTAGCACTCAGGCAGCACTGCTTCCGAAGGTTGTCTGTAGTGCTGTGTGACTTCAGGAACGTGTCAGACACATACAAGGCCTCACAGTACCGTCCCACCGCTTGATTCGGGCTGAGCAAGCCTGAGGAAAGGGCACCATCCCCTTCACGCCAGTGTGCACCGAATGCCACGGCGGGATTCTGCACAGCTCTCGATTCGTCTCCCTCCATGTGAGTGTCTGTTGCCTTAGCATCGTACACGTCCCATAGTTAACCATAGTGGTCAATCGCTTGACTGCACGTTCTCGATCAAAGCAGCCGTTGGATAGACAAGCGTCTACTCGCAAAATTGCAAGCCCCACACAAGCGAACTGGCAGCGCATTGCATGGGGGACCAGGTGTCCAAGCCGCCTTACGGCCAGCGCAACTCAATTTGGGAAATTCTATGGCAACGAAGGGTCAAACAACTTCTGGATTGATTTTACCTGGCTCCTGCAGTACGTGGAAACAATCTCCACCACTCGTCCTGGGATCCTCCCGATGCCCATGCAATAGTCGAGATCAAACCTCGGCGGAACCATAGAGTACAAACCCAGGTACTTCCCCTGCTTCTCCTATCCCCCGAATCGCGTGACTCCATGTCTTCTCTGATCCTCAGATGACTATGACAGTGGTATACAGCCCTCTTGTTCTTCCATCCCCATCATCGCCTCACTTCACATCGGGGAGCCCGTCTTGGCACAGCAAGAGCAATGTCTCCGGTCGTGGACCCCCCGTCAAGTTCTTCGTTCGAGGACGCGGCCCACGTTGTGACACCCTCACCGTACGACCGAGATACCACAGATATTGTGTGGAGCTGCCTCGCGGTTATCTTCTCTTGCACTTGGGCAGCCATTCATCCGAATGTTCCCCATTATGGTATTCGAGCATCCCGGTGGAAGATGTTGAGGAGACGTGTTCTCCTGATGTTGTGGGCAATCCTAGTGCCGGAGTTGATGGTTATGTGGGCGGTCCGCCAGTGGTTTGAAGCAGGCCAAGCTGTGGAAGCTTATCATACCAATGCAACCAGGACGATAATTGTGAACAAGTCAGCGAAAAGTGCGTAATACGAACGATGATTTTCTATTCGGCCAAAGGAGCTCATGTACGACCTACGTTTATTAGGCTCAAAGTGGACGATGATACACGGTTTCTTCCTCGTGATGGGAGGGTATTCATTGGCGGTCGATGGGAAAGAGGTGAACTCGCTTCGTGCTGAAGACCACTGGACAACGTCGAACCACCAACACTTCTGTATCTGCGTTCGTCGTCCATCTGATATTGCCCTCATTGCCTGGCCCACACCCCGAGTCGAAGAAATTCAAGACAAGAGCAAAGGCGATGCGCTTGCCAAATTGCTGATTTTGGGTCAAGTTGTCTGGTTTATCCTTCAACTCGTCGCTAGATTTTCATCCCATCTGGCCGTCACCGAGCTAGAAGTGGTAACACTCTCCTACGCTTCGATTAACGCACTGCTGTACTTCTTCTGGTGGGACAAACCACTTGATGTCCACGAACCCATCCTTATCGAAAGGAAGCCGCACGATACGCCCACATCGTCCCCTCACTACGATGATGATACTGACAACCCTCGGTGGGGTTTCGTCTGGGGGCAACTCATATTTCAACTTCACGCAATACTTAATGAAGAGCCGAGGAGCATGTCCCTCCACCCACTCGTCCTTGTCCACCTTGATCACTCTTCGAAAAGCGAGAAATACTCGCTTGCTTTCTGTGGTTTAGCTGGGAGCTTGTTCGGTGTCATCCATTGCATCGCCTGGCACTTCCACTTCCCTTCCACAGCGGAGAAGGTGATGTGGAGGGTCGCGTCAATACTGGTTACAGCCGTACCATTATTGTGGTACGTGATCATATCCGCCACCGTAATGTTGTTGAAGATGAAGACGACCTCTGAGATCTCGGGAGCCTCTCGGTGGGTTATCGTCTCGCTCGGGTCTCTTATCCGGTATATCGGTATGGGACTGGTCCCAGTGCTCTTGTATTCTTATTTCCTTGCTCGATTACTTCTGATCATTGAATCCTTTGTATCGCTCAGGAGTCTTTCACCTGAAGCTTTTCAAGTGGTTGCATGGACGACATTCATCCCTCATATTTGAGTTATTTTTTTGACTACTGATACTGTCAGCATCGTAGACAGTGTCTCTGTGTTTAAATGACTCTACGACAGGACAATATGAAGAGAGACCTCAGATAACGTGTCATCACTTAAGTCTGCCAAAGGTCGAGTGATTCACACCGGTCCTTCAGAAGGTTGATGAGGTGTCAGTCATGTTTTTGCTCAGATCAAGAGATGGTGCCCGATATGCTGTCTGACATGCTGATATGAGTTCAACTTGGGACAGTTGAGGACTCCTATCCCCTATCTCACGAATAGGGACACTTGCTTAATAAACTTAATCGAGGAAACACCCCTGAAATCTGCGTGTGTTACACGTGATGTGTCTGAGGAGTGCACCGTTAGAAGGCACTTCATTGCTTTACAATTACCACAACGGCAGGACAGGCTCGCCAATGAGCGACCCGTTCCGAACGCCATCAACCTCGAAATTAAATGGCTTGCCTTTTCGCTCTAGCGCAATCAAGCGCGACACTTTGGCGGCCGAACTAGAGAAAGGTCTGTCTTACAGTGGCACCGTCGAATGCTTACCCTTTCAATTGACGAATAAACGTCTTCCAGATCCCCAGCTTTCCACAGCAAAGCGACAGCAGCGCTCGCAGGCCCTGACTTCTAATATGGCCTATGCATCGCTTGAAAGGCAACTCGCTGCAGTGAAGACCACGAAGATGGAGTTGGAGACAAAGGTGCGCGAGAAGGACGTGCTGATTGAGCAGCTCGAACGCGATCGGAGGTTGTTCAGCGACCTCGAAAAGAAGGAGAGGGAGGAGAAGGAGAGAGAACGCACTGAGCATGACGAAGAGAGGGTGCGCGCATTTTGTACAACTTTATTGACACGATTTCTAATATATTCTCTCGTAGAGTAGGACAGAAGCAGAGCTACGCTCACTACGCACTATGCTCAACGACCTCCGGGAGGAACACGCAGACACTGAAGATGCGCTGTCGAGCCTCTCAAGGTCTTCAAAGCACACCATCGCCTCGCAAGCGACATCGCTCTCGTCGCTCACGCGGCAGAACGCCATCCTCACCGCCTCGCTCGCCGAGTCCGAGCGCATTGCCGCGTCGCGTGCGCACGAGCTGATGGACCTGCAATCGGAGCTGGAAGCGCTGCGTGCGCTGAAGGAGCGCGTAGACAAGGGCGCGAAGGACGTGGAGCCGATGGCGGTGGTGCGGGACGAGCTGCATCGGCAGGCGGGGCACACGCGGAAGCTGGAGATGATGAACGAGCGGCTGAGTGCGGAGGTGCGGGGGCTGAGGGAGAGGCAGACGAGCGTCGAGGTGCTGCGAGAGGAGAAGCGGGCACTGGAGAGGAAGGTGGCGGGTCTGGAAGAGATGAGGGAAAAGGCGATTCGGCTGGAAGCGGAGGTGGAAGCTGTGAGACACGAGAGAGCTCAATGGTACAGTGCACTTCCGTGATATATTGACTGTACTAAGGACATCTTTCGTAGGGCTCATAACAGTTCTCAGTCACCGGTCTCTGTCTCTGTCACCTCGGCACTCACGGATCTCCGGCTCGCTCATGCGAGGCTTCTCGAAGAACACGGTGCAACTACTGCAACCCTCCGCGAACGCGACTCCCGAATAGGCGCTCTGACCCGTGAACTGGCTGAATCGCAGGAAGCCATCACGAGTCTCGAGAAGTCCATTCGTGTCTACGCGGCCAAGCTCGAACGCAGTGAGGGCAAGGCTCTACTAGCAGAGCGGCAAGTTGGATTTCTCGAAGCTATGTTGGTCAGTTTGCTGTGTCCATTCCTTTGTGTTTAGTAGTGAAGGGTGTTTGCTTATAGGCGAGCTATGACGCGGAAGCTGCGCATGACAACCAGCAGTCTACGATGATGGACGCAGACGAGGGGAGCAGTAGTATGTCCCGGCTGCGCGTGAAACAACTGGAGGAGATGGTGGATGAATACCGCAAGGCCAACGACAGGCTAATGAAATCCCTAGACGACATAGGCGTCGATCCCTTGAGTGGCGGGAAGGATATACAAGGGCTGAAGCAGGAGCTCTCCGAGGCTCAATCTGCGAGGGTAGCTCTGGAATCTGGTCAGCCCTCCCCTCTCTCGCTGATTTATGATTATTGGACCGCTTGATTTTTTAATACCACCCTCTTTGCATCGAATAGACCTCAAGGCGCGCCAAGAAGAGACGCAGGAACACCTTGCGCGGATCGACAAGCTCGAGCAAGAGCTCTTCGAGCTTTCTGGAGAAGTGGCTGGCGGGAGACATGTTCCGCCAGGCGTGCGGGTATTATCGATGAAGGATAACCCAGAGGAGAAGTGGTTTAATCTACGGCAGGAAGCTTTAGATCGACTACGCGGGGAGAACGAGGCCCTCATGGCGCGTCTCCGAGAACTTGAGGACCAACAACCCGCCCTACCATCTAACAATATGCCTCCTCCCTCCTCCAACACACTCAACACACCCAACACACCCAATGCCCCCGCCTCTGCCCCCGCGCACCTCGTCCCCCGGGAATCCTACGAACTCGCCCTCAGCAAAACTGCCGCCCTCGCCGCTGAGCTCACGCAGAAGGACACGCGTCTACGGCGCCTGCAGCAAGTCTTCGCGTCGAAGAGCGCCGAGTTCCGCGAGGCCATCGCGTCGATCCTCGGCGTGAAGCTCGCGTTCTACCCGAACGGGCAGGTGCGGGTGACGTCGATCTTTGATCTGAACGCGAGTTTTGTGTTTCAGCCAGAGCGGAAGGGGGGCGGAACGATGCAGCTTGTGGGGCAAGGGGAGAGCGTGTCGGAGGATCTGCTCGGCCTGATGCAGACGTGGATCGTAAAGGAGCAGTGCATCCCTGCTTTCGTGGCGCTCGTCACGCTTGATTGCTATGAGAAGGCGAAGGCCGGGGAGGTGTGATGCGGTGGTATTTCTTTGATTGGTATTTCTTTGATATTTTACTGTAATCATGTCGATCTGTGTTTCTGCTTATATTGCTTCTAAATCATAGTTCGCGCGAAGACGAAGCTCAATGTACGGTTGCAGACCCCATGGGGCAGCATCGCGCGATCCAGGGGTCACCATCTCCATACCCGGTAACTTCAGGCGACTCTCTTCTGCAGACCACCGAAGACCCGATGGACTGATGACTAACACGGAGCGACCAGCCAATAAACTCAGTCTACTTCGTCCCCAGGAACGAAATGAAAGCCATGTGCAAGATCCACCATGTATTCCACGATTCCCCATCCATTCCATTCCAGTACATGCCTCTTTGTTCGCACGTCAACGATTGGGCCATTGACATTCTAGGACGTGTGCGGGAGCAACGAGGCATCGAGGTATCGGTGCAATGTGTATCCGTAATTGATGCCATCAACTAAAGTATGGGGAGATTTTGGATTCTATCTGATTCCCACACAAGAACGTGTGCGGCGAAGCCGCCGTACAGCCGTAGCTGTCCAGATCAAAAGCCGTCAATCTTCTTTTTCCAAAGCAAGGCACTGCCTATGTCGTATACATCGACATGTCTCCGCTACTTGACGTTACTTCGCTATGTCTTCCCAGTCAACGACCTCCAATCGTTTCCGCAGAGTCAAGACTGTCTTCAACACATCGAGAGCAATTACTTCCCTTGGTAAGGATGGTGTCGCTTCTCCCAGGGAAGATGCAGTCGAATCATCGTGTGCGCCCTTGGCTAGACGAGTCATTGAGGACGGGTTTACCCCAATTCCAAGCAGTACTGAACCCTTCAGAGGATATGTCGCCGGTTCAAGCTCTCCCTCTCCCGCATTGGATAATATCGCATCGTCAAAAACATCGGTAGCTCTTATAGAGGATCCTCTCCTGGAGCTAGACGATCCTGTGAAACCCTCCGAAAAGTCACTGTCCGGTCCCTTCATCAAGGGTGCTCTGGCAGCGCTACGCGGCATTCTGAACGACATGAATTTACCAGGGGCCTCGGCCTGCCAGCTCATTATCAAGGCGGTAGAGACGTACGAGGTGCGAGTTCTCGCTCGAAAACCGTGCTATTTCTGACATGGCCATCTCCAGCTGGCAAAGTCGAATGTGAATATCCTTCATTCCTTGATTAGGGAATGTGGTCACGTCCCCAGTGTGCTTGAGGGTGTGAGGGAGAGAAGTTCGGAGCTATCAGATAAAGTGAAAGCTGCGCTCACACGCTGTGGCAGGTGCTTATCCCGATCCCCAACTTCGTTTTTGCGGTGACACCCCTACTACCAGTGGACTAGATGTTATTATACGTCCGCTCAAGGAAGATAAGAGCAAAGGACTTTTTCTAAAAGTTATAAATAGCTCTGAAGACGCTATCAGGCTGCAGACGGCATTTGATGGTGTTGGACGTCTGATCAGGGTATTTGTCGTGAGTAGCCCGCTGGCCTGCTTGTTTGTACCGATGCACACCCCTCCTAGTTCGAGATTACTATCGCCGGCTATTTTACTATTTCCAAAGTATTACGCTCCGCTGAAAACAAAGCCTTGGTACGCTGCTCACCAACCATGTCTCCTTGAATAGCTGCTCACGCCTCACAAACCAGGCTGACAACATCAAATCCCTACCCCGTGCAGGGGCGGCGTACAACAGCTATAATGTCATTAACAAAAAAAGAACCGTGTGTCTTGCCGGTACCAGGACAGCGATTCTTGAAGAAATCGCCCACTGGATAGGCGCGCATGATCAAAAGCCCATATACCTTCTTACTGGTCACGCTGGGTATGGAAAGTCGACAATTGCGCGGACGGTTGCAGAGGGCGCGGATAGGCTTCACTCACTTGGCGCTTCATTCTTTTTCTCCCGAGATGAAGATGATATGAAGGGTGGCAACAAATTCTTCAGCACTATTGCATATCAACTATGTCTCTTTAGCGAAATATTTGCCGGTGCGATAGGGAGCGCTCTACACTTTCTCAAAGTGTCGGATGCAGCGGACAAGGGCCCTGCTGTTCAACTTTGGGAGTTCATCATCAAGCCTCTCCAAACCCTTACCAGCCCACCACACCCCTTCGTGATCGTCATCGATGCCTTCGATGAGTGCGAAGAATATGAATCCTGGGAACCTGGAAATGGAACCTACCGCCTGGATATATGGAATGGATTGGCTACTCTTGTCGAAGAGTTGCCGTTCATCAAGGTTTTCCTTACTTCCCGACCACACCCACAGTTGTCGAAGCTTGGGAATGCTGATGATCGACTCTATCTCAACATCACCGTGCTGGCCGACTCCGACCCAGACATCAGACGCTACCTTCTACACTGGCTGGTGACGGTATCAGATTCTACGTCCCTCACATGGAAAGCAAGTGAATCAGAGATTTGCGCCCTGGAAGCAATGGCGGCCGGTCTTTTCATTGTCGCCGCTACAGCCGTCCGATTTATCTTAGACAGACGAAAGGTCATGCACCCATCGCGACGGATTCAGCTCCTCATGGCCGGTACCGTCTCCGGTCCGAGGACCAACAGACTTGAAACAATTGACCAAATGTATGACACCGTCCTTCGTCAGTCGCTGAGTATGGAAGACCCCGACGAGCTGCAGCTATTCAAGACCGTCATCGGCACCATCTTGGTTCACGAAAGGCCTATGTCGCGTGGCAAAATTGCGAGTCTCCTTGGCCTCGACATTAGCGTGGTACGGACCATGCTCGACCAGCTCCAGGCGGTAATACTCACAACGGACAGACCGCAATTCCACAAATCCTTTGTTGACTATATAACGAATGAAAGGCGGAGTGGCGAGCTCTGTATCAGCCGGTCTCAGGCACACACGAAGCTAACATTCCATTGCTTGCGTATCCTGGGTCAATGTTCTAGCCCAATACCTATTGTGTATTGTGCGCAAGATCACATCGAGACACATTATTCGAACGCTAACCTCACCGTCGTCGCGGAACTACTGCGGGCTCATATTTCTACGCTTGGAGGCCGTCCCAGCAAGGTATTCTGGATCAATCTCGCCACTTATTTGCAACTGTGGGACGTCGAGACAATATCTATTATGGTATTCTCCCATCTTTCTCGGAGTGGCCGCCCTAAACTGAAACCGTTCCAGGATATTGGTACGCGAGACCAGCAGTTGTCCTCAGACTTCAAGGAAGCGCTGGCAATCATCAAGATGGACCTTGAAAGCGACGAGGTCCTCCCGGAGCGAAGTCTGCGCCTCATGCTGACGTCCGATACATACAATTGCCTACAACATCTTTATCAGGAATACAAGATGCTAACTCCCTTGCAATATGCAAAGACTTTACTCTGGCACCTCACGACCAATGGAGTGTGGCGAGAACACTGGGTCCTCTTTGATACACATCACTGGGAGCGATTCGCGGTCAAGGACGGGGAAGAGACATGGACAATTGAGAAGGAGGTAGATGCATTTATGGACAATGTGGTCCTCGAGATATATGGTTTCGAGCCTTCGGACGAGGCGTTGTCCATTCTAAGGCAGCAGTTGATGAACACTCAAAAGTGCTGATACTGGTATATCAAGGGGTACGACAATGTTGTAATTCACGACTTATAGAACCCAGGTGTTCAAAACATCTGATGAGCTACAATGCGCAAGCTTCTGCCTACCAATCTATAAATTTCGTCGGCCCTCCCGCTGCAAAGGTCCATCACTGATATCCGAGAGAGCGTGTTGGATATGTGCTAATGATGCTGCCGTAAAGTTAATCCACTGTCCACCGTACACCCGTCCCAACCCATCAATATTTCATCCTCCTCCGGTCCATCAAAACACCGATGAAGGGCAAAAGCAACATGTAGGATATTTGCTTCGAATAGGGGCCCAAGCCCCTGCTTTAGCTTTTTCACCTCTCTTCTTTGTTCGTTCGTCCAATCAGGTGTTGCAATTATTTCCTCGATTCTGATTGTGACCTTCAAGTCAATGTGTTCCAAGACACCTCGTCCCCGGATTTGTTGAAGGACTTGCAGTATATTCTCGTAATCTCTAGGTTGAGGGTAACATACCTCTGATCCGAAGAGATATTTTTCAATGTTGATTGTGAGTCGTCGGAGGCGATCAGGAAATGGAAGGCGATCGACGCATACTCGGACCCAATTCATGAACCTGAAGTATGTGACGGGTCCGCACAAGTTAACCATGAAGTGTACAGGTTGGATATTCTTTCCAAGATCGGGAATGGGGTCGCGAGCCGTGGCTAGATACAGACCTCAGCGAGGGATCAACAGTTACCCATTAGCGGGTACATACCATGCAAAGTGAGATCATGTAATCCACTCGGAACCCATGATGGGATAACCCAACGTTCTCTACCTTCAATCCGAACGATCAAAGATTGAAGGTTGGGACATTCAATACGCGGGTGACATCGCGGAGGAAATCCCAAGCGGCGTAGGGAGTCCATGCGGATAGGAGGCGCGATGCATTCATGATCTTCTTGAAAGGATACACCGTCGAACGACAGTTGTTCAAGAGTCTTTGAAGATAACTCGAGCACAAATTGAATCGCGGAGGCTCTTGCGAAAGTCCATCCACGGAAGGTGAGCTCCTTGAGGCAGGGAGCAGCAAGTAGGAATGTAGTAACCGAGAGAGGTGACGGCCGGTAATCTGTCAAGGGTGCTATGCCATTCTCTAGGCACAAAGTACGCAGATTCTTGAATCGCCCCCAGGATTCAGGATTTGACTTGAGAATAAAGTTCCAATCATTGGCGAAGCAGTCTTGGTTATCAAAAGAGACACAGAGGTTGTGTATGCATTCACTGATGTGAGAGGCTGTGTAGCAGAGTCGAGTGAGACTTTCGTGATGGATGATGATAGATTTGAAGAGATAGTCGAGGCAGATATCGTTCCAACTACGGCACACGACGGAGCATGCCGCCAACGTCTCATGCGAGTTGTTGTCTTCCCTGACGAAGGTGACAATAAGGCGAACTAACTCTATGGGGAGCTTCGCAACCATGCCAGAGCCGATTTAGATCAACTGCGATACAGTTCAAGTCAGTTAATTTTTAGATCAGATGCGAAGTGGATACTACACAGACACGTTGAATGCAATCTATGATCATTCCACAACTTCAAAGCTTCAGATCTTCAGCTTCAGACTCCAAAGGTCCAGCAAGCTGCGGAGAGAGAGAGCGCAGTCACCGGACGTGCCGCTGATCCAGTCAATCGCTATGTCGGAGATTAAAATTTGACCCCCCGGCACCTGTTCCTCACGTACTCAACATCCTTCAAGTTTAGTATTCAATAATATTCTGGATAGTGAAGATGTCTTCCTTTCAACATAAACTATTGGCTTGGTGCCGATTCTACGACTTATCGTAGTATCTCGGTGCGCGCACCCAGAAATCCGACCCAATTGGCCATACGGAGTAGACCAATGGTAACGGTAAACCTCGATGAAGCTTGAAGAACGGGGTACTAGGTAATCTCTTCCGTTTGCTTACGAGTTAAAAAACAATTCATCTTTCTTATTTCCAGGCTTCTACCCGTATCCGTACTCGTTCTCGCACTCGCTGGGAAATGGCCTCCTGGCCTCATGAGAACGAACACCACTCACTTGTCGATGCTGCCGCGCCTCTACTCTTGCAAAATATAACTAGATATATAGGTGATCCGAAAGCCCTGCCAGACCGATGGCATTTCGACATTTGAACTAGATCAACAATCAATTCACTCTAACTGTTACAACGTCTCAGCACTGGAAATTTGCGACCACGAAATGGGACCTTCCCTACCTCACGACCGTACTAACATGGTCGTCTCCAACTCCCGGACAAGAGGTGCCGTTCTCTGCATGCGCTCAGATCACGACCGCGACTCTCTAACTGGACTGAAGACGCCCATCTTGGGCTCGCGACGCTTGCTACCCGCCCATGACCATTACTTTGTCACTCTACGACCTACTACGTACCATACATAACTACTAGAGGCGCGGCACAATCACCGCAACCCCTGTCTTTGCCTACTGCGCCATTGGCACTCAAGCTTCTTCATAACTCTCCTACAATCCTGCGCTTAGTAGATGTACGGGAAGATTCTGTATGGTACCCTTGCCGCCCACTCATTCCATTCCTTCCCAAAATGTTCCTTCAGACCCTCGTCCTCTGCTTTGGGCCGCACCACCAAGAAATTATACCCCAGCATCGCCACCTCCACCAGCCATAACCACCCAGCTACCCTACCCACTGTGCTCTGCCTTGCACATCGAGAAAACCAGTGATCCTCTGAGAATAAGACGACGGTTGCAGTGGCCCACACGCTAAACCCAGATATGTAGGACGGGTGTCGAACAAAAGAGTACGGCCCGCTTGTGACCAACTGGTGTGTTTTCTTGATATTCACTTGAAAGTCGAAATGTTTTCCCAGCGTTGAGAAGCACCACAAGCGTATCGCGTTCATTGCAAGGCCCACGGAGGTGGCGGTGATCATCGTCGTTGAGGGGATCGCGGGACTAGAGGGGGATCTTGCCGCGCAGAGGCCAAGTTCTTCTCCGGCGACGGCGCTCAAAATGTGCAGCGCGCAGACGGAACAAACGAATGTCTGTGGTGGTTGCGTGAGTATCATGGAGATTCGAGAATGCGCCCCTACATACTGACCTTATGTGCCAGCGCGCGGGCTATAACAGTCTTCTCGTACGTCGACTTGATGATCTGCCCGCTCTCAGCGAGAGGTCGGTTTGGCGGAGTGCTCGTCAAGTAGAAAGAGATCGCGTTAACAAGCACAAGCCAATTGCTGGCGTCGAGGAAGGCGTTTGCGTTCATCGCTGTGAGTCGACGAACCTCTCTCCAGGGGCTCTTTATACCTCAACCTCGTAGCCTGATAGATGGCACCATGGGAATAGAGTAACCCGAATTCAAGTGCAGGACCTCACACTCAGTGCATTCTAAACTTGAAGTTGATTTAGTGATGGATGGTTGATAGCGCGTCAACGTTTACGAAGCGCAACCGAGCGAACGTACTTAGTTCAGAACTACGTGCACGCCCCTCACCTACCCCTACTCGTGCCCTTGCTAATAAATCCACCTATGCCACCGCGGGGGGAGTCTGCGTCGCATTCGAAGGCTCGTAATCGACTCGTTCAAAATCACTAGAGGAAGCGCCTCCTTCTCATCAGTGCTTGTCTGCGCCTAGAGCCTGCTATAAGTACTACAGTTCATCAAACCAGTGTTAATCCTAGTCATATGTCTCACAGTGCTATCTACACCCAACCCCGTCGGTATCGCAGGAAGCAAGCCCTGCGAAACATTCGACCATGAATACTGGCAATACGGCGATTCGCTCGGGCATCCCATCACCTCCGTCTCTCCCTTACACCAGCCCTTCCATCTTCTCTCACCGTCTGTCACTCGATTTTTAGCCTTGCAAAGGCAATTCACATCTACACCGATCTTCTTCTTTGTATTCTGTGGCTGCTCCGACATTGCCTTGTGCGCTGTCTTCGATGCCAATGCCCCAGACTCCTGCTACTTGCGCTGTGAGTCCATTTGTTTCCCCATGTTGATACCGAGATATCCCAGGGCCATACTCGCAGAGTTGTTATATTCGATACAAGCTCAGGGTGTTTCCTGGAGCGAATACGTCCAAAACGCGAAGTATCTCTTACGAAATTCCGGCCCACAAGGCTCAGCCAGACGGCAAATGCAGGGATCCCCTCGAGGCCACTCGTCGGCCTGAACATATCGAATGTCATGAATAGTACAAAACACTGAAAGCCCCAATGAAAAAATAGAACATGTCGAATGGCTGATTAAGATGAAGATACAAAAGCGTTGAAGTTATAGGACGGAGGACCAGTGGTGAACCGATACCCCGGAGGACTGTGGTCTACAACTATGACTCCTAGCCTGGAGATGGTCACCGTCGCTTGGCAGGTTTCAATAGGCCGTATCTTCAACTTCGACAGGCCGGGTCCTAGCGTGACCTCTTGCTTCGTGGGCCCGCATTTAAGTGTCACATCCGCCTGCCCCGTCAGAAGCACAACGACATATATATTATCCTCAGTCTAGACGGTCAAGTGTCAGCGTAAAAGCGTAAAGAGGTTGCTGTATGGACGCAGGAGGACTCACCCATCCCCAGTTTTTGGGCTTCGGAACGTGGTCGCTAGCGTCGGCGCCTGCAGGATAGAGCCTCCCCCACATGAACACTTGATCTTTCACGATAGCCGGATACTCTCCGGTTTTGAACGCGTGGATATAGTACTGTATGAGAGGTAACCAGCCTTAAATTCCGTCAGTGACAATGTACGTAGCAAGCGAATGGGGGTAGAATGACCTTGATGGTCAAAGCCGTCCACCCATGCTTGTGACATAGGCTGATCGCCCGCAATGGGGCCAATGTAGTGAGATTCGCCGTAGTCGTTCCATGTGACAATCTCGACTATCCCAATCTTCTCCCTATTTTGAATAAGGAGTTCCCATCGACGGCAAAGATGCCAGTCTTCAGTACGGAATATCCAGTTCTTGTTCCAAGTGTCGGGGCCGTAATGCTAAACTACCCATGAGCAAGATTACGCCCAGGAAAGGGGAGGACAGACGGTGAAGAACCATGCAGACATCGCGGCCATGTACGTGCGTCCACCCAGGCCTCGTATATACTGTTCGTCCATTTCGAAATCTGCGGGAATGTTGTCCATAGGCCAGCCAGAGTTCCACTGCATTGAGCGGATAAGACACACGGAATAACGAAAACAAAATGATCCGTACACTGAATGCACCATTCATGACCGTGAATTCCCCAAACTTGGCGGGATCCACGAAAAAGCTGGGGATAAAGGTGAGGGGCATATCCCCGATCCCCTTGATCGCAGACATCCAACCTTGGTTAGGACTTTCGGTACCGAATAAACATCCTTCTCCAGAAAAGGTAGATATCATAGGTAGACCATTGTATCGAAATTGATTTGGATGGTGGTAGTACTCTCTGATGTATTGCTTCAGGGGCTCCGCATCGGCGGGCTCCGCGCAAGGGATAGATGTCATATCGAGGGATATAAAAAGGCGAAAGTCGGTGCCGGCGGCGGCAGTGAATGCATCTTGAACTCTTTCTCGCTGCCAATCCTCTCGCCCAACATTTAGAGCAAAGGCGTCGATCTCGTGCCCCATGGCGAGGACAATATCTACACTCGCCATGTTAATCTTCGGATTGCAAAACGGACGCCAAGGGCTCACCCTTCTTCCAGTCCTCGACTCCGTAGTGATACGTGTTCCCGACCATAAAGTGGGCAAAGACAGACTTGACCTGGGCGACGCTCCCCGCGGCCGGAGGGAAAAGAGGTAGAGACAATGGCAAGGTCGTGACTGAATTAAGAATCGCGCCAGGCGATGCGGCCATAACCGCGGAGAGGACGTATGGACTGAGGGCGAGGAGTTTCATGGCCACGCCTAGTACTGAGACTGATGGCGGGCGTGTCGTTACGGAGGAGGCGTCGCTGCGGCGGGGAGAAATGAGAAATAACGAGAAAAGAAGTAGTGATCATATATAGGCGGCTTGTTTTGCATTATATACGTCGATCACTGATCGGTGCTGGCAAAGTCTAATTATCAGCCACCGCCCTGCCATTACACGTACATGAATAATAGTCGATCACGCACCGACGTACAAAGCAAAGCTGAACAAGATGTGATGAATGAAGTACAACATGAGAGTATGAAGATGTAGCACTCTTCAATATCATCGCTTTCCAGCCACCGGGGATTGACTTCTTTATCCTAGTCTCCAGCCGTTGTCCTTTGTCATTGTCGAGGTGCGACGAGGTTTCATCTTCGGGTAAAAGTCGCAAGCGAACATTATCATCGAGGGAAAGGCGCCAGGTTCGAGGGTGGTGGACAACAGCGTCTGTCCCCCGCCTTGGGAATTCACCCAACCTCGGCGGGAAGTCGTTATCGAATTGCCTTTCTAGATAGAACGGATAAGGACTGCTGTCACTCCTAGTGGTCACGACGATAGGGCAACGTGTAAGGCGGAGGCTCTACTACCATTAGCGTAGTATCGATCTTCCAAGGTTGCACCAACTAGTAATACATAACCCTATTTCGCGGGATAGAGCGCACGAAGTGGCCGGCTCCGCGTCTACATGGGCAAGACCATACCAGAGCCATCTAAACACATTGAATACAAAGTCTGAGATACAATGAAGGCTGCGCACTCGATTCCCGATTGGCCCCGCAAGGTCTCTTGGGAGTGCGTTAATGAAGGGGCACACCTACGGCAACATGGCCGTCTATGGATCGAGGACAGCTCAGAAAGCACGGTACACGCGGTTCTGCACACGGGGAAGGCTGGATTAAGGATTGGACTTCGTACCGGCCGAAAGTCGCGAAGAAAAGGACCTTCGTCGGGTTATCACTATGAACAATCTAGTATTCCAGTTCAAACATTATTGGTAGGCTGACCACTAACCTACAAGCGTTAAGTCAATGTCTTATCGCAGTGCAATCAGGCTCAGACTGCTGGGGGGGGGGGGGGGGCAAACTGCCAAGTCACTAGGCGAAGTCAAGGTTGAACGTATTCGTGCGTCCGCAACAGAAACCACGATCACAATAAGCCGACCGAATCCATCGAAGGTCCCAGAATCAGCCTCCGGAAATGCCTGAGAGTTCGTAGGCATAAGAAGAACCCGGCCGAAAGATCAACAAATAGGTTAGAGCGAATGTTCTGGGGAGAACGCAGCGGGAGAAAGCCCCGCAGATCACTTCTACGGGTTTCCACACCTGCATGTAGTTTCTTTGGAGTCGGAACGTAAAGCCCATGGTTTGAAACGAGGGATCGCCCCAAAAGTCAATCCAATCATAACCTTAGAACTTGGATGCGAGTCGCTCAGCCATCCCCTTCTCGCAGTTTTCAGCATCACTTCAAAACTCGAACTTGCTGCACAGCGGACGCTACAGCGAGCCGTCCGCATCGATTCGATCACACCATGATGAACCGCATAACCAACGGGTCGCGAGTCAAAGGTGAATCGTGCCTAAGCTTCGCGGCTGTAGATGCTGATGAGATATTGGAGATATTAGATACACGTTGCAGGGATGTGCTGTAGTATACCTTCGAGTGTGATAGTAGAGTAGATCCGAACGTAGACTCAAATTCTAACAGAATTGCCTGTTCGAATTTCCGGCTAGCCCCTCCAAAGTCAGAGTTAAATTTGCAGCCAATGGATATACCACTGTAGTCACCAGCGTATCCATACATTGCAAATCCTCATTCTCTCGTGCAAAAAAATACCAATAGCGGATTGAATTGGCGTTGTGTTGTTGGTAACGGCGGTTTGTCCCGAACATATCGATGTCCGAGATAAACAAGAAAGTTTCAAACTCCAGGTGATGAAGATGAGACAGTAGCTACGTCGCAAGGTCATCAGATGTTCATCTTCCTCCCAGCGAGAGTTTCCCTGAAGTGTGAACCGATAAACTTGGTAGAGAATCAAGATGACTACCACGATGGGACATTGAACGGTCGTAAAGCATATGAGTCGCGAGTCCTCGTCTTCGTCGAGAGAGCGAGAAATCAATGAGCAAGAAATGGAGCGTCGTTGTCGTCGACGATGTTGACGAGGCTCCAGAAAGTTCGATTTGATTCAACTTACGCGTTCGGCTTCAGACGGCAACAAGGCAGCACGCCAAATGGAGACTACCGGCATCGAGCCGAGGGTTAATAAGGTGTCTTATGTAATGCTGTCTGGCGCGACTGGCAGCCGCAGCCCTCCCTTTCTCTCTCCCCGCAATCACTTTGTTTTCTCGAAACCCGTCGCCAACGCCAACTTTTTCGCTCCTCATCGTCTAGATCGTTCTGCTCGCATACAAGCACGCCATGCTTGGCGATGATTCTCTTCCCCCGTACGCCGCGTCGTACGACCTCGCAGACCTTTTGAACGCGGACTTTCTGACTTCCCCAGCAACCCTCGCTTCCAACCAAGCTTCGTCGTCAACAGCATCAGATATGAACGACTCGGGTCCATCGTCGCCGACCTCGTCGCACTCACCCGCAGCTCTTCAGACACCGCCGCAACCACAACTACCCACCGCCTTCCCCGACATCCTCGACCCAAGCCCTTTCGTCACTCATCCGTATCAAAACGTTTCATCAAACAGCCCCAGTGGCAATATATTCTCCTTCATCGACGATGAAGCTAACCCTACATCGAAACCAGTTGCTGGATTCGACCCTTTCAACTCGTTTGGAATGGGCATGGGGAACGCTTTCTCTGGCATGGCTATGGATTTCGGGGCGATGGGGATGGACATAGCGGGGCTATCGATGGATATGGATCTCTCCGTTCCAATTGATGCATCCACTGAAGCTCCAACGGCCGCGAACTTGGATCCAAGAGCTGGCACCGAAATGGACGCCCACGAGTCAACCCCCGCGCTATCTCCTGAATCGGGCGTCAACCCCCAGCTCGTTGGCACACCCGCGCCTAGCAAGCATGAAGAAGAGGACGAGGAACGTGAGGAGGAACATTCAGCAGAGGAAGATGACGAAGATGAAGAAATGGACTTCGATCAACCTCCGAAGAAGAAAGGACGCTCGACCCGCAAGTCGACCCGCAAAACTACTCAACAACAGCAGCAAGCCCCTCGTCTGACCCTCACTATTGCCCCAGTGAAAGCTGGTGGACACGGCAAAGCCCGACGAGGTACAGTTCAGGGCGGTGGGGTTGTCAAAAAGAGCTCCGCCGGTGGGGCCTCGCCGTCGTACACTCCGTCTTTGGTGGTCAAACCCATTCCCTTGGAGAAGGAGAACTCGTCGAGTCTACCCAACTCGAACGCTATCAGTGTACCTCGCGCATCTACATCAACCCTTCCCCCTCCTGCAGTCGTCTCAACATCCCCCATCGCAACAACCTCAGGCAAGGGCAAGCGATCGGCATCTGGCAAGGAAAAGGCAGGTCGTTCAGATCGGAGCGAGCGTGCAGAACGGCCGCTTACCCTCCCCGAGAAGCTTGCGCAGCTGAAGTCTGCCTCGACGCCCATCGTAGCGAAAAGTCTTGGACTGGGCGACTGGGTTGGTGGTAACATCAAAGGTAATTTTGATCTCCTTGCTCTATCTCCAGATAGGTCGGACTCATCATCTTCCGCAGGCAACGCAGCGAGCATCGGTGATTCCGCATCGGAAGCAGGCGATGTGTCTGATCATCATTTTACGTTTATGGGGTCTTCGGCCAATGGAGGGGCCATGTCTGCGCAGGAAGCTAACTTCCTTGCAGGGGAAGACAGAGATGATGATATCCCAGCGGATTGGCGCCCTCCCCCTGAGGTCTTCCAGAAGATGTCGAGTAAGGAGAAGAGACAGTTGAGGAATAAGATCAGTGCTAGGAATTTTCGGGTTCGACGGAAAGGTGCGTTCATATATATTCTTTTGGTGTAATGGAATCGATCAATAACTCATCTTTACTTCGTTTTCGTAGAATATATCTCGACGCTGGAAGGGGATATTGCAGAACGCGACCATCTCCTCCAAGTTGTGAGAGCGCAGTTGGGCGAAACGCAGAGTGAGAATGTCGCGCTAAGACAGGAGATTGATGCATTGAAGAAGGTGTTGTTATCTGGAAGGGGGAGCGGGGGAGAGAGTGCGTTTCTTTATCGTTTCTCGCTGCTCGTCCTAACACTAACGTATAGATTCACTAGATGGTGTTGTCCTCAACCTCCCTCCACCAGCACCTCTCCCAGCACAGAGCGCCGCGGAGAAACTTGCCGCCGCCGCCTCTTCACCCTCGCCTTCCTCGTCGTCTCTCCTCACTCCAAATACTCAGAAAGACCTACCTACTACACCTCGCCTCGGTGGCAAACGCGGCGGATTCTGGGGAGGCGTATCATCCGGCGTCGGACTGGGTGGTATCACTCCAGTTCATACCACCATCATGCCTGAATGGGGCAGTATCCTCGGCATGGGCGTATTCGGGAACGCCAGTAGCAGCGATTCGAGCTCTAGCAGCTCAGGCTCTAGCCCCAGCCCCCACAGCGATTATGGGAGTGAGGATGAGGCCACGGTGCATACCAGTGAGCGTCATCCGAAGGAGATGGAGAATATCAATCCGGGATTGAATGGAATAACCGCGCGGGAGCAAGAGGCGGATACTTACAACGGAAATGGCATGGGCATGGGTATGGGAGGCGGATTGGAAGGCTTCGCGGATATGAATCCGTTTACGATGAAGACGCTCGATATGTACAGGATGCACCTTTGGGGACGGATGGCAGCGCAGTATCAACAACACCAGCAACACCAGCAGAGAACCCCTGCGGCGGCGAAACCGCTTACGGGGCTCGCCAGTTCGTTGCGGCCAGCGTATTTCGCGCCTTCTGCCAAGGGCAACGTCTCGCCGGCTTCGGCATCGCCTCCGCCACCTTACACACCCTACGCACATGGCCATTCCTCCGGCGCGATGGTTGGCGGTCCATTGAGCGCGTTGCTGATGGGCAAATCCATTCCTATCTACTGTCCACAAAGTAGCAAGCCGCCTTCGTACTATTCGGGGTCGACGAAGCAGACGGTCAAAGAGGAGGAGAAGGACGTGACAATGAAGCAGTACGCCCAGTTCCAGAGAGACCGGGAGAGAGAGGTGCAGCAGAACCAAACCGACGCGGTCGTTGCTGCTCTCGCTACTCAGACGGTGTTCAGGAGGTTGGGATCGGCTTTCTGGGAGGCGTTTGCGGGTTCGCCTTCGCCATCGTCATCTTCCTCCGCGGGCTCAAGCACCAATTCGTCACTTCCAAGACACTTTGTTGCGAGCAAATGGGATGTGGAGAAGATGCAGAAGGTGTTGGAGGGTAAAGCTGTCTTGAAGGTCGTGGACATTGAGCCAACGCCAGTGCTTACGGAGAAGAGGGAGAGGAGGGAGGTTAAGCGCGAGATGAAGGATACCGTCACCCATCAACGCGAGGAGGGTCCGGCGGTCAAGTGTTTGAGCCAGATGCTGGAGAGCCTTGCGTTGAAGTAATTGGGCCGTCGCCTTTGTCCTTGATTCCATTTCTTTCGCTCTCCTGATTTTCTTTCTTTAAATTCTGAATTCGTGGTGGATGCGGATGTGGCGTGGATGTGAAATAATAGCAAATAATGTATGTTTTGTCTGCTTTCTCCTCTGGTTTCGTTTGTACTATTTTCCTGTCTCTGAGTCTGTCTTTCGACAACTCAAATCCCCACTCCCTCCTTTGCCTAGCTATCGAACTATTCATCGATTGTCCCTCCTTCCTCCCCTTTCGTTTCGCGTCTCGCATACTTTTCCCTGATAGTTACTCACATACTCGAGTTTCGATTTGAAGACTAAGAAAACCGGCCGGGACCTCGATATCTTCCCGGCCCACCAGTTTTACATGTAGTATATATTTAAATAATAGACCATTGTCTGGATAATCTAGGTATCGGTCCCATTCCTCTATCGGGTATGAATCTCTTTCTTTCGTATAGAGCACTCGGGCTACCGGGTAGTGGTCGTGATTGCTCTGTGATGTGTGAGTGTTTTGTTCGTTCTCTGCAATATGCGATCTAACGTCTTATGCTCACCCAATAGGACCTTCACATGTCTTTCTCTCGCTTAGCTTGTTCACCTGACTCTACTATTCCTCCCACCCGCGAAGACGGGTCTTCCTACGTCAATCAATCTTCTCACCAAGATATACGATACTAACTATCATGGTCTCATCAATTGATTAGCGCATCCTAACGCCTGCCGAGCCTTTCGGCCTGCGTATCATGGTACCTAATGTGGTGAGCAGGATTGGAGGAGACTCTTCGATTGACATCGAGAAAGCTTCCGACCTTAAATTCACATTCATGAGTGTTCTCAAGGACAAAGGCCCATATCTTCCCTCGAGCCTCTGCATTCCCCTCCCATCCATATCCAACGCACTTAGTGTCGCAAGCAACCCCGCAGCCCCTACCCTCTCGTAAATCTCAATGTCCGTCTCTAAAGGCGTAGCCCTCGTCACAGGAGCAAGTAGGGGCATTGGACGCGCCATCGCCCTCCGTCTCGCCAGCGACGGCTACTCGTTAGCTGTCAACGATATCCCTTCCAATCTCCACGCTCTCAACTCTCTGAAAGCTGAGATTGAAGGCATCAAGTACAACGGCCGGAATTTGAAGGCGACGAGTGTAATAGCAGACATGAGAGAGGAGGAACAGGTAAAGGAGATGGTTGAAAAGACCGTCAAGGATTTGGGAGCAGTCGATGTGGTCAGTATCTTGTTCCTTCATTTACAGATCTTCTAAATGATGAGTGTAGATGGTAGCGAATGCAGGAATACTCCAAACTACAACTCCGATGGTCGATAGTATGCCCTTCCCCTCTTTGCCTCTTCCAACCGTTTTGACACTGGGTTTCAGCGTCGTCCAAGGACTTTGACCAGACACTTGCGGTCAACATCCGAGGCGTATTCCTGTGCTACAAATACGCCGCGAAGCAGATGATCGCCCAACACCAGCAAAGAGGAGCCCCAGGGGGAAATATCATCGGTGCTGCCTCCGTCACGTCAAAACAAGGTAGGTATACAGTGTGATCAGCGATGCATATTGCTTTGACTTCCGATTACTCAGCATGGGCCGGCGCGTCAGCCTACTCGACGAGTAAATGGGCGGTAAGAGGGCTGACCCAGGCTTCAGGTGCATTTAGTTCCCTCAGCAACAAACGTAGGCTTACGAGCTTACTTACTGAACCCAACCTACAGCGCTAGAACTCGCTCCCTATGGAATCCGAGTGAATGCGTACGCACCTGGTTTAATTGAAACCAAAATGGGTGCGTGTTATGTTTTCTCCCACTGCGCGAAAACTCAACACTTCGTCGCCTTACTCCTTCCAATTTGGCTTCTATAACAGTAGAGGACTATGCGATCGTCAAAAAAATAGGCTACAGCGAGTTTGTCGCCGAGGTGCGGACGTCTTCCTAAGCCCTCCGTCTCTCCATGCCTACAGAAAAAGTCTGAACATATATGGCATGTTCCCAGCGATCACAAGGCATTCCCCTCAGACGCTTGGGTACACCAGGCGACGTCGCCGACTTGGTTTCTTTCCTTGTTTCTGACAGAGCTTCGTATATTACGGGTGCGTCACTTGCTAACTCGGACTTGTCGACGACTGCAAGTCAACTGATCAATGGCCTTCTTTCCTCTCCGTAGGTCAATCGGTACGTGCTAGAGTCGTCTTCAGAAATGCTAAACTCAGATGGTGGTCAGGTATCCGTCAACGGAGGGACTTTCTTCGATTAACCGTAATCGTGGAGCATTTCGCTATGGTGGAGTCGGAGCGCACGCACAATGCAAGACAACCAGTGGTTTTACGGTTTTAGGGCTTCAGGAAGAGTGCGCCAAGGAATGTACAAGAGTCATTACCCCAATTTTTGAAATGTCTCCTGTAATTCCTTTATTCTCGCTTTCTATTTCTATGACGAAAAACTCACAGGGAGAGGGCTGAAATGTGGACGTAGATCACGGTCGTCAAAAGACCCACCCGTAGACTTGATTGGCTTGTCCTTGCCTTGAAACCGGTCAATCATGGTCTATATGAGCGAACTCATTGACGACGGGTATGACGCGGCTGAAGCAACGTCAAAGTATCACATAAGTATACTATACAGAAACTGCTGCATGAGTTACATTATACAGCGTACATCACCTTCTTCTGGCCCTCTTCTTGTCTCGCCAAATCTTTTCGGCATAGATGAATGTTATAACAACTATGTCCGTCATATGGGCTCCAGACGGAAATATCTCGAGCCATGAATCACCGAACATCCCTAGCCACGAGCGATGGTAGTCTGCGACTAGTTGCCTGGATCCGTCGTTTGTATACAGCTAACGGTATGTCTGACTAAGTTTGCGAGGCGGAATCCGCGGATGTTGTCTCACCGATAAATCCCATGTCCCAAGTTTCCACTTGTACTCCTTTCCATCTGGCGCAACAAATATACGGGAACTACATTGATCAACGAAGACGTGTTGGTATCTTTGAATATGTCAAGCAGCAAGCAGGACTAGGGCGCCCACCTTCCGTACCACCCAAAGCCCGTCGTCCGGAATAATGAATCAGAATCAAATTCGCTCCCGTCAAACCTCAGAATCGTAGAGTCGAATTTGTGCCATTCGATTTGTGCCATTGGCGCGAACTGGAACTGCGGGGAACCGTCCTGCGTCATCGGCTGCCCATTTGGGAGAGACAGCGTAGCGTTCCTAGGCTCGTAGCCTTCGGAGAGAATGAGTTTCATCGGAGAAGCGGTGGTGCGATTCCTACAGGGACGCTCACTTTATATGGTTAAGGTAGCAGCCTACTCCAGTCTCCACAAACGATGGATGAAACACCGCAAAATGCTGTAAAACCCCCGCCTGCGCATGGGGACGTTCCGCACTCGGCGGGGATATTCTAGAGCTGACCCAGCCTGCCCATGAGCCAAAGATAATTCCAACCTCTCTATCCGCTTGGACTGGACTCTGCCCCAGCGCGGTGGAGGTTGTAAAGTCCCAAATTCGGCCCACTGAACGCCCGGGCGCTACTTGGAGTGGGAAGTCCCTAGCCCCTAGATCATCACCATCAATGTCCAGGGCGTGTTGAACGCTCCCTACATTCCGCAGTACCAACCAACCAACGCTTTTAAGCCCTGTGGTCCATGCCAACCTGGCCACCATAACGATGAAGCTCCTCCTCAACTCGCGCCGACAGAGGAACTGCACTCTAGCCTTTGAGGACGGACAGGCTATTTACAAGATCACCACTCCATTCAAGGTTACTGGACGAGTTACTACCATCCTACGAGTTGTTTCCAGTGCCAAAGACGAGCACAACGACGCGGACTTGGATTCACGCTTGCAGGATAAATTCGCCCATCTGGCAGAGATAGAGTGGCAGTACATTAAGTCGTCGCGGCTGCGGTTTCGGGGGGACGATATAGATATGGGTACATTGTTCAGAAAATTCGGATTGGGCCCATATGGAAGGTGAGCACCCGAGCATCAATAAAGAAAGCTGTTGTGATCGTTGTCCCTATTATAGACACCGCGCGTTTACCGCACCTGATGGGCGGGAGTATGTGTGGAAAATGGGGATGTGGGCATCTGAAGTTTGTCCCGCCGTTAACGTTACCGCCGGTGAAATTAATTATGCGCTATTCCAGCTCTATCTCAACGATGACTCGATCCCCAAGAAGCCCCTGATAGCGAAGTACCATCGACCGACCTTCAATCCTATCGGCCCAAATAAGCCAGGATATCTCGAGATATCGCCAGAGGGCGAACCCATCCTTGACGACATAGTGGTCACCTTTGTAATTGTAGAAACATATCGAAAGGAAAGAGAACGAGCGTCTCGTTGACCTAGATCCGCCTCCACCTCATTTCTGGTAGCTGTACACTACGTTCACATCGGATCAAATGCACGACTGGCGTCTCCCCTCACGAACGTCAAGCTTATCATCTGACAGCTCCTACTGTGCTTGTACGGCCGTGTATATATAAGGCCAGGCCCGCGACCACTGAAGGGAATCCGTTCCATCATGCCGAGCAACACGAAGCTATCCCTCACTACTGGCGAGGATCCACGAAATAACGTCCTGTACGAGGACGGACGAGCTGTCTACAGAATTGTCACCCCGTTCGCTTTCACTGGGAGAAAGACGACCATCAGCAAAATTGTCGATGGCGGCTTGGCCCGGGCCGTTGCAGAGATCGAGTGGCACTCGATTGCGTCGTCTGTCTTCAAGTTCGATGGCGGGGAGGTGAGTACCAGCAATTACTTCCGCAGCACAGCGCTCTCTGGGATCATCGGAAGGTGAGTGTACTTCGTTGTCGCTACATAGGCCTCTGTTATATATTGCGTGGTCAGCAACCGCATTTTCACCGCTCCAAACGGCCGGGAGTACAAGTGGAGGTTCAGCGTCAGCTCGAAGCCAAAGGTACGATATTTACCCTCCCAGGCGCTACATGATCATGACACATCATAGCTTTATGTCAACGACGGTTCTGACACCACCGTTGCTTGTTTTCACGGCTCCTCCATTGGACTTCTCTCGCCAACTAGGGACGCCTATCTGGAAATATACCCTGAAGGTCGCCACATCAAGGATGTGATTGTGATGACGTTCATATACGTCGAGAAGCTTCGCAGGGATAAGAAACAAGCTGCGCAGTAAAGATGGTGTGATGGGTGGAGTATGATGGAAACCACGAGTACGGTTTCCTTCAGAATCGGCGCGGCGCTCTGCGAAGGGAGATAATTTTTGGCCTTCAAAGCTTCACCCCTTTGCACTCTCGATTGCCTGTTTCACGAATGACACGATTGTTTTTGCCACCGGTCCAGTAAACTGTAAGGCACCTTTGACGTACCCTCATAAGGCAAGTGATATACCATAAAAGGCAACGCCACTCAGACCACAGGCCACCTTGCGCGACGTATATGGCGGCCCCGCCTCTGAAAGTAACACAATGCCGATTAGCACCGTAGACCACAATCAAAGGGGTGAAATACCTGGGCCACCGTGGCACCTTAGTATATAGCCCCGCCGTGGGGCGTCGGCGAGTTCCCATTTTCTACGCGCCTTCAACATGTCACTTGAGGTACTGCCGGTCGAATTACTTCAGGCGATCCTGAAGCAACTGTGTCCGAGGGACCTCGCTGCCCTCTCTTCTATCTCGCGACCTATCTACCCAGTAGCCATGCGCGAGCTGTACACGTCCATCACGCTGAACAAGAGGAAGCAATCCAGGCTGCTGGCCAAAAGTCTCAAGCACCGTCCTGCGAAAGCCAGTTTCGTCAAATATCTGGTTGTGGGTTCAAGTATCACGTACGTGTTTTACTATCATGCCGTAGCGAATGGCCTACTAAAATTGCGTACGGACAGTGATGCCGTCAAAGCGTTGCCCGACATTGTCAAGCACTTGGATCAGCTCAAGCATTTCGAGATCACCGCAGACGAAATATCTTCCAAGAGGCTAAACACCGTCATCCATGCATTGAAAGCGGAGCAACTCACGCACCTGACACTGCTTACGGACTTGCAACCGATCGGAGACCTCGTCGATTTTATTGTCGGCAGACACCCCAACTTGCAGGAGCTCCATCTTTCGCCCCACGCCCTCTGTGGAGACAAGATCCCAACACTCGCATTGACAAAACTAGAGGAATTTGTCGGCCCAAGTTGGTGCTTCAGCCGACAAACCGTCGAGATGCCCCTCTTTCAAGTGTCCATTGCTTGGAGCGCGGAGGCACCAGAAGCGGGCACAGAGGATATCATCAGGTCCCTTGCAACGTCGTGTAAGGACTCCCTGAAAGTGCTTTGCTGCAGTAAACCCGGACCTTGTGAGGAATTAGTGGACGCAATCACAACCTCCTTTCCGGACCTACGAGGCCTCGAGATATCAAGCTCGGTCATCATTAACTCGGTATGTCGCTACCTCATCCTAGGTTCATGGCTCCCTCTAACGAAGAGACACCTGCGCTAGCCCAACACCGTTAAGCGCCTAGCTACATCCCTAGCAAAGATGCAGGAATTGATCGCACTCAGCTTCAACCCGTCACTTGTCCTGAGTGATCAGCGTCGAGGAGGCATAGACCTACTCCAAATAGTCGACAACGCGAAAGCTATAAGATCACTCTCTTGCTGTGAGTTTCGTGATGGAAAAATACGAAGACTTACTCAATTCTCTCCTCGTATAGGTGGCGTATCATGGTCAAAGGTAGACAACCGTTGGGTGCACGTCGAAAAGAATTGTTGAAGCTGGAGATCTTGGGCTGGGTAGGGAGAATTCAGACGGGATGTAACCGAGTTCTTGTTAGTAGACAGAGACATCTCCCTCTACCGCAATTACATGTTTATGATGATGAGTTGTTGGTTGTGCCGTACATGTCTTGTCACCACCGACGACGACGAGGTGCCTGCATTATGTAGGCGACGGGTGAAAAGCGGTCGTAGTTCCCTGCAAGAACGGCTACATCAGCCCGATGTTAACTACATCGCGGATGATTCTCGCTATCAATCACTGTCACTTGACTTGCCTGCTTCTAGATTTCAGCATAACGGGGAATCAGTGTCAATATAGGCGTTGTGTAAGGAGTAATAAGATCCCGACTTAACTCCTTCGTTCAGGTTTTGGTATGGAGTGCCTCAAAACCTCGTTTGAATAGATGAGCCTGACAGGCCTATCATGATCAGGGTAGCTAGGTGTGAAGCGTTCGCCTTAAAGGCGCTGTCTTGGCGGTCCTCCCACTTTTAAAAACACGTCCAATTTGCAGGCGTAAGCCAGGAAAGCACAATGCGGTCGTTCTACTGCTTAGTAGTGTTGCTTCGCTTGGTGCAGGCCATCCCTTTCACGACAGTAAGTAATTCACATCTCGAAACTACAGTCGACGGAACTCACTAGAAGACCACAGAACGCGCCAGGGGATGACGCGGGAACGACTACTTGCATCACCTGGGGATTCCCTGAAGAAACCCAAGCATCATCGACCTACACGCTGACCAGCGATGCAGGCACAACAACCGATCCAGTGCCCACCCCGGGCGGGGGCTCACACACACACGTCGACACTTCCTCCACAAGTTCATCCACGAGCGATGCAGGAACGACGACAGACCGAGTCCCTACCCCAGGCGGGGGTTCATCCACGTCTACAATAACTACATGGTACTGATTTCGCGGAGGCGGGACTTGATATATGATGCAGGGGCTCATGACACTTTTTCTCGAGTCGAGAAAAGTTAGTCGATTTTTGGTAGAGGACTTTTGGTCGAGGATTAAGGAAATTCGTGATTGCGATTTGGTTCAGAATTTATGTCAGATAATTAACGACTTCTATATTCCCCGAAAGATTGTCAGATTTGGAGTGGAAGCAAGGCATCGACAAACCGTCTAAGTATCCTCCAGCGTTGTCTGTGTCAAGTTTTCCAAGATCCTCCAAGGGGCTCCTGAGACGGTACTGAGTACTGAGTTGCCGGGCGGCAATTTATACTGACGTGACTGGAGGGTGACACGAGTTGTGACGTTCTTTCTTTACTACCACCATCTTGAGACCTTCTATGCGACTTGTAATCATGTTTTTGTTTTGTGGTATGGCTCGTGGAATCGGTGAAGGTCATGTTGAATGCCTCCACGTGCTCGGATCCTCTTGGGGCCACCGAATCTTTGGCCCTGTGGCTCAGTGGCTTCGGATTGTTATATAACCTGACAGTCTTTGCGACCACCTCCGCATCACACCCATGGCTCCCCGACGCAACATGCTCGAGGGACTCTCCCCAGAGATCCTCGACCACATCACCAAAGAGCTTCCTGCTTCGTCCCAACGCTCCTTGTCGATGGTATCAAAGAGTTTCAGAAAGCGATTGGAGCATCAGGTCTTTGCCTCCGTCCGCTTGCGGACCAGGGGCGATACTTTGCGTTTTATCAGTCACCTCACCTCGTACCCGTCCTGGCACTCGTTCGTGAAATCTCTGACTATCGAAATCCCGGCTTGGGAAATCTCCTTGGCTACTTCCGGCAAACTACGGCAGGGAAAGAATATGAAGATGGAAGATGATCCATCTGTCCTGGCGAGGACGCTGTACAAAGGCATCGACTACTTCTCTGTGTTATACAACCTGGAGCGCTTGGTTTTCATCGAGGGAACCTACGACGATCTCTCGATAATCGAGATTGTTCTTCAAGCTCAGTTCGATAATCTCCAGGAGTTCTCATACGCCTCTTCCAGCTCCAAGCACCCTGATGCCTGCGACCTGGATACGTTCTTATGCCGCCACCCCTTCATCAAGAAGCTGGAGCTCCCGCCTGCGCTAAAGCACCACCCGGGAGGACTGGAATTACTCAACTTGACCAGCTACACCGGCTCCCATGAATTCTTCCAAGACGTGGTCTCGACCCCCGATCTCAAATGTGCCAAGCTCATCGTCGCACGCAAGCCCTCTGGCACCGTTCTAAACGCAGACTGTATCCGTTCTCTTTGGTTCAGCTGCTCCGTAAACCTCAGTAGCCTGGAATGCTCTTTAGGGAAGACAGACACATCCTACGACATCCTGAAATCCATTGCAAGGTTCCTCCCTTACCTCGAACATCTTAAAATCAAGTGGGATAACTCGGTGATGGAGCCGTTCGATTCGAAGGTACGTCTTCTTTCTTTCTGAGTTTGCTGTGTTTTATAGTGACTTCCTTTGTAGGGCCGCATTCGAGACTTTGGATCCTTGTTATCCCTTTTCTCCGAACTGAAGTCGTTCGACTTCGAGGCCTACTTGCCCCTCCAGAACGAGGCACCGACGATAGGCACTGCGGAAGAAATAGCATCGTACTGTCCTTTACTTATTTCTTGCGGTTTCCGTGCGTTTGAACCCTCCTTTTGCCTTATACCCAGACTTGCTGACTTCGTTTTGAATATTAGTGTCTGAATGTTGGACGCGAGATAATGTCACGCAACCGTGGACCCAACGACATCGCTGGAAATGAGGTCTCCTTTTCTCAGCGCATCTTCTACTTCTGGCTATTGAATGCAATGTGTACTTGTAAACCTTCTATCATAGTAATGTAAATTTACCCATCGCGATATCATTGTTGATTTTACCCTTCGTTTCGAGAAGAGCAACGAGACCGAGGGTTGTACTTGGAGGTAGATGGATTCACATTTCTCATTCAAGTGTCTACAACCGTCGCACGCCTGCAGATTGGAGATGAGGCGGGCCCGGGTTCATGTATATTAGATGTGTTGCAGATGTATATTTCGTGAAGTAGATACAAGGGCGAATCGACTGAGAGTAAAAGAGTAACTAACTCTCCTTATCTTGTGGATGCCGACTACCTTTACTTGGCCGGTAACCTCCTTGAATATTCGTGGTCCCCGCTGCAGGACCCGGCTTTCCGTTCACATCTCTCGAGGCAGACGTCCGTGACATGGAGGTGGAAGCACCCGCTTCTGCGGAAGACGTTGACCCTAGCGAAGACCAAAATGAATCATATGTGAGGGATGTATTTGAAAAGCGCCGATTCTCCGCTGGGTTGCTCTGCGTGGACGATATCGTCGAAGCACTACTGCGGTAATATAACGACGAAGAGGCGGTTGATGAGGAAGATGATGATGGAAGTGGTGCGCTGCTTGCCAAAGGAGGGGACGGCCATGGTGCTGATGAGTGGGGGTTTGATGGTGCTTGCGATGAAATTAGCTCCGTGGGTTGAGATTTGAGGGATTGGCTCGTTTTCGAAGTACTTGGTTGCGAACTTCGTCCGGCAAATGGTGCAGAATCGACTCGTGTCGTTGATTGCTCTACGTAGATGTCACCGGCAGATTCGTTGAGATGTGTCATCGATCGTTCGAGTATTGGTGTGTCGTCCTCCCTCAGTGAATTCATCGAGAAACTCGAGCCCAACTTGAACGATAGCGAAGATTGAGTGGTCCCCCCGACCGCGCTGGTATTTTGGGAAGTAGTGGTAGCGACAAGCGGCGCGGCAGATGCTTGCGATTTATGACCGTGGAGATGAGAGTGGCGAAAGTAGAGATTCTCTACTTCGTTCAGGCTCTGTTTTTGCTGCAAACAGTCAGCCGGTTGGCGACCTTGTCGGGCCGAGCAGCTCACCCATCCGTGATCAACTTTAAGCTTCGCATACTGCAGCCGTAGTTGAAGCTGTCTGGACAGCTGGCAAGATAGGATACCTGCCTGGTCAATTGGGTCTTTGAACTTGGATCGTTAGAACGTACGTGGTTGGCCTTGGCTCTTTCCAAAGTAAATTTGCGCTTCTTCTCGGCCTCAATGACCTGCATCGCTGGAGACGGTGAGCTGACCATGGAAAGCAACGCAGTGGCAAGGTTTGTCGATAGTATGGCTAATGAGCCCGAGTCTGACGCCCAAGGCTCGAACACGACGAAATGACACACGTGATGTGAGTGTTGACACGTGAGACCCGGGTATCTCCGGTGTCGGGCTGGTCAGCGATGGTACCCATGAAGTCGGGAGCTTACTCCATCTTCTGAGCGGATAATATCGTGATTTGACAAAGACAGCAACAGATGTTCATCAGCTACCACCACCATCCACCGCCCGCAAATTTCGTCGAATAATGCCTTTTGCCCCCTTGAATTTACCGCTTTGGCTCAAGAATAATGAACATTTGTTACAACCGCCGGTAAATAATTTCTGTGTCCACCGGGGCGGAGATTTCGTGGTAATGGCGGTGGGAGGCCCTAATGAGCGCAGCGATTATCATATCAACGAAACAGAGGTCAGCAACGGAGGGCGATCGTTAAACCGATCCTTGCTAAATTGGAGGCAGGAATGGTTCTATCAATACAAGGGCGGCATGCTGTTAAGAGTCGTGGAAGATAATCAGTTTCGAGATGTAAGAATAGAGGAAGGCGAAATGTTTTTACTTCCAGGTAAGAAGTAAAGCCGTTCCTGCCCCGACAGACCTGACGCTACGCCAAACATAGCCAACACTCCACACAACCCTGTGCGCTTCGCTAATACGGTTGGCATCGTGGTCGAGCGAGTAAGACCCGAAGGCGCCATAGGTGGGTGTTTATGAAGTTCTCATGTCTCTCTACTTTTATTGATGGGCAATGCCACAGATCGCCTGCGCTGGTACTGTCACTCGTCGATACATCCTGAACCCACCATAATCTACGAGGAGACCTTCCATGTCACTGATCTCGGAAGTCAACTTAAGCCGGTCATTAAGAAGTGGATGGAGCGGCGTGACCTAAGGAAGTGTAGGGAATGTGGGCAATACGCCGATGAGCAATACTTTACGTCGGCTAGACTGTAATCTGGGTGTGTCTTGGTATTTCGCCGTCGTCTGGGTGTGAGACTGACAATACTAAGCTTATATAGATAACTTCGTTCATATCATTTTGTCTCTTCGGTTGCGAATTGACTCCCTCGCCTCCGTCAGCCTCGCAAAACTAATGTTGTGTTCTTCCGATCGTTACCATTATTGTGTCTCTGGGTTTCCATCGCCAGTCACTCACCTTCACTAACTAATCTATTGAAATTTGTTCTCCAATTATTCAGGGATCAACTCACGACGTGGTTCACACTTTAACCATATTCCGTCAATCATATGGTAGCGCTATCTAACTACTACTCGGCATCCGGTGGCTGAGTGAGAAATTGCAAAGCCACCAGCTCAGCTGGCGACAGTCGGGTGTCTCGAGGTGACATGTATCACCCGTCAACATCAGATGACCCAACAGCTTTGAACAGAGGCCCGAATACTGAGCTCGTAAATCATGGTGCGCTTCCACTGTCCATCTCTCCATGCTGCCATGCAGTGCAATGTCCCTTATGCTTCTCGAGTTTCGGCTAGTCCACGCCCATTGCCATCGCCCGCATTTGCCTCCATCGGTCCATTCCAACTGCCATGCATCGCCCTCAATACTTCGGCCAAAATTAGATCGTTCTAGCACCATCGTGCTCCTGGAGGGCTGGAAACGTTCGCCATCGATCACGGTGTGTCGCACGACGTATGCGCAGAGGATGATCGCATCTTGATAGGCACGAAATGCTGACAGGGTTCGCGTCACGTACTGCGCACAGGACCGCCCCTATCTCGATGCGTATAAAGGCTCACCTACGATGCTCGCAATCCCCAGTCCCCAGCCAGTAAAGCGCCTCTTCAGCAGCTCCTCCACAACACAAACTACACTCTCCTCGTCACCACTAACATCGATATGGGCAAAGATCGTGATAACGACCGTGAGGAGCGTCGCAGCCGCGAACGCGGCGAAGGACGCGACAACGATAACTCAAACAAACGCGGTGATGACGATAACAGCTACGGATCGAACAAGCGCGACAACGACAACGACAACGACAACAGTTATGGCTCGAACAAACGCGACGACGGCCACAGCTACGGTTCAAGCAAACGTGATGACAACGACAACGACAACAACTACGGCTCGAACAAGCAGAGCTCTTATGGTCAATCTGATGACAACGACAACTCGAACCGCAACGAGGGCTCGTATGGGGAAAACAAGGGTGGCAGCAATGCATATGGGTCATCCAATAAGGAAGACTCGTACGGCTCGTCCCGCAACGACAACGAGAACTCGTATGGATCATCCAACAACGAGTCAAAGAGCGAGTCGTATGGATCCTCCAACAAGGCCTCGTACGGATCATCTGGAAATGACAACGACAATTCATATGGCTCTTCCAACAATGAGTCGAAGAGTGACTCGTACGGGTCATCGAATAAGACCTCCGGGTACGATAATGAGAATTCGTACGGTTCATCCAATGAGTCCAAGGGCAACACGTACGGATCGTCGACCAACGACTCGTCCTCTGGGAACAACCAGAGCTCTTATGGATCGTCCAACAATCAATCAACGGACTCGTCCAATAACTCCGGGTCTTCGGGCAACCAAGGAGATTGGATCGATAAGGGTGTTCAGTACGCCGCCAAGCAGGCTGGTTACGATATTGTACGTTCTATTCAGTATTGCTCCTGCTATCTCATCCTCATCCTCACCGCCTATGTAGGACGCGTCGACCGCTGCGAAGATCGGCGATGGTTTGCAAGAGGGCCTCAAAAAGTTCGGGGGAGACAAATTCGGTAAGTAGTAGTGACCACATTCATCGACGCCGTCCGCTGAAGATAGCTCTATTAGGAGGCTTCTAAGTTATCTTGTCGTTATTAAATAGCGTTGTTGTATCATCGAACTTTCTTTGTACTGGGACGGATTGTAAATTGTCTTCCGAGTTTTTTTCGACACGCATGTTGGCAAAGAAGAATGTACTGACTCAATTTACTACGGTCAGCAAGCCTTCTTGGCCAAGCGGTAAGGCGTTGCACTTGTAATGCAAAGATCACTCGTTCGAATCGGGTAGGAGGCACCGTGTCTTTTTTGCTTTTTTGGCTAGTTCGCCGACTTTCGGCGCTCTTTGTTTTTCTCTCAGTATCGACTATAATAGTAAATGGTGGCTTACCGGAGTACGATTTTTATGGTAGTTCGAGTGCGTTCCTTTCTCTCGTATATCTTGGCACTTCACAAGATTGGGCCGCCTCCAAGTCGCAAAGATTTTCAGCATTCCATTAAGCGCCAGCACATGGATTTAACTCCCCGTTGTCATGGAATGAGCGAACTCCCATCTGCCGCTACGGAGCGAAGCCGTGTTCGAGCTCTAGGACATGTCTCTCTTTCCCCAGATGCAGCAGATCCTCTGACTGTTCATCTATCGCATGGATTGGCCTACACGGTGGGATCCGCGCTCGGCAGTATCCCTCCAACAACTGATGCCTGCCTGGAAGCCTTCGTGGTTCCGAACAAAGTCGGACTGACCGCCGGTGCTCGGGCATGGTCGAAACACGCTCATCGATCGGCTTCGGAAACCGCTCCCCAATCTGGCGAGGAGGATCAAAAGAAGCGAGCCAAGGTTGCTGTTCCAGAGGGATGGTGGGGTAGGCCTTCTGGCCCCGTCAAGACTATCAACGAACGCGCTCTCAGCTTGTTTCATAGAGTTATGGACAATGCTTCTTGGAGGAATCTGCATTGGCTCCCACATCAGGTCCTAGTTTACGAGGTCCGCATGCCTGAGGGATATGGAATGCGGTGGTCTCAAGATCGCGGGGATCGTCAATCACATAACGGCCAGCATGGCATAGAGGGATCGGGTGAGGTTGTGACAGAGAGCCCCTGGGTATTTCGTGGATTTGTTGAGCCGATGATGGAGGGTGGGCATGAGAAGGGATGGCGACATTGTCCATGATCCTGGTTCTCTACTTAACACGAGATACAGTAGGTCTTGTATTGACTATCTGCTGAACCGATCTCCTTCCTCTGCAAAATCATCCAGTCCAATTTCTCATAGCCTCTCCCCGACATCCGCCCAATGGTGAAGTGAATATTTACCCCTGGCCCTAATATCGGTGCGAAGCCTTCCCTTAGCTTCCTCATGTCACTCGCGCGGGAGGCATCCAACACGTAACCTGTACGTTGCAACAATATACGAACGGTGATATTGATATGCTTCAGCATCCCGGAATCACGGAGTCGAGCTAAACAGGTCGACAGATCTTTGGCGAAACTGTACGCCTCTCAGCGCTCACAATCCACATACAAACATTGGAACAAGCGGCATCGACGGATTTCTCCCGTTCCAGCAACTGGGTCAAGCTTGCCCTTTCCCAAGCTTCTTGACCGAATCACACTTCACATTTGCAGCAACTTCTGCCGCCCAATATTAAGTACCCCAGCCGACCGACTTCGATTGAAGAACAGTTGCGTGTGAACGTTGAACTTGAACGTTAACAGTGAGCACTTGAGCTTGAGTACTTGAGTGCTTGAGCGCTATCAATTACTATCAATGAGAGACGGGTGTATTTCGCTGCCTGGAGATGTGTTCTCTACTCGTCAAAGTTACGTCGAACCACAAGTTTAATGCTCGGAATCGTGATACAGAGTTGAGAGCTCAATGGATCGACTCTGCTACACGCGACAATCCACGAAGACGGACTCGGACCACCTTGACCCTCGAACAGATAGTCGAACATCCACGCCTGGTCCTAATAGAGATGCAAACCCATCCTTCAGCTTTGCTTCTTCCCGCGCTTGGTGAGAAGAATAGTCTTCCGATGGAACAGCATGAGTGAATATCATGATAGAAATACTGATACGCTTCAATCCACTGTGGTTACGAAGTCGAGTCAGGGAGGCAGAGAAAGCTTTGTATTCGGCGAGCCGGGGATATTCCGTTACTGCGCGGTCGTGCGAGAGTTCAACGGTGAGTTGTTCAAGGAGGTCGGGGTATGGGAGATTATCGATACCGTTTATCCATTCCTGAATGTTGGATAGCGTTGTGGGTGGAGTAGCAGGGGTTCTGATCCCGAGTGTCGAGAGGCGGATCATCTTTTCAAATTTGGGGAACTCTGCCCGAGGGTTAACTAAACATGTCCAGGCCCGTAAGTCCACAAGAAGAGTTCTGACAAGATGATAGGCGTACTAATCAGGCTCAAGTCTTTCACCCCCAACGGAACAAACAGTCGTCCTTTCTCTATTTCCGCCGTCATGGATTCGAGGTTGGGGCATTCAATGAAGGCATCCGATAGACGCGGGTGGTGGACGCAAACCAACCGCAATTTAGAAAGAGCCACCATATTTACAGGCGATAATACATGGGCCTGTGCATTCGCATGGGGATCCCCGTGACAGTCGACATATACGAGGCTTAAATCCTTAAGAGAGGTAGAACAGAGAGAAAGCATGTTCTGGATGCTTTCAACGTCTGTTCCAAAGTCCCACCACTGTAGCCGGAGCTTCTGAAGGCCAGGGGCAGCGAGAAGGGTTGTAATACCTACTGCGAGGGGCACCGGTAGGCTTGACCACTTCCCAGTGACATGGTAGAAAGACAGGGAATGTAGATTACTGAACCGGCGGAAGGCGGAAGGCGTCCACTGTGGGGGGGTCAAGCCCGTGTTGTTGCTGTTGTCTCCCCAGATGATGAGCTCACGCACGTACCCACCGAGGTGGGGAGCTGTGAAGTGGAGGAAAGAGAGGCGAGACTCGAAACTCGTGTAACGGATGGCGAAGGAGCCGAAGATGTGCGCGCGGGCGATATTTGACCATGCCTTGCATACGAGAGAACACGCTGCGAGTGTGAGGACTCTATAGTCTGGGGTGTAGCGGTCTACGTATTCATCATCGTCGCCATCGACGAAGGCGATGATGTCGCAGACCAGGTCGATAGGAAGTCCAGTGGGAGAGTTGAGGTCAGCCACTTCATCGCTCATACTGCGCCTAATGTGGTTGTTCCTTCCTCCTGGTAAGTATGGCTCGTAGCTGGAACCTGGGATCCTCACCGTTGTAGACCAAGAAGGTGTATTCAGTCGGAGCCTTAAGTGGTTCCTGACAATGCTATGCAGGGTCAGTCTACCAAGGCTTTGCCCGGGTTGTTGTCGCGATGTACTGATGATGAGGGACACATTAGCCCGTCGATACAGCGCTCCACCCATTCCCCAAAGTCGGAGAGTGCCATCTAAAGGGCCATCCATTTGGTGCTGAGCGCCGAGATGCGTGCCCTCTTCTGGAATGTCGGGATACCCGTCCAAGAGAAAGCAGCGCTCGTCAATTAGTTGATGTAGCGGGCACCAAGCAGTCATAAATGCTCCACACCGGAAGGAACCTACGAACCTACAATGGGCAACAACCCTCCCTTAGGTCGCTATCCTCGTTTCCATTGCTGTAAGGCTGGGGCACTGGAGCAGGGACGCCGCGAGGGCCGGATGATCAACATAATCCAATCGTAACGTGGTCAATTTCGCTAGTTTTACGGGCGACGATCCATGCGCCTCATCGTTTGTGATTGAACGAGCTTCACAGTCAATGACCGCCAGTACTGAATCTTCAAGCGAGGTTGAACAGAGAGAATTTATGTGAAGGAGGGATCGGGTGTCGTTGCCGAAGTGCCACCCCTAGGCCTCTATCCGAAGTTTTCGAAGACGAGGGGCATATAGCACGGTTGATATACCCAATGCAAGCGGAGGCGGTAGCGCCGACCACTCCCCGGTGATGTCTGCGAGTTCCAACGAACGTAAATTCTTCAATCGACCGAAGCATTCTGGAGTCCAATCCGGGGAAAGGTGGGGAGCAATGGCGCGTTCGACCCGACGAATAGTGAGTTCATGAGTTCAGCTACATACACACTCAGGTGGGGAGCTGTGGGGTACAGAAATGAAAGGCAGGACGCGGGATCGGAGGAATCGAAATCGATGGTAATGGCCTGGAAGATGCGCGAACGGAGGATATCCGTCCATGATTGACATACAATGGAGCAAGCTGCAAGAGTGGGGGCATATCGTCTCCATCGATATCGGCGACGATGTGGCGGATCGGCTGAATAGCGAGTCTGTTGCCAGGGGAGTCGCGTGCGTGCTGTCGTTCCTGCATTGCGCATGCTGCGTCCTAGTTGTCTCCGGTACCCGAAGTAAGCCTGGCTTGCAGCTGGAATCGGGGGAGGCTCACTAGGTCACTGTATTTGGAACGTACAGTCAAGTTGAACCGTCCGTAATACTTCGTTCACACGATGCAAAATAACGCCAGCGCGCTCAATCCGATTATCCATGTCACTATCTGAGGTCAACTTACGGTACATCACTGCCATTCGGCCGTACCTCCTTCCCACTCCATCAATGTTTCAAGTCCCTCGTCACTGGTCTGCCGCCGAACGGCGAAAGTGGCGTGTAGGACATTGGCCTCGAACAGCGGGTCGAGCCCCCGCTTCAACTTGGGGACCTCTCTCGCCTTAACTTCCGCCCAATCGGTTGGGAGGGCATGATAGAGGAAGATCGTGATTTCCAAGTTGATATGTACCAGCGCGCTGTGTTCACGGAGCCGCTGTATGATTTCCAGAAGATTGTCATAATCCGTATCTTTGGGGTATGATACGCCTGGCCTTGTGATCGATCGCTGGAAGATGATTTTAAAGCGCCGGAGATGCTGAGGAAACGGAAGGCGATCGATACAGCCCTGAATCCATTGGATAGAAATTGCGTATGGAAGGGATCCGGATAAGCTGAGCGTCAAGTGAGATGGACGAATGTTCTTTCCAAGGTCAGGGATGGGGCGGCGAGCCGTGGCTTAGTTCGCCAAAGGCTTCAGCAAGGTACGACCGCTTAATTACCGAAAAACAGTGCGTACCGTGAATTGTGAGATCGGTCAATCCGCTTGGTACCCATGACGGTAGAACCCAAACGTCCCCAGGATCAACTCGAATGATCAAAGATTCGAGGTTAGGGCATTCAATAACCGGATGGTATCTCGGAGGAGAGTCTAGCTTGCGTAGGACGCCCATGTGGGGAGGGGATGATACTATGTATTTGTCATCTTCTGGCGAGTAAATGAAGGTGACGTTGTTGAACGTTAACTGTTCAAGGGTATTCGAACATAGCGCGAGCGTGAAGTAGAGACTAGGGAGATTTTCGAAGGCACATCCGCGAAGGATGAGTTCCTTGAGGCAAGGGGCAGCGAGAAGGAAGTTCGTGATCGACAGAAAAGGTGATGGGCCGCTGACTGAGCATAAACCATTCTCTAGACGTAGGGTGCGTAAATTCTTAAATACAGCACCGGAGACCCAACTCCAGTCAGGGATAAAGCAGTTTCGACCACCCCACGAGATAGAGAAGTGGCGGACATATTCGCTAAGGCGGGGAGCAGTGTGACAGAAAAAGGTCAGCCGGGGAGCGAGGTTGTCACTGTCGATGACTATGCTGTCGAAGATGTGGCGGCAACACATATTGTGCCAAGTGCGGCAGACCAGGGAGCATGCTGCCAGCGTCTCGTGCGGATTATTGCCGTCGTTGATGAAGGCAATGATAAGGTGAATCAATTCAACGGGGAGCTTCGCAGTTTGAAGTACATCCTTTGCACCGTCGCCGCCATTGGTTTGAATGAGGATTTCCGACATGCAAAACTGGATCCATAGATTCAGCGATTCTCCAGAATAAGGACTGTAAATATTGCACGTACATTTTCACCTTGCCAGTGATGGGAAGTCGAAACTTGGGAAGAGCCATACAGGCGCCCGTTAAGCCTTCTCTTTACCGCCATTTGACAATTCGGACGTGCGATAATGCCAACTTTCGTCGAGTCTCTTTTGGAGCTGCACTTCCTTCATGCTGGTCGCTCCGACAAAGGCCTCAGCCTCGAACGGTCGACCATCCGGAATGGGTTTGAAAGGAAACCAATCCCAGGAACTTACGAAGCGCAGTTCTACTCACACCGTCGCGCCGTAGCGTGAATGCTAGCAAATCGACCAGAAGCTACATGCAAATCTTAGTCCCACTTAACACCAAGGGATGCGGCCATGATTTCGTGAGACATGGGCGCAGAATCGGAAGCGAGACGTTGGCCAACTTCGTGCGTTGCATTTGCGAGTGGTTTCGTGCACGCTAAACCTCTCCAGCTCCGAGATACACGAGTCCTTTGTTTCGTACGCACCGTGAAGCGAAATAGAGACTGATCGTTGTGTGTTGGCGTTCACCCAAAGGTCAATATTGTACGTGTTCTCCTACTCCGCGAAATTGGACGCGTGAATCGTCCTGGAAGCCCTTTCCAAGATGCGAAGCAACGGAAGACACAAAGTAACAAACGTTTCTTTGGTCGCACTCCTTGGTCGCCGTCGTTTTGGCGACGGGGATGAGAAGCGGATCTGAAGGCGTCGTGTTCTCGGTCAACGCAGGTCAGCGTGTTTGCCCCTGCTCGCGACACGTACTGATCTGCGACGATAAAAGCTCACGGATCCACGCCAATCTTAACACGAGGGGTTCTGTCTGCAACCGGTCCTGCCCAAGACTCAACCCACGGGTTCGACTTTCATGGCAGCACGGGTTAGACTGGAGGCAGTACCAGGGAGGGAGAGCAGTTTAGTGCTCCTCGTCTACTACGCAAAATCGAGTGCAATAAGTGTAAGTTTCTTCGTAGTTTTGCGATCACGAGATCTAACAGTGCATATATCCATGTAGAGGAGACCCTCTAACCGAATTTGTGGTTAACCCATTCAATGTACCAGTATCTTACCCCGAAGTAGACATTTTGCCCGTCAGTCCGTCTCTTTGTACACTCACACTAAGTCCTGCGAGGACCTCGATCTGATGCACCCACTGATGTGGTTGAGCTTGATAGACTACAGAAGTAACGACCTGGTACGTCTTCAGCTCTAGATGTTTTCCGTCGTCCTGACCTACCTAGCGCTAGGGATGTTCCCTTTACCCCTCACTATCAGTGCTTGCCCTCGGATTCCATTCTTATAGCATCGAACCATCCCTTTTAGTCTATGTGATGACAACGTACATTTCAAACTCTCCCTGATGCACCTCAATCCTTGAACACCACCACGAACAGATGTCCTTCCGCCGATTACGAAGCTAGAGTGAAAGTGCCCACTGGCACCGTGACCCCCGTACTTCTTACGTTCCAAACTGGTAAACTGACTCCAGCGGGCGTCATCGAGCTTCGATGTTGCGTCACACACCATAGTGCTTCATGTGGGCTGCGATCAATTTGACTTCCAGTGTTGATCACAGCTCTGACATTTGGTCATCAGTGCTCAGCAGGCACCGTGCGGCGGGAACGCAGGCCGTATCGTAATTCAATTGAACGCTTTATCGAAGTGCGTCGATTTCGTGACTTATTTGATTTTGATTCGGATACATTGATTGTTAACTAGCTAATTCTACTTCGTCGGATCGCTCGCATTCACGGGGAAGGCCATTGTAACGAGCTGGAGCCCAGCGCTCACAAGACGTGCATCCAATGTTAGATCTAGTACCTACATCAAAGAAGGGATGATGTTGCTGTGTCGAAGTGTCCGTGAGTTTTCATATTCATCAATCGACTCCTTGATACAATGATCCTCATCTACACTTCTTTCCTTCGCCTTCAACGGAAGGTTACCCATGCTATCTTTATATCTGAGCTTTGTCACACAGTGTCAGCAATGACATGATGTGTCCGCGACTCCGCATCGCTTCCCTAACATCAAGGTGGTGGCGCATGCGGCGACTCTGTTTCCCGACGACAAAGATGATGCCGTACTTCTAAACAATGGTGATACCCTACACAACCGCAGACCTTTCGCTAAAACACTTTGTCTCATGCTGCTAATTTGGTTTTCTGTGGCTGGGTTTGACTGTTCCTGATAGACTCGCGCATTGTCGGTATGGTCGGCTATCCCTGTATTCATGGCGCTCCTCGTCCCTCGATGGAGAAATTTGCATCAACAAGCAATACAAACTACCCATCAACTTCATGTTATTCCTGGAACAATACGAGCGCCCAACGCTTTGCTTCGGCCTCTCAGCATCAACTTCTGCGATTGATCGGTGTGGAGCAGCTGTGAGCATAACTGTATCCCCAGTCTCAGGTGCCATTTCAAGGTCTTATCTATATCTACGATGTCAACCCATTCCGTCGTCTACTCAAACGCCCCAGACATATCCGAGGAACACCAACGATGGACGAAACTTCGGGATTGATCATTGACCTCGCAAAGGACCAACGTTTGGAAGCGGTGCGTTATTCGATTACTATAACCACTGCTATCATCATTCATCAGTATATTCAGTACCTTGTCCGTGAGTATCACCCCTGCATCTCATCAAAGTTGCGGCTAATTCACTTCTGGAATCTTGTAGTATCCAGTGCGGTTATATTGGTATGCAAGCGATTCCTCGACGATGTCTTCACCGTAGTGTGTACTCACTTTTCTAGGTCTATGACTATATCATCACCTTCGATCTGGAAGTCTCTTTGATTTGGTTCTGTCACTCCGGCTGGAGTTGGACCTCAGCGCTCTTCATGCTAAACCGCTACCTCCCATTCGTTGACACAGTCAATGGCCTTTGGCGTAAGTCCTCTTACCCTCATCCTGCTTACCACCACACGAACCCCTTGCATATATAGACGATTTCGTGCCCGATATCACTCATGACGCCTGTAGGCTCTCTTTCCAAGCGACAGGCTGTATGTTACATCAATTTCCACCACCTATCCTCCAATCATTGACCTGAAGCGCATTAGGGTTATACGTCGTCGGCATTTCCATCACAGAAAGTAAGTGTACTCTTACACGACAACCTCAATACTTTGACACGGCGTGGAACTCATGATATGCCAAGTTATCCTGACGATTCGTACCTGGGCAATATGGTACAGGGATCCCAAACTTGCGGTGGTTCTACTAGTCTTTATCGCCGTTGTTTGGGGTCCAACCTTTGCTGTCATGATTGCCTTCACAAAGTCCTTCGAATGTAAGCAGAACTTCGATATCAGTGACTTGTGCGTCGTGAGGGCTGAACGTGATGCGACAGTTGGCCCCGCCCCTTTCCCTGGTTTCGTCGGCTGCAATCTTGTGGCTGCCAATCAAATATTACTCGTTTCCTGGGTGCTGCTTATAGTTTACGAAGCCGGTGCGTGGTTAGCATGTCGTGGTTGAAGTGTACTTATGGAAGACCAAGGTATTCTGATATTAATGACGTATCGCGGATATGTTGGCTGGCGCAGTGGTGGTGGCAATACGGCTTTATTTACTGCCATTTATCGAGACGGTAAGCCAATTCGAGCTGGCGTTGGCTGTTTGTTGGTCGTCCCGTTCATATCCTTGACATCTAGGCCTCCTCTATTATTTGTATCTATTCGGTGGGTACACAATTATATAGTGTTCTGGGACTAAAACAAATCGTTCAAAGTCCTCTCCCTCGTTAACATTATTGTCATAAAGGTGTTTCCGGTGCGTCACTGCTCCTCTGTGCTCGATCGTTGCATTCCTCGTTGATGAATATACCTTCTCCACACAGAAATACATCATCCTTCTCGCGGCGTAAGTCTCTTCTTCATGTTTATTCTGGGTTACCCATGACACATTATAAAGGCTCGAGCGCGTGGTCCACTCCGTCTTGGCCAGTCGTGTGATCCTCCATATCCGCGACCTAGCCACTCGCAATCCATCAAGTTCGGGGGAACTGTCGAACATCGAAGTTAGCAGCACCGAGGTAAGGCTGCATCCGATTCGATTTCGTCGGTTTTCTCATACCATGAGTGAATCCACCCGCGAATCGTACAATCCAAATGTCGAGTAAATAATATTGTATTAATATCTGATGATCCATAGACACTGCGGCGGTGACGACTCGGTGTTCAGTTGTTGCAACCCTAGCGAACGGTCTCAAAGTTCTCGAATACTCTACCAACAGCCTGCGAATTTCCCTCTATGGCAGGGGCTTACGGTTGGTGACTCAGCTCGCAAAGGGAGAGAACGACGCCGAAGCAGTTCCCTCATTGTGGACTTGCGGCGACTCAACTCGTCCGTATCGTTTCCTTTCATACCAAGAACTTTGTCAACGTACGCCAGTGTCTATACTTGCTTCACACGAGATACTGTGGGTCATTTTAATCTAATCTATCGACTTTGTCACCCCCATCTCGAACCACCCAATCCAAAGTCTCAAGATCTCACACCGCGTCCGTCCCTCGGGGCGTTCGGAGAATGATGTAGTCAACGCTTCTCATAGCTCACAGGTGTTCGTGTTCATTCTTCAGATCGTCTTCTTCGTGAGCCTTCGCTCTTGTCGGTAGCCAACGAAAGCCCGCGACAGATGGAGGGCTGGACGCGGGGACTCCGGCTCTACGTGGAATCATGTTGGGCTAACGAACGAACGCCGTCAGGTGATCGCCCCGCCAGCGGTGGCAACGAGAAAACTGATACGAGAGCTACGAAAAGAAGGTCAGTACTTGCCGCTGGTAGCTGTCGTAAAGTTATTCCACGGACGGAACAGACACCCAGAACCTCTGCGTTCCCAGGTGAGTGCTCTCATCATTTTCACCAAAGGAATCTGTCCTCATCCGCAGTGCTTGCTGTTCATCGCCGGCAAAGACGCGTTTGAGACGGCAGCGTCAGCCACCGTCTGTCGAGCAAAACGATGGGTCCCAATCATCCTTGAGGTAGGTAACGTGCATGGACGGGAGCAGGCGTTTTCTGTCGGTATGAAGTGTATGCGGGCAAGCTGTTTCGTGGTGCGGCTGATAGTAGGTGTTTGGGACGAGTGTGATGAGGAGGCGGCTAGAGGGCCTTATTTCATCCAGCGTCTTCTCCTCCAGCTTTTTGGCGAATGCGATTCATCTGATTCAGGTGGCAGGTTGCCAGTTGGCACGCGCGTACAATAGCCATTGATGTCTTCTGGTTTCCGCGAATTCGAAAGGAGAGGCGACGAAGATGGTATATCCTCGTGGACTGAGACGCACTGGGTTGCGGTCAACATGCTGCAAGCGGTTGGAGAGATTCAATATTCAAATATTCAAGGCTCACCTGGTCACGAGGACTGATGTTGCTTGACGGTGGCGCACTGAGGTTGAACCAACGCGGCCATCCAGCCCAGCTGTTCTCAAGATTATTACCTGTCGAAATCGTGGAGTGATCCTCAGTGTTTTGCCTAAGTCTGTGTGAGTCATAAAATAATGACTTAGCCGGACCTAGGCCGGAATATTTACCGTAAAATGACTTGAAAATGATTTTGTGGGTCCCTTTCGGGTATCGAAGAAAACAGGTCAAGCCAAGTCTGTTAGTGTCGAAGTCAGTCATGGAAAGTCAGGCCACCATGTTCAACGCAACAGTCGCTCACGGTCAGTGATGGTCAGGTTAAGTCAAGTACAAAACCGTTCTCAGGCAATAAAATAAATTCATACTAATAGTAAACATGATGCAATATATATATAATAATACGGTACGGTCTATTCGCTTCTTCCATCGCCAATGGAGGAGGACTCTAGAGTAATGTTAAACTGGTTGGCTGGAGGCATCACATTGACGTTGAAATATAAGGTACTCACAAACCCCCTCCGTGTCCGTGGCATGATGATTGCGTGTATTGAGTGGTCTGGAAGCTTGAACTTGAGTATGAGAGTCGGAATAGTTAGCGAAGCGCGTAGGGGAATGGGAATCCTGCCAGTAGTCTGTTTGCCAGGCGCGTGGATCCAGAGAGTCGGAGCAGTTGTTATCCACACGGCGCGTTACGGCGAGAAGAGATGTCAAGAGGTTCAATTCGGGGCCGCATTGAATGCCACAAGTGTTGTGAATGGTTGTCGAAGAAATAAGTGGACATTGGGGATGTTGGTGAGGAGTTGAAACGTCGAAACGTTGAAGTCCAACAATTGAACTGGCCATCGAAATCAAAAAAGATTATGTAATTGAAGACAGGGGGGCACCAGCGCCTGTCACCAGTATTCATGCTCTTCCAAGTCTCTCGTCTCGTATCTAAATACCCCTGCATTATCCGACATTCAGCACCCTCAAGATACCCCCTTTGTCACTTCCTGAGCAACTGCTCTTAGGCTAGAGCCTTAATGTTCTCTCGATTAATACATCTTCGCCCCTGGGATTAGTTCCCCTTACATAAGCAATGTCTGAATCCTATTACTTTACGCTCCCATTCCCAGTCAAACTAAGTCACTGTAAGTTTGCTTTTCACTGACTTAGATTTCGTCGTGACCTTCCGCACAAGATCAAAAGAGGAAGGTGCCGGAATTTTTACATCAAAAGTACGGAAACTGACGAATTCCATCAAAAAATGGACTTACGTGGACTTTATACTGACTTAGGCAAAATACTGAGAGTGATCTCGAAAGAATGGGCGAGCGCCTAAAAACAGATGGCGGGCTGACATGGCGACTCGCACTCAAGGCTTGCTTCGACTTTGTTCTGACCTTCCAATTCCAATTCATCGAGACTGTCGCGACGCGATTCAGCATCTTCGGATAGCGCTCGTTATTCTCCAAGGTCATACCCTCTCTCCAACGATCGCTGGATGCCCTCGAAAATCAACATTTACTACGACGGCCACGGCCAGCGGTATTTCCAGCGCTCTCATCGACAATTTCATTTTCCGGCCCATTCAAGCACGCTGCAGCGACTACGCGGACTCGCTATTCATGGCGAAACTGTGACAGCGTCTGTGTGCATCATCTCGATAGCAGCTCACAGAGTAGGTGAAGGACGCTGTACTCAATGGGAAGCGAAAGAGGAGAGCACCGAATACAACACAGACAGGGTACGTGCATAAACCTATAGTGTATTTATTACCGTCCTCTCAGAAGTCTGCTCCATGGCGGGGCTAGATCAGAGCTGCGGTCGTTGAAGATTATGTGCAGGAACCTCGGGGCGCGAGACGGAAAGCGAACCCGCTGCTCGACTCAAAATCGTGCCGTGATCCAAACTGATGTTGATGCCCCTCCCCCACCTCGCAAGTCGAAACACTCCACGGCACCGTGTTAGGTGGATCCTGGTCGCTCCGAACTCACTCTACCGATATGCGGACAGGGAGCAAACTGAGGAAGTTGAACGCGACGAGTCTGCAGGGTGCGATCGAGACGCCTTCGTCCTCGTCCTCGTCCTCGTCAAAGCTGCGCATGCTCAGCCTCGTTTTGTTTTCAGCCTCTCAGTCCATCTTCTCCACTTTGTCCCACGGCCTCTCCAGACTGAGTATGCCGTTCGCTGGCTTCGATATCACACCCACGATGGCACGATGTCATGATCATCAAGATGCAGTTCAGTCCCAGGATATTGGATCGTCGCCAAGCTTAGGCTGGGTTTTGGATCAATGACATACTCTATCACGTCGAGCCCAGCAACTAGTGACAGACACTGAAGTGGCCAAGGAGTTCTTTCCATGCCGTCCGTTCTGTGCTCGACGGAGACGATTCCTGGAGCATCCAACGCGATTTGGTCACATTAGAGGATCGTCCAACGCGCATACGACTATCTCCTAGATACCTCATCGCTATTCGCAATAGAGCAACCGTCATCCCTACGCATTCTCAACTGGTCGGGCCTGAATATTGAATTCTCTTCCGCCTTTATTCTCCTCCTCCCCTCTTTGCTTCACTAATTCTCGGCCTTATTTTCCACCCATCGCTATTGTGCGCTCTCTGACATTCAATCCGCCTATTTTAATATTCCGTTCGTTTCGATGGTTATCATGTATGCCGGTCAAATCGTCCCTTCTGTCTGCTTCCCTCGACAACATCTATTCAGAGCTCTGCTAGAACTTTGGCTGAGACTGTTCGTATCGTGCCTATCCATGTCTGCCAACTCCGAGATGCCTGCTGTCCAGGCTGCCACGGTACATTCCTCCACGAAGCCCTCTGAATCCCTACCTTATCATTATTCACCGTGCCGCCGAGCCAACTTCTTAACTGAACCAAGTCGTCCACTTGTTCGCCTTCCCCCGGATGACCGACGCAATCTCCCTCGCAACGATACGATCGGCCTGCTCGCTGGGATGCAGCTCGTCCGCCCTGTAGCCGTATGAAGTTGGACGAACCGCAGCGTCGAGATAAGCAGGATTACTTACCACAGGAAGCTATCCCGATCAGTCCCCAGCGTAGCGGTGCAAACCGGGGTGCCTGGAGTGCCGTCCAAGGGGAACACACACGTATTCGAGGCTCCCTTGACGTTCAAAGGTGCGGTTCCGTTTAAATATAGCGATGGATGATCGAACATGTCTTGAAATAGACTATGGGAGTCGAAGAGCGCTTGGGTCGACGTTAGCAATGTGACGGATTCCCCTTGCAGTTTAGACGCACCGATATGAGCACCTCGTAACTTGCTTGCCAGGTCTTTCAGCATCAGCTTCGAGAGGGCGTTTCCAGACAGCGTCAACTCTGTCATGAAGACGCTCCATTCCGTGGTGTTGCGTGGCGCTGTCCAGAAACGGTTTGGCCACGAATATGCAGCGTACAAGGGGACGAGCTGCAAAGGGATCATCTGGTACGGGTTGGTCAGAATTGTGCCTGGCATATCCAAAGCCACTCGAGCTTACGTTTTGAAAGATGAAGTTCCTCGCACCACTGTCGTACAACGTCTTCACCCAGTTGACAGCGCAGGCCGTTGTGTCGACAATAGACGCTTTGTTCCCTCCGCTGATCAGGGAGTTGGCTCCGACATCGTTGGTACCGATCCACAGCGTGTACACCGTCTTCGATGGGTCCAGTCGCGTCGTCCCGTTCGCCTTCTCCTCGAAGTACTGCGGCAGTTGGCTCTCGAACACCGAGAGGGTCGGGTGGAGGGTGATATTGTTCGAGCACGTCGCGCCCGAGCGGGCGAACGGAAACAGCTTCACCCCGGCGGATCCAGCGACGTACGCTGGCCACGCTACGCTTTTGTACCCGGTGTTGACGACATCGGTGTAGGAGTCCCCGAAGGTGACCAGGTTGCATATCCGGCCCGGCTTAACGCCAATGCCTTGCACGACGGCAGGTACTGTGGACAGTGCGGCGAAAATACCAAGGAATCGCATACTGAACGTATCGGTGAATCCTCAGTCGGGATGGGTTGGGTGTCGTGCAGGACGGACACCCTTTTATGCTACTCGATGGAAGATAGCCAGGTGGCATAAGAAGCTCGAAGCCAGACTCCGGTAAGTTGATCCATCGATTTCGTGAGGGATTTTCCTGAACTGATTCTATGATGAAGGGATGTATGACCAGGTCGAATTAGCTTGGGAGTTGATCGTTTCATTGTGTAGGGCGGCTGCCATTTTATACGGCTCGATGGAAGGCCATTAGAAGGCATACGGAGCTTAAGACCCGCGAGTTTATTCACTACATTTGGGAGGGACTTTGCCGTAAATAATCATTCACAACTCAGAGGCATTTCGTTATGAAGGAATGCATGCAGACCAGATCAAATTAACTTGTCACTCACCAGAGGGCGGGCGCACGTACGCCCTTCTCTTCACTCACCTTGCCCTACTTACATCTCTTGCTCCTCAGATCGCATCTATCACTGCGCTTCTTTGGAGTCGAAGGTTGCGCTCTACCAAAGGGAGACAATATCCAGCCACAAGCTGCCCAGCACGGCAATAGAAGGTCCCGGCCAACTTCCTTCTCGTAGTTCATCTGCCCTCGACGCACTCCCCGCCGCAGAACCAGTGGTCCGCGCGCTGCGTTTGGTGCACTTTACCCATCCCCAGCCTGGCCATCTTCTGGAAGCGTGTCATCGTGACAATATCAGGGTTTTTCACTCCGTCTTAGCTCCCAGTCGCCGCCAGACCAGACTACCATGCCCGCCCCGAGTCTCGACGGCGTTGCCTCCAGCGTTGAAGACCTCGAGGAGCAAGAGGGGGCCCGCTACTCATACTTTTAGGCGCTCGCCCATTCTTCCCTTGAAATCACTCCACGATTTCGTCAACAGTCAGATATCTTGAGAACAGCAGGATGGCCGCGCTGGCTCAACCTCACCACCATTGATCAAAGTCGGCTTTCGCAACACCAGTCCTCGCGACCAGGTGAGTCTTGAATCTCTGCAACCACTTGCAGCATGCAACAGGCGAGATCAGACGGGGAGGGAAACGAGGGGAGAGCTAAGGTCGACACCGTTGCCGTATTGTCGTCTCTCCCTCCCTCCCTTCAACCAGCAATTGACTCCATCTGCACCTTGACGGTCAAGCTCAAGCGCTATGCCCAACGCCGCCTCGTCCAACCTCTCCACCTACGTCGAATCCACGCATGCGACCCTCACCTCCCTCACCCAAATGCCACCCTTGCTATCCTCTCTTCGAATTCGAGGGCGCCAGAAGATAAAAGGAGACGATTGGGCACTTTGGATGAAGGGAGAGTTGTGGCAAGTCGACGCATGTGGCGAAGTTGAATGGAGGATACCGATGACGAACGAGGTTTCTTGCACAATGCCGCGAAGTACGATTTGCCGCGCTCAAGCCCGTGCGAATTGGACGTATGGGAAGAGTCGATAAGGCCCTAGCTCTAGCCTCCCTCTCCTCACACTCTTCACACCGACACGCCTGCGCCCGGCCATGCACGTTACCTACCCCAACTATGATCGAGACTCATCCACAGACTGGCTGACGCTGGCGTCTCAAACGCGTCTTTGGCGGCGATGAACAGTAAACACTTTGCGGATGAGGACAGATTCCTTTGGTGGAAATGATGAGAGCATTCACCTGGGAAGCAGAGGTTCTGGGTGTCTGTTCCGTCCGTTGATTAATTTTATGCCAGCTACCAGCGGTCCAAGCGAGCCGGATACGACGATCACCCTCAATCCTCACTCCCTACCAACATTTATGCCATGCCCGATCGCTCAATCTCTCGGTTGCGTTGCTCGCGACGATAACAGGGCTGGCCGTCGACATCAGCCCAGGATCTCCCTACTTTTGCCCGTTTTCTCCAGCATCAACGCCCTGCATGTGACAGTTGATGCTCGTAAACCTCTGCTGTTTGGCCAATCCAAGGCGATTTTCGCATGTCGGGCATCACGTCACCTCCTGTGCACTCGATGGGTGGCAAGATGTTTAGAATCCTCCGCAGGGAAACATGGGCAGCACTCTCCGCTCGCTGCTTTGCGCCCCTCGTTCGCCTTGCGGTAGATGACGGCACAGCCGTCTCGGGCATGCCTTCGTGCTCCAAACTTCATACCTACCTTGATGGATGGCGAGCATTCAAAAGTGGTTTGGATGCGCCGTTGCGACGTTCGCCTGTTATTTGCGCCGTTGGTTTCGAGTTATATTCGTTTCATATTATGAGGCGTTTTTGTCTGACTTGATTGTATGGTAGAGCTCGACCCTTCGGATAAGTATTTTTCGTGCGCAGACGCCCAAGTACCTTGTAACACCTCATTACTGGCGGACGTATTACATATATTGGCATTTTCTTCGTCTCTTCGTGTTTCTTTCCTCGTGCAGACACTTTGCTCGTTATTGATATAAGGTAGTTACACATTGACCGGCCTGTGTAGTTTACCTCCCTACCTTTCATTACTCGTCTTTGTGGCCAGCTGCATGCCCTTTTCGCGGGGATTGTAGCAAGGACCGACTGCGCTGCATATATGATATGCGCTCTCGCTATTCGGGAAAAGGGGTTTGGGGTTTGGGAGCCGTTGTTGGTGAGTTCGGCCCGACGGAAGTGTACGCGAGGGGATGAGAATATCTGTGTGTATGAAAGAGCGAGGAAGAGGGTAGAGCGAGAGGCGCCGGTCTTTGCAGTGAAAGCCTAGGGTGGTTAGGACGTCGATGGGGAGAGCAGAGAGAGAGCAGGGTGGACTGAGCTGGGCAGCGAGGAGAGACGGACTGAGAAATACTGAGATCGTCGCGAAGACACGCTTCCAGAAGACGGCCAGGCGAGAGTGACTCATGTATGCGCTGGGTAGATTCGATATGCGATATGTAGAAACCACTCGTGCGTGAAAGCAGCGCGCAACCCACCGCTTCGGCGACCACCGGCGGCGCATCCCCGAGATTGCGAGATTGTGAGGAGAGGGCGCCCGTTGGTATGGCTGAACGACTAGCGTAGTCGAGCTACGATCGAGCGTTGGTCGGGGTCTTCTGTCGCCGTATTGAGAGTGGATGCCGTCCTCTTTCGTCGAGCGCAACCTTCGTGGCAGATGCAAGGTGAGAAATAATTAATACGTATACGTACTTTTTTTTTTTTTTTTTTTTTTTGGTTGAGCGTTGGGTAGCAGTTCTCCTCCGTCAGTGCCAGAGTTTCCCTGCCTCCGGGAAAGTTTCCCCAGAGTAGTTTAGGTAGATAAATGTAACCACGAGGAAATGCTTTTACGCACAGAGTGTGGGACTCCAAACCGGTCTTGCAGCTTCGCCTACTCCCCCTCCTGGCTCCGCCTCGGCTTAATACCCACTAAAAACCCCGTTTAGTTTTGTCCAGTTCCTCGGCAGGTTTTCTTCTCCGTCGAGGGCGCCCTTCCATGTTTGAAGGACGACTTTGGTTCGGATCTTGTGTTTTCCCAGGCATTCATTTGTCATTTCCCTGTCTAGGTCTAGCCGGGCGTTCATTGTGGCTATCCACCTATTGGTTACTTCCTGGGTCGTGAAGGATGCGTTCTCGTTTTGTATTACCCTTTCGCATCGTAGTTTCCATATTAAATAGGCCGACTCTGAGATTAGTATGCGCCATAATCTATCCCCTCCTGGGTCGCGTTCTCCTTTTTCCTTGTTCGTTTTGGTGAGTGCGCATGCTATTATGTTCCCGATCCATGGTTGCGTCCATGTTCTTCCTGTTTTTGTCCAGAGCTCTTTTGCCAGTTCCCATATTTGCTCCTGTCCGGGTGTCTCGCATCTGGAGAGGATGTGGCTCATGTTTAGTGTCCCTATGCAGTATGCGTCGTGGGCAACCATCCATAAGTAGTATCTTATTTGCCTGGAGAAGTCATTGTTCCTAATGGCTTTCCATATCCTCTCTTCTGTTGGGGTCTCTTCTGTCACTTCTTCGACGTGGTTTTGTATGGTGTCTATCATCTTAGCAGTTCTCTCTCTGTTCTTACGCATTGTGGCCTGAAGGGCTATTTCTCTGATGGCCTTGTATGCAAGGCTTTGTGTCATTTTTGATAGTTTCGCTCCGGTGAGTTTGACTCTTGCGGGTATTTCTTCGTTCATCTCGTCCCTTTCGTTCAGCGGTTTCTTGGCTCCTTCGTCGGCTAGCCTGTCTGCCGCTTCGTTGCCTGCGTGCCCGTTGTGTCCCTTCACCCATTTGAGGCTCGTTCTGTTGTTGGTGCGTAGTTTTGCTACAGTAATTTGTATTAGCTCCTTGTTCGCTTTGCCAATGTATCCTGTGTCTTCGAGGTTTGCCAGGTTTTTTGTCAGTGTTTCTATTGCATATTTAGAGTCGCTTTCTATTTCGATGTCACTTCCTGGGTTGTTGTTTTTTATGGCAGCTAGGATTGCTACCATCTCGCCTGTCTGGTTCGTCTGGGCGAAGGTGTTCGGGACCCTTATGCTCATATTTCTTTCATCTCCGGGTGCGTAGAAGATTCCCGCTCCCGCCGTTGCTTCTCGGGTGGTTGCGCGCAGGCACGATCCATCAGTCGCCACTTTGGTTATACGCCTCAGTTCATCTGCTCCTTCTTGGTTGTTTCCCTCTGGTGCTTGTTCGTCGCTAACATGGCCGTTTGTAAATATTCTCATGGCGTCTTCCAGATTGTCGACCTCGCCGGACCTGTGGTTGAAGGTCTTCCATCCTTGTTGTGGTTCGTCTTCTCTGTTGACGCGGTCGTTTATTTTCCTTGGGTCCCATTTTGCAGGCAGGTTATCTAGTAGCTGCCTTGCCCGTTTGAAACATTCTTTTGGGTGAGTGCACCCTTGGATATTCTTGGCTTCTGCGCACCCTGGGCATCCACATCGTTTGGATCTTCTGTGTTGTGGGTGCGTTAGATGGTTGGCTATTTTTTCTGCATCTCCTACTAGTCTCATTCTGTGTTTTGTTCGTAGGCAGATGCTTGCGTTTGAGGTTGTCGCCATTCTTAGCTTTGCATTCTCTCTCGCGTGGGCCCAGATCGGCATTTCTCTGGCCGCGTCCCTCGTTATCTTGATGGCCTCGAGTCTTGTTCCATATTTTAGTGCCGTCGCTATCATTGTTTTTAGGTCTTTGGGGCATCTGTTTGTTGGTCCGTTTAGTTTGGGCCTCCAGGTTTGCAGGAACATGTTTCCTTTGAGTTCTGTTGGCAGGGTCCCGTTGCATTTCCTTTTGTTTAGTGCCAGGATTCTGTCCGCGAAGCATGCCCACAGCGGTCTGTCCGTCAGCTTGAGGTATTCTTTTACCCACATGATTTGTATTGCTTCATTTCTCGATCTTATGTCAAGGACACCCTGTTCGCCCTTTCCTGGTTGCGCGAAGATTATCTCCTCGCGGACTGGGTTCTTCTTGTCTCCCCAGAAGAATTTCCATATCCGTTTCCTTAGGCTGTCTTTGACCTGTTTGGGCATTCCTTGTACTCGGGCTAGGTATTGGGTCCTTCCGCCAACTACCATTTGTATGATTAACTTCCTTCCTTCTGATGTGGGGTGTCCTTTTTCCCATCTCTCGAGGTCCTCATCAATCATTTCTATTACTGGGGTCCATCAGTCCCCTCAGTGTAAAGTGCCTGGTACTCCCGGATGGATAGAAACTACACCCCCTGGTACTCTCAGGGCCAGCTGGATCCGGCCGGGATATATCCATCCCTGATAGTCCCAGGGGGCTGAAGTATATCCGTTCTGAGACTCCCTGTGGGGGTAAATTCTATCCTTCAGAGAATACCAGAGGGATCATTGTGCGGGTAGAATTATCTATAGTGGTACTCTCAGTGAGGGATATTCCTGGGAATATCCATGAGACTGGTGCATCCACTGTGGATACTCTGCCCCCCTTGATTATCCATGCTGGGTGTACCGATGGTGGATAAACTAAGAATATCCACCTGTTGGGGCTCTCGGTGCAGATAATCTAGCTGCTGGATTATCCATGCTGGGCGTGCCAACGGTGGATAAGCTAAGAATATCCACCTGTTGGGGCTCTCGGTGCAGATAATCTAGCTGCTGGATTATCCATGCTGGGCGTGCCAACGGTGGATAAGCTAAGAATATCCACCTGTTGGGGCTCTCGGTGCAGATAATCTAGCTGCTGGAATATCCATGCTGGGTGTACCGATGGTGGATAAGCTAAGAATATCCACCTGTTGGGGCTCTCGGTGCAGATAATCTAGCTGCTGGATTATCCATGCTGGGCGTGCCAATGCTAAGAATATCCGCCTGTTGGCTCTCTCGGTGCAGATAGTCTAGCTGCTGGATTATCCATGCTGGGCGTGCCAACGGTGGATAAGCTAAGAATATCCACCTGTTGCCTCTCTCGGTGCAGATAGTCTAGCTGCTGGATTATCCATGCTGGGCGTGCCAACGGTGGATAAGCTAAGAATATCCACCTGTTGGGGCTCTCGGTGCAGATAATCTAGCTGCTGGAATATCCATGCTGGGTGTACCGATGGTGGATAAACTAAGAATATCCACCTGTTGGCTCTCTCGGTGCAGATACTCTGCCCCCCCTGATTATCCATGCTGGGTGTACCGATGGTGGATAAACTAAGAATATCCACCTGTTGGGGCTCTCGGTGCAGATAATCTAGCTGCTGGATTATCCATGCTGGGCGTGCCAATGCTAAGAATATCCGCCTGTTGGCTCTCTCGGTGCAGATAATCTAGCTGCTGGAATATCCATGCTGGGTGTACCGATGGTGGATAAGCTAAGAATATCCACCTGTTGGGGCTCTCGGTGCAGATAATCTAGCTGCTGGATTATCCATGCTGGGCGTGCCAACGGTGGATAAGCTAAGAATATCCACCTGTTGGGGCTCTCGGTGCAGATAATCTAGCTGCTGGAATATCTGTGCTGGGCGTGCCAACGGTGGATAAGCTAAGAATATCCACCCGTTGGTGCTCTCAGTGCAGATAATCTAGCTGCTGGAATATCCATGCTAAGAATATCCACCTGTTGGGGCTCTCGGTGCAGATACTCTGCCCCCCCTGATTATCCATGCTGGGTGTACCGATGGTGGATAAACTAAGAATATCCACCTGTTGGCTCTCTCGGTGCAGATACTCTGCCCCCCCTGATTATCCATGCTGGGTGTACCGATGGTGGATAAACTAAGAATATCCACCTGTTGGGGCTCTCGGTGCAGATAATCTAGCTGCTGGAATATCTGTGCTGGGCGTGCCAACGGTGGATAAGCTAAGAATATCCACCCGTTGGTGCTCTCGGTGCAGATAATCTAGCTGCTGGAATATCCATGCTGGGTGTACCGATGGTGGATAAGCTAAGAATATCCACCTGTTGGGGCTCTCGGTGCAGATACTCTGCCCCCCCTGATTATCCATGCTGGGTGTACCGATGGTGGATAAACTAAGAATATCCACCTGTTGGGGCTCTCGGTGCAGATAATCTAGCTGCTGGATTATCCATGCTGGGCGTGCCAATGCTAAGAATATCCGCCTGTTGGCTCTCTCGGTGCAGATAATCTAGCTGCTGGAATATCTGTGCTGGGCGTGCCAACGGTGGATAAACTAAGAATATCCATCTATCCAGTTGGATTATCCATGCTGGGTGAACCAGTGGTGGATAAATTGAGAATATCCATCTGCCGGCACTCTCAGTAGGATATTCCAGCAGCTAGATTATTCACACCGAGAGAGCCAATGGCAGATAAACTAAGAATATCATAACTAAGTTGTTTGTTGATGCAAACTTTGCAAGCGGTATGGTACTTTCTACGTCAAATAGCTTGGGCAAGCTCAACACATCCACTATCCTGCACAACCTCCCTTCCCCTTCTTCTGAACTCTTTCCATACAAATGCCATCTTACGACAGTAGGCAATCAGCCCACAACTTGCCTCAGTATCTGCCATTTTGCTCCACTTATCCGACTGATACTGAAACCACTCCAGAGCCCATGAGATTTCCTTCTTCAACAGTATCAATTCCTCCTCCCATCGATCTCTTCGGGCCTTTGCTCGGAGGTAATTGATCCGGTAAACTGAATGTTTCTGCATCAGCTTTAGCATGTAAAGAAGACTGGAGCCTTACATTCTTTCATCATTGGGCTGTCCTCAACCTCTTCTGAGATCTCAGCACTCTGAAGCCTCCAGAACCAAGCCAAACTGTGGGATGATTGACCAATTCTGTTGGGATGTTCAACGTCACCTTTCATCTGCAGATCCTTGTCCCTGTTAATGGGTTTCCACTTGTTTCCTGCACCTAGCCTTTTTAATGCTTCTACCGCTCCCTCATATATATCCACCTGTAGATTGGCTCTGGCGTCGTAAGTATTGATGCCACTCCATGCTCTTGTGACATGTTTTTGTGACCGATCACCGCGCAAGACCTTTCGAAATCGAAGTGATTTTTCGCCAAGGGATATCCGGAGATCGTGAAGTGCATCATTGATCTGTGCTTCCCGAAGTTGGACTTCCTGTTCTGCTAGTTTTGTCCACCCCATCCGAACCCGCTCCTCGGCTGTGAAGGACGAAGGAAAGCAAATGCCCATTTGCTCTGGTGTTTGCCCAATGCTTTTGCAGTCTGCATTTGAAGAGCCTACGTGTGGCATGTAGCCATCTTCATCATTCCCATCCTCCTCACCCTCGTCACTATCACTATCTTCCATTTCGTCACCAGAATCACTATCCCCAACAGAACCCAACCCCATGAACTTTTCGCCCTGCCGGCGATGCTGTTCTATGTTCCTTTTCATAATCCTCCGTTTATCGGCAATAGTGTTTTTCTGTGGGATGGTAGGAAAGTTTCCAACAGATTTAATGAACACACGTAGTTTGTATCTAAGAGAATGCCATCAAGATCCATTCTCTACATTTACTGAAGATAACTCACTGTGCCTCTTCCAATGATAGGCCTTTGGTGATGAACGCTGCACCACCTAAAAGGTAAGCACCATTAACCAATTCTTTTTCCACCATTTCCAACCGAACACCAGCCACCAATGGATCTTAACATCATTGAAATGAGCTGCTTGGTAGAGCAAGAGTCATTTCAAGAACTTACTTTGTTCTGTCTTTACATCATAAATTTCCAAAGCCTTACCACGGAGCAAAGATGCTTGCTCCGCCTGAGAATTCCATGACTCTAAATCATCCTCTGTCAACCGGCATCTAAGATCCTCATAAGCCTCTTTCATGTTGGCAAATGATGTTTCGGCACGCTTCCACTTCTTTATCAGAGATGGAACTGAAACATGAAACCGTTTAATAATATCCATCGCAATTAAGGTTGAAAGCATACTTAGATTGGTTATTTTCTTCCAGTTAGAGTCATAAGCACAATCATCCAATACTTCCTGTCGGTGGGCCAACGTCATAGATCTTGTACTTCCAGCGATCTTGTTTAGTGGAGCCCATAATGTCTCCAAAACTTCCCCATCTGTATGCCCGGCACCGCGAAGAAAGTTCAGACTGAATTTAGAAAAGCAAGAGTCAACGTGTGCTCCAAGATGAAATTTACCAATGGCCTTCTGAATCGGCATTGTTGGCTTCTCTAAAAAGGGACCATCTTCTAGGCGTTGTTCCAAATGAACACCATACTGGCACATGACATCATAGATGACGGTAATGGCGGGTTGCAATGGCTCCTTTTTCAGGCTGGTAAAAAACTTCATCGCCTCAGAGAGTGCAAAGTCCATGTTCTTCTGTCTGTTATGGCGGCCATTTAAAGTACATGGATTTCCAAACTGAGAAAACTCACTGCTCTCCCTTTTTAAAATTGACGATTGAGTGTGGAACAAAGAAGCCATGCCTTGCACAGGCGATTGCTCCAATACCAGTGTTGTCCACATGTTTGCGTGGCCGTGATGCCTGATTTACTGCCTTGTGATTGGAGCAGTTTGATTTCTCTTGGGTCCCAGATGTGACATCCAAGTGGTTCTCGTAGGTGCTAGTAGTGACCAGAAACCCAGTGCCGTCGCGAAGGGTGACATCAGATTGAGGATTTTTCAGCTGCAGGTGATCAAACTTGAAGTTGCCATCGGCCACCAGCAATGGAGAGAGCAGCCAGTCAGGATCAGTGGCAGCATTCCATGTCTTGCTTGTCACATTGATACCCGGTTGAGGGCATGCTGGGCAGAATATCGCTTGTTGCCCTGGGGTGTTGTCTTCATCGCCCCAACAACCAGTTTTCAGCCTGCTACACAGATCACGGTAGCACCGTGAAACGCGCTCTATCTCCCTTGAGCGGTCCTAAGATAGAGATTAGTGATGTCCAGCCAAATACCTGTACAAAACACACCGGAACATCTAATGGAGCATTGAAATCCGTCTTCCTCCGAAGCAAACTGTAGAAGTTTGAAGATGCAGTTTTGCATTCTATACGTTGGAGATGAAGCTCATCCAGAACCTCAAAAGTGAATGCAGTTGATGGTCGATCTGATGTAGCGGGGAATAATCTGGCTTGCAGAAGCTGGGTATAATGACTCTTGTGGTTTTCGCACTGACACCATTCCACTTTTCTAGAATATATACCAGTGGTATGCACAAAAACCATGGATTGGTGCCTTGGGTCTATTCAAACGGTCAGAAAATTCTGAAAGCCTAGATAGATGTTTCTTACCCAGGGTAAAAGGATCAGCAGTGTCAGGTTCCCCATTGGCTGCTGGACAACGCTCACCAGCATGGCCAAGATAGAGAACAATGCCCAGTTCATCCAAGCTGCAATCTTTGAAGAATCCATCATCCCAGGACTGGATTTGATGAAAAGGGTTCTGCCGGTGCTGATTCAGGCAACACGAACTGCATAAAAGCGGTGTGTTGAAGCATTGGGTGCAACGCAAGACCACACCATTCAGTGCACATTTACACAGCACGCATTTGGGTTTGCTTGGCAAGCACTCTAGAGCAGCTATTTCGCGTATATCTGATGCCCGATGTCTGATCCATTCTTGAACATATTCTCCAGATGTCTGGTTTTGTTCATTATTCAGACAACGGTACAAACATCAAGATATTTCAGCTTACCTTTCCATACATGTTGAAGCTACCAAAATCAAAGCCATTGAACCCCACGTCCTCAAGTATAGTATCCAGCCCTGGGAGGCTGTCCAACAACATAGACGGGCTTTGAATTAATCGTCTGCTCTTCGGTGTGCTTCTCCCAGATGATGGCATTGTTTTTGGCGTGGATGGTGTTGTGCGTGATGTCAAAGGTGTCCCTGGCGGGCTAAGGCTGAGAGGCCTAATCACCTCCACTCTCTGGCGCTTTCCATTGGCTGTTTTTTGCCAAACCGTCTCTCCAAAACCTTTTGGTTTCTTTGAAGCCTTCAACAAGCCCATGATGTTTCGGAGGTAAACGGCAGGACTGACAGCAGGCACGTGTATTATTTAACTCTGATAATCGGGCCATATTCAACTCCGATAATCAGAGCCCCATATATCAAGCGGCTACTTTGTCTGGCCCCACTTCCTAGGCATACAAGCCCAACCCACCGCCCTTTCCCTAAATGCCTTTTGAACTTCTGCACGCATAAAATATGCATATCCAATCCTCTCTCCCACCACCCAATCCTTCACCTCATGCTTGAAGAGCCTCCCAGAGAAGAGAACCACCGAACCACCATGATAGTGGAAGCTACCACCCAGGTCTGGAAACCCAAGCTCAACCTGGTCTGCACCAAGGTTAGTCAATGCGTCAAATTGTTTGACATCACCCTTGGAGTCAAAATGTGCCAGGCTTGTGCCATTGGAGACAACAGCCATAGCTGTAGCCACTGGCTGCCAAAGTTCCGCCCATTTAATGTCGTCTGGCGGAGCCCTGGTGCGCATACCATTCAATGCTTTGACTCCAGCACGATAGGAGTCTGGATGCACTGCTCCCATAATGAGGTTGATGCTCTTGTTGAGAGTTGCAGTTTCTTTGAGCCACCGCTCCGTAGCACCCGAGTTCTTAGCGCTACGGAGGCTCACTGATGGGCGTGGAAGAGCATTGCTGTTCTAGCCATGGTGAGTAGACAACACTCAAGAGAGAGATGCAAGCACCTACTGCATGTCCTTGGGCATACCAGCCACCCGAAAAAGCCTCCTGGCCAATAGGCAATTTACCAGAAGGTTTGAATCTTTCTCGGCAACTCCGCCAATTGCCTTTGGATTTCATTCCTTTTGCTAGGATGGTATCAATGCCCGAGGTGGCCACCATTGCTTTTCGCTACATATTTTCAGCAAAGCCCCACTGTAAAAGGAAACATAGATACCTCTACATGTTTTGCAACGGCGTGGGGGAGATATATGATCAAGGGCTTTTCATCTCTTGATACAACCACAGTGGCCTTGGTCACCCGCCCAAGCTTCACATCTTGAAGGAGCACTGTGCGCTGTTTATGTGAGGCAGTATTTAATTCGTCTGCAGTCACTGGGAGGGTAACTAACAAAAATCAGCCATGACCTAATTGAATCAGGAAGTAACTTGCCAATGTTTTGATAAGCGCGGCGCAAAACATTACCAATCTGGCCAACTGCCACTGCGCGCCAAGATAGAGGGAGATCTCTAAGATATCTCCGTGAGAAAAGATCTACAAGATGCAGGTGACTGAATGCTCACATTTCCTTTCCTCCGGCAAATTGTCTGAGTTGGCGTGCTATTGCCTGCTCATTGAAATAATCATGGTGGCTTTTTACCTTTGGCATGCTGGTAGTAAGGATGCAAGGATAAAAGAACAGTGAGAATCCCGGTGAAATTTTTTTGAACTTATTTGTACATATTTGTTCGGACACTTAGGGGTATAGGGGAACAGGAGAACTCTAAGCAAGACAATTGCCATGTATTTCACAGTAGTAATGCGCATTTAGAAGATTTCGGTGAACCACCGACCATACAGAAGCTCAGATCCTTTACTTCTACCTTCTTTGATCAACTCCAGCTGTTCAAAAGTGCAGCGTTTTCCATTGGTGCGGCGGGTGCAGTAAATCCGGAGTTTCGTACCATGAAAGTCACTGGGCGTAGAACTGGTGATTGTTCCCAAGCGGAGACAGGTGGGACACTGGCTGGGGATGCGGAAACCATAAGGGGAGTGTTTTTCTTGCGCCCAATAATACAGATCCCTTCGAACCCCTGGGAGGCTGTCCTTGTCGCGGGAGACGATGACGACGTCAGACGCAATGCCCAACCTAGCATCCCCAGCCAATATTTGCTCCATCGCAATAGGATACTTGACATCCTCAAGATAGAAGGATTGGACGTATTTGGCGCAAAAAGACGAAGCCCAAAAGGGCTGGAAGCGTTTGTTGGTGAAGGAGATAACTTCGCGGAAAGATTGGCTGTTTACAAACTCAGAAGGTTGTAGAAACTGGATTAGAGTTGGCCACTGACCGTCGCACAACAGAATTGACCCATTCCATTGTCTCAGTATGGCCGCAGTATCCACCGCAAATGAGGAGGAACAGGGAGGTGTCGGGTATCCATTGCAGGGCAGAAAGAAACTGCTCGGTGAATATGCGGTTGAGAACCTGGGAGAATTCGTTGGGGTTTAGAATACGAAGAACATGGAGTGGACTCACGGTTGCGGGAGTATGGCTGTGCCCAGGAAGCATGGCGGCGCCTTTCGAACGGTTTGCAGGGCGAGGGCGTGAAAAGTGAAGGTCACCATCGGGTGTAGTGTGCGTCACGAAGAACACAACAACTCGACAGGTGCGGCTGAGTCGGGCATTATAAGTCTGTATCAGTTCTATTGAGTTGCATCAGATTTCATGCTCACTCACCTTTTGATAAATGCAACCGCCTTGGCAATATCAGACTCGTACCTTCCACTGCCAGCAGAGTTCGCCAGATCATAGAAGATAGTGGCATAATTCAAGTTGCCTTGGCCACGCCCAAAAAACTGATGGAGGAGTTGATAAGTGGCCATGGCGGGCTCGTCCATGCGCTCAGCTCCACAAACTGCAATGAGCAACAGCAGAGTTTCGGCGGTATTCAACTTTGGGAAGAAGGCGAGTGTCGTGCAGGATACGTTGATTACGGCGCCTTCAATGGGTTCAAATGCTTTGGTATAGAATCCCTGTCAATAGGTTAGGCGGATAATGTAAATTAAGCATTAGGCGCATACGTAGTAGGGTGCGGCAATTGGGGAACCATTTCGGTGGCAGGCGGGGCACACAAAAGCAGTATCTTCAGTTAGCACATCTGCAGAGGCAATTGTTATACAGCCCTCGCCATCACCATCTCCAACGATATCGTAACAGGTCCATCGAGGGCACTTCACACAGCTGAGCATCTTGCCACCATTCTGACAGCCGTTACAGAGCTAATGAACGGTGGGTTTATGTTGTTTAACCGTCAACAATTACTTACTGGGTTGTCCTCGCCGAGATCTTCAGAGGTAAAGGCAATGAACCCGTCTGTGTCGTTATTAGCGGAGGTGGTTGTGTGGGTCTGTAGTGGGGTGCCTGTTTGCCCGCTGCCTGCCTGGAAGGTGTTGGTTGGTGGCGGGATATCGGCACGTTGGCCAATAGCTCCGGTAGTTTTCTTAGCTGTTTGTTTGGTGCGTGCCATATGGGACCTGGGGCAAGAATGTGGGTCGAAGCATGGCGGATGGCCTGGTATATATACCGAATTGGCCTGCCTGTGGCCTATGATAAATACGCCGCATGGCGTACTACGTGCTTGGCGCTGTGTGGTGGGTGGGCTTAGATTAGGCTCAGTGTTAGGCTTAGTCTACTAACTTAGAGGTAGAATAGTGCACCGCAGCCAGAACTAGCCAATAGCCGCACATTAACTTATCTAACTTTCGCTCAACCTCACTCAATTTCGCAGTAAGACATCACGTGACCTCGAAAAATGGGCCGCATTCGACGAACACATCGTTGCGTATTGACATTAAGCACAAGTCTAATGGACGGCTACAACAAAGGCAGATAAAGAATCGTGACAAAGGGTGGCCAGCCCCTTATCACTCTTCCCCATCCACCCATTACATGATTAGCTAAAAAGACTACTGCTACGAACTACGGCGGACTGATAACCTACAAAGACTTAGGTGTCAGCAAACTCCTAATGTTGGCATGTAAATCACACGCCAGAGTCCCCGGCTACAAGATGGCTGGCTGCAGCTAGGAGAGAGGGAAGTCAGCGGGAAGGAATACTTGTCACAAATAGGGCGTACTCAACTTTGAATTACGCCGACTGTCTGCAAGTAATGAGTTAGTGCATGGCATGGTGATACAACAAGGGAACAGACATACACCAGAACGGACACGCCGAGTACATGTGCGAGAGCCTGTGTGCCTACGTAAAGAGAGAGAGAGAGAGAGTCAGAATGGCGGAGAGGAAAGGTGTATGGCTTGCCTTCATCCATCAGCAACAGGCACGAAGGTGGACTAGAGTATCAAGACGGGTCAGCATGCGGCGGCAACAATGTTAGAGTACACACCAGAAGGCCCGAAAGAACATCAGGAGAGGGCAGCGAGGATCCATCATAAGTTAGCATAGGTCCAGAGGCAACGACGATGAAGGACGCACCAGAAAGCCCAAAAAAGGAGGGGGAAAATGATCCATCAAGGGAAAGGTGCAGGCCGGACAAAGTGGGCTGGGTATCAGAACATTTTAGCAGTAGGTAGAAGAATGCGTACGGGGGATACTCACCAGAATAGGTGCCCAAAGGATGGTGGAGGGGAACGGGAATGCATAAGCAATCCCAGCTGTAACAGCGGCCCGAAGGCGTGATGGCGATTTGAGGCTCGCCAAAACCTTTGAGGTTGGATAAGGCTACCTCAGCCTGCAGGAGACGGCCTGCACCGAATAAGATCCCCCAGAGCCGATGCATTCACAGGGAATACATGATCCACCAAGAGACTGTGTCATCTCGGCAGTAGGACGCTATGGTGAAACCGGATGCTCGGGCGATCCCCCCAGCAAAACCCCAACGCGCAGAGCGTCGGGCGGTGAAGCCAACAAAGCCAACAAAGAAAAAGGATGGAACATGCAGCCGATCTGCCACACGAACACACCCGCAACAACAGAGAAGTCGTCGCGGGCTCCTGGCGACCCCCACCGCAAAAAAGAAATGACGAAAAAAGGATGAATGAAAAAAAGGAACGAAAAAGTAAAAGAAGAAAAGGCGAGGGTGCGCAAGAAAGAGATGGATAGACGCGCGCTGGGGGTTTTGTTTTGGTACTGTACAGTCGTTCCCACGACTGCCAACTCCGGCTTATCTCAGCTTGGCCAGCGTCTTCTGAACCCGCGCATTCCACATCCCGACGCTGCCGCTACCCAACGAGTTCCATGCCGCCCGCCTTCGTTTCCGTTGATACGCAGCCTCTTCGTAGTTCTGTGCGCCGTTCGGGACCTTGTCAATGACATGGTAGGTCTGTTTCGTGCCCCACCCCGCGTTCCGTCCTCCTCCGCTGCCCCAAACTCGGCTTGGGGTGCAGGATCTCGCGTCGACTCCTGGCAAACGGATGGTACATGATGTACCACCCACCCACACCACATCCTGCCGCTCACCACACCATCTGCGCTCGATTCGCCCCCATCCCGTGTTCCGTCCTCCTCCGCGCCCCCAAACTCGGCTTGGGGCGCAGGATTCCTCGTCAACAACGATAAAATGGGTGGTACACGATGTACCACCCGCCCACTCCATGCCCATGCCGTCTGCGCCGTCTGCGCTCGGTTCGCGCCCCACCCCGTGTTCCGTCCTCCTCCGCTGCCCCAAACTCGGCTTGGGGCGCGGGATCTCACGTCGACGCCTGGCAAACGGATGGTACACGATGTACCACCCACCCACTCCATGCCCACGCCGCCTGTGCCGTCTTCACTCGGTTCGCGCCCCACCCTGTGTTCCGTCCTCCTCCGCTGCCTCAAACTCGGCTTGGGGCGCGGGATCTCACGTTGACGACGATGAAATGAGTGGTACTCGATGTACCACCCACCCACTCCACGCCCACGCTGTCTGCGCTCGATTCGCCCCCACCCTGTGTTCCGTCCTCCTCCGCGCCCCCAAACTCGGCTTGGGGCGCAGGATCTCATGTCGACGCCTGGCAAACGGATGGTACACGATGTACCACCCACCCACTCCATGCCCACGCCGCCTGTGCCGTCTTCACTCGGTTCGCGCCCCACCCTGTGTTCCGTCCTCCTCCGCTGCCCCAAACTCGGCTTGGGCCGCGGGATCTCACGTTGACGACGATGAAATGAGTGGTACTCGATGTACCACCCACCCACTCCATGCCCACGCCGCCTGTGCCGTCTTCACTCGGTTCGCGCCCCACCCTGTGTTCCGTCCTCCTCCGCTGCCCCAAACTCGGCTTGGGCCGCGGGATTCCTCGTCGACGACAGCGAGACGGGTGGCACACGGTGTACCACCCACCCACTCCACGCCCACACCGTCGGCGCTCGATTCGCCCCCACCCCGCGTTCCGTCCTCCTCCGCACCCCCAAACTCGGCTTGGGGCGCAGGATTCCTCGTCAACAACGATAAAATGGGTGGTACACGATGTACCACCCGCCCACTCCATGCCCATGCCGTCTGCGCCGTCTGCACTCGGTTCGCGCCCCACCCCGCGTTCCGTCCTCCTCCGCGCCCCCAAACTCGGCTTGGGGCGCAGGATCTCATGTCGACGCCTGGCAAACGGATGGTACTCGATGTACCACCCACCCACACCACATCCCGCCGCTCACCACACCATCTGCGCTCGATTCGCCCCCACCCCGCGTTCCGTCCTCCTCCGTGCCCCCAAACTCGGCTTGGGGCGCAGGATCTCACGTCGACGACAATAAAATGAGTGGTACACGGTGTACCACCCGCCCACTCCATGCCCATGCCGTCTGCGCTCGGTTCGCGCCCCACCCCGCGTTCCGCCCTCCTCCGCTGCCCCAAACTCGGCTTGGGGCGCGGGATCTCACGTCGGCGCCTAGCAAACGGTACACGATGTACCACCCACCCACACCACATCCCGCCGCTTGTCCTGCCATCTGTGCTTGCTTCACGCCCCATCCCATGTTCCATCCTCCTCCGCTACCCAAAACTCAAGTAGGGGTGCTGGATTACGTGTCAATGCCAGAAAGACAGGTCGTACACAAAGCACCACCCACCGACTTCATATCCCAGTGCCTTCCCCGTGGCCTGTGTCCCGCCCCCTTGTCCCATACTCAATGGTCATGTCTGTAGTTTCTTACATAGTCGCCATGTATTTATGTATTTATATATGCACCCCACCTTATATAGAAATTTTGCACAGTACATAAGATTATGAGCTCCGTGTGACAATGAATTGTTTACCGTGGAAACATATTGCCCTACCTTACAGACCACCGCATCCACATCCGAAAATTCAACAATGGCCTGGTCCACCCCGTATGTGGACGATATTCTGAAGCCAGCAATTGTCGAATGGCATAAGAAGAAAAACGAAGGAAGGGAGGAAGTGATCAAACGCACCTGCAAAGAGTTGTATGCAAAGCAGGCGGCAAACACCAGCAAGTTGAACCCTTTGAAAGATGCTGCCAGTCTAGCGGGGGTGAGTTTTGACTTCACAATATTGCAGGAAAGAGAAGAGGACTCATCAACAACTAGCAAGTTGCGTGGTGGTTCAAAAATAACCAGAAGAGATATTGCAAGGATTTGGATGGGGAGGATATGGGGGCTGCAAATGACCGGAGTAAAGCAGGGAAGGGGGGCAAAGGAAAGAATAAGGCGGTAGAGGAGAATGATGAAGAGCAGGATGACGAGGATGATGAACCTGCCCGCAATGTTGATGTTCCATGGCACAAACGTATGACTGGGCCGCTAATGGCGAAGGCATGTGATGAGGAGGCCTTCAAGAAGATTTTAGCGCATCACGAAGATAAGGGATTTGGCCAGCGTTTCAACTTGGCCATCAATGAGTATTGGGGGGGGTTCACCGAAGAGGAAAAAGATGATTTTAGCAAGAAAGCGCGTGAGTGGAATAGGCAAGGCCCACCGAAGAACATGAAACCATCGTAAGAGTGTTTTAGCGCTATCGTCAGATTTTCTGACCGTTGTTATACTTAGCCTGGCAAAGCGAAACATGCAGGAGAGCATGAACAGTGTAGTAGAATACTTTGCTAAATACTACGGAGCATCGGTGATTATGTTCAGCATGGCGCCAGGAGATGATGACTCCCCAATCATTCGTTGGTATATTGTCTGTGTACATGAGATTGATAACATTCACTTATATAATGTATATAGGCATGAAACTAAGGATGGAAAACGTCCAAGCAAGTTCATCAAGCCAAATGTCTTCCGGGCATTCCAAGAGGAGTGGTTGGAGTCGGTGCCTGCCGGTCTGTATGGAGGTGGGTGTCTGTTCTGGCACCGAGTTGAATACTAAGGATTGCGGTAGATGCAGTGAAGTCTAAGGATACAGACCCAGAGCGGGATTCCTGGGCTATTGTGGAAGAATCAGAAGATGGTATTCCCATGCTCCCAAATCTTCCAGCAGGCGCCAGGAGCGAAGCAATTGTCAGGGTGTTCCGTGAATATGGGAATTTGGTGGCAGGTAGGCACTTGTCATTGGGATAAATTCCAAATACTGACAAACAGTGGAGATATGGACTCTGACGGCAAAGTGAAGAGATTACCGTGGCTTCGTCTCTCACAGGATAACGAGGCATATATTTACCCAAAGTCTTTGATATCTGGGGTACACTTTGGGGAACCAACAAAGATGCCTATTGCCGATGTTCGCCAATATTATATGCACTTTCTGCGCCGCCAGGATAAAGGAACCATGGGTCTACGTCTCCGAGAAGGTTGGGATACTCTGTCCAAGGAAAGCGAGGTGGAGAAAGGTGAAGGGAAAAGGCGAAGGAGTTCAGTGGTGGAAGTCAGAACAAGCAAGCGTATCAAGACTCCATCTGACACAATGATGGATGTGGATGGTGATGTGGATGGTAAAGGAAGCGCAATGGACGTTGACAAGAATGGCGGAGGAAAGGATGTTCCAGTGGGCATGCTAGCGCCAAGCCAGGTCTCCGACGAGGACCGCATCATCTTTCTGAGATCTCTCTCGACAAACGGTGATTATCAAGCCATGATCAGTTGGCTGAGCCAGTGCAAGGTTAGTAGTTCCTAGATGAATCAGTTGGACGGTTGGCTGATTGTATTATAGCAAGGGCAAGTGTCCATGCGGTCTAACCAACGCCCGCCAACATGGGGCAGCTGGTCTTTGAAAACACCACATCTACCAATGGAGTTTTACGCGCAGTCCAAGTCCAACAAAGAACGTGAAAGTTTCGCAGCAGCGAAGGCATACCTCCTACAGGACCCACTTCCCCATGTTGGCCTTGGTGATGTAGTTGGGCCATATGGGCGAGTCGAAACCACCGTTCTCATTGTTGGTCTCATGCTGCGTGACATGGCCAAAGTTTGTTTTCTGGAGCCTGGTAGTGATGAGGCCCAAAGTCTTCCTGGATACATGCAAGATTCTTCTTTCGCAATCAAGGAGTGGGAGGAACTGGGCGAAGTTTGCAGCGGAATTAGGAACAGCCTGCGGAAATGGTAAGCCATTAATTTCTTAGTTCAACTTGAATTTGAATTTAATTGGTCCGTACTTAGGGAGGAAGACCAGATAAAGCGCGGGCAGGCCAAGAATGCCGGCCCTAAAGCCAAAGACGCCGGCCCTAAAGCCAAAGACACCGGCCCTAAAGCCAAAGACGCTGGCCCTAAAGCCAAAGCCGAGCTGAAAAGGGATTGGATCGGGAAAGCATCAAGGATTCCTAAAGATCTGTTAACTCTGGCTAGTTCATGTGGTTTACTCCGTGAGGATGCTCACATCTTTCAAAGCTTCGGGGCAGATTGGAGGGCAGTGGTTGATAATTATTGGGCACTGGAGAAGGCATTATTAGGGAAGGCTGTTGACGGGGATGGGGTGCCTCATCATGTTGAAGGATTACCAACTGCGGTGGATGTCTGGGTTGATGCTTGGCAAGAAGAAGGTTTGTTTGATGTGGATGGCTTGATAGGTGATGCCAAGTTTGGTGAAGATATGTGGAAATGGTGGAAGAAGCAGAAGGATGCAGATAAAGAGGTTCGTGAAGAAAAGGGGCTGGATGGACTCTTGGAGCAACCACATCTCCAGCGTGGTGGTAGGGGACTGTTGGTGATGTTATGGGCGGTCAATGTGTGGGGAAAGGGTGTGGTGAGGCGTCAAAAGCCTCAAGGAGCAGAGGCCCAACAATGTGTCACCGTCTGCAAGGAGCTCCGCCTGCTTTTTATTGAGCTCTTGAAAGCACCAGCTTTGTGAGTGATATTCATGGGGAATCAAGTCAAGGTAGCTGATATATCTCCTAGAGGTGGACGTACTACCAGAGCCCGGTAATAACACATGGCGATGTAATGTAAATGTCTTGTGCTCAAATATGCTCATTTTCATGGTGTCTCAATTTGCGGGAATGTGTGTATTTTATCTGCGCCGAGAGTCTCAGCACATGGATATTCCATGTTTATCCCCACCGAGAGTCTCAGTGCATGGATATTCCATGCTTATCCCCACCGAGAGTCTCAGTGCATGGATATTCCATGTTTATCCCCACCGAGAGTCTCAGCGCATGGATATTCCATGTTTATCCCCACCGAGAGTCTCAGCGCATGGATATTTCAGATTCACCTGCTGTCCCCTTACCAACTCAAGTCTATCCACCCTGGGAGTACCAGTGGATGGGTATTCTAATTTATCCACAGTGGGAGTGCCACAGGATGGATATTTCAGATTCACTTGCTGTCTCCTTACAAACTCAAGTCTATCCACCCTGGGAGTACCAGTGGATGGATATTCAGCTCCTGTAGTCAGTTTATCCCACCCTGGAATTTTCCGCAGGATAAAGTTTACTGGAACTGGGAGTCTCAGAACAGATATACTCCAGCTCACCTGGGTGCACCAGGGACAGATATATCCCGGCCGGGTCCAGCTTGCCCTGGGAGTACGGGGGGGTGTAGTTTCTATCCGTCTGGGAGTACCAGACAGTTTACACTGAGGTATGTGGGTCCATGGGGCTTCCTGATTCCCATTATTTCCGATCCACGCACCTAGAATTCTGGTTAGCTGCCCGTCTGGGACTATCTTCATTTCTTCTGGTATTTCCTGGTGTTCTTGGTTTGTCTTTCGTTCTCTTATTACTCTTTCTCTATATTCTACGCTGCCTATCGGTAGTATCTGTGTTTTTTTCGTGTTAAACTTCGCCCCAGCTGCTGTGCACCATTTTCCGAGTATTATCTGGAGGGCGTTGAAGTCGTCTCCCTCGTTTAGGAAAACTGTTGTATCGTCTGCGAAGAGGTTTGCTATTAGTTTCTCTTCTGTACCTGGTACGTCGATCCCCTTTATGCCTGATGTTCTTATTGCATTGCTCAACGGCTCTATTCCTAGGTCGAAAAGTAGACACGACAGGGGGTCCCCTTGGCGGACCCCTCTAGTTACTTTGAACGGGGTGCTCAGGCAGCCGTTAATCATTACTGAGGTATGCGCATTGTTGTACAGTCCTCTTACTGTTTTGATGAATCTTTCGGGTATTTCGAATGCTTGCAGGACCTGCCAGAGGTAGTCGTGTTCCAGTTTGTCATATGCTTTTTCTTGGTCTAACGCTACTACTATTCCGTTTTCTTCTACAAGGTCTGCGTAGTTTACCAGCATTTTAAGGAGCTGTGTCTGGTCATATATGCGTCTTCCCGGTACAAAACCTGCTTGGCTTTTGTGAAGCAGCCTCGGCGCGGCCTGTGCTAGCCTTATTGTTAGTGTTTTGGTCATTAGCTTATAGTCGGTGTTGAGCAGAGTTATCGGGCGGTAATTTTCTATCTCCTCCTTACAGTTCTTCTTGTATATGGGACACATCCAACCTTCAGCGAACTTCGAGTTAGGCGTTAGCCCGTGTTCTTCTATATCGTTGAACGCCGCTGTCATCATGTTGAGGATATTTTCGCTTTGGTTGTTTGCCTGGGCTTCGTGTGCTATTAGTTTCTTCCACATCTCGTATGTGGCGCCGTCTAGTCCTGCCGCCTTGTGGCTGTTCGACATTTTCAGCGCTTGTTTTACTTCCTCCTTCGTGATCGGCTGGCTCATCCTTTCTTTTTCGCCTGCGTTGGGCTTTGTCTGGATCTTTCGGAGCAGGTTTCTCGTTTCCCTCATCCTGGTTATCTCGTCTCTTGTTTCCCGTCCGTCGTTCTGCAAGTTGTCGTGGTAATTTCTTGCTAACTTCTGCATGAGTTTTTTTCGTATTCTGTTGTGGCTCCGTCTTGGTTTGGTTTTTTCAGCATGTACATGATGTCTCTTGGTTTGATTTGGTGGTTCGTTTGGATCCATGACCGTGTCATTTTCTCTCCCTCTAGCCTGTCCATTATGTGGACCTTTTTCCTTGCCTTGATATGTCTTCTTCTCTCCATCGTTGTGAGTTCTTTCATTTTGTCTATGATCTTCTTCATTGTTTCGTTGTTCTGTTCTTTCTTGGCTAGGTCACTTAGGTCGTCCTGTAGTTGTTCCATTTTCTGTTTGATTTGTGGGACTAGGGCTTTATCCCTTTCTCTGGCCGTGGTTAGTATTTCATTTTTATATTTCATATATAGCTCCTGGGGGTTGACATCGTTCGTCCTTTCGGCGTTCCTGGCTCTGGCGATGTCCGCCCATCTTTGGGCTATCTTGTGGGTCTCTTCGAGGAACTTTTTGTCATTCAGGACTCGTTCTGGTACTGTCCACCTATCCCTTCCTATTTCGGGTGCTCCCTCAGTCGAGACTTGGACGGATACCATCCAGTGGTCTGCGCTGTTCAGCCCGGATGGTTTCATGTCCCATTCTCTTGCCCTTTCTAGTATTCTGTTTGTTACATATATTCTATCAATCCGCGACATTGCGGGCGCATCGTCTTCTCTTAATCTTGTTTGTGTGAACGTGAACCTCGCGCTGTCTGGGTAGGTTGTTCTCCAGCCATCTCGTAACCTCAGTTCGAGTTTGAGCTTGTCAAGGGCTTCTGTTGCGGCGTTCCTTTCTAGTTTGGCCGGCATTCTATCTATTGCTTCTTTGACCACGTTAAAATCGCCTATTAGTAGGTCAGGCCGTCTCTCGTTAGGCCTGCTCTCGAAATACAGTCAGATTTGGTCCCAGAAATCTGCATTTTCCGTAACGCTGTTGGGGGCATAGACACCTAGGACAGATAGTTTCTTACCCCCATGTATTTGGGCTTTAACTATGAGCGCTCTTCCAGGTATTATCTCTATGCATTTGGCATGCTCTGCGTCAAATTCGCCCCTGTTTAGTACCGCCGCTATGCCCGCTCTTTGTGTCGGTTTGTCGGGGTCGGCTGAGGCTTTTATCCTGAGTCTCCGGCCAAAGAGGTCTTGGATTGTTTGTTCTCTTGCGTCGTCCATGTGTGTCTCCTGCAGGATCATGATCCCATACTTGTTCTCGCGCATTATCTGGTTGATTTTTAGCCATTTGGCCGTTGGGCCACCTTCCTCTTGCGAGGTTGAGTAGCCTTTCATGTTGAAGGACGCGACTTTGATTGTCGCTCGGTTGTTCCTTCCTCTTTTCCCCTTTTTTCGCGTTTTGTCCACATTTTCTCTAGTAGTGGGTGGGGGGGCGTCATGTGTTCGCCTAAAATCGCTAGGTGGCCCTTCGTCTTGGGCTGGATTCGAGTTCGCGGCTTGCTGGCTCGATCCTGTGTAACCCGGCATGGGTGTAAGTGGGGCGGCTTGCCCTTCTAGATTGCTGCAGCCTTGTGTGTTTTCCGACACTGCGTCCCTGGGGTTGCGGCCGGCTGTGTTGCTGCTCTCCCCTCTGCCTGTGTGGTTTCTATTGCCTGTGGCTGCTTGTGCATTTGGTATTTGATTGTTCGTAGCAGGTTTCAGTCGACTAGGGGGGTCTGCTAGCCCCCCTGGCCTTTAGGGGTGGTAGTGCTTTTCCCTGCTTTCGGGCGCAGGTACTTTGCTTTTACCTTTGGTGGTATGGTCCACCTGGCCTCCCCCCCGGCTCCTACCTGGTTGTGGCTTACCTGTCCGGTTTCCCGTCAGTAAATCCAGCCTCAACCTTCTGTTTGCGCTACTTGGTGAGTATTCTATTTGCGGCCCCGAAAACCGCGTAGCGCTTCGATTAGCATTGGCTTCTCTAGATTAGCTACGTATATATCATGGTTTTTATCCCGCTCATTTCTTTCCGTTCTCCTTCCCTTTCTTATCTGACTTTGTGACTTTCGCTTCCCGTTTGTTCGTGTCGGGTTTGTAGGGGGGTTCGGGCCTCATGAACTCCCCGGCGTCCAGCGTTGGGCCCTTCCAGTCTTTCAGTTTTGGGAAGGGGCAGTATTCGCTGCTGTGGGTTTCGGCCTTGCACCATACGCACCCCACTACTTCTGCCATTGACAACAGTGACCTCATATTGCTAAGTTCGAAGGTGGTTCGTCTAATGGCTTTCAGCCACATGCGGTGATCCTTGTGGTTTTTGTGTATGGGTCTTCCAGCGAGTTGCCAGACGGGTACATTTTCGCCTCGTTCGTCTTTGTGCGGGATGAGGGTCAGGCTTAGTGTAGAGAGGGCGATGATTCTTCTTTCCTCCACGGAGTTGCCCACGCCCATCTCTGCCAGCGCCTTGTTCGTTTCGCGGGTTATGAAGCTGTCCCCGAGGAGGTGGGTGATGATTGCCTCGAGCACATTTTTCATTTCGTTCGGGTCATTTGTCACGTTTCCCCCGGTGAAATTGGCGATGACCCAGGACGTTGGGGCGTCGCCAGGGATTGCGGTGGCATTGAAGGCATGCTTTTTATTGTCGATTTGGAAGGCGAAGGTCTGTCGTCGTATGAGGAGGCTCCTTAGTTTGGGCGGGATGTTTGTAGCTACGTAGGCGAAGGGCATGGCGAAGCAGGCTTTCGCGGGGGGGGGGGGGCTGACTGATGTGACGGGGGGACGACCACAATTTGGCTCGCTCCGGCGCCTTTGAGGCTCTTTAAGAAGGTGGTTACTTGCTCTGGGTATCTTGGGTTTTCTCTGGTAAACTTGTTGCCGGCGCCAAAGGGTATGATTAGTACTGATGTGTCCCTCGCCGATGCAAGCCTCTTCCTCAGGCCTTCGCGCATGTTTCCTGTTGCTGTGGAGTTTTTGTGCGCTATTCTTGGGAGTGCTGTGGTTGTGAAGGGGATCGTCGTCGCGGCTGCTTGGGTTTCCTCTGGTATCTGGCCCCAGTGTGGGTTGGTCGTCATGAGTTCTGGAGGAAGGGGGGTGCTGGTGTAGCCTCGTCTTTGCGCTTCCACCCTTATGGTTGTGATGTCGCCGTGGGTCGATGTCGCGTCTATGATCTTGATGTGTTGGGTTGCGGCTATGCTTGGGTCCTCCTCTGGGCCGAGGCAGTCGAAGTTGGGTGGCGCGTATGGCCTGTATCTCGTCCTTGGCTTGGGGAGTTTCCTGGTCGTTCTTTGGCCATTTCCGTCGAGGTCTGCTGGGTCGTCAACCTGCATGCGCATTCTTTCTGCTTCAGGGACTTTCCGTTTGGGCAGGTTGTTGTTGGGTGTCGTTGGGCGTTGGGGGAACAGTTCGTCACCTCTGGATCTCTTCGCTCTCTTCATCGTGGCTAGGAGGGTTGGGAGTTGGTGGTGCTCGGCGGGTTTCCTTGTCCGCGTTATTACCTGCTTATTTTATTTTTTATTTATTTTTATTTTGGTTTTTTATTTGTGGCGGCCTTGTTTTCATGGCTAGGGCCCTATGTTTAGGCGTGGTGTAGTTACTGGCCTAAGTCGTGATATATTGGTGGTTAGTGCTTATTTCGCTCGATCAAGGGGGCGTTCTTTGTCGCAAGTTCTTCTTTGGCCTTGGCTCGTTCGGCTCTCACCTCTTTGGGGATGGGGCCCTTCCAGTCGGCGACAAGTGGGAAGGGGCATTGTTCCTCGGGGTGGGTTTCGCTCTTGCAGAAGGCGCACGAGTCATAGGGTTTGAGGTTTTTGCACCGTATGAACATTTCGTCGATTTCGTCAATGATATATCGTCGGGACGTGATGATCTTCAGCCATTCCTTGAACTCCAGCCCGTTGTTCGCAATCGGGTTTGCGAAAAGCTGCCATACAGTTATCTCCTTCTTTTCTCTGTTTGTGACGCGCGTGCTGTGCATCTCAAAGCCCTTGAGCGTGTCCTGTACACGTTCGTCGATGGATCTGGGGTTTTCCACTTTCGCGAGACATGCATCTACGTGGTTTCTGAAGTTGGTGTCTTTTGCGAGGGCGGAGGTGATGGTCGTCAGGCCTTCTTGGATTGCTTCCGGGTCGTCGCATACAGCCCGCCCGACTATGTCCGTTATGAACCAGGGCCTTACGTTGGCGTCGAAACGGAGGGCGGAGAAGGCTATCTTCCTCCCTTCAGTTTGGAATGCGAAGGTTTGGTACCAGAGCAGGTATGCTCGGAGCTCTGGGGAGCCGTGGTGGAGCAGGAGGATGTGTGGTTTGGCGAAGTCGCCCCTCTTGTCTGTGTATTTTTTGGGGGGGTCGACTACGCGTATCCTTTTGTTCCCTGCGATGGTGAGCCCTAGGATAAAGTTCTCAATGTCGCTTGTGAGGTTGGGGTTTTCTTCTTTGATCTTGTTCCCTCCCCCGTACACGAGGAGTGCAATATATTTGTTGGGGTTCGCTCTGACCGCGTCGGCTGTTGTCTCCATTATCTCGGCGAGGAGGCCGTCAAGGGATTTTACAATCCTCGGGTATGTTGCCTTTGTGTAGGCTATGCGGGATTGTGATGGCTCGAGAGGGGGCAGACCCCTGCGCATCGTCTGGGCGTGGGGGTTGTTTGGTTGGTACCCATTCGCTGGGTGGGGGGTGGCCTGGGGGCCTTGGTGGCCAAGGGGGTTGTTGTTGGGCAGGTTAGCCATGTTGGCTTCGCCCTGGTTTCCCCCGTCGTGGGCTCTCCCTTTGTCATCGAGTTCGCTGTAAGGGGACACTCCTATTTTCTCCTACTCCCCCTGTCCCGCCCCCTTCCTCCTGGTTCCTTTCCCCTTTCCTTCATTCCCTTTCCTTTCCTTTTGTCCCCTTACCTTTCCGCTTCCCTTCCGTTCACTCCCTTCGCATCCGAGCCCCGTCCGGTGACTCCGAAGTCTTCCCGCACTTCGGACTCGCCTCGGACTCGCTCGGACGCTTCGGACTCGCTCGGACTCGTAGATACACTTCGGGGCTCGTCCGGGCTACCTCTATCCTCCTTTCCCACTTCATTACTCCTTGTCCCCACTTCCCCAGGTCGCTGGCACGACTCCTGTACATTCCCCTTCCACTTCATTATCACATGCCCCCTCGTACCTTGTGATATTCGTTCGTACCTGTGGCTGGTGTACTGTACAGTTACCCTTCATTCCTCCCACGCTACTACAGTATATACTTTGCTTCCTAGCATGGAGAATCCCCATCCTGTTCTCTTTGGATTCTCCCTCTGCTAGGCCTGCGCTGTCAGCCATCTTGAGGTTGCCCTTACATTTGCCGTCTTCTCTCTTGAGGGCATTGGGGTGTTTCCTCTTGGTCGCCTTGGCTGCTGCAGTGGTTGTGTTGGAGGCGGGGTCGAGCATTGCTGTGTTCGTTGGTTCGGCTGGGTGTAGGGCTGCGGCCGTGGAGGTGTTCGTCATGTCGTTATGGGGTGGTAACGGGGGTTTCTTTTGGGGTGTTGGCTTCTCATCGGGGGGTTTATATGTTATGGCTACCCTGAGTTTTGTTTTGTTTTTTACATGGCCTGGCCCCCTTCCTCGTGCACTTGTGTGCCCTCGTTGTTAGTTTGCGGGCTATTGGCTGTTCCCAGTTGGCATTGGTATGCTTGGGCTATCTGTGGGGTTGTCCCTGTTAGCTGTGTGTAGGGGGGGGGGCTGGGAGGTGCTCTTGGCTTCGCTGCGGGGCTTTCCGACAGAGCTTTGCTGTTTTTTAGTGTCGTGGGGCCCAGCGTTGGGCGTAGTCATTGGTTTGCCAGCTGCCTTGCGCTCGTGGTGCATTACGGCTTGCTGTTTTTTCGCGGATTTTCCCTCGGGGTCGGCGCCCTTCGGTGAGCCCGCTCATCGCGTATGAGTGTGTCTTCCCTTCCAGTGGTCGCTCCATCGGTTGGGGCCTTACGGCGTGTTTTGCAAACCTCTGCTGCGTTCAGCCAGAGGATGTCCTGTTAGTTCTCGCCGCTTGTGAGCGGCGATTAATCCCTTGCGCCACGGAAAGGCCAGGACGCACTCCACCACGTGGTGGTTGCAGTGCAAGGGATATGTATACGTACTTGATTGATTCCTCCAGGTCTCGAGAATCGTTTGCATTCTTTTTCCTGAGTTGGGTGCCGTGGCTGATTTTGTTCTTCTGATGTCAAAACGTGTACGGAGACTAGGGTGCTGTTGTTGGGTCTAAGACGAAAAGAGGCTGGGAACTTGGGGTATGGGATAGGGGTATCGGTGTACATGTTGAGTACGAGGCTTGATATCGAGCGAATGAATCATGATATACGCGTAGGTTGCAGACTGAGAGGGGGCTTGTGCCGGTGCTGTCAGCATTGACGGAACTGGGAGGAGGGAGCAGATTTACTTCAGTCGTGCCAGTTGTGACTAGTTCTCATTACTGTGGCACACAGATTTGAGTCCCGTAGCCATTCCTGCCATGTTGTGTCACGTCTCCGTCCGTGTTACAGTCGAGGACAATCAAAGACATCAAATAAATATTGACCATTAATTTTACCCTTGGAATTGTTTTAGAATGATAATAGGCATCTATTAGAATATATCCCGCATGGTCCGAGTGAATTCTATTGAGCCGTTCATTGGCGGAAAAACAGTGAACCCTCAAAATTTTGGCCACACGCAAAAAAAAGATGGGTGAAATTTGAATAAGCCATTTTATAGTACTCTTCAAGCTAGACATTTTACAATATAAATAATTGATATCTAACGAGTGGGTGTAAGATGGTGAAGCCTTCTTACTATGTTCACGCTGCACGATACGCAAGACCGACTCTATTCGGGAACATATGTGCGTGGTGTAAGTAAAAGAAGTTAACTACCTAATACGGATGTACGCGTAATAGTATCCAAGTTAGGAGTGTCATGTGGCTCAGGGGAGCCAGGGGTTACACCCGCTCCCTCTAGATTGCTGGTACGCAATCTAATAGACAAAATTTATGACAAGATATATACAAGTAAATGATTTAAAGGAACTAAGTAATGAGCGAAGTAAGGAAAGTGGTATTAGAGTTAAGGCGTGGGTACGCCAGGATCGCTGTCAATAATGGGCGACATGGTGATGTCGTCGGTTACGAATGATGGTGAGGTCGCTGGCGGGAGCGATGTGGGGTGTGTGTGCGGGTGGTTGGACCCAGACGTAGATGCAGCAGTTTGAGTGACGGCGGAGGGGCCGGCTTGATGGCTGGATGACGAAGAGTGTAAGTAGGCGGGGGGAACAATCGTGCCCCCCAGCGATACCGTATGGGATGTAGTGTTGTCTGCTTTGACAACATCGTCGTCCCATTCGAATGGGAGAGAGGACGCCAATGAGGGTGGCCCCAGCCTGTCCACCATGGATTCCGGGAATGCCGGTGATGTCGAATGACCTTGTATGGGGTCCCCCATGGTCACTGTTGTGTGGCCGAGGGTGGTGGCAACCACGTGTAATTGCCTCAAAATTGCGGCATTCGTGTTGTAACCACCACGGGAAGTAGTCACGGGAGGGCGCGGCCGTTTGGATCGAACCTCGGTGGGTTCGGGAGGGCACCCCGGCGGGAAGTAGACATGGGGATTCCGCAGGAGGAGTGGTGCGTTGGGCGCACTGGGTGGATATTGTGAGGTAGGCAGCGCGAGGAGCTGCTGGCGTGTGGGGTAGGTATTGGGGCGATTCTCGTTCCGCGGATCGAGCAGCCACTGTCGTGCGAAGAGCCAAGCATCGTTCGCCATTTCGATGCTGACTCCGCAGGCGGCCAGGTGTGCCGCAACGTCCTCGACCGATAGATTGTCGAGGTGTCCTGCAACGTCCTCGACCGATAGATTGTCGAGGTGTCCTGCATCGTCCTCGACCGATAGATTGTCGAGGTGTCCTGCATAGTGGGACGGATGATACATGGAGGGGACGGTTAGTCCCAGTCGTTGAATCACGGCCTGGTACCTCCCAGGCATTGCAAGGAGGGTGGTCGCACGCTCAGCGTATACCGATCGATTACGCTCAAGAGCGGGATCTCCCGCCGCTGGTGACGGGCCCGTTCGTCGTATTAGACGATGCCCTTGTCGAGTCCTTAGGTCGAGCGGATTGTCGCCCAATCCCGCGGACATGGCCTTGACGTGCCTGAAGTAATAATCGTACGCGCACCACGCTTCAGGCGGTGCGTCCATGCTTGGGGCTTGGTACCCTGTTGTGGGTCTTAATTCAGTACGACTCGCCAGTCCCGGTCTCGTGGCTGAGACGGGTACCGAATCGTCTGTGGTTGCCTCGAAACGAGGCGCGGCCGTTGTGCCGCTGGGTGCCGATATCGTGGCGTTGGCTACCGTGATTCTTGGTAGCGGGCGTATATTCCTCACCCTTTGACCCAGTCGGGGGCTCTCCATGTTCGCAGCGCAGCCCTCATGAATCCTCTCATGGGCTTCTTGTCGCTGGCTAGCTGATTTGCTATGTTGACCACCGATCGACAGCTATTGTAAGCATCCCAATTGTCCGGGATTTGTGCGGCTTGCACCATTTCTGCCCATGCCGCCGAGTTCTCGGGGATCATGGGCTGCTCGTTTCCTCGCGGAGCTGTAGGTGTGCTCAGCCTTCCCACTAAGCTGTGGGCGGACGCGGCTTGCGAGTAGCTGGATGGCCCCGCTTGTGGTAGCGGCGGAAATTCGGAGGCCGTTCGTCGGCCCCTGGGCTGGTCGACCGTCGTGTTATCGGCCGTGTTTATGTAACGCGGGGGCTCCTTGGCATCTGATGCTTCGGAGTCCCCATAATCCGAGTTTAGATCATAATAGTCGTCCTTGAGCCCACTGGTCACCGAGAGGTTAGACTGTGGCTGGGACGCCATTCCCATTGACGACTCCATTTGTGAGCTTGTTGTATCGGATACCGGCCGTCCTGGAGACAGCGATAACCGCGTCTTTCGACGGTTGTGTCGATGGGCGTCGTCCTGTGACGCCTCCAGTTCTTTAATCCTGGCGCGTGCATCGTCCAGTTCCCGCTCTATGCGATCAGCATAGTTGTTTAGCCGGGTTAGTTTCCCGTCGATTTCGTCGAGCTCGTCTCGGTCGGACTCTATCGTCCGCCTGGCTGTATCACACAGCCTGTCGTAGTCGTTGAATATTTCCGGGCATATGTCCCGGGCCATGAGCTTTCGGTCAGCTCGTGCGTGATTGTTCCTAATACCTACCATGAAGTGGCTGGTAAAGTTGATGCAAGTGGTGCATTCTGTGTTGGCGCAGTTCATGCACCCTATTCCTGTGTTTATCCAGGTCTGTTGTCGGGGCTGCCCTAGATCGTATGGGGCTGCTGGAAATGTATCCAGCTCGGCTATGGTCCTCGCCATGGCTTTTCCTTTGCCTTTGTCTCTGCGACTCGGCTGTCCCTCCCCCTCTTGAGCGTCTCTTCGCTCATGATCGTCATCGTCATTCCGTGGTCTGTTTTGGTCTCCGTCCATGTGGACGTCGTTGTTCGCGGGTGATTTCCCGCTCATGATGGTGTTGTAAGTCGTTCTGGTTGACTTGTGTACTCCGCGATCATCCCCAACTGTACAGGTGTTAGTCACCCTATCCCACGGCTAATCACGCTCTCAATTGGGCATTACCGACGCTTGCCTGATTTGGCCTTGCGTGGTAGTGACTCAATCGTCTCAACTCTGTGATACTCTAAGTATCTGTCGAGGGCCTCTAACCCGTCGCAATGGGATCGTGGTTCCCATGTGGTATCTCCCATATTCCATTTTATGTGGAATCGTATCCTATTGCCATTCCATTCATGGCCAATTACTTTGTCGACGACCCATTCGGCGTCGTCGGGGACCCCCCAATCATACGGATCGGCCAGTCGCCGATTCGGGAACAGTGCGTCATCGTTGGCGATGTGAGGTCGCAATTTCGATACATGGAACCTCGGGTGGATTCCCCGTTTTGCTAATTCATCGGGCAACTCTAGCACGTAGTTAGACGTCTCAGGCAAGGCCTTCAGGACCTTGTATGGTCCCACGTACTTGGGGAGCAGCTTGCCCGCCCGCCCCTTGGGCAGAGCCAGGTTGGATGTATCCAGATACACCATGTCACCTTGCCCGATCTTGGGCTCATTTCGCCTCCTCGCGTTTGCGTAGTACGTCTGAAATACCCGTCGTTCAACTACGGCGTCATAGACGTCTGAAATGTTTTGTCGGGCTTTCTCGACGAACGCCGCTACTCCCGGCGCTCCAACAAATTCAGAGCGGTGGACCTTCATGGTCGTTGGCAGGTAGCCATAGTTAGCCTCGAAAGGGGCCAATCCCGTCGTACTACTTATACTCGAATTTATGGCGAATTCAACCATAGGTAGTTTCGTCACCCAGTCGGACTGGTCCGATTTCACTACCGATCGCAGTATTTGAGCGATAGATCGGTTAGCTCGTTCCGTCTGTCCGTCCGTTTGTGGGTGGAAAGATGTAGACATATTCAGTCTGGTTCCCAACATGCGATGTAATTCGCGCCACCACTTAGAGGTGAATTTGGAGTCTCGATCAGAGACTATGGTGGATGGCAATCCATGCAGCCTACATATTTCCTTGAGGTATATTTCGGACAGCTGGGATGCTGTCGTCCGCGTGTTAACGGGGACTAGGTGTACCATCGACGTGAGTCGGCAGATGACCACCCATAGGTAGTTTTTGCCATCTACTTCTGGAAATGGGCCGACAAAGTCCATTCCTATGCTGTCCCACGGTTGAGTGGGTATCGGTAGATTGTGTAGTTTACCGGCAGGCGGCTGGTAATTGCCCTTCGCCCGCTTACAAACGACACAAGTATCACAGAATTTTGTGACCATGGCTGTCATTTTGGGCCACCAGTACCACCTGCGTAGGTACTCAGTCGTCTTAGCAGGTCCAAAATGACCCACCACTTCGTGGGCCTGCTCTATGGCCATGCTTCGCAATGGCACCCCATTGAAATCACCCGATGGAAGGCAGAAGACGTACTCACTCCCCACATTGTGTACCCAAACCAATCGGTCCTTGACCTTGAATTTGGGATACTCGGCGGGTTTATCGGTGATTTTCGATAGCATGTGATCTGTCGCACTATTCATGCGCACCGATGTGGTGAATCCTGCATGCGCAGCTAAATCAGCCCGCAGGTTGTTGCCCTTGTCGGCGGATTCGAATACGGTGGGATCGCTGTCGCGCGTTTCCCGTTCGTCGACGGTTGGCGTATTTGCCTGTCCGATTTTATCGGCTTCCTGTTGTCGGTTCAGTTGTCTGTCACCGATCCTGATGGCTCGCAGTTCACCTGCGTGCCGTCGTGATTCTATCACGCGTGGCCAAGGTACAATATCTAGGTTGGGGTCAACCCGCATGTCTGCGTTGACATACTCGTTGACGTCGTGTACTTCGTCGTCGGCGTCTTCCGCGTAATAACGCGATAGGGCATCAGCGACTTTATTCAATGTTCCCTTGACGTACTGGATGTTGAATTGGAAACGGGATAAGTACTCCATCCATCTGGCCTGTCTTGCTGACGGTCGCTTAATGTTCTGGAAGAATTCCAGCGCGCGATGGTCTGTGATGACCGTGATGGGGTACCCCAATAGTTTGTCCTCCCATTTGAGGAGTGCCTCAATTATGGCCAGGGCTTCGCGCTCGTACACTCGATAGTGATGTTGAGCGGGGGTGAATTTGCGGGACATGAATCCCGCGGGCCTACAGGTGGCCCATTCGGTTCCCTGACCGTACATCGCCCCCACGCCCGATAGCGAGGCATCACATATGACCCATATCGTCTCTGGATTCGAGGGGTCGATGGGCCTGAGTATGGGCGCCTTGCAGCATAATTCCTTGATGGTGGTGAAGCACTTGTCGTGCAGTGGCCTCCAGTAGAAAGGCTGGCCGTTCTTTTCCATCGATTGGAGTGGGCCTGCATATGCTGCGAGTTCTGGAATGAAGTGGGCTAGGTACTGTACAAGCCCCATGAATTGCAGCACATCAGTGTATGTACGTGGCGTACGCCATTCTCGGATACGTTGCAACTTATCGTTGCATGGTTTCAGCCCATTCTTGTCGATTATGTGTCCCAGGCAATCGACCTTGTCGGCGTACAGTTCGCATTTCTCAGGCTTGAGGTAGAACTGATACTCGCGGATCTTTGCAAACACCAATTTTAGGTGTCGTTCATGGTCCTCGATTGTATTACTGTATACAAATACGTCGTCCAGATAGACGTGGACAAACCGTCCGATGAAGTCACGGAATATGTGGTTCATAATCCGTTGGAACGTGGACGGCGCATTGCAGTCTCCTTGCTGCATAACGTTGCTATGGAACGTGCCGTATATGGTGGCGAACGCAGTTTTCCATACGTCTGCCGGTTCCACTCGTACTTGTTCGTACGCGTCTGAGAAATCGATTTTTGATCGATATTTGGCGCGGGCCACATCCATACGTATGGTATCTTGGTCCGGGAACGGTGTTACGTCCTTTCGTGTATTCTCGTTCCGTTTGCGGCAATCCACTACTGTTCGTAGCATTCCCGATTTTTTGAATACGCACAGCATTGGTGCTGCTTGGTCGACTTGAGCCGCCTCCCACCATCCTGTCCGTGTATACCTAGTTATCTTTTCCGATAACTGTGACTTCAGTGAGTCAGGGCATTTTGGCAGATAATAATTATATCTTTTGCCCTCATCCAATAGCGGGATGGTGTGGTTTATGTCCCGTAGTGGCGGCAGCCCGTCTGGCGGGCCTTTCATTATGTCGGCGCATTCTTCTAGCCATCGTTTCCGTAGAAACGGGATGTGATCATCGTTCAGCGTTGTGGCTGACCCGATTTCTTTTCCCAGTTGCTCCGTTGCAGCTCGTAACATGGTTGTTACTCGTGCCGTTCTCTCCTTTCGCGCCCTTTTTTTGTTATTTCCTCCATCGTGTGTTTTATGATGAGGAACATGGCTCCTTCGGATCCTGGTTAGGATCTCTTCAGCTTCGATTAGCTGCTGGTGGTTCATGGCGACATCCTTGTCGTCTGGGTCATACGGCAGCTTAGCCTTGCCCGCGCTCTTGGACGCTTGGGGCCGTGTTGACACTTCATCTAGTCATTTCCTCCGTTGTATGGAGTGTCTTCTGGCCATAATTCGTGTCTCCTCCCCCTCCTTAATTGCGTCGAATGTGTGGTTGCCTATTCGGACACATTTATCCGCGAAATCGAGTACTATGCCGTACTTTCGCATTGTGGGGGTGCCGATAATTGCGTCGTATCGGTCCAAATTGGCTATATCGAAGTATGTTTTCAACACTATTGGCCCTAGTTTTAGGGTGGCTTCTGCTCCGAAGTTTATCTTCGAACTGCTGCCTACCGTGCCCAATTGTAGTGGCACTGGCTCTTTCAGATGGCCGTATGGAATTCTCGCGACTCTAGCGTATTCCGGACTGAGACTGTCAGTCGTGCATCCTGAATCGAATAGTGTGAAAGCTTGTTCACCGCCTATGTCCAACAACATCGCTAGTACAGCCTTTTCGTCGCTCGTTCATTGTGGCCTAGCCACGTATTTACGATCTTGCGACCACAATGCGATTCGGTCTCCCGCTATTTGTTGCCGATGCCGCTGCTCTGGTGCGGTGTTTCCCATTGCGAACATGCGTTCTCCCAACGCTTCGTTCATCGCTGCCATGTGTTCTCCCAACGCTTCGTTCATCGCTGCCATGCGATCATCGCCAATGTCCTCGGGTTCGTCCTCGTACTCGTCCCGAGATTCATCACCGTCGCTAGTGGGCGACGAGTATCTTGATCTCTTGTACTCGTCGTGTCAATCACCGTCGACGTTGGCGCTGGTCATGCCTCCAGCTTCCGCTACTGACCGCTGGTCCTGTGCCATAGACACCGCCGATCGTCCGTCATCATGATCGTTCACGTCTCGTGCAGCAAACATTTTCGGCTGCTCCCGTTTCGGGCATGCTGGGTCACTCGCAAAGTGTCCCAAGTTGCCACACGCGTAGCATCGCGCCTGGGATGGCCCTGATTGTGTCTGCCTAGGCGCGTTGGGCCGTGTGGCACGATTAATTATGGGTCCTTTCCCAGGCCGCTCGTCCTTCCGTTCATTGCGAGCGTTATTGATGGGCGGCGTCAACCTTGCAGTAGTATTTGGTTCCCCTCTACGCGGAACATGCGGGCTTGATTTGCCCTCGTTGCCATTGTGGTGCGGGTGCCTGGCGAACCTACGGTTCCCCGATGGCGGCCTTTCGCCATTCGCGTTGGTGTTTGCTGCTCGTTTCAAGCTAGCAGCCGCGTAATGTTTAGTAATTATCCGTCCTTCCTCCACTTGGATGGCAACGCGGTATATCTCTTTCAGGCGGTGTCGTTCCGCCGTATATCCACGGTTGATTATCACATTCCTGATGTACGAGGGCAGTCCCATTAAGAACTGTCGCCTGAATGTATAGGCATCCACCGAATGAATCATACGCGCGGCCTTACGGTCGAGCTCGTCGTAGAAGCCCCTCACGCCTCCGCTGCCCGTGTATTCAACGGCGTAGAATTGCTCAGTGGCATCTTGCATCGCAGTGGGCTGTACAAACCGGTCGTACATGTCTAGTATGACTCTCGTGAACATCCACGAACGGTGGCGTCGGTACATTCCATCGACCTCGTCGTTGTACCATGTTGCCGCTTTTCCGTCGACGAATAGGCCGACCATGGCTACACATTCACTGTCCCTTTCAGCGCCTCCATATAGTTGGAGGCGGAGCCACCTCAGCAGCGATTGCAGCCAATTGTTGAATATCTCAACGTCTGCATCTCCCGAATACTTGTCGGGTTTCGGAATACCCGATGGTGGCTTCAGCCCGTTGGGTAGCACCAACTGCTCTCCTAATTGATCATTTATTAACGTCAGATATCGGTGTTCGATGGCACGTTGATAGGACGATGATTGTCCAGGCAGTTCATGCCTTCCCACATCCAGGTCTTCTGATGTGAGTCGTGACCGGTGCCTCCGATTGACATCCACATCATTGAGTTCGCCCATACGCAGGCGGGCGGTTTCTCTGCGATGGGGTTCCCCGTCGCCGTTGTCGTCACCTAGGCTCGACAAGGATCGATTTCTCGATCTAGCTCTCCAACCCACTGGGGGCAGCTCTGCATACGGCTGGGTTGCCGAAATGTTGTATCGCGATGAGCAACAATTAGTGGCTGGGTCTCCCCCATGACCAGGGGCCGTGTGGCCTGGGTTACGGTCAGACAGCACTGTTACTGCGGTTTTTACGCGCTTGGGGCGTGCCGGGGCGGCCGTCGCCACTCTCTCATTGGTTACGCCGTTAGTCTGATGAGCGGGCCGCTCCATGGGCATGCCCTTATCATCGAATATTATCCCTTGGTCAGGGATCTCGGTGTATTCGTGATTGTTTATGGCGTCATTTCGCCATCGCTGTAGAGCCACACGTGTATCCCAGCTAGGGTGTACTGGGTCTCTGGGTTCGTGGACGTTGTCCACGTCTGCTGGCTGCCCAGCTAGGTTGGCACCGTTGCCATTGTGTTTGTCGCGTGTGGCCCGGTCGGCCAATATGGCTCGCACCAGATCGTTTATCTGCTCTGTAGACAGTTGTGTCCCCGTTTCGTTCTCTCGAATTCTCATTTGAATGAGAAATTCGGTAAACGCGCCCTGCGAAAGCGTAGGCGATGGCATTATCGTTTGCCGTCTGTCCACTGAGCGTTGGTCGTTGACCCATTCCCTCATTCGTTGGGACGATGTTTCAGATTCGTTTTTTACATTGCCTCGCTCGTATTCACTTGCTAACCTTCTTTCCCTTTCTCTGTCCCGTTCCAAGTCGGACGACGTAGCTCGTCCTTTCCCTTTATTGCGGGTGGGCAATATGGACTCGATGGACTCTGTCCGTCTGGCGCTCGGCGCTCTGTTACGAATGGAACCCTCGTTTGTGTCCAGCGTACGTGAGCTAGGTGGCCTCTGCGCCCTGCCCTCGCCTCTGGTCGAGTGGGACCTTCGTTCCCCGGACGCTCCCGGATTGGGGACTGGCGGTTGGCGGAAGCGAAGCGGCGTGGGGTTGCTTTCCCCATGCCAGGACCCGGGGTGGTCTGATGCCCTATGTGGCACTTGTATCGCACACTCGGAGGTATCCGACGAACTCACCCGGTTGCTTCTCCTTCCATGCTCGTGTATTCGAGCTTCGTCCCACGCGTTGGGCGTGAAGTAGTCTCGTGGACTATGTGACATTCCCGTCGAGGAATTTTATGGTTGCGTAAAAAAGTGTAAGATGGTGAAGCCTTCTTACTATGTTCACGCTGCACGATACGCAAGACCGACTCTATTCGGGAACGTATGTGCGTGGTGTAAGTAAAAGAAGTTAACTACCTAATACGGATGTACGCGTAATAGTATCCAAGTTAGGAGTGTCATGTGGCTCAGGGGAGCCAGGGGTTACAGTGGGTGAGGCAGAAAACAATTAACAAACTTGCTCACGTGAGATAGGGACCCCTGGGTGTCTCCTCTTGGCGCTATCATGTTATCGGCGCAGCTGTGTCATCCCCACCGTTGGATATCAATGAAACAATGTAGAAGGCCTTCAAGGCCTTGAAGAATGATATAACCGGCCTCTACATTACACTGCAACTCACAAAGTTTTAAATATGTCATATAGTATGTAAATACTGGGTCCCAGTCATCACGGTTGGCGTGACTAGCAATAGAATCTTTAGTTCATCATTAAATTGACTCAAAAGTTGCTCAAAAGGGTAGTATATGTTGCAAAAAATTCCCAAAAAAAAACTGGCCACATTAAATACTTGTGGGAAAAACTTCGGACATCATTTTTTGAGCTCTTTCAGGTTGTCTGGTCCTGAATCTGAACTCGGTTTGGTCCCAAAATTTCTCAATCTGTCTTGATCATATTTGATGTCTTTGATTGTCCTCAACTGTACAGCTCGAACACCCGCATGTCATACATGAGAGCGAGAAGTTCGCGAATTTGCGGCACAAGGCCATCTTCAGTACACCAAAGACATGGAACTACCCCCGCAAACGCCTCTTCAAGCACAAGCGAAATGTCTGCCACTTCAAGCGAGCCAGATATTCTGCTATCTCGCAGGTTAATTGTTGATGAAGGAGCTGAAGTAATGGCCAATGTGCCTGATGATTCTACCGGAGTTCACGAGGAAGCACGAGACAAGGAGTCTTTGAGGGACAACCCCCCAGTTACTGAGACATCTACTGCTTCCCACGAGATGCAAGGACGTCTATTGCACGCCTCAACAATTGATCGTGCCACCAGGGTATGCTTGCCACCACCCATCATTTCCGTTGGTGGTAAAGATGCTGTGGGCCTTCAAGAGGAGTTCAAGATGATGTGCCGCCAGGGCCAAACAAACCTTCACAGAAGGAGAAAACCAAAACCTTTTTCGGCATGAGGCAAAGTGGTCATTGACCGGGCTATACAGATCCTTGTAAGTGGCTAAAATCATCAGATCTTTCATGTTATTCAACAACCTTTGTAGGTGATTATGAGCACATATTTCCTGAAGATCCAATGTATCACGAGCTAGATGAAAATGCTTGTGTCTGGAGGGTGTATATGGAGGAGGCTGCAGAATTTGATGCAGACATGTTTGTCAAAGCTGCAGATGGCCTAGATGCCCTTCTTGTATTTGTATGTTCTTTCATTTCTCATACCCTGAGGATGGCTAACATTTTCATCCAGGCTGGTCTTTTCTCTGCTGTGTTGACCACCTTTGTTGTTCAAACATCTCAAGCACTGTCTACTGACGCAGTCTCTGCATCCCTCCTCACAGAGCTTGTTGCAATTCAACGGGCAATTGCAGGAGGAACATCAGTGGCTGACATTACACCAAGTAGTATGGCAACCAGCCCCTCATCATTTGATGTTTGGATAAATGGACTTTGGTTTATAAGTCTTGCACTTAGTTGGGGAACAGCATTACTAGCTGTACTTGCAAAGCAATGGCTGCAGCAATATACTCCATTGACCTCTGGGACAACTCAAGACTGTAGTCTAATCCGTCAATACCGCTTGGATGGTCTAAAGAAATGCAAGATGCTTCCTATGATTAGTCTCCTTCCTGTTGCTCTTCATATATCCTTGGCTATCTTTTTCATAGGGCTTGTGATCTTTCTTGTTCCACTCAATAAACCACTGGCAGTCACTATAGGGTGCATTGCATTCTTGATATATGCATTTTATGCCATAACCAACATCTTGCCTCTTGCCTACTCTCAGTGTCCTTACCGTACTCCATTCTCTGACATCCTCCATGGGATCTATGATTCCATCTGGCATATTATGTTGATTGTTATCATACTTATGTGGCCATTCATTTCATGGGCAGCATCATCAGTTATTCCCTTATTCCAGCATGTGCCACCCATTCTCTGCACCAAGATGGTGTTGATTTTGGCAGCCATCAAATCAGCTTTCAAATGGTTGAAGTCATTGCCTGGCATCCTCGACAAGTCCTTGCTCCTAGCTATGTCAAGATATTTCTATCTGATCTCTTATAAGCTTAAGAATGTTACCTCATTGAATTCACTAAGGGTTATTGAACAAGAAGCAGCAGTAAACTCAGAGAATATTTGTAAGGGGACACTCCTATTTTCTCTCCTTTCCTTCATTCCATGGACTCTTACCTACATTCCCTTCATTCCCCTTCGTTCCTTTTCGCTCCCTTTCCTTTCCACTTCCTTTCCACCCACTCCTTTCGCATCCGAGCCGCGTCCGGTGACTCCGGAGTCTTCCCGCACTCCGGACACTTCGGACTCGCTCGGACTCGTCTCGGACACTTCGGACTCGCTCGGACACTTCGGACTCGCTCGGACTCATCTATACTCTTCGGGGCTCGTCCGGGTTACCTCTATCCTTTTCCCCCACTTCATTACTCTTCGCCTTTACTTCCCCAGGTCGCTGGCACGACTCCTGTGCATTTACCCTTCCACTTCATTATCACATGCCCCCTCGTACCTTGTGATATCCGTTCGTACCTGTGGCTGGTGTACTGTACAGTTATCCTGCATTCCTCTCACGCTACTACAGTATATACTTCGCTTCCTAGCATGGAGAATCCTTATCCTGTTCTCTTTGGATTCTCCCTCTGCTAGGTGAGCAGCCCTCTCATGTATTGTAGTTAGCCTTATTCATTATCTTTGGATTCTCCCTCTGCTAGGCCTGCACTGTCGGCCATCTTGAGGTTGCCCTTACAATATTGGTATTGATGCTGTGGCATGGCTTCTTCATTCTACATCCAGCCCACCCACCACCATTACTGTACTGCAATGCTTGGGGGGCTTCTCACCTGAAACTCAGACAAAGTCTGAGTTGCCATCTAAAACTGTTGTATAGTCAGTTTTATAGGCCCGCTAGAGTGCTAGACATAGACTAGTGTTAGAGTGATTACCACGAGGAAATGCTTTATGCACGACGTGTGGGACTCCTAATGGCCAATCTCATCTGTTGTCTCTATGAGTTGATAGGCCACTACCCACTAAAACCCCGTAAAGGTTTATCCAGTTTTTCGGGAGCTCGTGTTCATTCATGAGAACACCCTTCCACGTACTTAGCACAGTTTTTGTTTTGACTGCGTGTTTCCCATATCTTTTGTTAGCCATTTCCTGTCTAGGTCTAACCTCTCATTTATTGAGCTACTCCATTTGTTTTGTACCTCTGTCTTTGACAGCGGCTGGTTGTTGTCCTGGATAACCCTAGTGCAGTGTAATTTCCAGATGAGGTATGCGGCTTCTGCGACTAGAATTCGCCAGAATCTTGTGTTGCCATGTTGTTTCTCGTTCTTCTCATTGTATACAACCCTAGTGCTACAGGCAAGAATGTCACCTAACCACGGCTGTCTCCATTTGTATCCTTTTCCTTCCCAGAGCTGCTTGGCCATCTGCCATATTTCTGCTTGCCTGGGAGTTTGGCAAGCAGTTAGGATATGGGCCATGTCTTCAACTGCATCGTTGTAATGTTTGCATAGGCCTCTCTCCGTGTATTTGCCTCCTATTGTTCGGGTCCAGTAGCCCTGATTTTATAGGCGTCGTGGATCGACATGCAGAAGAAAAATCTCATTTTACGTGAGAAATCCTTGTTCCTTATTGCCTTCCATATCTGTTGTTCGTTTGGTGCTGTTCTGTCATAGACCAGTCCTCATGCCCCCTTAGCCCCTATGCCCCTTTCGGATACTCGGACCTTCGGAGTCCCTCGGGCTCCACCCTCCTATGCATGGTGCACAGCACTTGGATTCACCTGTTACATGTTTCATGTTATAGGCGCGTCCAAGGAACCCCTTAGGGGCTACCAGGGGGCGCGCCCACGTGCGTTTCCCGACTATGGGCTCGGGCCGCGCTTATACGCGGCCACGCGGACTTTCCGGATTACGGACTAAGTACATACTCGAGCACATTGTAGTTACTACGACCGAACTCATTACTGTTTCGTGAACGCGCGGACGCCGCGTGTTCCTTAGTATATAGTCCTGTATCGTACATACAGCTACCTTAGTTCGAATATTAGTTCCTTCTCCGCACTCGCATCTCGCCCCTCTAGTGGGTTCTCCCCCCGTCGCACCCCTTCGCCTCCGCCCGTACCCTCGGTACCCGCGTAGGACTCCTCCCGGAAATACAGGGCACGCAAGAGTGTGGGAGGCGCAGCCAGTAGCTGAAGCCAAGCCCGTACGTCCTCGTTTCCCCCGTTCCCCCACGCGTCTACGTGGAACCGCGCACCCGCGGGTCCGCGTATCCCGAGCCCCCCCCTGCGAGTGTGGCTCCTAACAGTATATTCGAACTCACAACCCAGCTCTTGCTCTCGTCCCCGCAAGTCCTTGTCAACATCATGGCTGGTGGCACTCAAGCGGGCCCATCGCGGCCTACTCGCGTGAGCCAACAAGCCGCCGCCACCCTCGTCTCTCCGCTACACACCACGGCCCACGCGCGCAGCCACGCCAACAAAGGAAAAGCTCCTGCGGTTCCGCGTCTGCGTGCGACGTCTTCACCATCGTTTCCTCCGTTCCGCTCCCCTACGGTCGCCGCGGGAGTTGCCCCGCAACCCGCGCCCCCTCCAGAGACACCCAAGTCCGAACCCATCCAGTCCTTTCCCCCGTTCAACGTCCTGTCCCCGATCCATTCCCGCTCGATCCCTTCGAATGAAGAGCGCGCTCCCTCGCTTCCGGCGAGCAACCATGGGTCAGAACAGGCGGACGAGGAGAAGCAACCCTCGTTCCACGGTTCTGGACCGCGGCACCCCTGGGATTCCGACAACGGCTCCGAAGACCACTTCCGCCCTGCGGACCACGTGTTCCTTCACGCGCTATCCGCGCTCAGCAGAGAAATCAAGGACATCCATAATCGTGAGTCATCCGCTACCCCTGCCGCTCCTTCCGCCTCTCGTCCCAAACCCCGCACCCCCGACCCTTACGACGGGTCCGACCCGTTGAAACTCAACACATTCCTCGTACAACTCAAGCTCTACTTCAACGCCACCCCCGCACTCGCCTCCGACGAGGATAAAGTGACGTTCGCCTGCTCGTACCTCAAGGGAAACGCGTTCGCCTACTTTCAGCCCGAGCTGATCGATGACGCCGCGGATCCCGAATGGCTCCATAGCTACTCGACCTTCGTTCAAGTTCTCCAAGAGAATTTTGGTGCGTTTGACGCTACCGCGGAGGCTGAAGCGGCATTGGACCAACTCAAGATGGGGGACAGGCAACGCATAAGTAAGTACAATGTGTTGTTCCAGCAGCACTCTGCGTTGGTGTCCTGGGGCCCCGCGGCTCTCCAACACCGTTACTACCAGGGTCTCCCGGACAGAATCAAGGACGCTCTTCTGAACCACTCGAAGCCGGGCTCGCTCGCACGGCTCCGCTCCCTCGCGCAGGCCATCGACCAGCGTCACTGGGAACGGGAGGCCGAGCGTACGCGCAACACCCGCGCCTCCGAGAAATCCGCGCCTGCGAAATCCTCTTCCGCGTCCACCCCGTCATCTAAGTCCCCCGCTCCTTCGTCCTCGAAATCTTCGTCCTCGGCTCCCCGCGCAACCGCAACTTCCAAAGACTCCACTCACCTCGGCGCCAACGGCAAACTCACTCCTGAGGAACGTCAACGACGTTTCGACAACGAGCTCTGTTTGTTCTGCGGCGGCGCGGGGCACAAGGCGAACAAATGCCTGAAGAGCCAGAAGAAGGCCAAGGCCCGCGCCGCGGTCACTGAACCCGCGGAAGACGCAGAGTCCACCGCGCACGTCTCTGACGCCGAATCGAAAAACTGACTGGCGCCTCCGAGTCTCTGGCTCGTGTAGGTCGCCCCCCTGTTCTATGGCCGGCAGTTTGTAGATTAAACGGTTCCGCGCTCTCCTCGCCTTCCGCGTTACATTTACTACTTACTTCTAATTCGCTCTCGGACTCCCTCGCTCGTTTTCGTGCTCTCGTTGATTCTGGTTCGACCCATTGTTTCGTAGATACTATGTTCTCTCGTTCACATGGACTCATTACTTACCCTATAACTCCTATTAAACTACTGCTTTTCGATGGTACCTCTAACAACTTCATTACCGAAGCTATAGATATCCATCTCCGGTTCCCGTCTGGCGACAATATGACTGTCACTTGTCTTGTGACCCCTCTGGATCCGTCCTGTTCTGTGGTTCTTGGATTCGACTGGCTCTCCCGCTACAATCCGTTGATTGACTGGGCTCAGAGCAGCATCATTTTCCGTTCCCCAATTCTCGACACTCCTAGTATAAGGCCTTGCGCGCCGCCCGCGGTGCGCGCTACCTCTTGCGTTGAAGCATCTCCTTCGACACCCTCGACTCCGACCTCGGCCCCGACTTCGTCCTCTCCGCCTAACATCTCACTGGTCAACGCAGCCGCGTTCCGCGCTGCGTCCCGACTTGCGGGATCGACGGTTTTTCAGATTATGATACGACCCGAGACCACCTCCGCCAGAGCCGCTAGCATAACCGACCCCGACCTATCCACGGTCCCCGAAGAATACCATGAATTCTCGGACGTGTTTAGTAAAGGCAAGGCCGACACACTAGCTGAACACCGACCTTATGACCTCAAGATTGAACTCGAAGACGGTGCCGCGCCTCCGGTCGGCGCCATGTACTCGCTTTCGCAATCAGAGCAGCAGACCTTAAAGGAGTTTATCGACGAACACCTCGGACTTGGATTTATACGATCCAGCAAGTCGCCCCACGGCGCACCCGTTCTTTTTGTCAAGAAGAAAGACGGCTCCCTTCGGCTTTGCGTCGATTACCGCGGCCTCAATCGCATCTCGAAGAAAGACCGCTATCCCTTGCCCCTCATCTCGGATCTCCTCGATACTCCACGCAAAGCATCGGTATATACAAAGATCGACCTTCGGCACGCATACCATCTGGTACGCATCGCTGAGGGAGACGAATGGAAAACCACGTTCCGGACCCGCTACGGCTCCTTCGAGTGGTTGGTTGTACCCTTTGGGTTGACTAACGCCCCCTCCGCGTTCCAGCGGTTCATGAACGACATTTTTGCAGATCTCCTCGACGTCTATGTTATCATTTACCTGGATGATATACTAATCTACTCTGATAACATGGCAGATCACAAGAAACACGTCAAGGAGGTTCTCCGTCGGCTCCGCCAACACAAACTCTACGCGCGCGCCGACAAATGCGAATTCCACGCGGACACTGTGGAATATCTCGGCTACATTCTCTCCTCGCAAGGTCTCACCATGGATAATTCGAAAGTCAAGACGATCCAAGACTGGCCGGAACCGCGGAAGATTCGCGACATACAATCCTTCCTCGGCTTTGCCAATTTCTACCGCCGCTTCATCCGGAACTACTCGGATATTGTGGTCCCTTTGACCCGTCGCACGCGCAAAGGACTGCCCTGGAATTGGGATCAGGCAGCACGCGACTCCTTCAACGCGCTCAAACGAGCGTTCACCTCGGCCCCCGTGCTTACGCATTGGGTACCGGACGCGCCACTTGTCGTGGAGACGGACGCCTCGGACTACGCGCTAGGCGCGATTCTGTCCATCTACACGTCAGACGGCGAAATCCACCCAGTCGCGTTTCACTCACGCACCTTCAGCTCTATAGAACTGAACTACGACGTTCACGACAAGGAACTCCTCGCCATTTTCGAAGCATTCCGCGTCTGGCGCCATTACCTGGAAGGGTCTGGTAAGCCAATCGACGTGGTTACTGATCATAAGAACCTAGAATACTTCTCGACCACCAAGATTCTGACCCGCCGCCAAGCGCGGTGGTCCGAGTACCTCTCACAATTTAACCTCCTCATCCGCTTCCGTCCCGGAAGGCTCGGCTCCAAACCCGACGCCCTCACAAGACGTTGGGATGTCTACCTTAGGGAGGGAGGCGACGGCTATGCTACGGTCAACCCTCAAAATTTGAAGCCTATATTCTCGAACGAACAGCTGACCGCGTCTATCCGCGCGACTTACCTCTGGGAACCCGCGCTCCGCGGTTCCATTATTATGGACACAGAGAAGTTGCACGAGGATATTATTGACGCTTATCTGCTAGACCCAGTTACCAAGGCCCGACTCGAAAATCTTGAACCACGGTGGTCGCGCTCCGAAGATAATCTACTTCGCCTCGACGGCCGCGTCTACGTCCCCGACCACGGAGATCTTCGCCTCCGCGTACTCCGTTTCAAACATGATCATATCCTCGCTGGACATTACGGGCAGAACAAGACCATTGAACTTGTGCGCCGCGAATATACGTGGCCGAAACTTCGAGAATTCGTTCAACATTACTGCAAGTCTTGTACCACCTGTATGCGTAGCAAGCCCCAGCGTCACAAGCCCTACGGCATGCTACGACAACTTCCGGTTCCCGTTCGACCTTGGGACTCGATCTCTATGGATTTTATCGAGAAACTTCCCCTGTCCCTCGGGTACGACTCCATCCTCGTCGTGATGGACCGACTCTCCAAGCAGGGAATCTTCATTCCGTGCCACGACACCATCACTTCGGAAGGGCTAGCTAAGTTATTCGTTATTCATGTTTTCTCTAAACACGGAGTCCCCGCGCACGTCACGTCTGACCGCGGCTCCGAGTTCGTTTCTCGCTTCTTCCGGTCCTTAGGAAAAGGGTTGGACATGAAGCTCCACTTCACTTCAGGATATCATCCTGAAGGTGATGGCCAAACGGAGCGTACTAACCAAACCCTTGAGCAATACTTACGTGTTTATTGTAATTATCAACAGGATAACTGGGCTGACCTCTTGCCCCTCGCCGAGTTCGCATTCAACAACGCTCCTAGTGTTACCACTGGAGTATCTCCGTTCTTTGCGAACAAAGGTTATCACCCCAATCTCTCCCTTAATCCCGACCTCGACCTCGCCTCGGCCCGCGCAAGAACCTTCGTAACCGACCTCGACGAGCTCCATCAAGAGCTACGTACCGCGATGACTGAGGCGCAAGCCCGTTATCAAGGACCAGCCGATCGTCGCCGCGCACCCGCGCCGGATTTCAAGGTTGGCGAAAAGGTTTTTGTGAAGGCCAAATTCTTCCGTACCACGCGCCCCTCGCACAAACTCGTGGAGAAATTCCTCGGTCCGTTCGAAATCATTCACCAAGCAGGACCCTCTTCGTTCACTATCCGTCTCCCGGAAAATCTCCGCGGGGTCCACCCCGTCTTCCACGTCTCTATGCTCGAACCCGAGACACCCAACACGATTCCAAATCGCGTACAATCCCCTCCCCCACCCATTGAAGTCGATGGTAACGACGAATTTGAAATAGCTGAAATTGTAGACTCCAAAATCGACCGTCGACGGAAAGTAAAACTTCAATACTACGTTCGATGGCTCAGCTACGAACACACTGATGAAGAATTCTCGTGGCTCTCCGCGGACGAGCTCGGGCACGCGCAGGAACTCGTCGCAGAATTCCACCTGCGCTATCCTGACAAGCCCGGACCCGCGTAATGGTCCTTCATCTCATTTTCTCTATTTCTTTCCGCGTTACCGCGCACCCCACTCAACATTTTTTTCTCTCCCCGTGCGCACCGCGCTTGTATCACCTGTAGATTGCTCCGTCGCGCACCAGCACATTTACCCTCCTTTCTCTTATTTTCCCCGCGCTCCCGTGCATTCTCCATCTACACTCGCGACAAGCCACGCGCACCCGCGCCCTCTATCAGAACACCCAACCTCACCGCGCATCCGCGCCTCGACACTTTTCCCTTATTTCCTGCTCGCTCCGCGCCCACCCGCGCCCACTACCTTACGTATACTACACTCTCCTAAAATCTTAAGTTCCTCTCTCTTTCTTTTCTTTCTTGTGCTAGGTTCTTCTTACTTACGATCATACCGTGGTCTGCTAGTTATGAATTACAAAAAAAAAAAGAGAAGAAAAAGAGACAGACACAAAAAAACAAAAAATATGCAACATAGATAAGTAGATACATTTTCTTTTTTCCTCCTCGCGCGCCGACAAGGGCCCCGCGCTCACCCTACCCGCTATCCTCCTCACTTTCCTCCTCGCTGCTGCTCTCCACCGCCCTCCCTGTCCCTGCCCAAACCATCCCCTCGTCCGTGTCCTCCGCGTCCTCCTCGTCCGTCGCATCCGCAGGCCCTGCGTCCTGCGCGCCGTCGCTGTCGCTCGTCGACGGAGCCTTGGCCCCATCGACCTCCATCTCGTCCCCCGTGGCATCCGCGTCGTCCCCACTCGTCGAGGGTACTGGCGGCAATGCTGCGGCCCATGCCATTTGCGGCATGCGTTCCCGAGCGACGACGTCCGCGGGCAGCCCAACAACGCCAGCAATACGGGCCATGGCGTCCGCCACCGCGTCAATCTTCTGCTCTAGGCGCAACAGCGCCTCCGACCGGGCGAGCACATGAACCGACAGGTCGAAGACCTGCGCGGCAAGCTCCCCCAGCGACTCCGCCACGGTGGGTTCCGCGCTCGCTGCGGGCGGCGCTGCTTGCACGCTACCTCGAGCCCCACCTGCGCCGTTCCCGCAGCGCACATGCCGCTGCTTGCATTCCCAGCAAGTGCGGGTGTTCTTAACCCTGTGAGACGCATCAGTAAGCGTATAGAAAAAAAAAAAAAAAAGGAGGCGGACTTACAGCCGCTGGTGGCACTCGAGGTTGCGCTGTACGCACCCGAGGCATGCCACCTCCCGTGCCGGCCCTTTGGGCTCCACCTCCCTCGCCGTTTCTCCTCTTCCCGCCGCCCGCTCCCTCGTCCCCGGCCCTGTGCTACTACCTGCGACGGCGTTCCCCGTCGCCTCCAGGCCCCGACTATCGTCATGGCGGGCCCGTGCCGCGACGTACTCCGCTACCGCCGCCCGCACGCGTGCGTCCTCCGCAGCCCTCCGCGCCCTCAGCTTCTCCCGACGACGCCTTCGTTCATCCTTCTCGAGACGGGCGTCCGCCTCGGCGATGTCGTCGTCCTCGCGCCGCCGCTTCTCCTCCCGTCGCCGCCGTTCATCGTCAGGATCGTGTGGCGTTGGATTGTGGTGGTCATGCGGCCTTTTCTGAGTGGGCGCCATTATGGCCTCGCTGCTCCGCGCTTCCGCCTTTTATACTGCTGACACATCTCGCCTCCGCGCTTCTTTCGCTCACGTGCACGCAGAGGCTGACTCACCACGGACCCTCATGACGCCCACACCGCATCATCACCATACCACCGCGCGTCATGAGTGTCTAGGCCTCTATGGGTCTCGGCCTTAAAGGGGAGGTACTGTTATAGGCGCGTCCAAGGAACCCCTTAGGGGCTACCAGGGGGCGCGCCCACGTGCGTTTCCCGACTATGGGCTCGGGCCGCGCTTATACGCGGCCACGCGGACTTTCCGGATTACGGACTAAGTACATACTCGAGCACATTGTAGTTACTACGACCGAACTCATTACTGTTTCGTGAACGCGCGGACGCCGCGTGTTCCTTAGTATATAGTCCTGTATCGTACATACAGCTACCTTAGTTCGAATATTAGTTCCTTCTCCGCACTCGCATCTCGCCCCTCTAGTGGGTTCTCCCCCCGTCGCACCCCTTCGCCTCCGCCCGTACCCTCGGTACCCGCGTAGGACTCCTCCCGGAAATACAGGGCACGCAAGAGTGTGGGAGGCGCAGCCAGTAGCTGAAGCCAAGCCCGTACGTCCTCGTTTCCCCCGTTCCCCCACGCGTCTACGTGGAACCGCGCACCCGCGGGTCCGCGTATCCCGAGCCCCCCCCCTGCGAGTGTGGCTCCTAACATTTCACCTACATGTGTACTTACATACTAGCCTCACTACATACATGTGTTAGTCAGTATTTATAGTAGCACTAGTAGACATGTATTCTTCACTCTGAATCTTAGTTCCTATTCTGTCATCTTGTCTTCTAAAGTCTTTGCTGCGGGCTCCTCCGCGGAGCCCACCTATCACCTTGCTCTCTCCGAAATCGGGACACCACAGGGCTAGGAGGGCACAGCATTAAAGCTGAAGCCAAGTCCTGTGTGCTCCACTTGTCCACGCGTCTGCGCTCCTGCGCTCCCCGCGTGTTCCTGTGCCCCTTACGGACGAGTTAGGAGGCCCCTTGACACAGTCCTTAACATGTTCCTGTGGAATCCGCCATGTGAGCCTGGATTGTTGAGATCATTGACTCTGTCTTTTCTTGCTTATGCTTTGCTTTTGCCAGTCTTGTCTCTCATATTCCTCTGTAGGCGGTTGCCTGGGTCGGGGCCTGGAGTTTTGCCCCTGATAGGCATTCATTTACGTTTACTTCCAGGTTTAGCACTTCCAGGTAATTCTTCTCACTCCCTTGTCCTGCCAGTGTGTCCGCACTCTCGTTCAATTCATTGCCTTGGTGGCCTTTAACCCATTTGAAGAGGTTTCTGCCTTCTCTTCTTCTTAGTGCCGCGGACGTCAGCTTGAGGAGGGTTTTGTTTGCCATACCAATGTATCCTTTATCCTCGTTTTCCTTGAGGTTCGTTGTTGATGATTTTATCACATACTTTGAGTCAGTCAGGACTTTTAAAGTCTCGTTCCCTGGGAATTGTTTTGCTGCTTCCAGGACTGCAAACATTTCCCCTACTTGGTTAGTCTGTGCTAGGACCTCTGGCACTCTCAGAGCTTTATTCCTGTCGTCATTTTCCTCCAGGAATATGCCAGCTCCTGCTCTTGCCTCCGTGGTGTTCATATACTTGCATGAGCCGTCCGTCACTAGTTCTATTTGTCCTCCTTGTGCTACGGGGTTGTCACGACTTATCAGGGATTTCTCTCCTGATGTGAATATTCTAAATATATCTTTCAGTTCCATTGCTGATACTCTATTCGTTCTGAATTTGTGCCAGTCTTCCTCATTGACCTCTGCCGCCTGGGTCTCCCTTATCTTTCTTGGGTCCCATTTTGGTGGAAGTGTTTCTAGTAGTTCTTCCGCCTTCTTGTAGCATGCTTGCGGATTGTCGCATCCAGCGTGTTCTCTCATGTATTTGCAGTTGTGGCACTTGCAGTTTTGGGGTGGCTTGTGGTTCTGTATTCTACCTTTATTTCTCATGTCCATTGCGTCACTGTAAGGGCAACCTCAAGATGGCCAACAGCGCAGGCCTAGCAGAGGGAGAATCCAAAGAGAATAGGATAGGGATTCTCCATGCTAGGAAGCAAAGTATATACTGTAGTAGTGTGAGAAGAATGCAGGATAACTGTACAGTACACCAGCCACAAGTCCGAACAAATATCACAAGGTACGAGGAAACATGTGATAATGAAGTGAAGGGTAAATGCACAGGAGCCGTGCCAGCAACTTGGGGAAGTAAGAGCAAAGAGTAATGAAGTGGGGAAAGAGGATAGAGGTAGCCCAGATGAGCCCCAAAGTGTATATATGAGTCCGAGCGAGTCTGAAGTGTGGGAAGACTCCAGAGTCACCGGACGTGACTCGGATGCAGAAGGAGTGGGCAGAAAGGAAGTGGAAAGGAAGGGGAGCGAAGGGGAACAAAAGGGAACAAAAGGGAGGGATGTAAGTAAGAGTCCGTGGGATGAAGGAAAGGAGAAAGGAACAAGGAGGAAGGGAGGGGGACAGGGGAATAGGAGAAAATAGAGGTGTCCCCTTACAATGCCAATCATGGAGAATCGGAAATCAAATATTTTGTGATCGTTTCATACAATGTTTTTTTATATATTTCACTATCCATTATCTGATTTGGACTTGGCCGGCAGATTAAATGCTATGTACACAATCTGAACTGTTCCGTAAACATACTGACAAGTTGACAGGACCTCAGAGGCAGGGGGGAACCTGCTATCGGGTATGTCATTATTATATGTTTCTCCCTAATGAGACGATGCTTGCTTCTATTGAAGAAACTGACGTAGGCTGTCACAAAATGCTTTGATTGCTTGCAAGCAGAAGCACTGGACCTCGTGCCAGATCCTACAGCATGGCAATCCCTAAACTAAATATGGGACCCTGCTTCATCACAGATCTGACGATGTATGGTGCAACACACCTAGTTACCGCCACTTTATAACAACTGAAATCCTGGGTGCAAATTTACCCCGTTTTCTTATTCTTCTTGGCAAAGTGCTCTATTTGATCATTAGAATAAATTCCCTAGACCAATAACGATTTGGTTGAGATCTGAGCAAGCAATTAACCTTGTCATCTGGTAGTTTGGCCAGCTGACGTAATGATATCCTAAATAGGAAGGTACATCTATATATGGCAGGACCCTATTGATCGAAATGCTTCGCAAGCCTCTCTGGGACCCGGTGGTGCGAAGTGTACTTCCGTGAACTGAATCGTTTGACCTGAACTTGTGCATCTCGCGCTGTAAGCCCATCACGATAAGCAGCCATCCAGAGGACCATCCGGTGCTCCCATTTCCGAATTGTGCTGAGCTGTACAGCTTCCATGGCTTTTGGCACATTCTTCTGAAGTGATGTAAGGGGACACTCCTATTTTCTCCTATTCCCCTGTCCCCCTCCCTTCCTCCTCGTTCCTTTCTCCCTTCCTTCATCCCACGGACTATTACTTACATTCCCTTTGTTCCCCTTTGTTCCTTTTCGCTTCCTTTCCTTTCCACTTCCTTTCCGCCCACTCCTTTCGCATCCAAGCTACATCTGGTGACTCCGAAGTCTTCCCGCACTTCGGACTCGCCTCGGACACTTCGGACTCGCATATACACCTCGGGGCTCGTCCGGGCTACCTCCATTCTCCTCTCCCACTTCGTTATCCCTTGTTCCCACTTCCCCAGGTCGCCGGCACGACTCCTGTACATTCCCCTTCCACTTCATTATCACATGCCCCTTCGTACCTTGTGATATTCGTTCGTACCTGTGGCTGATGTACTGTACAGTTACCCTTCATCCCTCCCATGCTACTACAGTATATACTTCACTTCCTAGCATGGAGAATCCTTATCCTGTTCTCTTTGGATTCTCCCTCTGCTAGGCTTGCACTGTGCGGCCATCTTGAGGTTGCCCTTACAAGTGACACAAATGTGTAATCACAATTCTCGCAAAGCCATCGTTTGACGGCACCCCAGAAGAACTCGATAAAGTTCAGCTCGCAGTGAAACTTGGGCAAAAATATGCACAGATGTCCTGCAGCTTCAATAACTTCTTGCACCAATGATCTCTGTGCTTTGAAGTCTGGCTGCAGGTCCAGAATGCGGCGTGCGCAACAGGTGACAGAGTCGACATCGCATTCTTTGCACTGCATGTGCAGACCATCCTTCCATAAGCATAGTTCTTTCCATACTCCAGGGTTTGACTTGCCTCTTTCAACCAGCCCACCGTTGAACAGATGACATCGGATTGATGGATGCCCCGCCCAGCTCCCTTCTTCAGTGCATGCTCTCCTTCCAATACCCAGCTCTTCCGTTGACCATCATTTGCCTGGCAAGTCATCTCATCATGAACAACCAATACAAGGCGCCGTAAGACGTAGGCTCCATCATACACTGGTTTCTTGACCTCCTTGTCAACATCTCCAACAACATATTCAACCATCAATTTGCGATACTCCGCCATCGCAGGGAGAAACACATTCTGCCGATACCCAACGACATCTGGACGTTCATGGCCATCATAATAGAGGGCTTTCTTGTGTTCGGTGTACTGGAAACCTTCATTGTGGAGAAAGCGGCGTGCAGTCTCAAGATGGACCCCCTTTCCCACTCTCAGATGGACACAGGGGAAAAGCTCAAGTTCCATGTACTGCTTGAGGCCTTGTGGTATCTCTTCATCGACAATCTGCTCAAGATATTTCTTTGCAGCAGCAGGAACCATCCGATTCTCGCTGAATTCAACAAGCTTTGCCGGGTTCATGGCCCATTTATTGGAGCGGACATATGAGCGCAACTCTGCCCAGATCGCAGGGTTGCTGAGCAAAGAGAATGACTTGGCATGAGACCCACGAGCAGATTCAGGAAGATCTCCCGTTTTGACCCACTCACACACCCACTTTCTCACCAGCCTCCCTCCCCATTTCGCCGCAAACCCCTGCGCTTCTGCTGCCCGCTCTGACGTCTCTATCTTCTTGCGATCATTATGAACAACCATATGCAAGAAACTCTGGATTGCACGAGCTTGATACGCTTGCAAACTGTTCCGGCCAGCAGCAAAGACATCTTGTTTTGAGTGGATCAACTTCTCGATATCCTTCAATGCCACCTCAAGGTCCTTTTTCTTTTCATCAAGAACCTTCTGGCGTGTAACTCAAACGGGAACATCAAGACAGCGACGCTTCAGCGGCGGTGGTTGGGGTATGCAAAGCTGGACTTCATCGAGCTGTGACGAGGATGGTACCGATCGAGATTCAGATGATGCGGCTTCGGATTCATCATCTGCATCATCGGACGACTCATCTGAGACATCAGAAGCATAACCGGTGAAGATCTCATCGCTGGAAGGCACGGAATTTGGAGTTCTGGTTGGAAAGGTTCGATTTCCGGCCGTATCACTGGTGGTGCAAGGTTCTGACACTTGGACAGAGCAACCGTTGACTTCAGAGACCATGTTGACCTTGGAAACAAATGAGCGCATCATGCTGGCTCCTTTACTGGGATCAAATTCAGACAGGAAGTTATGAGTTAAGGTAAAGTATAGTGCACCTTTCTCGCAGCTTCGCATCGATGACAGCCTGCTTCCTCGCATTCTCAGCTTTCCAGCGCTGGGTTCTGGCCGACGTTCCTGCGTACACAGCCCCCCGTTTCTTCTCAGCCTTCACCCATTCCTTCTGCGTGTGCCTGTTTGCCACCATCTCGTACGGTGTCGGCATCTGCAGTAGCTTGATCTCATGCTCCAAGCTTGTCTGCAGGCTTTGCACCAAGTCCTCCCCTTCAAGCTCCGAAAACCCACTGTCGGACTCTGAGTCTTCACAGTCCATCGAAAGGTATTCACTATCGTCTGAGTCCGATGTTACAGGATTATTGACCGTTCCATCCCAGGTACATTCCGTCACATTGGAATCTCGGGTTCCAGATGTCTCTTCACACCCTTCCTTGCGTCGAGTCCGTTGGGCATGTTTTGCGGCGCACGCTTTCGCTGCGTTTGACTTGTGAACATTTTTTCGGTGTCCCATTACTGGTTTTTGCTATGGTTGCTCTCCCCCCTACAGTAGTGCATCCGTCTTTGATTTTAACTTTGTATTATTGGTCATAGTATTCTATTACTCGGTACCTTCAATGTGAACGTTTCTACTAGATTTTGCGGCCCCTAAATACAATTTTTTTTTGGCCACCAATTTGGCCACTGTCCAAATTGGTGGTGACTAGGTGTGTTGCACCATAGGCGGAACTCCAAACCAAATATGGTAGCACCACTGCGACGAAAATGGCCTACCCGCCCAACAGAAGAGGCGGTGTCATGAACCATGTTTGTAACATGGTAATCATGTCGGAAATCTAGGGTTATGCTCAATCAAACACCCAAGCTCCCTATTCTCTCCCTCTGCAATACCTCCCCTATCCTCCCCGAACTATCTGGCTCTAGGGAAGCATCCCCTATCCTACCCCTCACCCCTATCTCTAATATACCACATGGGATCTTACCCCTGTTCGCCTCTCCGCCCCTCTTAAGTCTTTAGGGGTGCCACTATTCTCTTCCCATTTCCATTGGAATTCTATTTCTCCCCCCCGACCATTTCTTTCCCCATCAGATATTCCATTAAGAACTCCCTTTTCATCAGAATAATCCATATTCCTTCATTCCTTTCATTCGCACAGCTGGGCTGTTCTATTCGGACCTTGGCTGTGCAAATTGCACAGCCCAGCACAGCCCAGCACAGCACAGCATAGCCTTGCACAGCCTTGCACAGCCTTATGTATCCATCGGAACATACGGAATGCAGCTGCGCATTTCCTTTCCTTTCTTCTGCATTTCCTTCTATCTTCCGTACAGAATTATGTGACTATTCTTTCTACTGGACTTTCTGATTTTTGTGACGGCCTAACAACCGTTCTTTCTACTTTCCGTGCACAGCCTAGATATTTTACATATAAAAATCCAATAGTGTAGCTAAGTTGAAAATCAATCTTTTCCCCCCCAGTGAAAGGTTCACTCAGTTAGTCCTCTAGTCGTATCAGTCCTCAGATCTTAGTCATTCCGTCGTCTTAGTCAAGTCTCAGTCATTCAGTCGTATTAGTCAAGTCTCAGTCAGCCAGTCGTATTAGTCAAGTTTTTTTAGTCATCCAGTCAAGTCAAAGTCGATTTTACTCTCAGTCCGCAAGATCATCAATCAGTCAGTTATCCAGTCATACCAGTCGAATTCTGGTCTTCTAGTCGTCCACTTGGTTCAACTTCAAGTACTGCGTACTTGAAGAAGTTTGTCACGGTAGTTTTTCGTTCTCTAATCTTTTATCATCCCCCTATCTTTCAAATTCTTTACCCGGTACCCCTTTTGTTCCTTTCTTTCACTCTCTATTCCTTTTATACTAACCCCTTCCTGTTCTACTGCGTATCTGCACCTTTGTTTATTTTTCCTCTTCCACGTTACTGTCTCCGCTCGTGCTCGTGACCACTCACGCTCGCGTCCCCTATCTGAAAGAAGCAGTCATTGGACCTCCTCATACAGGCCCCTGTACTATCCCTGTACCACCCCTGTGTTACTCCTGTACTACCCCTGTAGTCTTGTTTCACTATCGGCATACCTTGGCAAGACAAATTATATGCCCCTATCAGAGATACTAGGTGTTCGAACAACCGGGCTCTCACTTGATCTACTAGCAAGACCCAGTGCTCCCCGGACACTCCCCTATCTTAGGAGAGTGTGACAGCGGGCATGCACAGACCATAAGACGGCATGTGAGGCACGTGCTTATAACGTCTAATTGACAGTGATACATCACGTCATGCATTAGGGTAACTAGACAAGTTGATGCATCACTCAGCCAGGCTAACTACTATTATATGATGGATCATAACACCGTAGTGGCCTGGTCAGTGAAGTTTCATGAAACGCAGATCAACTACTAGTTCAGCATTGTACTATATTTGCGTGAGAACAAGGCCACAGCATCTCGGCGGCTACATTTCTACTGCCGAGTAACCAGACATCTTGGACTTGTCTTGAGCATAAGAGAGTCATCACATTCGGGGAGGCAACTTGACATGCCGTCTGCCAAAACATCGAGGAAGGACTTCTCAAGAAATGCAAAGTAGAAAACGCCACGGCAACCATTGGTAATTTCAATGCGAGTGCGCTGCGTGGATCAGCGGGAAGTCTACGCGGTGGTCTTGCGCGCACTTTGGCTGTGGCGGAAGATCCTGGATTGAGATCGGTGGTTCGACACCCTCGAACCGGATCGCTGGCAGGGCACAGAGCAGTATGAGCGCATGAAACACCCACTGCACACGCGCAGCCTTTTTTGCTCGGGGTTTACCAGGCACTGAACACCAGCCCTTAAGCTGACGACCGCACAACCGTCAAAGGACGAGAAACTCACCGATGCGCAATATCCACCAACTAAACCCACCAAGTCCTCCGCAGCCTCCCACATCAGATCGCACGAACGCGTCGTATTCGCGCCAAATACGCTCCAATTTAGGCTCGAGAGTGAGCTTCGCAGCACGGCGGGTGACGGGCGTGGCGAGGATGTCGGCGGACTGCGCGAAGGCCACAAGCACGTTGAGCGCCATGTCACCAAGCGCAGCGAATATGGCGGCCTCGCTGTATAGACAGGGCGGCGGGCATGTCCGATGGACACGCCGTACGACGGCCGCGATGTGCGTGATGGTGCGCTGGGCGAGGAGTTCGGAAAGGAGCATTCAACCAGGAGCCTACGTCATCCGCAACAAGCGCAAGAACACGTATATCGGCGCCGAAACTGGTTATGGTCGAAGGGTGGGGTGGAGAGTAAGGAAAGGAAGTGGGAGGAGGAGTTCTAGATCATGAGAAACGGGGCTGGATCCCACGAAGCGGTGGTGGTAATCCGCTCGACATTGCGTGTGCAAGGACAAGGACGACCATAGCAGCATGACCCTCGTGAAGGTCGGTGTTAGGTTGAGGAGCCCGTCGCTGAGGTGCGCGATCGGCAAGAATTTACGGAGACAGAGAAGGAACTCGCACGAAAGCTGGTCTTGCTGAACTATCTAATGTTGACGCGGCGGGTATTGCGTACGCAGATGAGGGCAATGTATTTTGGAGGTGGAGTATGCGTTGAAGGAATCGTAAAGCGAAACACTGTCGAACTTGAGATACAGGTCGTCGAATGCATGACGCTCAAACATTGCTTTTGAGAAGTTTCGAACCTCGCGCACGCAAAACGACGGCAATCTACGAGAGGTAGCAAGTCAATGAGATCTCCCCCAACAGACATTGGCAAGGTGGAGTCACATTTTTTGTGCTGTTTGTGGGCCTATAACCGGCTCACACGTGAAGATCGTACTATGCAAAAGATACATTGACGCCTTGCGAGGATTGAGTAGACACTCCTCGTCACATTGTTGGCGCTCACCCCTGCGTGGGCTATACCTCCAGAGAAGGCGGTCCGTGAAAGCCGCCGGAGCGTGGACGTGAGAAGATTGACTGCTCGTCAGCTATTAACAGACGAGTTACTTGATCTGGTGATGCACTCCTTCGTAGTGAAATTCGACTGGGGAAGTCCCTCTGAGTGTTAAACGGTTATTCATGGACATACTCCTCCCAAATTTGGTGAACAAACTCACGGGCCTCCAGCTTCCCATGCCATGCCACCTCATGATCTTCCACTGAACAGTACATAAAGCCGTTCGTCCTGCGCGATGCCTCACCCACCCCGACCGAGGATTCACCGGAACCTCCAGCATGCGATTCCCCAGTATTCCTGCCGCGCTGTCCACAATACCCGCGTTGGTGCACGCTCTTGGCGTTAGACCGGGGCAGATCTCCAGCCTCGTCACCTTCGGGGACTCCTACACCGACGTCGTGAACACCGGGGACCGAGGCGTCGCGTGGCCCGTGTACGCCGCCGGGCTCGCCGGGGTGGCGCTGTTCCCGTTCGCCCGCTCCGGCGCGACGTGCTCGAACAACATCACTTTCCGCCCGTTCCCGTCGGTGTTCGAGAGCCAGCTGCCGCTGTACTTCGAGGAAAAGGCGAACGGGACGACGCGGCTCGACCCAGCGCGGACGGTGTACACGCTGTGGATCGGCACCAACGACGTCGGGGTGAATTCGCTGATCAGGGGGGGCAACAAAGCGTCCATCGTCGATACGACGGCCTGCGCTGTCAACTGGGTGAGCGCGTTATACGCCAGCGGCGCGAGAAACTTCATCTTTCAAAATGTAAGCCTGCGTCAGTCGCATATCGGCCGCGAGTCTAATTTATGCACGGACCAGATGATTCCTTTGCAGCTGGTGCCCTTGTATGCTGCGGATTCGTGGCCGAACCGGTTCTGGACGGCGCCGCGCAACACCACGGAATGGAGCGTCTTCATGACGGAGTTGACGCTGTCCGGAAACGCCCTCTCCCAACTGATGCTGAAAGACCTGGCAAGCAAGTTAAGAGGCGCTCACATCGGTGAGTCCAACCTACGATAGCTTCATTGGATCATTAACGTCGAGTCCCGTCCCTATGTAGCGCTTTTCGACTCCCATAGTCTATTCCAAGACATGTTTGATCAGCCGTCGCTATATTTAAACGGAACCGCACCTTTGAACGTCACGGGCGCTTCAGAAGCGTGCGTGTTCCCCTTGGACGGCGAGCCAGGCACCCCGGTTTGCACGACGACGCTGGGGGCCGATCGGGATAGCTTCCTGTGGTGAGTGATCCTGCTTGTCTCGCTGCCGCGGCTCGTTCAGTTGCACGCGGTTTCTAGGGTGGACGAGCTGCATCCCAGCGAACAAGCTGACCGCATTGTGGCGAGAGAAATTGCAGAGGTCATCCGGGGGAAGGCGAACAGGTGGACCACTTGGCTCAGTTAAAAGTTAACTCAACGACACTGCGAATGATAATAAGGGGGTGATTTAGAGGACTTCGTGTGGGAGCGTACCGTAAGCTCGAGCAGCCGTAAACCGTGAAGAATGATTTACACTATCTTCCAATTCACGAAGGCATACTTTGCGACGGGATGGGTTTATCAGCTAGTAAGCCCGAAGCTAGGATGGGAAAGAATAAGAGCAAGGTATAATTTAAGCATGGAAATCTGTAGCAACACGGTATGTCGAAGGTAGCAAATCAGTAGAGATGACCGTTATAGTTGGTAACAAGGAAGACTACACGCAGGAACGAAGCTGGTGGAAAGAATAAGAATGAAGCAACGTAGTGGATGATAGCAAACAAACCATGCTCCGGTTCATCGAGACCGGAAAAGCTTGAACCACAATATCAGGATAACGACGGCGACGAGAAACACTACAATCAAGGAAATGACAACGCGTTGGCGGTACATCCTAAGAAGAGTTAAGCATGGAGGGCGATGGAGCATCATGACGAGGAAGCTACGTACTGTTGGATCATCTTCTTCAGCGTTCCCGACGCTCGGCCAATAGACGCGTCGGCCGTGTTGAGCTGCGTGGTCTGCTGAGAAATGCAACAAGCCCGGAGACCACACGTAACGCACCATATTCCTCGAGTTCTCAATCTGTTCGCGCTGGACTCTCAAATTCCTCAGTATATCCGCACCCTGCTCCTCCGTCTCCAACGCTATTCGCTGACTGTCCATCAATCGCCTGCTGCCGTCGTCGAGGGTTTCGGTGCCGGCAAGGAGTCGCTGCCTCTCGTTCCCATATGGGCTATCCGAGCTTGCGCCTTTGCTGCCGCCGAAACCGAAGCCCCCACTCGTGCCTAAGACCTCGCTGCGAGAGACGGCGGCGTGTAACTCCCTCGAACGGTTCTTGCAACGAGTCAGTTCTGACTTCGCATTGCTGTGTCGCGTGGTATACGGGGTCCTGATGGACTTTGGTATCGCCTGCAGAGTCAACTGCATTTGCGATAACTACCCACACAGGCAAAGCTTAGGGACGAGATTCATACACGAAGGCAGGGGGCACACACCAAGTCGTCCGCCTCATCAAGCTCGAGCTCTACTCGCCTCAATGCAGCCTTGCGCTGTTCTGAGAGAATTTGAGGAGACGTAACAGGGTGCAGTTGCAGGGATACTCACCGGTGGCGAGCCTGCTGCCGCTGCTGGCGTTCGACCCTTCCCCATCCAATTTCGACTTGATTTCCCGAATCAAGTCCTGGAAATCGTGCTCGTAGGATTCGAATATAGACAAGGGGGACTCGGCATCGCTCATGGCTGGAGGAGCGCGACTGTGACGGTTGGGAGGAGGACGTGTACGGCACCTCCCGCAGTCGATGTATCCAGATAGGGGCGTCTCGCCCCAAACCTTTCAGTCAGCGATGGACGAAAATACCGTTCACAATGCGGCCAAAGCCAGCGACCTGAACCACCAGACAGGTCTTTCACAGAACAGATCTCCGAACCTTGACCGTCAGCAACTAGTTGGACACGACGTGGTCAATTTTTATAGATGAGAAATTAGATATCCAGGTACTCCCTCAGGCGGCGGTGGAAAACGACTACCCTTTGTTCGTCGACGGTCGCGATGGTCACGGTGATCCCCCCCATGACCTCTCTATTCCCCAAACTGGTTGGAAACTGGTTGGATTCGATGCCATAGACCTTCATTGATGGACCGCCGAGAACCAGCATCTTCGAGCTTCCATTTCAGAAGGCGCCTTTCTCAGAAATCCATGTGGGAGACGAATAGTGCGGCTCACCATGATTCCAAGCCGCAGCAATTTATAACCTGACTGGACCCCACTGCAGTGACGCGGACGTTGCTGTTCCCACTGTGTAGCGCACGCAAACTTGACTCCGCATCGCTCATGTCTTCATACATCTTGGACGAAAGTCCAATGTCCTTCATAGCTAATAGCGGAATATCTTTGGAAGCAAATGAGTTCTTACTGATTCAAAATCTCCCAGAACCTACAAGGATACGTGTTTGCATTTCCTTGATAGACTTCGCTGTACCTTGACATTCAACATAGTACCTTTCGCACGCTGGGTTGTTTCTTTGATCCATCCAGCGCCCAATGTCAGTATAAAAGATTTGATGAGAAGAAGTACAAGGGAGGTAATCTCATATTCTTCATGCTCCAACATCTAGTCGCTCTTTTGCTCTTGACGGTCTGCAGTGAGTGATCAATGTCCGATTTTACGATAAAAGTACTGATTTATGAGTCTTGGTGTAGCGAGTGCTGCAACCGTCACTGTCTTCGATGTATTCCCAACGGCTGACGATGGGTCCACCGGGGACCCATTGACTGATATAAGTCTGAGCCCTCTCGGCGTTGGTAGCGACGGAGCTACTACTTACGACTTCGCGGAAGCCATCAGCCCCACGGAGACCGTCCACGGTAAGAAAGAAAAGCTTTCCTCACCTTGCGGCCCCAATTTGACCGCCAAAACAGCCGTAATCGTGGCGGGTGCTACTCAGATTCATCTATCTGCTGCCACCCCCTTCCCGCTGGTGAGAGACTGTTCATGGGAGAACACCAGCGGCGAAGGTGTCTGCTCCTTTTTCGACCCGGGTGTAACGGCGATGCAGACATTCACCGGCCGTGTCACCCCGATTTTCACTCTCACAGTAGACGAGAGCACCGCCAGCCGCCCCACCAGTGGCGCCAGTGCCCAAGGCACCCCGACGAGCAGTGCCAGCCAAACCAATTCTGCTATCAAGCTCGGGTCCGCTGTTGGCTTTGGCAGTGTCGTGGTCGTGTTGGCCTGCGGTTTTTTTAGGTAGACACGTCGATTCGATCACGATTGTTAGCCGACATAGCTACAATCAGTGATGAGGATGAATATCGGGGTTTTTTTTTGAATCCGAGCAGCGCGCCTTCATACGTTGGGGGTGCATAAATTGTGAAACCAACGACATTCAAGTACGTGCTGGATCCCAAACTATTCTCGAATCCCACCGCCATCCATGCCTATCCGTGACGTACCGCCGAGTAAAGTGAAGCCCGCCTACATTGTTCGATGACAATCTCGCTCGTCTCCGCCATCAGCTATCACACGACGGCAATACGGATGAACTATTGGAACGAAAATCCTGATCAATGTCGCACGCAGAGTCGTTCCATGATGGCATCTGGCGCTCGACGTCAATGTATATATATATATTGACTTGTTGAGAGAGAGCTCAGGTCTCTCTCAGTCCTTCATGCTACAACATCTAGTCGCTCTTTGCTTCTTTGCAGCATGCAGTAAGCAGTCTAATCAATGCCAAATCTTCGAACATACTGATTCATCCCTGGCGTAGCTAGCGGCGCAACTATCACTGTCTTTGACGTGTTCCCAACAGCTGCTGATGGGTCCACCGGACCCAAAGTGAACATATCCCTTAGCCCGATCGGTGTGGGTAGCGACGGTGCCACTACTTATGCCTTAGCTGAATTCGATCCGACAAGGACCTTCCGTGGTAAGAGTAGTACTCTCACCTTCTGGACTTGCTTTGATTCTTCAAGAAGATACGATTGTGGAGGATGCTACTCATATCCATTTACCCGCTCCCTCGCCCTTCATAAGAAGAGATTGCTCATGGGAGGGCACTAGCGGCGAAGGACTGTGCTCCTTTTTCGACGGGGCTCAAGCATCGACGTACACCGGCATTGTCACTCCAATCTTTACACTCACAGTAGACGATACGATCACCGGCCTTCCCACTAGTGACGCTACTAGCCTCCAGGGCACCCCTACAAGCAGTAATTCCCCTGACAATCGAAGTAATTCCGCCAAGAAGCTCAGTCCTGTTCTTAGCTTTGGGGTTGTCGTCGTCTTTACCATGAGCCTTTTGATCTAGACATAGTGTACAGATCCATTCCATACCGGATGGTCTGTCTAAGTGTGATAGCACGTCCATAAAAGCATACGAAGTCTAAAAACGTATATAAATACAAAGTTTACACTACCTGAGGAAGCCTAAACTGCACACTAGTCCGCTGTCCAATCTCGCCTCCGTCTATATCTGTCCGTATACCGAGCGATGCGAAACCGATGCCGTGTATATGATACTGTTCACCGACAATCTCCTTCGTCGCGACCATCAGCCTGTCTAGCTGTGTCATAATGCTATAAGCCGTAGAGGCTCCCACGCAAAATCGTCTAGCAGAAGAAATGAAGGTCGAGAGAGGTTTGGAGACGGTGTCAAGGGACTTACAGATATTGTTCGTTTTCAAGGGTGCTCAAAGTTAGCGTACGAGGGAGTCCATAGTCTTCTTCAGAATCAACATGGATCACATTTAACCCGTGGTTCCTTTCCATGTAACGGTCCAGCAAAGGACACGGAGTGATTTGGGGCAAAGGGTGGCCAGTCTTCAACGCTGTTGAGATCATACCTGCGTGTGTTTCTAATTCAGCGCCCGCCTTATACGCGGGAAGACTACTCAACTGATTACAGCAAGAACGTCGCCTTGAAAATCGGAATCTAAGAATCGCGTGCGGCGCAGGAAAGCGCGAGTCCACGCCGGTTCCATATGCTCAACCACGGACATTAAATGGGACAGGGAATATGCAATCTGTCTGAGAATACATTAGAGGTTCGTGGTCGCAAAGATAGATCAGAACACACATACAATTGAAGTTCGATGACTCGCTGGTACCTCTTCCCGGGCCATCGCCCCCGCAACGAAAACTATCGTGCGCATCAGTGACCTGACAGAACTCCGAACATTCAAAGGACGAACTTCATACACCACATTCGCCTTCAGAACAATTGAACGCTTGAGCTTACTTCGCACGGCAATGAGACTCGTTATGATGCTCTGATTCTCGTCGTCTTTGGGAGCATTAGCGAACGAGATGATAGCGCAATATATCGCGCCCAATTCAGCAGCGGTTGTTGCCAGCGTCGTGCGCTGGTAACTTCGGATAGTTGTCGACGGGGGGAAGAACGAGAATAAGCTAAATCCACATGTCAGCACGCCGCCTTGGGAATTTTGGGGTAAAGACTCGCAAGGCAGCAGACACGCCTACAGTAACGAGTAAAAAACGTCTCTGTGAAGGTGTCAGTCCAACAAGCCGCATCAGCACAGCCAAAGGAACGCACCCAAGCGACATCCCAACCGGACCCTGGGGAGGCGGCCACAACGATGTAGTTGTCCTGGTATGAGTATCCTACGACCAACACCGTAGTAACGAAGAAAATGATGTTTGTCATCGGTGGCCCAGGCCAATACAGCCTTGCATAGAAGAAAAACGGGAAGCAAACCGCACAAACTGCGCCAAGGCCATACGCATTGGCGTGGCCCGTACCGGCTGAGATGTACCTAATTGCGGTTGGGGATCAAGTGCAATGAAAAATCAAGAGAATTGGCGTACCACATAATCAACCCGGCAATGCACCCAAAGAAGGTTGCAAGGATACGGGCTGTGAGTCCGAACGTCGTATCTCCACGAAATCGGGCCAATGTCAGTTGTCCCATGAATCTGAGTTTCCGCCGTCAGCCAAAAGCAAGGACACTGCGGAGGAAGATTCGGGCCACTCACATAGCCCATACAAATCGATTGCCTGTTGTATAACCGTCAGTACGGGCTATTCTGCCCGGAGGAGGCGCTGACTACTCACGATAGGCAAAACCACTGGACGCCTTGATGAAAGACGGGAGACACATAATGACTTCGGGCGCGAATTTGTTAACAGCGGCTCACAGAGGAAATAAGTAGCCTACCTGTCAGTATTGCCGCCTTGATAGCGAATACCATGTTCCCGTGTCCCATGGCGAGCGCTAGCCTATACAAACCATTCATAACCAACTCGAACGCATTCCTAGGGGGTAATGCATCTGGATCGCGAGGCATTGGTTCGCCGAGATCGGCGCTCCATGTTGGCTGAATACCCGGAATCATCTCTGAATAGACACGAATCGATTTGAAGGACAAATTTCAAAGTGTTGGTAAAGGGGAAAGGATAGAAGGAATGTCAGCCTTACCGGGATTTTCGTCGTCATCTTTCTCAAGATTCTCGACCGCCTCCCAGTTCCGCCACGAGAATAGAATATTATGTGCCGGCGTCCATAGTTTGTTCCGCCGCCTTTCGGCCTCCATTTTCAGGATCTCGTCAAACTACAGTCACGAGAATGCACGATGAGCGTTGAAATACGTCTGAGGGGAAGTGAAGTATACCATCTGTAATAAATTATGCGAGAACTGCAGGAGATGATACTGATAAACGTAACATCTGAACAGATACCGATGGGGTGGCACTGTCTGATGCTCCCGTTCATCCTTGTCCTCTTCGAAATCTAGGTCGAACCTGGACTTCCTTCCCGGAATGTCTTTTGGTTCGAACGCAAGGCGGTAGGGATCCAGGACCTTATGCCTAAGTATAAATGGTCGAGTTATAGCATTCTTACATTCTGAAGAGACGCACTACTAGTACGCACCTCTTCTTTTCCATGAAAACCTCCAGCTCACGCGCCACTTTAACCCTCACACTCCTTAGCTTCTCGCACCCATCTTTCCACATTTTTTCCTGCTTTTCATTCCCCGCTTCCCCCCAGCCAGTCCATCTCAACCGCCCGTCCCTAGCCCTCCCTAACCAGTCCACGATTTCCTTGATACCCTCCTCACAGACTCCGATCATATCCCCACAACTGTCTTTCAACAATGCATTTGCCTCCCTCGTATGCTCCTCCTCTAACGGATCATGCAGCCTCTTCGCCTCAAGGTTGAGGTACCTCTGACTCTCGAACACGCCCACCGCGAACTCAGAACTCGGTTGATAGTGGTGATGCGGTGAGTTTGGGGAGCCCGGAGGATGGGATAAAGAGAGGCGTTTGAGAGCACTATGGAGGTGTATAGAGTGTAGATGTGGATGCCGATGGAAATGCCCCAGTAGATTGGCGTGGCTATGGCTGTGGGTCTGCGACTGCGTTTGGGGAAACTGGGTTATCGTGGACAACGTAGGAGTCGCTGGTTCATCTCCATCTTCAGCTGTTCCATTACGAATGAGAGACGGCGCCCTCGATCCGCGTCGTGAGCCAGGCCGCGAGCCAGGCCTTGATCGTGACGGGGGTCTCGACATTCGCTGGGCCAAAGGAATTGAATTATCCGCAGGTAAAGTCGCTGACCCAATAATCGGCGTGCCCGGGACGCTTCCTCCGCCGCCTCTCATCGGCGTCGCTATACCACTAGCAACGCCACTAGCCACCCCACTGGCACTAAACCTACTCTTTTCCGGATCCACCAACTCCCAATACACCGCCATCCCGTTAGCCCTAACGGCGATCCTCCTCGCAACCTTCTGTACGTTCCTCCAGTCCAGAGGTGCGAACCGCGTATAGATGAGGTCGCTCCGGAGAAGGCGGGCGGAGGCTGCGAGAGGGATTAATCCTGATTCCGATTTGGAGACGGTTTGCTTAAGGGTCGAGGTGAGTGTTGACGCGGATGGCGGCTGGGACTGCGACTGTGTTTGAGAGGTGGAATCTGAGGAAGGCGTGACAGGCGAGTTGGAGTCTGTAGGATGGAGGTTGGGTGGTGAGGAACTCGAGCCTTCGAGAAGGGACCGATGAAGCGCAAGGGAGGTCTGCAATGGTCTAAGTACGTTCGTAAGGTTTTGAGTGAATTGTGCGGAAATTGACACGGGGAATATGAGTATGGAACAAAGAAGGGCGACACCGGAGTGGAACGCGAGCGGAAGGATGATTGCTTGGCCGATCTGTATGAGGAAGTAAAGATTGCGGCATGAGTGGGATGGAGTTTTGAGTAGCGACCAAAGGAGCTTACAGAGTAGAACGGATAGGGGAAGAGTACTGATGTCGTGAGACATATATCTTTCCTTTCATGTTAGTAAACGTCCCTACGCAAACCGTCTAGGATCTGAGCTCACCCATGCAGATGCACCCAAATATACTGGCAAAGAGATATGGCCCCGGGCCTTGGCTCGCCTTGATATACAAAAAGAACGTGCTGCCAAAGAATATGAAAGCCGCTTGAATCACCGTCGGCTTCAGGGTACACGTGAGTTGTTATCACGTAGAGTGTTTAATTGCGACTCACCGCCGCTTCTACGTATCGCCCCGAGAAGATATCTTGCAACGACGCTGCAGGGTCCTTGGTGTGTCGTGCCAAATCCGCAAGTTTGATCCCTAGACTCGCCCACCTAAAGATGATGAGCTATATGATTCAATGAACGAGGAAAGCTGAGCCTCACTCACCCCCAACCAATCAATACGAAGACCAAAATGATAGCTTCACGTTCGAGGACGCTCATAAATGGGTCACTTGGTGGAGATAAGAAACTGGCTGCATGTCATATCATTGCCGCGATTCAATAGAAACACGATAGCAAACGCACCGATGAGGATGAGAAAGCTGGCCTACAAACCCATCATAGTAAGTAACACAGACGGAAGCTGCACTGGTGTGATGCAGAGGAAGAACGCACCTGGCCCATGAAAATCTCCACTCTAGGAATCAAGAACAGCACTGTGCATATCCACGCCGCAGCTGCACACCGAATGACCGGCTTTATTTTAGACCACGTCCAGTTCGCCGGGATCCATTGCAAGCTCGCCGGTACATTTCTTTTGGCAGGTTTGAGCTTTCTCAATAATTTTAGGATGGCGGCTCCGTTGATCCGAATGCTGGATAGGATATTTGGCGTCGGCGTTGTAGATGAGGGCGCATTAGATTTCTCGGCATCTCCAGCGCGTTCACCGTTTGGGAAGGCCATTGAGGGGGCTTCGACAAGAAAGCCGTGCTATCTTGGAGCCACTTTATTGGTTCGAGAAGATTCCGTACACTGAATCAAAGAAGTTGGAGTAGAGTCAGAAGTTTCTCGCAAACCCCTCTCATCGCCGCGCCGCTGTGAGTAAGGAAATCACATGACGGAGATCTTGACGACCGACGATCGCGCCGTTCCCGCCTTCCTGCCGGTGCCGCCACCAACCGTCGATGGACTCGCCATGGCTCTTTTCTCCTGATTTGATAGTTCTCGGCCTCTTCCTTATATTCTCCATTGCTTTCTTAGCTCATTCCGGGGCTTTCTCTAATATTGCTCGCGCGCTGATCCATGGAAACCTCGCCCTGCAGGATGGGCCCTTTTCATTGCGAAAGGCAGCTTCTTCTTACGAGAACTACCGTAAATTGTCGACGAATGAATCTTCTCGCATGAGGGTGGCATCTTCCTCAATCCTCCGATCCCAGCGACGTCTAGTCCACCAACTTGGCTACTCGCAGAAGCTCGACGCTCTAGACGCGTCAATCCACGCCAACGCCGCACTCACTGAAAAAATCGCCCGTCTAGCACATCATGATTATCCTGCGAGCTTTCCAATAACGTCTTCTTTTCCCCAAAAGAGTAATGCACTATCCGGCGATGTGGGACGTGTACGCGAGGCGTTGAAGCATTTTGTGCGTGATTGGAGCCAGGAAGGGAGCCAGGAGAGGGAGAAGATGTTCTCTCATATACTCGAAGTGCTGGAGCGCGTCCCCGGCGATGAGCGGAAGGAGCAGAGGGTCCTTGTCCCCGGTGCTGGGCTCGGACGCCTGGCATGGGAGATATTACAACTCGGTACGCTTCATGACCACGGGCTATACGTGCATTCACTAAATCCTTATGAGCAGGCTACGACACTACGGCAAACGAACTCTCATACTACATGATCCTTGCTTTTCGTTTTCTACTCTCCCCCACCGCTACGAATCGAGTGAATCAACACACCATCCAGCCCTACTCCCACTGGTTCTCCCACCAGAAATCCAACAACGCTTTATTTCGAAGCATCGCATTTCCTGACGCTTTACCGCGACTCTCGCCTGCCTTCCACCTCCTTGAAGAGGACTTTCTCCTCCTCCAACCCCCGTCACCGACATCACCTTCTCCTCACGCTTTCTATTCTTCCGAGGAAATCACATCCCTCGACGCAGGGTACGACTATATCGTCACGCTCTTCTTCATCGACACCTCCCTCAACGTCATATCAACCATCCAGCATATTCACGCCCTGCTCCGCCCGGGTGGCACATAGATCAACCTAGGACCGTTGTTGTGGACCGCGGGCGCACAAGCGAAGGTGGAACTTTCATTGGAGGAGGTTTTGAATGTCGTTGAAAGTGTAGGTTTTACGCTCGAGGAGATGGAGGACGGAGAGAGGACGAAGGAGGTACCCTGCGAGTATACAGCAGATAGGCAGGCTATGATGCGATGGATATACCGGGCGGAATTCTGGGTTGCAAGGAAGGGAAAGTAGTAGGCTGTATCAGTATACGCGATGGCTTCACCGTTCATAAACGCCGGCCTTTACTCCCTCGCACCGACCTGGTTAGTCTTGCAATTTCGACTACAAGAATAGAATCGGGCTCATTATTTGTAGGAACAAGCCTAGATGAACATGAGCGATGCGAGAACAACTCTCGCAGCTTTCTCCCTCGTATATCAAGCATGGACCAATATCTGCCGAAAGCACATCCTCCTGAGATTCACCATCCTTGGAGAACGCAATGTCATATCTCGCCTATCGTTGCTCTACTTCACTGCCCCCCCATGAATATGTGCATAAAGACCTGCTTGAACTCATTTGCTCGGATAATCTCTATGATGATCCCGTGTTTCTCTCCCCATGTGTGCCAGGGTGCATTGTCAAACTCTCCTCCCCCATCGACACGAACACTCTCCAACTTCTTTCCCGTTTGCCTTTCAACTTCCGTGCTCGAACCTCCTCCTTTCTGGGTCGGACGCCCGAGTGCCTTGGCCAATCGAAGAATGTACTACGTATGCTGGCCTTAGGCCAAGCTGCCGATGTATGGAGCTTGTCCCGCTACATAGCGGCACTCTGCAACCACAGAGCGCTGAAACGTATCGCCATCACGGTAAGTGCAGCTGTCGACGTTGATAGCCAAAAAGAAGAAGAAACAAAGAAGCTGATGCCGGATTGATAGACTGGCAGCATTGCGAGATATTGATGATGCACTATGTATGGCCTTCTTGTTTGCTTCCCTCCCATCGAACTCCCGCCTCCCCCCCGCCGGTGACCCGCCTACTCTAGGATAGTCTTGTCCAGAATATCAAAGTGTAAACTTGCAATTCTTTTGTATCGCCGGAAGTCATCCCGCCTGCCCTTCGACGGCTTCTGTGCTTCCGGGAATGTACTTTTGGGTAACGAAGAACCCTAGGGGTCGCTCAGCGTCCTCTTCAAATGGATGCTCCATTCTTGTACTCTTACATAACTCACCCATGTCAGAGAAGGCTTTGATTGTTACATATGGCCCTACACCTTAGGTCCTTGTTCGGGTGCGAAAGTCAGTGCCTTGCCTTTAAGTATAACCTTCTCAAGCCTCGAGCCTCCCCAGAACCTCCAATATGGACTCAGACTTGCAGCGTCCTCCTGTTCCCCTGTGGCTATTGGTATCGCCCACCGCTCTAGTTTCCCTCGCACTTATGTGCAGATCTGCCCTCGCACGCAAAGCCATGTTCCTTCCAATTGCAGGCATTGCCCTCTACATCACGACGATTGGGATGTCAATCGGGGACTACGTTATAGCTGGTGCATTCACGGCCTGTGTCTTCGTGATATTCGATCTCCTCGTGCTGACTGACGCGCACCATGAGCTGCGTCTGGTAGACCAGGTCCCCCCCAGCGCGGGCTCCTTGCCTCTTTTCGCGCGCGCAAAGTGGGTACTGTGCCTCCTCACGAGCCCGCGTCTCATTGGGTGGGCTAATGAGCCCAAGAATGGGAGCATCCCCCCTCGCCCGACGGACACATCCAGGATCCGCTTCGCCGCTAGACAGATCGTTTATACCGCATTTCACCTCCTCACTCTGAACATCCTGAGCGCCACGATGACTGGGCACATGTCGCGAAATGGACTGGACCCGGCGAGGATGGGATGGGGTTGGCGATTGGTAGATACGCTGCAATATGGCGCGACAACGTTGACCTGGCTGTCGGTCGCTCATCGTGCGTGGACGTTGGCGCTCCTCTGTACAGGGAGGTGGGCGCCGTCCGACTTTCCGCCGATATTGGCATCACTTGGAAATGCGTATACATTGCGTAGATTCTGGGGGTCAGGACGTCTATGATTCCTCGTCTGCTCATCGCTAACACACGGTCGTTTCAGACGAACATATCATCAAATCCTCCGCAGGGTGAGCGTAAACTAGCTCGCTACATTGTCTATCTCACCTAAATCGTAGATGCTCACCTCACACGGGAGGTTCGTCACCGACAAGATCCTCCATCTTCCCCGTGAAGCAAAGTTAACTCGGCGTTATACCCAACTCTACGTTGCTTTCTTCATCTCGGGCGTACTTCACCATTGGGCTGAGTACCTGGTAATCCATCACCTTGGAGGCGGGAGCCTTCAGTTCTTTCTCTCGCAAGCACTTGCGATCCATTGCGAGGATATCGTGATATATGCTGGGGGGAGAATGGGGTTGAAACAGTCTCACGCTTCGGAGGTCGTCGGGTATATATGGGTCTGGCATTGGTTTACATGGTGTGTGCCGGGCTCATTGGACCCACTTGTTCGCCTTGGTATGTTTAAGCAGCTGGGGGTGGATGTAAAGGTGTAGGCCATTATTTAGGATGTCATTGAACGCTGTGAAAGCAATACTCAGCCTCTTAGCCTAAACTCACCGAAGTTGGCGTTTGATTCCAAGCTGCAGCTATCTTGAAAGAGTTCGGGATGTTTGGTCCTACCGCTTGGCCAAACCTCACATTAAGCACCCAGTTGGACCTGCCTTTTGTATGTATGTAGTGACTACTACTACGCGAACAACATGCTATGCCTTCCTTTACGCAACAAACCTCAAGCTCAAGCTCACGCTTCACCGTCACTGATTGATGCTCAATTTCCTTATACTCATCAAGTCCACTTCCCGAAGACTTGAAGTGTCAATGATGCAACACGAAAGCGTGTAGTGGTGCTCCTTGATATTCTCATGGGAAGCAACAAAACTATCGGCGATTGGCACAAGAGGAAGCCAATCTCGTTCCTTTTGTCCTTTATCCAGCGTTCGAGTTCTCTGATCTATTTCTGAGCTTTGAATCCTTCAGTACTTGAGCTTGAGTCCCCAAATGGCGATGGCTATCCATTTTCATCCGCAGTGTTGGGCACCACTGTAGTAGGCGCGGCTCTACTATCAACGATGTACAACGTCTCGGTGTCAGTCAATCGAGTAGGGAGATCATTGGGCCATCTCCATACTAGCTGCCAGCTCCAGACATTAATTGTCTTGCAGGTAAGCACGATTACTACCAGCCTTGTGAAATGCACATCGATTCACGAAGATTTTGAGCAGCATCGTTGCGGTATCTTTTGAAGATGCCTACTCGAATACTTCTCCATAATTGTGCCCATTCTCTAAAAAATCATGCCATTCGCTCTCAAAGAATTCGCCCTGGCATCCAATGGCGCGTAGTCTCAATGGCCGCACAGAGTGACTGAATACTCCACATCTTCCTTATTTTCTTTGTAGCGAATCAACCTGGTTGTCTATTTCCTCCAGGGATGAAGTTCCGAGGAGCTCTAGGAGTGAGTGCCTCATGTTCTGCTTCATCTGGCGTAATAGAAGGTCTAAATAATATATATAATGCTCATTAATCTTCTAGCTCAAGCTCAAACTCGAAACCCGACGACTACTACACTCCTCGCCACCAACAATCCCAATACTTGAGCCTCTGCCTCGAAAGCCTCACCATGAACTCGGACTCGGGGCGTCCCCCAGTCCCCCTGTGGCTGCTGGCGTCGCCTTTCGGGCTATCTTTCGTCGCACTCATGTTCAAGTCCCCCATTGCCCGCAAGGCGATGTTCCTCCCAATCGTAGGCGCCGTTATCCGCATCACGGCCATCGGGCTGTCACCGGGGGACTACGCCACGGCGTGCGCGCTCGCACTTCAGGTCTTCAAGATGTGCGACTTCTTGGTGCTGACCGACGCGCATCTTGAGCTGCGGCTGGTGGGTCAGACCGCCCCCAGCGCAGGCTCTTTGCCCCTGTTCGAACGTGCCAAATGGGTGATGCGGCTCCTCGCGAGCCCTCGTCTCATCGGGTGGACAAGCGAACCCAAGAACGGCAGCATACCTCCACGGCCAACGGAGACGTCGAGGATTCGCTTTGCCATTAAGCAAATCATGTACCTCGCCCTGCACCTCCTTACCGTGAATATACTGGGTATCACGCTGAGGCTGAGTCCCGGGTTTTCGCAACATGGACCTGGGTTGGCGGGGAGCGGATGGGGGCGGCGGTCGGTAGATGCACTTCAGTACTACGGGGTGGTGTGGACATGGCTAACGATTTCTCACCGTGTTTGGGTGTTGATGCTGTTGAGTACGGGGAGGTGGATGCCCTCTGACTTTCCACCGATGTTTGCATCTCTGGGAAACGCGTATACGTTGCGTAGATTCTGGGGGTATGTGCAGACGCCTCCCCTCCTGCTACAAGGATTTATCTGATGGCAGTCTTTTTTATCGTTGTTAACAGGCAAACACACCAACAAATGCTCCGCAGAGTGAGTTGTTCGTTGTCCCAGCTCGCGCTCAAGGATGGGCGTGGAGCGTTAGGCGTTGGAACACGGCTCATGTATCTTCTTAGGCGACCACATCTCATGGAAGCTTCGTTTCTGATAAACTTCTCCGTCTTCCTCGTCACGGAAGGTTATCCCGCTGCATCCAACTCTACGTCGCCTTCTTCATATCAGGCGCCGTTCATCACTGGGGCGACTACATGATAATGCCGTTGAACGGACCCGGTTTGCGAGCGAGCGGGAGCATGCAGTTCTTCCTCTTGCAAGCCGTAGCGATACATTGCGAAGACATCATGATCTCCGCTGGAAGGAGAATGGGGTGGAGCTTTGACCTCAAACCGACTTGGAGGAGAACGGCATCGAGGATCGTAGGGTGTGTATACGTATGGCAGTGGTTCACGTGGTGCCTCCCTATCGGCATGGACCCGCTGGTACGCTTCGGGATGATTGAGAACGGGGTGCAGGTACAGATAATTCAGGAAGCGTGTAAGTTCTTCGGGAAAGGATGCCATTTCTCTACCTAGAGTGTTATGAGAAGTCGTATATGTCGTTTTAGGTTGTATAATCTGCACGGTAGATACTGCACTCACAATATCCGAAGTAGAAAACGATTATTTGCTGGCACTGGGCAGAAGCGTTGGGCGCTAGATGCTCGCCCCTGATGAGCTCCTATTTATGGATCGTTGTCGTGTCACCGCCAGCAGCGTTGTCCCACCCACAAGGTCGCAAACTCGCAAACCAGTTCCCGTGGTCGACCACAGTGCCGGAAAACCGACCGCCTATGATTAGAAAGTCCTGACGAGATCTTCTCATAAAGGCGTTTGAGCGAGCCGACTTTTCTCCAACTTCCCCTTCCTTCTTCTCCATCAAAACTTTGCTGGTCACTAATGGCGAGTCTCCAAGATGCACCGGAAACATACATGCAAGCGTTCATACAATCCTACGCTATGATCATCTTCTCCGAAATCGGGGACAAGACCTTTCTCATCGCCGCCATCCTCGCCATGCGACACCCCCGTTTCATCGTTTTTGCGGGGGCCTTTGGCTCACTTGTCGTCATGTCCATTCTCTCTGCTGCGATGGGCCACATACTACCGACGCTGATACCGAAGAAATGGACGCAAATCGCGGCAGCGTTCCTGTTTCTGGTGTTCGGGAGCAAGATGGTGCTGGAGGGGCGGCAGATGAAGGGAGGGAACGAGAAGATCAAGGAGGAGATGAGGGAGGCGGAAGAAGAGATTGAGGGAGACGATGCGGAGCGCGGGGACGGGATCCCGTTAGAGGCGATTGAAGAAGGCGGAAGGGACGGCGCGGCGACAAGGACGAAGAAACCCAAGGCATCGGTCGCGGAGGGTGCGAGGAACTTTTGCAGTTTGTTCCTCGGCCCCGTCTTCGTGCAAGCCTTCATATTGACCTTCCTCGGCGAATGGGGCGACCGTAGTCAGATCGCCACCATAGCACTTGGTGCTGCGCATGTGCGTATTCTCTGTCTCTCCCTTTACGCTAGCTTTATTTTTTTTCTTCAACTAGAACGTCTATATTGTGACGGCGGGTACCGTCCTTGGACACATGTGCTGTACAGCGCTCGCCGTTATCGGTGGCCGTTACGTCTCCACGAAGATATCTGTTAAACATGGTACGTCCGAGATCACTCGCCTTCGATTCGGATGTTGATTGGAGTGTAGTAACGCTGGGCGGGGCGGGCCTCTTCCTGCTCTTCGGCGTCATATACCTCTACGAAGCTATCATAATGTCCGCCGACATGGACATGGGCATAGAAGACCCCTCCACCGCCGGTGTTATATAGATTTACATATCCATCGCCGATCGTCAGTAAAGCTGTTCTCGTTTGTCAACCGTGCTATTCTCGTAATTCGCTTTGCTGCATCCTGGAGGACTTCATAATCTTTATTACTCTTAGAATTAGTTTTTCTTGTCATTTCTTCCTCTGTCATTTCCAACTTGTCACTGCGAGTCGATATTCGATCCGCCAACAATTCGCATTCGGGAGTTTCGTGGCACGAGGGACTAATATTGGTGTACTTTATGACGGTGTGCTGTTGTCTGCGTGCCCTCGTCAGTCTTGACATTCAACATCGACAGCGACTATAAAGTCGAGCTGCTGACGGATTATCTGATATATTACCTCTTGCAGCTCGTCCGCAATCCTTTGAGGTGAGTGCTTGGGGAAGTAACACCTCGTCCTGTACTACAAAGTGTATACTTGTACCCCCAGCTGTTGGGCCAGACCGATGCAAACGGGTCACCAAGCCGGGTACACACCTGCCATACCCAGAGATACCCTACGACCCCACACCCTCGTCTGTGCCAGTCCTATTTACCCAGCGGCGAATTTAGCGATATCTTCGCAATGTGCTGCGATAACCTACGAGAGAAAGCATCGCAGGGTGAAGAGTACATTAAGTGGAGTGTCGAAGACCGTCAACATCTCCTATTGCATCCTAGGCACGACAATCCATGACAAGCTCGTGCGTCAATGGCAATGTGAAGCGCAGAACGGAAAGGCGGACGTCCACACCCGGACCTAATATCGCAGCAAAACCGTCCTTTGGCTTGTTCGTTTCCCGTTCTTCGTCGATATCCACTTCTTTGCGACCTTCGGGCGTCCTTATGCCTATGGCGATGCTGATGCGGCGCAACGCCCCGCGGTCACGGAGTTCAGCGAGAAAACGGGACAGAGTCTCGTACTCGGTGAGCTCGGGGTATTCTGGATACCAGTGCTCGAGTGCGATGTCGAGTCGTTCAAGCAGCTCCGGGAATGGGAGGTTGTCGATGCAGCCCTTCAGCCAATTGTGGAATTGGGGAACTGACCGTCCGAACTGCATTGCAACGGTCAACGTTGAGGGGCGCATGGTGTTATTTGCGAACTTGGGTATGCCCGACCACGAAAAAGCTAGACGCGTAGGTGACTCGGTGCCGTGAGCACGACGAGATATAGAGCTCGCCTGTCAGGGACAGATCTTTCACCCCGGGAGGAACCCACAATAGCGAGCCTTGCTGCTCCTCTGTCGTGATCGCCATTTTTTCGAGGTTCGGGCAATCAATGAGGGATTGAGCATCGTCGCCAAGTTCCCAGCCAAGTATTGCGAGGCTTTGAAGACGAGGGGCACCAAGGAGGGTTTGAATAGTGTGTTTCAGCGACCAAGACAGTGCCGACCACTCCCTAGTGAGGTCGATCAAGGTCAGCACACGTAGATTGTGCATTCGGTCGAGGATATCGGAGATCCAATCCGGAAAGAAGATATTAGGGTCGAACACGAGTTCCAGCACGTATTCGGCGAGGTGGGGAGCGGTGACGTGGAGAAACGGTAGGCGGGGTCGAACTTGGGCGTCGGCGGAGATGACGAGCTTGCGAAAGAGGCGTTGACGGCAGATATCGGTCCACGCGCGGCATACGAGAGAGCAAGCAGCGAGAGTCGATGCTGTCCCATGCTCATTGCGATCGTTGATTTGGGCGATGATATGGCGGACGAGCTCGACAGGGATTCTGCAGATAGGCGGTTGCTGCTCCGAGTGGACACCTCCTGCGCTGGCAATGTTCATTTTCAACTGTGCTGGAACTTCCTGCAATGAAATCAATGTCGAAGAGCACGACCGAACATCAAGTTCAGCGCTTGTTTCCGGCGACTTCCGAATTTACTTTGCCCTTGGGATACCTGAGTCGATGCCTATAACGGAGCCATTCCGGTGTCTCAAAAGCTACTTGGACGACGCAGGAAATATGCATTATCGAGCAGGAAGATAACATCCCTTGCCGACCAACCCACATATACCCTGGATAATCTCTACTTTTGCTCCCTGCTCAATCAGTCCAATGCGAATGAGCGGGTCCACCCAGCTGGGTATACACCACGCAAACCACTGCCACACCCACACATACCCAATGACCTCCCACATCTTCGACAGCTTCCACCCCAGTCGCCCAGCGGCGGATATCAGGATATCCTCGCAATGTATCGCGGCGGCTTGCCAGAGGAAGAATCGCAGGCTCCCGCCGCCGAAATTGTGGATTGTCATGTAGTCGGCCCAATAGTGGAGGGCGCCTGACACAAAGAATGCGACGTAGAGCTGGGTATAGCGCCGTGTTAACTTCGCCTCACGGGGAAGATGGAGGAGTTTGTCGGTGACGAAGGTCCCGTGCGAGGTTAGCGTCTAAAGGGAAACATTAGCCCCGTTTCAATAGTGTATGGTTCAAGTTACAGACCCTGCGAAGCATCTGATGATATGTTCGCCTGCAAAGATGTCAGACGAGAAGAGATGAAGATAGAAGACTACTACGTACCCCCAAAATCTGCGTAACGTATACGCGTTTCCCAAGGGCGCGAACATCGGTGGAAGATCAGAAGGCATCCACCTTCCCGTACACAGGAGCGCTAGCACCCAGGCGCGATGGGCAATCGATATTCCCATCCACGCCGCCGCGCCATGCTGAAGCGCGTTCACAGACCGCCAGCCCCACCCACTCCCCGCCAACCCAGGTCCATTCGCTGAAAACCCGGGCGTCAGACTCATCGTGATGTTCAGCACGTTCATAGTGAGGAGGTTGCAGACGAGGTAGAATAATTGCTTGCAAGCGAAGCGGATCCTGGAAGTATCTGTCGGACGCGGAGGGATGACGCCGTCCTTCGGTTCATTGGTCCAGCCGACGAGACGAGGGCTTGTGAGGAGGCGAAGAACCCATTTTACGCGTTCAAGTAGGCCCGTAGGCATGCCAGCGGCTTGGTCTCGCAGCCGCAGCTCGGCGTGAGCGTCTGCTATAACCAGAAAATCGAACATCTGGACAACCTGAGACGACAATGCGCACGCCATGGGGTAGTCCCTGCCCGACATCCCGCCGCCGATCCTCATGATGTGCACAACGACGCCGGCGAGCGGGACAAACATCGCTTTTCGGACGACCGGGCTCGAAGGCATGAGCGCGACGAAAGACAGCACAAAAGGCGCTGCCAAGAGCCACGGCGGGATCGGGTCCATGTCCATGTCGGTATAAGCCTGTAAGCTGGCACGGGGATGAAAAGAGAGAAAACTTGGACGCGACGAAGTGTTAGTTGCTTCATATTATGTAAGAGACGTTGAAAAGTGGTTTGCGACGACCCTGGCGTTGCTCGATGGGCGCGAGTTTCAAGGTCCTTTCCCGATGAGCGTCGTCTGGGACAAGGATCATCAGGCGCCGAGTTTCCAAAGCATTGCGCCCAAACATCCCGACGAGGCAAGGTCGGATGTCCCATACCATCGGCACCAGAAAAAGTGATAGGTTGAAATTCTTCGGGTTCGATACTGGGTATTCCGTACTTTCGCGTCGAGTGCCGACTCCCAGTGTGACTCAGTTTAGGGTGCTTGAAGCTCCCTGACGACCCTTTTATGACAGAGGATGTCAAAGGTCGTGAAAGTTACGCGTTAGCGTTGGAGCAAGGAAACGTTGAACTAGATTAGCCCTAGAACCTTAGGCGCTGATACCCTTTGTCAACGGCGCCTAATCCGACTGTCCCGCTCTTTTCTCCTACAACCTTCAATTGGTGAGTTTCCCATATTTTACCGTTTGCAACTTTGAGTGCTTACTTAGACTCGGGAGTGTGTAGAACAGATTATGGACGATACGGGAGTCGGAGGCGCTGACCAGGCTTTAATATCAACCAAGAATGCTCTCCCTGTTGAACTGATTCACCAGATCATCGCCGATCTCGCTCAGTCTGAGGATAATACACCCCCCATAATTGGTGCTTGCGCCCTTGTCTGTCGGGCGTGGGCTGCTATCTGCCGCGCACATATCTTCCGCCAGATCACTATCAGCTATCGTGATTTCACGCCGCGCCTCTCTTTTCTCTACTTCACAGCTCCCCATCTCAGCAAATATATTCTTGAGCTTGTTATCCGCGGTCAAGGCAGCAGACGCTCCAGTCACGCTTTTCCGGAATGGACTGCGTACTGCTTTGGTCTATTGAACAATTTACGTTCGTTGCGCTTTCATCACGTTACTGGGGAGTGGTCCCAGATATCGACGCCACTCGTGCAGGGGATAACTACGCTTCTATCCGCCCCTCGCCTTCGAAAGCTTCATATCTCTGGATGGGCCTTTGGGAACGATACCCGAACCCTCCTCTTCTTGCTTTCTCTGTGCTCGACCTCCCTACAGGATCTGGTACTCCAGAATGTCGACGTGACCGAACCTGGAATCGAGGTAGACGGATTATCGGCCATAAGCATGGAGGCTCTTTCTAGCCTGCGACTGGAATGTGTCTCGCATCCCGGTCTAACGGAATCACTCATCAAATGCCCGAACCTGAAATCAATGGTAGTAAAAACGAATGATATGCGAGAGCGTTACCCGCTATGGATATCATCTGTGGTAAAGGAATTAAATCTGATTGGTATGCCTCTCAAATCCCATCCATCTCACTACGTTGAATTGTGTACGGGCCTAGTATTCCCGTGGTCTGGTATCCCCAAGTTTGCGAATACTGCGCGCATCTCAGTGCTCTCAATCGATATGGCGACGCCTACCAGGCTCTCTGAATTTCAAGAATGGCTGGAGGCCTGCATCAGCAACCTCCCCCATCCTCATCTCCTTGCCGAACTCACAATGCAACTTCAATACAATCCTGACGGAAGAGAATACCCCGATGTCGCCGAATATACAGCTTTATCTTCCTATCTCTCGCAGCTTCGTGACCGCATGCCACTGGGGCGTATCAGTGCCACTATGCAGATGATCGTGCGTGGTGCGATAAAAGAAGTGGATGATACCGACCAAGTAAGGGAAGTGGCGAAGCTTAGGGATGGATTTGCACCGATATTGGGGCCAGGTGTGGACATTCGACTCGTTGTTCAGCATGTGGGTAGGTTGATCCCGGGATACATGGACTGTCGAGTGTAGTATCATGGGGTGGTGAGCATGGTCTCTTCTCGTCCCATTGTATTGTCTAATTATATCCAAGGGCGGACGAATGCCCTTTAGGATTCCCGGATAGAAATATTCATACATCCGGACAGGATATACCAGCATTCTATAGCGACAATGCTGGTGGTTGTAGTAACACAGTATCAAGAGGGAATAGCTCTTGACTTTATCTCCCCATTTCCGGACTCAAGCTTTGTAAACCTATCCTACCAACGGGCGGCAAGGGGGGAGCACTCCGTATAGCGTTCTACACACGAGTAGGTGTACATTGGATCTCGAGCGCCAAATCTCGAGTTGAATGCGTATGCCCAAACCTAATATCGCTCCGAACCCATCCCTTACCTTCTTCTTCGACGCGTACTTTGCCGCTGTCATTGGGAGCCGTTAGTGTGATGGGACATCGATCCATTGTATATCCCACCACTCGCGCAATTGACCTAGGTAACGGGCCAGGACTTCGTAGTCGGCAAGCTCGGGGTATCCGTGATCGTCCGGTTCCAGTGTTATCGCGAGCCGTTCGAGCGAGTCGGAGAGTGAGAGGCTGTCCATGCAGCCGTCCAGCCATGGGAGGGCGCGGGCGAACGTCGCTTCCACCTCCACGGTCAGTCTTGAAAGGCACATTGGAACCTATGCAAACTCGGAAATACCAGACGACCAAGGAAAAGCTAGATGCGGAGGTAAGGGCATGCCCCGCGATTCCCAGTGTACCTTCAGGATTAGGTAGTCCGCTCCAACACAGAAGCGGACTGCCAGTTGCGATCAGTGTGAACTCCGTTGTTGTGATGTTCGGGCATTCGATACGGGTGCCCATAGTGAGTTAGTGACGTGACCAGCAGGTGTATGGTTGGCATATCGTGCACATCAAACCGCATCTCTTTAACTTTCGTGCGTGTTAATGTTTGTAGGGAGGTCGCACAACAGAAAACATGCATCGGAGGGCTTGAGCGTTGTTTCTGAAGTTCCACCCATTAAGTTCAAGCATTTCGAGGCGAGGGGCGGCTAGAAGAGTCTCTATGCCTCGTGTGAGTGGTCCAGAGAATCCTGACCACGCCCAACCGGGGTTCCCAAGGATCAGCGCACGGATATTTGTTAACCGACAAAAGCACTTGGGCGTCCATGCAGGAAAGGGGGTCACAGGAATGCTCTGGTTCAGCGACAGACTCTGTACGTAGTCGCTGAGGTGACAAGCGGTGAAGGGTAGAAATGATAGGCGAGATGTAATGTTGCGACTATTGAAGATGAGGAGGATTTCGAAGGTACGCGGGCGGCAGACATCGGCCCACGAGCGACGCACGAGAGAGCCAGCAGCGAGATTCGATGATGCGTAGCCACCGTTGGAAGATATTATGGCGATAATCCCGTGTATAAGCTCGATAGGGAGTGGCCAGTGGCCAGTACCATTGCTGATATCACGCTATGTTAGTTTCTGAAAATGATGTCAAAGAGAGTTGCTCTACCACTACATGCGAATTGCGGGGGACAGACAATAGTCAAGGTGCGCGCAGAGTGAGGGTAGACGCTGAGCCGCAAACGAGAACTGGAAAGGAGACCAAATACGGCCCTCAGGCGACGCTATGAATAGTCCATCCATTTGGAGAGACGGTGAGTGGTCTCCGCTCCTCTGTTTCCTGTTGAAGAAGGTGAGCTAAACGTTAAGCGTTAAACCCTTTGGATTCTGCAAGCGCAATTCATCAGAGCTCCCCTGGTCGCGATAAAACCCTGAGGCCGATGTGGGGATTGTTAGTATGCGACATACTGTGTAACTCTGAACGAGATTGTCCAGACACGTACTGCGACTGCGACTACAAAGTCGTAGGCCGGAGGCTTGGACTTTTGGGCGAGTTTCATTTCTATGGCGGCGCTCACGCTACCCCGGTAGCACTAACGGGTCCATCAGATCAGCAGGCGAGTCACGGCAGCGCCGAACTGTGGTTCGTATATGTAGTTGGTGAATGGGCAGGCTGCTCGGGAGTTAAAGGCAATGTGGATGGAAGAAGATCAGATAGTTAGATGAGCGCTGCGCAGTCGCGAGCTGCTGATACGCCCTGTAACATGACCGTCAATACGTCTAAGAATACAATATGCTTAAATATATACCTCTCCATTTGCCAGGTACCTTCAGCCCTACTTACCAGTGTGCCGTGTATATAAGGCAGAGAATCGCCACCGTAGAGACCCATCAGACCTCGAGGAACTAGCAGGTGAGCGACCGCGAGCTCTGCACAATCATCCTCAGCACTAAACATAACGATCTTCACAGAGTCCACACTCGAAACGCACTCCAAGAATCCATGATGTCTTTCAAGTCACTCCTTGCCGCCGTCCTGCTCGCGGCAGCGTCCACCACGCTCGCCGATCCAGTACCTCCCCGGGGATCGTGCTTGGAGCCATGCTTCCCCGCCGACCATGTCTGCGGCACCGGACAGATTCTGGTCCCGCCCCCGGACGGCGGTGACTGCTTCTCGTGCTGCGCTGGGACACCTCCAATCACGAGGCCGACGAATCCGCTGGTAGTGTGCTCGTTGGTGTGCTTGCCACCAGACCATGTGTGCCCACCCGGGCAACAGTTGCTGGGCTCAGGTGATTGCTTCAATTGCTGCACCGGTGCCTAGAGTTGGAGGTCGTCGACATCAATCAATACTCGACAATACATTGATTCAGACTGTGGGAGGGCAATGTAGTGTCGCTGAAATGTAGACCTGATAATATGATTAGCTGTGTAGGTTCTCATAGGAATTGTGACCACTGAGAGGTATGCCGTCCACCCCGAGGTTAAGATATAGCCTCCAGCGACTTGATCAGCACACCGGCCCGTAACTCCAGCATTATCTGTTCACCACCTTTGTCCTTCAGACGAGGTGGTTTCTTTCTGTTCCAAGGTGGTAGTAGGAATACAATTGAGAAATGGCTGAATTGCACGCGGCCGAGGAGATGACAGCCTATCCATGCGGATTGACCACAAGGAATGACGCTGATCAGGTACTGCCAAATTATCTCTTAAACTGAAGAGCACGGTCCATTCCAGCCTATAGGCCCTTCCATGGACGGTGGAGTCGATCCCGTGAGGGCTGCTAGGGAGATGAGTCTAGTCTCACTAATGTATCACCCGTGCATTAGGCACCGCCGGCGAAAATGACCGTCAAGATGGCGATTGAGCGCGCCGTCTTTGGGGTCATGCATGGAGACAAGAGACGACCCAAGAACATGCCTTCTCGATGATTAGGTCGGAAGGTTGGAGCCCATCCTATGAGTCGCGTATCTGGGTCATCTAGATGGAGCGACAGTGACTTTGCGGGGAGCAGCCTCCGTTATGTGCTCGCCTGTTCTGAAAGCTGACCGTCGGGCTGTAAAGTAAGCCCTTGGGAATCGGTGCCGTAGAGCCTGAGGGCAAACATTGTACTCTGGCGCGTTCGACCCTGTGCTGTAACATGTGAGTATATAACGTTACCAGCACAAAGAAGGCAGGTACCCACACCCAAACCCCGTTTTGAACGGGACGCGTGCTTTGATCCGTGGTTCCGAGCTAGGTTCGAGCGGCCAACTCACCAGCGACCGCGTCCTCAGTACTCCACCGATATTTCGGCGCCGTTGTCTGCTGATGCGGACTTGGCTCCTCCATACAAATTAAATCAGGTATACAGCAACAAATTGATAGTGATATTGGGTTGGATAAGTGGGGACGCGAGTAGCGGGGTATTGGAGGCCGTGTAATGTATTCGCTTTTCTCCTTTCTGCTTGCTGGAACTTGTTGAAACTCGACGCGCTTGACGAAACTTGGCCTTGTGATTGAACGAAATTTTGCTGGGCATTCGGCTTCATGCATTGATGAATGATTCTGCCAGTAATTCAGTCATCGCAACATCCCCTTCCTCCAGGACTCGCGAACAACTAGGCGTTTCTCCGATTGCCTGCAACCCTGCCTTGGCCTCCTGACCACCGTATAAAGGGCGTCGACGACAGCCATGGTGACCCATCGTACTCGAGCAACCACAACCAGGTGAGCGCCGCCTTCTCTGCATCTGCTAAACCAGTTTCAGGCTGACGACGTCCCGTACAGACCTCGAAGCACTTACCTCCCAAACCACAACGAATATCACCATGTTCTCCAAGACAATCCTTGCAGCCGTCGTGCTCGTGGCGGCCTCCGCCACGCTCGCGGAGCCGCTGCCGCCCACGCCCTGCCTCAAGGCGTGCTTCCCCAAGGACCACGTCTGCGGTGAAGGGCAGGTTCTGGTCCCGCCTACGGGCGACGGCGGCTGCTTCGTGTGCTGCGTCGCGCCCTCGCCCCCACCAGAGCCTCGCGAGGTCTGCTTGGCTGTATGCCTCCCCGAGGACGCCGTATGCCCTGACGGACGCCCCTTGTCAGGCGGAAACGGCTGCTTCAACTGCTGCGGGCCCAAGTAAATCCTCGGTTGCTGGAAGGTGTAGCAGTAGTCCTCGATGTAGCGAGCAAACCCGCACCTTGACACCCGGTTCTGATAATATGAATGATGTCCTGAGTATTGCGTGTATACATAATTATAAGGTACTCGAACCGAAAGTGAATACAGCCCACAGAAGTCGCGAAGACGAAGAACAGAGAATAAATATCAAGATAACAAAATAACGATGTACACACTTGCGTATTCAAGATTCACGCACAACAGCTCGACCCCTTCCCTTTCTGTCCACCCCAACGCCCGCCCAGATGCAGATTGAGCCCCGCCTTGATGGTTTCACTCGCACCGGTGCTTGCTTCCTGCATATGCAGCCGCTTGGCCTCGATGGCCTCGTCGTACTCCCACTGCCCGACGACACGCTGCGCGACCTGCTCGAAGATCTCCCGCACTCCCTCCCCCGTCTTCGCAGACGTGTAGAACAGCTGCGGGCCGTGCAATGGGCTCGGGGGATGTGTGGAGGGACGACCAAGCGACGTGTTATCCTGCGGCGTCGTCGTCGACAACGAGAGCGTCGACGTGCTGCGCTGGCCCCGCGCAAACATGCTCGGCGTGATCGTCGCGCCGCCGTCCGAGCTGGCGCTCGACGTGGAGAACGCCGTGTTCCTCCTCGACCGCGTGGAATTGGGGCTCGTCGCGCGCAGCGGGAGGGACACGGACGACGAGGAGATGGAGTGCTCGGGGGACGTGCGCGCGGAGTGGAAAATGTCGTTGGAGATGGACGAGGCAGGCGTGTGGTAGATCGTGGCGGTGGAGTGCATGGTGTTCACGGTCGTCATCGTGCCGGTGTAGAAGCGAGACGACGCACGGGAGTGGGAGCGGAGGGAGCCGCGCTTCGGGGAGAGGGATATGCGGCGCTGGGCGCGGGAACGGATCGCTATGGACTCAGAAGGCGTGTGCGGCGATCGCCCATCATCCCTTTCGTCGCCTTCACCGATATCCATGGGGTCTTCAGATAGTTGGGTGGCTATTATGGGATCAGTGGTGGGGTGGTCGTGTGGTGGAGACGGGGGACGGAACAGCGACGGCATCAGTTCGTGGATGAGATCCCAGGTGCGGTCGGGGGGCACAGCGTCAGGCGCGCCGTGCTCCGTGCCGACCAAATCCATCTTGTTCCCCACAACAACGCAGCAGAAGCCCTCCATATCCTCCTCCCCCAGCGGCGCGCGCTCGCAGAAGTCAGACCACCACTTGCGCAGGGCGTACAGCGTCTCGGGCTTGTTGACATCGAACATCAGGATCACCGCATCTGCGCCCCTGTAGAACGCCGACGACAGGCTCGAGAAGCGTTCCTGGCCTGCTGTGTCCTATCCGACGTCAATTCACACCTAGGCGCACGACGAACCGATAGGGAAGACTCACCCAGATCTGCAACGTTATTGACTCTCCTGCAATCCGTGGGTGTGGGAGAGTCTTGGAAATGAAGTCTGCGCCGATAGTGGCACGATATCCGGTGGAAAATTGGCCGGAGATGTACTGGATTGCGATCAAGAGTCAAGACGACCTGCATGGCTGCTGAAGAGAATCAACAACTACCTGGCCACGAAGGCTCGTCTTGCCGACACCGGACGCCCCAATGACAACGAGCTTGATGGTGAGCATGGGACAGTTGCGGTACAACTGCCCTCGGGGTATTTACATGAAGTCGTGTGGTGGAAGAGGAAGACGGAAGAGGCGGGCGCCTAAATTACTGTAATGATTTAAGTCCAGCGGGTCCAGCGACACAGGCGAGATAGTTATAAACGGACTAACCGATGTAGGACCCAGCGAACCAGAGTACGACAACTTCCTCGAAACTCCGTAGAATAATATGCATACAGAACCAACATGATTACAAGATACAGCGTAGATGATGTTATGATATTATGTTCTTATATTGTATGCCTTCCGCTCCCACTGGGACCACGTAAAGACCGGCAGTGGATGGGCCTCGGTATTGAACACCCACTTGTCCAGGGGCACGATATCCGCTTCTGCGAACAAGAGGTACAAGTATTTGAGCCTGGAAATATCCGATATTCGATCAGCAGCGATCATACCAACGTCTAAAGCGTCGACTCACGTTTCCGCTAGGAAATAGCTGTAAAAGAAAAGGTGAAATCTGAGCACGTAGGTTGTGTGAGATGGCTGAAGGCTATGCGCACCTCGGCATATCGTCGTTGGGCACTGCCGGGACCTCGTCAACGTCGTGCACGCTCGCGTACCCGTTCTGCACACGCGCATGCTTCTCCAGCGCCTGGAAGACCGCCCACCCGCGCTCCCGCCACTTCACGTCCCCGGTCGTCTTCCATAGCACGAAGAACGACTCCACCGTCTATACAAAAAGATCATCCACCCCAAACCCCATGTCAACTGCGTTCCACACGTCAAGACTAGGCGACAACGTACCTCGGGCCGCAGAATATACACGCTCGACGAGTCCTGATAGTCCCTCTTCTCCTTATCCTGCTCTGGGAGCACTTCGTTCACTCCGGGGGGTACACCACCCGCCCTGCCCTCCGCCTCCCACTCCCCCAGCGCCTCCACCCACCTCGTGCCCCCCTCATCAAACTGCACGCCGTCTGGCCCCAGCCCCGTCCTCTGGTCCGCGTACGTCACATAACACGTATACGCCAGCCCCCGCGCAGCCCACATATGCCTTTCCCTATCGTGCGGACTCAGGTCGGCAGCGGGGAGCGTGTGCGCGCCGAGCGCGAGGAGGCCCGGGAGGAAGCACGCGAGGTGCTCGAGGTTGTGCGTGGGCGTGCCGTAGGAGGTGTCGGTGACGTAGAGCAGCTTGCGCGTCGGGGAGAGGTAGAGGAGGTGGTTGATGATGCCGTCCATGGACGCGAGGTCTGAGACGGGCGGTTAGCGCACACCCGAGGCTGGAGATGAACTAAACATTACATTGTGATTTGGCGCGCGTTTCGGACTTGCTGCTCAGGAGGTATTGCTTGAGGAGGTACTCGTACCCGCTGTCAACCGACGCGCCGACGGAGAAATGGGCTGTGGAGGGTAGGTTAATCAGTATATGCGAAGGCCCGTGAGAGCCAATTGTGACTTACTATCAAGAGGCATAGCATCTGCCGGATCCCATTGTGTGGCAAAGAGCCCGTCAGTAACATTAGCTGCGTAAATCTTGTCCATCACGTTCTCCACCTGCGTTGCGATCGACGGAAGTCAGCCCAGAAAGGAGGCAGACGGATGAAGAGAGGCTGCGCACCCGCTCGAAATACTCTGCTCGTCCTGTGAGATGTGCGAGGTACTTGTACTCGACCTGGCAGCTCGCGGCTTCAGCGAACAGCACGGGCCCGCCTGTCCAGCCAAGAGACGTGTCGCCTCTAAGAATGACCGTTAAGGATGGTCTCAGGGGGAAGAGCAGACACGTACGTAGCGGGATTGACACCGAAGCGGGGAAGGCCCGACGGGGAATTGAAGGCCGGGAGCAGGCGTGCGCCGAGGTCGTCTGCGCGCGCGAGGAGGATCGTCTCCCCAGACAGTGCATATGCGGAGAGAAGGCCGCCGAGGTAGCGGATGACGGTCTCAAAGAAAGGCGCGTAGAAGCCCTGGAGTATTGATTAGCTGACATAGTAGTTGATGGTGGGCTTTTTACGGTAATCTGGGTGAAGTTCTGCTGGGCGACGACACGCACAGCGTCGTCGAACTCGGCGCGGAGGCCCATGATCCACATCGTGTCCATCGAGTCGATCATGGAGACTCCCCTGGGGGACGTTAGTATTTTGTGTCGTTGAAGTAAATCACCGCATACCATCCATTGAAACTGCGTCCATGAATCAGATTAGCACACCATGATATGCAACGCACTTACTTGTCTTGCCAGCCATTGCTGAGAGGGAGGAGCTCGTCGTGGCCTGCTGCGTACTTGAGATAGTGATTGTACCCATGTTTATACGCGTCCCGGACCTTCGCTGCGCGCTGATTCCACAGCCGCGAGTCGTCGAGCTTGGGCGGCATCGTGCCCATGACGAGTCCCGGCTGCGCCTTCACCCCGAACACATCCTGGAGCGGCAGAAGAGTGAACCGTGGCGTAAAACGAATATCGTCGTGCCACTCGAAGACCAGGGGCGTCAAGAACCAGAATCCAAGAACGAGACACACCCCCAAAGCGGCCCATCGGGCAAGCGGGCGTCCTAGCCAGCGTCGTCCGAGAGATTTGGACTCTTCATCGCGAGTATTGTGGAGTGGGAGCATTAGGTAGATGGACGAGAAGGTGGAGGGCGACGTGGACGGGGAGTTTAGCGTCTTGAATGGCGCATCCATTCCAGGCTTCAAACTCATCCGGAGCTGTCGTGCCAAGCCAAGACACCGGGGATTTGAAGTGTATCGAGAAGCGTCTTGAATAGATGAAGCATACGGGCTGCAACGACTCGTGAGGAGTGATCCGGAGATCGTCCGCAAAAATAGCGAAGGAGTTGAGGCAAAACGAAGTTGGAGATCTGATGTATTCATTCCCGGTGTATCTCTACGACCCGGTCTCCTCGGGCAAGCAAGGGAGAGTCGTTCATATCCAATCACATCGCACCCCACCCCGCGGTACGCCTACAAGGGGCGCGCTGGAGGTGAAAACGAACTTGGAGAATTAAGACGAGGGTGCTGTTCCATACGTCAGGCAAATCCCTGTAGCGCACGTACGTTTCTTTGTAAATTGAGGGTGCGAGGCGACTGACTGTACCAGTCCCTTTAGGTAGGGGAGATCCTCGGAACGCGTCGCACGATGCGGAGCATGTCTGCGGGAGAAGGACTCGGGCCCCAATCCACGAGTCCATCCATTCCTCCACGAGCACGACAGTATGGAATTAGTCCTTCCACAGTCACTTTACTCCTCTGCTGCAAGCTTGCAACTTATGTACTCTGGGTTGCAGTATGTATTTCACATCGGTTAGCCCATTTATTAGTCTTTCGCTCATGGGCACATGGAGTCTGACTTCCTCTTCCACCACATGAGTTCATGTAAACATCATGGGTGGGGCAGGCTCTTGGAGATGAAGTCTGTGTCAATATGGCCAGTGGAGAATTGGCTGGAGATGGACTGGATGGCAGTCAAGATGACATGCATGGCTATTGAAGGGAATCATCACCTGCCTGGCCACAAAGGCTGGTCTTGCCGACACTGGACACCCCAATGACAATGAACTTGATAATGACCATAGGACAGCTGTGATCGCAGGATACTCAATAATGCTGCAGATCTGGGTGAATCCCCACTGGTTCCTCAGCCGCATGCATCTCAACCATCTCTCAATTGTATTTCAAGCCAATGCCAATTACTCATTGAATTCTAACTCTGTATGCCCCTGCAGTCGCAACCTCAAACTCAAAGCAGGAATTCCAGAGAGAAGGGAAGTGCTGACTGCATTCCAGTGTATAACACAGCGCCAGGAAAGAGGGTCAATGGCGAGCTATTGCGCGCGAACACATAGAAACTGAAGATGTACTGTAACAGTGAAAAAAGCCACACTTATCTATCTGCAGGGTTTCCCTTGCGTAGTGCTGTGGACGCTATTCGCATTTGTTCGAGTGCCTATACATCATGCTACACCTACGACACGGACACTAATCCGCGTGCGGACTTGGTGGACTGCGCAATTCCGTACCACCAAGCAGGCTGCTGCACGGGGATCTACGCCTTGGGCCCGCAGCAGTTGAAGCAGCCGTTGGCGCCCGCCAGCGGCCGCCCGTCGGGGCACACAAAGTCCGCCGGGAGGCACACCGCCGCGCAGAACTCCTGCCCGTCGGGCGGGGGCGCCGCTAAGCAGCACAGGAAGCACCCCCCGGCGCCCGTGGGTGGGACGAGGACCTGCCCGCGCCCGCAGACGTGGCCTGCCTCGAAGCACCCCTTCACGCAGAGCTTGGACGGCAGCGGGTCTGCGAGCGTCGCGGAGGCCACTGCGAGCACGACGCCTGCGAGGAGCGGCTTGTGGAACATTGTGGTTGATATCCTGATGTTGAGTGTTGAGTGTTTGGTATTTGGTATTTGGTGTGGGTTGGAAGGCGAGTGCTTCGAGGTCTGCGCAGTGGGAGTCGTTAGTTAGGCTGGTTATACGCCGCGTGAATACACAGAGCTTGGGTGCTCACTTGTTACTGCTGGGTGCTCGAGTGCGATGGGTCTTCGTGGCTGCCGTCGAAACCCTTATATACGGTGGCCAGGAGGACAAGGCAATCGGGGATACGATGTATACGACACACCCAGTCGCGCGTGCGCCGTGAGGCCGGGAGGAAGGGGATGCCGCCCCCGACTGAATTACGCGCAGCATCATTGTTCATTCCACGAACGACAAGGTCCGTCCGCCCAGCGCGTCCCGTTTCCCCTTCCCCTTTCACCGCGCCCCAGGACACGGAAAGGGGGAAAGCACATACGTCCAACGGCACCGAACACCCCCGCTGCCTGCGCGCTATTGATCAACCTGATATCACTGTCGGTTCGGCGCTGTCTACCCGATTTCGGTTTCGGGTGTATGGGTCAGCAGACAATGGAATGCGGGGTGTATTCACCGTCTCTCCATGTCTATTTCTATTGAGGTGCGTTCTTCGTAGCACCAACACCAGTCGTCTGACATAATCGTTCCTTGTGTAGCAGTAGCCGCGTTCTTCTCAATGGATTGATAGCGCCCCGCTCTCCGCGAACCGTGCGTCCCCTCAGCATCCTGTGGTGCGTGGAAGTGGAAGGACGAGAGTCACAGGGGGGAGGGAGGGGAGGGAACTCGTTCAGGCTGAAGAGGATTGTGGCTCTGCTCTGGAGGCCGTTGGGCGTAATACCAAGAGCGTTCCGACGCTCTGGGATCGTTTTAAGGGAGAGGCGGTGGCGGGATGGCGAGGCGGCGTCAGGAATCCTGAATGCGATAGATTTCCACGCCAGTCGCAGATGCTCAGAGAAGGCAACAGGTCACTGAGGCAGAAGCAAGCGGCGAAGCTACCAAGACCGACGCACCCACAACAGAGGGTGAGACGGAGAGTGTCGCGAAGCCCGAGAAGAAGAAGTCTGCTGTATGTTGTATGCACCTCCATTGATTTCTTTGATGTACAATGCAGGTATTGACACGCATATAGCGCAGGCCTAAGTTCCCCAAGGCCGAGGGCGATGTCTCGGAAGCCCCTGCGCCAGACGCTGAGGGAGCCGCCCAGGCAGCATCGAAGAAGGCGGGACGTGTCCGCAAGCCTCGCGTGTCGAATCAGATAACACACCCTAAGCTTGGACTTTGCTCGGATCGGGTCGACGCTCGAAATGGTTGGTTCGCAATCTATATCTGGGTCTTGTTGCCAAAAAGTGGACGAAGGAGCATCGCCACGTTGGCACGTATTCAGTACGCACTAACAACCCTTCCTCCATTTCACGGCTAATAAAACTTCGCCCCCTATCTTGCGCTGCAGATTCATGACGTAAACAAGGTGGAGGATGTCGATGTCGAGCAACGGGCTTTGCGCTTCCTCGGATATATGTCTCTGACTCTCTCTCCTCGTTTCGTCCTTCCAATCCGATGCTGCGAGGTCTCCACTTAGAGTGACATTGACGGTGACGTTCAAGTCGATACGCTCTAAGGGGCAGCGTTCCCGGAGCTTTTGGAGGACCTGCGAGAGATTTTCGTAATCTCTGCGTTCAGGGATATGCACACTCCAATCTGACCAGGTAGCCTCGACCTTGAAATCGATTGTAAGGCAACGGAGGTGCTCCGGAAACGGGAGGCGACTGATGCAGTTTCGAGCCCAATTGACGAATCGGGAGTATCTGCACGATCCGTATAAGTAGAGCGTGAAGTCTGACGGACGAATGTCTTCTCCAAGATTTGGAATAGTGCCACGAGGCGTCGCTGGATACAGATTTCAGTGGGAGAGTCCCACTATGGGAGATAGATGGAACGTACCGTGCAATGTCAGCGTGCGCAATGTGCTCGGAATCCATGGCGGCAGGACCCAATACTCCCTGTCTTCAACTCGAATGGACAAGGTCTGGAGATGTGGACATTCGATGCGGGGGTGGAATAGCGGCGGGAAGGCGAGGCTGCGTAGAGCATTCATACACGGAGGTGTGGTCGTCCCTTGAACATCGTTCTGGATAAACGTGGCCTCGAACGACAAGTGTTCAAGAGTCTTCGAGCATGGCTCGAGTAGTGGATATAGGTTGGAGGAGTCGAAAAACGTCCACCCGCTAAGGGTGAGTTTCTGGAGGCAAGGGACGGCGAGTAGAGCCGGCACAAGCGAGAAAGTGGGCGGCTGATATCTCTGCAAGCGGGCAGCAATTTCACCATGCTGCATGCCCAGGTGAAGATCACCGCCTTCACCATGCTCTAACCGCAAGGTGCGTAGATTCTTGAATCGTCCGACGAGATACGGATCCCGGCAGTCGACAAGGCAGTCGATACAGGGAATATGCAAAGAGAGGTTGTGTATATGCTCGCTGAGATGGGGCGCGGGGAGGAGAACGGAGACCCTGCTATCGGTATTCCAACGCCAGCGCCCACGGCCGATGACGACGGTATGGAAGATATGAGGGCGGCATATCTCGTTCCAGCTACGACAGACGAGCGAGCACGCTGAAAGTGTCGCGGGAAGATCGTCTGCGTCACTGAGAGAGCTGATTACAAGGCAAATCAGTTCGATAGGGAGCCTCGCAGTGATGGCATTGGCAGCGGTACCCTCCCCAAGTTTATTCAGTATCATCTAGATACTGGTTTTATGGTGTTGTACGAAAGCGCAGATATCACGTACCAGCGCACTTCAATGGTCGAGTGTCCAACAAGTTGAAGAGTGATGCAGGATTAATCAACACGCGTCGTGTGACACAGTGACGCGTGACGCGAACCGAACTCCAATTTTTTGACCAGTTACTTTCTCAACCTCACTCCTAGATTGGGCCAAACTCTGGACGAAATTCACTGGTAGATAGAGGCAGATAGCACTCACAAGGACGACGCGAGGCGCTGTCATGGCAGCACACATGGTAGCACTGTACATCGCCAAACCGTTCTTCTCCATTCACCCAGGCGAAATATGTGCTCGGTGCTCAAATTCACTGCTTGGAAGTGAGAAGGATTATGGCTCTTGATTCATGTTTTCTCGCGTTCGTGCTCGTACTCGCTGCTGCCGCTATCTCGGTCTTTATCTCACCACGGCCTCAAACTCTGGCTTTCGGTGGACTGCCGACTTTCCGAAACCGACTCCACACATGCTCCTGCTACGCCTCTCGTCGCTGTGGTTAGAACTCTGACCTAAAAGACCTACTCGCGCTCACTGTACCACTATGAGTTTTCGACATATCAGACAAATCAACCCCCACAATGCTTCAGCCCTGGACATGCAATGGGGTTTCTCCTGCGTCACGATGGACCTCTACGTATGTGCCCGGGATATACACGAGCACCGGACAGGGCCTGTTGTTTGTGCAGCCGAACAAGATACGGTTGCTCCAAACCAGTGGCTGTAGCACCTGCTAAGCCCGAAACTGCGATGCGCTGACATATAAAAGATGGCTCAATCAACACGTAGCTGCGGCTACCAACGCAAGTATCATCTCAGCCCAGCGACAATAGCCAGGTGCATCTCCTTTACGCCATCATCCAGCCCCGTGCCCACGAACCTTCTCTGCAGTCTCAATTCCAATGGGTGTACGACTTTCCCCATGTGCCCCGCATCCACCATCGGACTACTTACTCACGTTGGCTCACGCAGACATACGTCGGAGACTACGTCTTTATCAAGAGCCTGTCCGAGCACAAGTTCCAAGCCTTCGTCTCGAGCTACACCAAGGGCAAAGACGACTGGTACACCCTCGGCGACTCGTGGGGCACCGAGGACGGCAGGTGGTCGCGCTCGGGGTGGGAGGTGATCGCCATTAGGAACGCGGACGACACGAAACGCGTGGGCTATTATGAATACATTAGGGGGGCGACGATCTATATTACCGTCAAGGTTATCGACAAGATCGAGGTCGAGCGCGCGACGGATCCAGATGCTCCTCCTCGCGAGGAGTAGTGGGGAGGTGCGTGGTAGCTTGATGCTGTATTGGGATCTGTGCTGAGCTCTGACTAGTTCTTTGGCAATGCAGCGAGAATTAATGTGGACGGCATATCCGTTTTGACACTGTACCATTATGAGGAATATAACTCGACGGCGTCGGGATTAACGATTGACGTTGAGGCAAGTGACTACTGGACGCGAGTCTCGTCAGGGGTTTCTACACACTTGAGCTCATGAGACCGACGGCGCGACATCTGTTCACAATTGACCTGTTTCTAGCCCCTCCCTCACCTTCGCAACCTGGAAATTTTTCATTTCGTGTTGACCATATCCTACAGGAAGCGGCCAGGAAACTACGCCCACGGATCAGAGTCGAACCCGCTGATATCTCGCATATCCAGTTTCTTAGGGCAGGGCTCGTAGTCGCCACATAAGGTCTCGGCGTCCACCTCCTGAACGGCTCCTTGCAGCAGGTTCAACTTTGCTTCGCTCGTCTCCCTTCCAATACCCTCGCCTGCGTCATACGAGTCACGCACACTCTCCCTCCAGCGTTTGATGTCGATGTCGCTGAGGATCCTAGGACATGGCTGTTCATCGTCGTCACACAGAATCTCAGCGTCGAGAACACCGGCCACCAAGTTCGACCTCCGAGTCGCCTCGCGCATCTCCCTCTCTATCCTTCCCCCGTCATCTTTGTACGCCCCGTCCCTCCCGTATTCGATCTCGACATCCCCGACGCCCTTCACCGTAACGTATACCGTCACGCGCTTGATATAGATGTAAACGCCCATGCGCCACGTATCCTTGCCGTCCTTGCAAACCAGGACCTCCCACCCCCGGCGATCCCAGCGGCCATCCCTGAACGAGCTGCGCAGGGTGAACCACGAGTTGCTGCCGCCCTGGTAGTTCGAGACGAACGCGCGGAACGGCTCGCTCGCCGTCGACCTGATGAGGACGCACTCCCCGATGTACGGCTGCGCGTAGCACGCGTGAGCGTTGTAGCGGTGTCCGGGGATTGTCGCCGCTAGCGCGTCTGGGCCCCACGGATCGAGCTCGAGGCACATGTCCAACGACGGTATGAGGTCGTCTCGCCCGTATTTGACGTCGATATCGTCGGTGGAGCGGATGGTGATGTAGACGGAGACGTCCTTGATGCGCATGTAGACGCCCCTGCGCCATGTATCCTTCTCGTCCCGCAGCACGACGACTTCCCACCCAGATCGCTGCCATCTGCTCGCTTGGAAGGAGTCGGTGATGCTGTGCCAGAGGTCGATCCCCCCTGTGTCGCTGGAGATGAACGCCTGGAATTTGTGAGGCGACAGGTTCCTGGTGAAGACGCAGTCGCCGATGTAGGGCTGTATCCGCAGGACGGTAAGTATATCGATCAGAACGGCGGTGCGAAGGCAACGGGGCGGACATCCCGAAGTACATACCATCATGGTGGTATCTGCGAGCTGTGGTGGCAGTAGGCCAGAGTTCCTAGACCATCTGCGCGAAGGCTTTAAGCTGTCGCGCTATCGTTGCTGCTTGCTGCGCTGATTGCTGATTCCACTGGTGTGCCTCGTTTCCTCCTCGTTCCAACGCAGCGTCTCACAACAACAACCTTGGAGCTGCACAGAACTCAACGGGATTCAGAAGCGTGACTGCGTCGATCTGCATCGATTAGCTGCGGCAAGTCGAGTTACGGCACGAGCGAGCTTCGTCGAGGGCCCTCTATCAGTTGCTGGTGGGAAGATATGTAAGTGAAAGCGCAGCCATGCAAACATTAAGGTTTCGCGGCGCGGGACGGTGGGCCGGCGCCAGCGCTTACAGACTTCGAAGCTCCAAAGCTTCAAGCTTCACCACCAGTCTGTTCAAGACCCAATTCATACGTATCGTCGACCCGACTCGTCATACGGCAGCCCTTATCACCAGGCTTCGGGACGAGGGAAAGTTGGAGGCAGTTGTAGAGGAAAGTCGGAGGTGGTTGTAGAGGAATAGGTGGACGGTGGTGGATTCTTATATGTAGGTCGAAGCAGCGAGCTGCAAACGATTCAGCCTTCTTGCTACCAGGCTCGCGGTCGTACCCGCGTCATCACAACGTTGTTACGAGATTGGTAGTTCACGCGCACGTCCAGTCGTCTCGTTATGTCAATCCCTTCCATGGTCTCCCACTGGCTCACCCTGCATAACTCTCTACCACCTCGACCTTTAGGCGATTTGTCCACCCGCAGCTCTCCAGGCGGCCTTACTATACCTCTTCGATCTCCTCTCATCGCTCATACATCTCCAATTGGCCCTTTTTAGCCTCAGCCACCCTTGTCGAGACGCGGACGACTGGTGGTTTCGATTTCGTGCCCAACGCGCAGTCTATCAGATTACCTATAACCTTTATCAATGGTTACTTATATTCCGCTTCATCGACCGGAACTTACTATGCCACCCATAATCCTACAGCTTTACTCGCTGTAGAGGTCCCTATTCGTTTCGAACTGTCTTCGATACCAAAATGCGACGCACGGTCCCGGCACGCACCCCACGTTACTCACTCGTGGACACGAGTCTCTGCATATTCGTTGGCGGCTCTTTTGCCGCCTTCCGTCGTGAGACTAGAAGCTATTGATATCTTCCGCAATGAGGCTGCCTCACGACTGTACAGCAAATCCTTGCTATAAAATGTCCATCCGGTACCAATACACACCTTGCGTCTTCCTTGTGGACTACATCAGCACCGTCGTACACGACGATGGATTTCCTTGTTGAAATTACTGAACCCTACCTCACCACTATGAAGTCCCTGATGGATACAGTACAGCTCCTCCACAAGCTTCCCGGGAGTCCCTCTGTCCTAAGGCTACGAGAGCAAGTACAGGACTTCGTGCGAATAGTGGGGTGCCTCGTACAGACCATGCAGACCGTCCACCGAGTCTCGCCCAAAGTCGCGGCCCACAAACTGTTCTCCTACATCGACGAGCAAATCCGTGACTACCCCCACAGCCTAGACAAGCTGACCGCCGAAGTCAACAAGCACTGGGCCCGCCTTTCCGATAAGCTGACATCGGGCGGGCTGCGGTGGATACTCCTGGGTATCTTCTCCACGGATGGCTGGATCCGGATATGCCGCCACGTCGAGGTCTTGATCAAAGAGAAGAAGGAGTGGCTAGAGAGAGTTATATGCTTGTTGGTAAAGTAAGCTCTCTCCCTCCGGGTTTCCTCTCTCTGGTAACTGACGGGGGCGCGTTTCTAGCCCTCAATGGCGGCACCTCCTGCGCGACGAATACGGAGAGACGAGGCGCCGTATAAAGGACGTAGGCCTTTCTTCAGACCTCGACAAAATGCACCTGGATGTGCATACCATCTGGACGCAAGAACCAGCAAGGTTCAACGTCACGACGACGGAGTTCAGCCTGCTTTGCGACAATATCAACATCTGCGCGCCCCCCGACCGCTCTCTTTCGATGTCGTCTCACTCTCAATTGCCTGCGGTCAATCTCGACCATCTATCCCCTCATGACCCTTCTTCATTCCACCTGCATACATCAGTATCATCAGTCGATGTCGACATACCTTCTGGTGCTCCTTCCTTGGCTGAGCTTTTGGGAAGTCAGGCTTTGTTGGGAAATCAGGCTTTGTCAAAGGTCGTCGACTTGTCCACCCGTAGCGCTGCATTGTTCCGCCCGACGGAGCACGAAGCCTCCTCAGACGGCCAGCGATACCCCATCGTACCCTTCACTTCTGAGCCGCCCTTGCCAATCCAGAGATGTGCCACTAGCCCGGGTATCTTGGATTTATTCTCAGGCGAACGCGCAACGAAACAGCTCAGCATCACCGTCGGGCCTGACGCAGATCGATTCCACATCACAGGCCGCGTCCACACTCTCACCATCAACACCCACCGCGGAGACAACTTCACCGCACCGATCAGTGGCGGAATCGTCGGCGGCGTGAGGAATTCGAACCATGGTAGGTGCCTTGCCGGGAACACCTTTGCTTTCACTCAATTTCCGACGTGTGTGTTTCTGTAGTCGAGAATTTTGGACCATGGGAAGACCGAGTGGTGGGAGAGCTCGACTAAGCCCTCCGCGACGGTTCTGTAGTCTGTACGTGTTTACTGGTATCGCTCCTTGATGTTCATTCTTTTCGTCGTGCCGACCCTTTCTCATCGCGTAGCGACAGTGGTTTCCTCGAATCTGAGGACTGGAAAACTTAGCGTCTGTCCGTGTAATGCTGCTCTTCTGCAGGTGGTCGACGTAGCCTGGTGCACAGTGAAGCATCTTGTTCTTGGAACGCTCAGCCTCGCTGGGTTGGCGTTTTTGATGTTCAATTTGGCATGCACCATAGCAGTTCATCGTGGTCTGGCGCGTTTAAATAGCGTTAACGCTTTGATAACGCATACTCGTCCTGCTGTCGTAACCGGTCATCTGTAAAATTATTGCAAAGCGGGTGGGCCTCTGGCATTTTGATGGTAAGAAAAATTGTAAACAAAATATCGTGCACCTGTGCTATTCGAGGAATCCAGCTTGTCCCTTTAAACGTGTAACCCATCGCATTATCTTCATAAAAACAAAATACCGCGCGATAGTTGAGCTTGATTCGATGATGGACCACAAGGAGCTTCTACATCGACAGAGCATGAATGGCGTACTTCAAGTTGCTCTTACAGTTGTGACTGTGCGAGTGTTTTATTGACTGTAGGAGTTTCTACTGACTGTGGGAAGACGGCAGCATTCTGCCGAAGGAACGCAACGGTCTTCCTGCCCACGGCGCTGTCAATCTGACTATCTGACTATCTGCCTGGTCCTGCTTTGTATGCCGACAAAAACTGGCCTTAAATTGTCTATCGGATTCTCCGCAGTAGAAGAACTATGTCCCTTACATGCGCCGTGAGTAACATTTGGTAATATGGTTCATTCTGTACTCATTCAACTGACTTCTCTATCTTCGGCTAGACTCGTTGAACCTACCCCAGATCTTCAAAGCACACAGCCTACATGCTCGTAAGACGTAGGACTTGATGCTTGATGAGTAGGGTCGGGAAAAAGGACAAATACCTCTGTTAGAGTCAAGCAAGAACGTACGTGGCTTCCATTTCCTACGACGGGCTTTCACGACCTAAATTTTTGCAGACAAGTTTGCCACTAGCAACGGCTCGGATGGTGAACTCCCAGAGCGATAAATCACTCGAAGAATGTAGAAGAACCTGCGCCGTCAAGATCACGAGTTCCTAAGAAGCTTCTCTCGTGAATCAGGTGAAGTTACGAGCTCGCCGTGAGAAAGAATACAGGCAACGAGGATGATATTAGAGTTCCCGCAGCAACAATAGCACTATCAGTTAAAGGCTTCGCTCACGCTCGAGTCTGTTCCCTCACCCCGCAGATACCCCCATGACGGTGCGCAGCCTAGAGAATAATTGCTTCATTTACCACCATTGATCTTGCATCCATAGTACATCGGGGACTGCGTCTTCATAAAAAACCTGTCAAAGCACAAGTTTCAAGCCTTCATCTCCAACGATAACGGAGGTAGCGCCGCCTGGCACACCTTGGCCGACTCCTTCAAGTCCGGCAGATGGGGACGCTCTGGGTGGGATGTAATAGTCTTCAGAAATGAGAAGGACACATGGCGCAAGGGCGTCTACATGTATATCAAGGACGTCACCGTCTACATCACGATCCATGGTCCCGACGACATTCGCATCGAGTATGGACGAGACAGCTGCGCTGCAATTAGCACCGTAATTATGCCTCTGTTGCCAGAATTCGACCTCGACTCTGGGGGTCCAAATACGCGCCATCGACGCCCATCTTCCCAGCCCTACATCGGCGACTGCGTCCTCATCAGAAACGCATCAAGCAAGCGGTTCCAGGCGTTCGTATCGAGTCACAATGGGGGATCCAACAGTTGGTTCACCTTGACTAAGTCGTTCAAGGATGGCAGGTGGAATCGCTCGGGATGGGAGGTCATTGTGTGCAGGAACGCGGAGGATACGTGGCGCAAGGGTATGTACATCCACGTCAAGGATGTCACCGTGTATGTCACAGTCAAGGGAGTTGATCATGTCGAGTTCGAATATGGGAGGGAGAGTGTCGAGACCGAACACAGACGGGACGATGTCGAAACCGAAGACGGAGGGAACAATGTTCATAGGAAAAAGGTTGGGCGTCAGATTGAGATGGCGGAGGCGGGCCTGGCCTCGCCAGTGACTACCTTCCAGGAGAAAGACAACGAGTCAGAAACACCATACAACGACTATCAGCCGTCCCCTAAAGAATTCGGGGCGCAAGATATCCAAGGATTCGACGGGTGGGCCTAGTCACTGTATTATTCCATCCACGATGATTTGTACAGAATAGGTCCGAGGTGTGGCAACTTGTTGGTTATCTTTCCGTTTGCGTGTCTTTTTGCTGCTGAGGGACAGTTAGCTTCCGGCTTGCTGATGTAGGGACGAGTTCATTGGTGGGGGTCATTGCCGTGCCCGTCATACGGCCGTCCGTTATGATATTGTCGAATCGTCATCAACTGCGATGCTATTGGAATGGATGAGTATATGGGATCCCAAATTCGAAAAACCGGTGATACGATATGGGGGAAATCATCGGTATGCAAGCACAGCATTTCATGTCGCTCGAAGAGCAGACGTGTCCTAGTGGCATGGTACTTCAGCTTGTGAAGCTTGGTATTTAAGTCAAGGTCAGACATATGCTCGCCTTCTCTTGTCGCCTGACATCATCCTATAGGATCTCGCCCGGTTTGATTACGTGGATACATCTACTCCCGAGACATTAATGCAGGGATAGAGTCATTGACTTTCTTGAAAGCCCTTGACGAGGATGAAAATTTGACACCATTGGGCTCCATGATTGGAGAGTTCCCTCTCGATCCTCAGGTATGCCCCCTCAGCAATATTTTGTGCCCGAGGCTCATATGATTTGATCAGTTGGCGTCATTGCTCGTCGCGAGCCCCAATTCAGATGCGGTGAAGAAATTCTCACAATTACTTCTATGCTTTCTGGTGCGCATATTTGCGGCTTCTTGGGTTCATTACCTTTATTCTATTTCGGTGCCCAGAATCTCGTGAAGGGCGTTCTTTGATCCATGTAAGTCGCAAATTGACTGAACCGAGTATAAGTACTGACGAAGAAACCCAGGTGCCAAGGCTAATACTTCTTCATTACTCTTTACTCAACGGGAGACGTATGCCAAAACAGATATGCCGATGATGTACAGAGTAAGAAAATAGAAAATAAGAGAAAAGGAGACGACGGGAGGTGATGAAGTCAGGGTGCGGGGACGCGGGAACGACGGCTCACGGACGATCTTCAAGTATATAGTCCTCGTACCGGATCCCACGGACCTCGTCAGCGTCCCATGACGGCGTGCTCACGTCGTGCTCCTGTTCTCCACCAGTAGCGGCCGAGTCCCCGTCATCCCCTTCTTCATCAGTGCATCCTTCTCCATCATCACCCTCCAAGTCTTCACTATAAGCTCCATGGTACCGGTCCTCCTCGGCAACTCCTTCATCGTCATGAACAGCGGCTGCGCAGGACCTATCGGCCGCACCGGCGTTCTTGCGCTCGCGCTCGATAGCTGCCTGCACTCTCATCCTTCGCGGAACCGCAGACCGGAGCTGGGCCAGCGACCGCGCATAGTCCATGCGCTTCGCCCCGCATATCGCCCATTTCTTGTGGCTATCGAGCCCGTCTTTCCTGCGGTCGTACGAGCTACATCACAGCCGGGTCGTCAGTGAGCACTGACACGGGAGGGAACGTAGAGGGGGGAGAGGGGAGAAGGAGAAGACCACTGACACGTGTCCGCAGAGCTCGCACCGCGTACCAGCATCCCCCTTCCAACAGTGCCAGCCATGCGCGGACTTGTCCCTCCCGACGACTATCTGGTCGCAGTGGGAGCATCCGTAGATCTGCGAAACATCCAGATGTCAGCGCTTGCCCCGCCTGCAGCGTGCTTTGATGCTCACGTCTAAAGCAATCTTTGTATAGGTTCGTACTTCTGGTCCCAATTCTACTGTGAATTCACCCGCGATAGTGGTAGGTGTCTGGCCCCCTCGTGGCCGCTTTGTTGGAGACGAAGTTTGGTGACAAGTATCTTCGGTAGCAATACCGACGCGACATGCAAAGGCATTGACGTCGTCTTTCCCCGCCTTGCGCTTTGCGTGCATCTTGTCACCATCCTTGCACTCGAAGTGGCCCGCAGCTATGTTCACAGATGCATTCAGAGCCTGGTCGGGAGGCTCAACTTGTTTGTAAGTGGAGATTCCTGTGGTTCGGAAAGCAGGAGAGGTCCTGGCATTCTCGCCGCGCTCCTTCGTCTTCCCCCTCGGGGTCTTGTCCCCACCTTCCGCGCTTTTCTCCGCTGAGGCAGCTGTGGGTGTTCGCTGCGAAGGCCAAATGAACTCGTTCAGCCTCCCAGTTGCTGAAAGCGGCTTCGAATTCGCGCTCGCGGTGTTCGTACTCTTGCCACCTGATTTCGAAGATGGCGCGATGGTACTGCGTGCGCGGCCAGAGACGTTCTCGTCAACGACAGGAGTCAGAGTCACAGGTCGCAGGGAGGCTTTATTGCTGTTGTTGTTTGAAGGCGCCATTAGTAAAGACAGAGGCAGCAGGAGGCAGGGATATGTGGTCGAGGAGCACAGTGTTAAATAGACGGACGCGTCGTGCTGGGAGCATCGCAGAGTGGCGCGCTCCTTTGTTCGAAGGCCACGGGCGGACAGGATGGTCGACCTCGTTGAGAGCGTAGGCCATAATGGAGGCGCATTCATTCTTATTCTTCTCCCCGGGGGCCCACGCACAATCGTCCAAAGAAAGCTCCGCGCCCATTCTACCCCTCCTTTACATCGTTTCTCGAATATCAAATGTCAACGATACGCCTGCGCTAAACCCCAAAACCCATCCCGGGGAATCGAGGCGGGGCGAAATACGCACACGCTGCATGCAAGTGCGATAAAATACGAAACAAAACAAACGTGAGTGTGACGATATCATGGTGACGATGAATCTGCATCGGCAGTCGACCATGTACATGGATACCTTGACCCGAGGCCTGAAGCTTGAACGTTGAGGACCGTCAGCGTAAGAACGGGGCTGCCCTTAAGATACTTAACTGGTAACTGGTTATGCGGAGATGATGATGATGATGATGATGATAACGTGAACGTAGAGGTAAAGGTGGATGGCGGTGAGGGGTTCAGAGCGACGGCTGGACGGAGTGGGAGATACCGATGGTTAGTTGGTTGGGGGGAGTCCGGGGGTGTGATGAGGGCGAGATGGATTGATGAGGCCTTTAGGGGTGGATTGGAGAGGAAGAAGTGCGAGGCTTACCAAGTACTCTGACTTTCGGCTTTGACTTTGCTCCTCAATGCCCACCAATGCCCCCCCAACACGACATGTGGATTGATTATCGATCATTCGCGCCAGACAATTCCTCTACAAGTCTGTCAAGTACCCTTCACTGCATATCGCATATCATCCGCCTACATATGTGCGCGTGGTTGACGTAGACACGACGGCTCTATGCCTCCGACTCACAACTTACCTCGTCCGCGTCAGAGCCCATGGACGCTCGCTCGAATCCTGAACTGATTCTCTCAACTGCTATCTCGCTACCTGCCATGGCCAGTACCACATCTCCTAGTTCGCATGCATATGCGTGCGGTGGTACCTCCGCTTTGATCTCGCCCTTTGAGGACGCCCGTCGCCTTGGTGCCTGGAGGATTGGTGCCTGTAGGATGGAATGTGGAGGATGATGGAGGGATGATGGAGAATGGGAGGATGGGGCGTGATGCATTGATGCCTGGAGGACGGGACGCAGAGCCAGTCGGACGGCGGGACGGCGACCCACGAGCATAATCGTACCACTCCTCCGTGCGCGTGGCCTTGAGGCGTTGGCGGTGGGAGTCGGGTGCGGAGGGAGTTGGGTACGGAGACTGTCTCAGATCTCCACCGCGCAATCCAATCTGCGAAGCCAAAGGCAAAGTCAAAGTCAAAGAAAGGATTTGATGATTTATAATTATGCCGCATCGAATCTGCGCGCCCAACGACGCAACGAAGCCGGTACAAATCTAACGAGACTTGGAGAAGGACTCGACGCGACGCGAGAAGACTATTCTGATACCCAGACGCTGTTGTTGCTGTCGAACGCTGAACGCGTTAGAGTGATGGAGTATGGAGTGAGATGCACGTCGCTTGTCGCACGTCCGCCCCCGCCAGTCTGGTCTTCCTGGCGGCCAATATTAACGTGCAATACCAATGTGCGATTCGTGAGTAAGTGAGTGCAAGTTTCGTCTCGTCTCGTGGCGACCCCGCAAGGTGCCAGGTGCCAGGTGCCAGGGTTCAGGCGAAAACGACCCTCACCAACACACCGCGCCGCTTAGGATTAGGGTATGCCAGCCATGTAGCCAGGGACCATGGAGGCTCGAAGCTCTATTCCGGACTTCTTGACCACCAAGGGACACGAGAGGGACACGAGAGGACGTCGAGAGGATGTCTCTCCATCTTTATCCTTATCATCTTTATTCTCGCACACTCTAACACTCCACCTTCAACATCTCAACGTCACCGTCTTCCAACACTTTCAGTGTTTCGACGTTTCTGCCCTCGTGCAGCTATGCACAAAAGGTTTTGGAGTATGTGTATGGAGGTCCTGCTGCAGCCGTATACCTATGCGTTTGGCTGACGATTGCGCTGACGGGGAGGCAGCTGGCACGCAGGCAGCCTCGCGAAGACGCCTTGACCCAAATAGGCAGATACAGCGCTTATACCTAATCTTGACCCTTATTTTGCGAAGCCTGAAGCTGAAGCCTGCGCCGCGCAGGAACGCTGGACCTAGGATCTGGTGCTAAAAGATTATCATTTGCGGGGATCATGCGTCATGACGCGGGGACCGGCTGCTGTTGTGCGGGATCCCAGGACCTTCAGACTTTCAGAGATGATCAGTAGTAACGGCCCCTCACCAGGTGAGCCATGCTTACCTGAATCACCATTGTATATTCACGTCTATCTATAACTATAGAACCATGTGGAGGCGGCGAAAACGTGGCGGATGTCGATATCAGAGCCCCCAGGAACGATCCATTCGGCCAGTTGCAGTCGAAGTCCTTTCGATGCATGTTCATGTGACCGCATGTTTAATTGACTTGTATGAGGGAAAGTACCGACCACACGGCGCGTCTTCGTTCTCGAGCTGGCCGTTCAGTCTAACAAACCCTAATTAGGAGAAACCAAGGCCCGTCGATGTCCTCACGAGATTGCAGCTCTTTCCGATATGTCGTGATGCGGCGTCTTGTTCGTTGCGTAACTAATGGATCTACCGTTGCTGGAAGAGACACACCAGGCATGCTCCTCGGTGTGTTCGTGCGAGAACACTTGGTGCAGAAGCGCATCCGGGAACTAGATTTCGAGGGTGCATCCCGTTGCGCGTCTGGTCCCTGTCTACGAAATGCGTTGAGATGAGGGGATCATCGAAAAGGTGCGCAAATGAAGTAACTCGCTGCTGTCCAAGAAAGGCTTTATTGCTAGCTACTGTATAGTTCGACATAACGAGATATAAATGGCCGTAAGACTGTGTGAATGTGAATCTGCAGGGCCTTCGCAGTTCGTCGCATCTTCGGTACCACATCCGGTCAACGTCTCCCGTACAAATCAAATTCTCCTTCTGATACTGCATGTCGTGCACAAGTGTTTCATCATTTGCGTTGCTTCTATCTATACTAATAGCAATGCCATAGTTCAGTGACCTTCATACGACTCCACGACGCCGTCTCGCCGCGAGTCTAGATGGTTGATTTGAATACTTGTGTTCGCGTGTCACATCAAGGAAGTGCGGCTTGCATGATACCTGATGGGTGTTTCGTCATGAGCTATCGGTCGTCAGCAGACACTCAATGATACTTGCTTATCAGTCCCCACCCTAGGTCCCTGAAATGCGTCGAGGGCTTCGCGATCCACCGAACGACAATGTTATTTGACAGATGTTTGTCGGCGGTTCTGGTCCTGCGAGCACTCATACTCACGCGCATAGGCAGTTGGACACAGGAGTTGGGCACAGGGACAACATCTGAATTGGGCGAGAAACGTCGAAATTTCTCCGCGGCTGGACGAAGCTCGACTCCAACTGGGACGGTACAAATCAAGAACTACACTACTTATAAGAAGGCTGCTGGGCTGGCGGGGATGGACACCTCGTCTCTTGAGCTCCTAACGACAGCAGCGTAAATCGAGTAAGACGATTCACCGCAAAATGGCGCAGTTGCCCCTCGACATGACGTTCTTGCTTGCGGCGTGGTTAGAGGTGCGTAGAAGGTGATCCCGCTACACCGTCGAGCTTACGATCCTTTTAGGCACTCGCATACGGTTGGTTCTCCGTCATGGATGCCTGCCTGCCGATTTGATGTTCGACTACCGTCAGGATTCTTCCTGTGTCTCTTCTGCGGGACTCTGCTGTTCAATTCCGGCAGTGGCCACCGAAATGATATCCACGGTAGAGTGAGTCCCCTCCTCCCCCGTGCGCCGATGATTGTGTGATTCTGAGTCGAGCTGAGTTCGTATGCATCGCAGGTGATGGTCGGCATATCCTGCGTGATGTTCTTCATATCCACCTGGCACCTCGCCATGAACGCGTTCCGCCTGCTGCAGGGCTTCGCGGTGCACGCTGGCGCCCGAGGCGGCGCCCTAGCGTATCTGGGGAACATGCGCATGTGGGACCATATTCTGAAGGACACGCTCTACGCAACGCAGGAGATTCTCGGGAACGCCGCTGGGGTGGGTATTTGGATTTGCTAATCGCATCGTAGGCCCTGTGGTCCGCATCTGATGCACGTCGCGTGTTCTAGATATACAGGTGCTTCATATTGTGGAACAGCGACTGGCGGATCATCGCCCTCCCTCTCTTGCTCCTCGTAGGTAGCATAGGTACTGCTCCAGGTGTCTTCATAATCATATCCCATTCATCTGACACTGCCCCTGCCCGCCAACAGTCTCCGGCTACACCGTCTGCGCGCACTACACACAAGTCGAGCCCACCGAAACCATCTTCGACCCGCGCCTCAAACCATGGCTCGAAGCCTTCTACTCCATCGCCGTCGTGCAGAACGTCATCACCACCACCCTAATGGCCTTCAGAATCTGGAGGACATCCGCGCAGTCGGCGCAGTACAGGACGGAGAACGCCCTGCTGCCCGTCGTGCGCATCCTGATCGAATCGGCGGCGCTGCAGCTCATCGTGGAGGGCGTGCTGCTGGCGCTGTATTCGAGGAATGCGAATGCGCAGTATGTGTTGATGGAGCTGGTGACGCCTACGGTGGTACGCCCTGTGTCCTCTGCCAGCTAGTTTTGTGGAGGGACGCTGATTGATGTATTGTTTATATGTTTAGGGCATCACGTTTAACGCTATCACCATCCGCATCAAGCTCCGGGCTATACAAAAGAGTGCCAGCTCTACGGCATTCTCGAGGTCTGATCAGGTGCAGACCATTGGGAGCGTGCCCATGAAGCGCATCCAAGTCGATATCACCACCGAGATGGAGGACGATGCGGGGATGAAGCAGAGCTTCCCTGCAAGCTCTGTTCATACCCGATCCGAGGCTTGATATATAACAGATGTACTCTACCTCTCTTTGACGATTCCTGGTGATTACTTGTGCTTAGTGTATTCTTGGTTACCTTTTGGATGTTAGCGATATCGGCCTATGTTTGTGGGAATCGGACTCTTCCTGTATGTTTTGTACGTGATTCTATGATTCTTCGTTCCTCTGAGTACGCAAGTACAAACACAATATGATCATAAAGATCATAAATGATGAGGTGATGGTTGGCTGACAGCTGGAGGACGGGAAACTCACATTGAGCTCTGATATGGACAAGAATCTTGATGCATTGACGAGAGATCAAAGGGGGTTTGTATGTGGAGACTTCAATGGATTTGGGCGATGGGTGCGTGCCTCAACCACCACCATAACTTTCAAGGCCTGCCCTCCGAGTAGGGTCATGGCGCTGAAAAATGGCCGGATGCTGCAGAGCGTTGCATATGGGCATACTATTTCATAATGATCATACAATGTACATTTTACATGTGTAACAAAACAGAAATCAAAGTGGGTGATTCAAATGTATTGAGGGTGATTCCAAAACTTCACCAGTGTGCCTCGACCAGTCACCGTAACGGGACGAACATCCTCCTTCCAATTTCCCAGCCACTCCTCGTCGAGTGGACACATCCACTGCACGTTTTGATATCCGGGGACATCGCGATACTTCCTAGTTCCGTAATAGAAGGGCTTGCCGGGCGAGCTGGTGTACATTTTGTATTCCATCGCCCACTCAATGCATTCCAAAGTCGGGATGTCATCGAACAATTGGTCGATGACGTCGCGCGTGATGAAGACGTTCGAGGAGATCCGGAGGAACTTCAACTTGGTGCCGAAAGGTACGATGGAGGAATCGACGGGGTGCATGGTCTGGAATCGAGCGTATGAAGTCAGATGCGTCCCTCAGTCCACGGAGAAAGCAGTACTCACCTCGATGTCCAGAATTTCCAGATTCTCTATCCTCGCAAGAAACACTCTCTGTGTTTCCGGCGACAATGTTGCCGAGCGTAGGGATAGCACTCTGACACTCCGGAATGTTTTGGGGCTGCAACGTCCGTCATCTGCATAGTAATAGCTGAGCGAGGTCCTGAGCCGCCGAATATGTCTACCATGGAGCAAGCCGAGCGCCACGGGCAAATGTGCACTAACGTTCTCCAAGTGCGGGAGGACAGTGTGATCGAGACGATCACAAAGGATGTAGTGCATAGGATGAAGGCGCAAGGTCTTGATATGATGGAGAGGACGGGCGAAGTCCGCGAAATATTCTGGCGGGGAACGCATATCACTCCAAACGAGCTGCACGAGGGAAGGCGATGCCAGCGGCACGAGCCGGTCGCGGGTTGGGTAACGAGACTGGTGGATTTGCAGTCTGCGAGCCGGGAGGTCCGGTGAGGTCAAATCCGTCCCCTGCACGTTGTGCTGTCGTATATCCTCAGGAACGACCGTTGCGAAGTTGTCAAATTGGAACACCTTGAGGTTAGGCAGAATGTCGATGAGTAGCGCGATCATCTCTTGCTCCCTTTTCTTGAGAGACCGGCCAGCCCAGGAGACCGCAAGTGTCTTCACCAAACGGTGGTTCTCCTTGTTTTTCAGCATCTTCGCGTAGAACAGCTCGAGGGTGCTAATGGGGTGCAGTAGCTGAGAAGGCTTTGAGGTTACATTGACGTTGATGTAAAGAAATGGCGTCAGAGTGTTATGCAGGGTGCTGCATGTCCGCGACAGTGCTAAACAAGAACTGGTGGGCATGAACTTCGCGAGTTCCAGCACCGTCTCTTGTGGAAGGTCGGAGAACGAGGGCATAGCTGTTGACTCGCGGTGGGAATATAGGTGATGGTCGTGGTTGTTGAATGAGAGGGAAGTGGATGGTACGGTGGTAAAGTAGTTCGATGGAGGGATCATGTGACGGTCTTGCTTCATTCATCGAATGGCCACAACCACAATGTCCTATTGTTCATTATCTTTTGAGAGTGGGTAGATTGGCCACTACCGGTGGCTTGGCGAAAGCCTAGATGGGATGCATCATGAAGTGTCGGCGCTGTCTACGCTCCTTGCTTGAACGTCGGTTATACTCCAGAACGCACCATGTGTTGCCGTCGACGAAATGCTGAGGGGTAGGCTAAGTAGGCTATGCGAGTGATATTGTCAATGTCAACTGTAGCCGTTACCTACTTTCCTGCGTAGGAAAAAGAAGCCTTGGAAAGCATTTGCAGCCGCTTTGCATTTTCGAAGATCTGAATGATAGGGAGATACGATGCGAAGCGGGCTAACACGTCAACCCGGAATAGAGCCTCCATGGCTGCTATATCCTAAGCGGCGCGGGATACGCGAACTTGAGACTCATCATAGTGTTCGTCCAGCGATCCTCCATTTCTCGGACGGGTCGTTCGACATTAATTCCTGGTCGGGTTGTGATCGCGTAGTGTAGCATTGCCCAACAGAGTTGTTTCCTCTGACAGAATCCACGCGCCCAAAACCACGTTAGAGCGTCGGAGTTTTGGTCGGAGCTCAAACGTTCAACTTTCAGTGCCAGCGTCTAAAATTCTGATGGATACTGAGTATTGGGTACTGAGTACTGAGCAACTCATAAGCCTCAGACCTTCATCTTGAGGTGACATCCCTTGTAGTAGACCACAGACTCACTCTGACTGACAAGTTCGGCTGCAGATGACCTTCACTTTGTCGCCAGAAACATGGATTCACGTATTCGAGTACCTCAATCAGAGCGAACTCGCTCCAATGTTATACATCTCGCATTCTATGAAGGGGAGTGTCGAAGCAGTGCTTTACAAGGAAGTGGAAATCGTTGACGCCAGGACGGGGGCGGGAATCTCCCATTTTGTCGACCAGTCCCATCGAACAATCACGAAAGAGGATGGCCGTTTGGCTGGCGTTGTTCGAACACTCCCTCACTCAATGGCAAGTTCACATGCAGGAGCCACTCCCAGAAGAAGCACCCTTAACCGCTGCCCTTTACTTTCCTTACGCAACTTGAAGTACCTCGACGTATTTTACCATGGTGTGGTGCTCATGCCTCCAGTCGTCGATGCAACTTGCCAAATCACCAGTACAACCCGCCTTTCGTATCCTTCCATCGTAAAGGACCCCATTCCCTTTGCGGACTTCCTCGGATCACTACCTGCATATGATGCCCGACAGTTCTATACGATCTATACCCCTGGCCCCCACCGCATTACGCCTCCTCTGACAACTGCAGTACGCCTCATTTGACTTTGCACCGAGTGTCCTTGCAGATAGACAGGTTCCTCAGATAGGCTCCGCCTCTCTCCTAGCCAAGTCACCGCACTGCTAGCCTTTGGAGCGACCGACTCTACGCTTCGAGATAAATTTAGAGTGTCCAATCACTTAACATCACATCCTCGGGTACTCATCTAGTGACTATGATCAAGCGCGCTGGGTTATTCCAAGAGATCAAGCATTTCAACATCTTTTCGGATGTAGGTCAATTAGTTGGCACACGTACATATCTGGAGGTTGACATCCTATGTTAACTGCAGCATTGGGTGAAAATTGGGGATATAGTGGCCGAGTCTGCGATCTTCCTCCGGCAAACCAAAGTCGAGTACTTGCGAGCCGGCCTCGTTTGCGACGACAATCAAGAGTTCGTTGAGTCGCTTTTCTGGCTCGTTCCCACTTTGAAGATCTTCGATTTCGAACGCATATCATTCGAGACCGGGGATGGGTAGCATCGATTCCGCAGAGACAAGTTGGCGGATGGATACGAAGTGATTGAAACCCGCCCAATGTCGTGGGGGTCTCAGTGGTCGATAGCTAGCTAGGAGCGGCTTGAGATAGCCCTCGTTGAAGTACAACCAAAGCGAAGCAACTGGATCCAGCGGGGTCCGCACGAGGCAGCTTTGGGGTCGCAAGTGTCGAAACATCGAGTGGGTTAGTGTCTAGTGGACAAGTAACAATGGACCGCCAACTCCTGTGCTCCCGCCGTATGAATACGAGCGAAATCGAACTCGGCATCAGGCGCTCCAGTCAGTTGCAATCACGTCCTTTTCCGATCTCCCAGATGGGGCTCTCTCGATACTCAGTTCCAAATTTGGCTACCAAATCCACGCTCTCTCGAAGTCCGGCATGCGTGCGCTGAGAGGTTCGACGGAGGAAACACCGAATAGGTTCAGATGAAATAGCAGCTCAACGACTTAGCCCACACAAAGTTTCAACACGAGAAGTGATTAGGACGCACTCAGTGTGAACGAGCAGCATGGGAAGGGGCGGCTGCTTACTCTGGATGGCAACCGGTAGTCCTCAGGGTTCAATGTGATGCTGACAGGTGTGCTACCCGATCCACTGTCAGGTCGACGACTATTTCGACGGCGCAGGTGGGTCTACACGACGTTTATCATGAGGATCCACAAAGACAGAAACGAGGCTGACGGCGTGACATGTGAAGCCTGCTCGATGCAGCTCTGGGCTGGAGGCACTTCGCTAGTTGGTGAATCAAGAAGTGGCTGAAGGGTAGGCGGTGGAGGCAAGGTGAGTATACCACAGGACATCATGAAGATGCTTACTCATGTCCTCGTAGTTTGAACTTCGCTCGTTGGTAGGAGGCAAAAACACAAGCCTTATTGGAGCAACATTAAAGTTGTTTAATCCTTCATATTTGACATGTCTTTCTCGCTGCGATCAACTCGCAGCACGCGACCAAGGGTAGAAGATGCGTGTATTGAGAATGGCCAAGAAGGAGAGGGAATAGGAATGCGCCGAGAGGAAAACGCGAAGGGAGGTAAGTCAACCGCCCCGAAGTTGGAATACAGGTACTCATTGCTCCGAAGTCGATACTACGCGGGCGCCAACGGGCAGCGCCCCCCTCCACGAATCGAGTCGAGTCAACTTGGGATACACTGGGTTGACATGTTAGCCCGCTTCGCATCGTATCTCCCTATCATTCAGATCTTCGAAAATGCAAAGCGGCTGCAATGCTTGCCAAGGCTTCTTTTTCCTACGCAGGAAAGCAGGTAATGGCCACAGTTGACATTGACAATACCACTCGCGTCGCCTACTTAGTCTACCCCTCAGCATTTCGTCGACGGCAACACATGGTGCTTTCTGGAGTATAACCGACGTTCAAGCAAGGAGCGTAGACAGCGCCGACACCCTATCTAGGCTTTCGTCTGAACCCGAGCTTCCATCTAACTCATTTAAATCCAACTCGTTGCCATCGTCGGAAACTTCTTCGCGTTCTAATATCTCGACTGCGATGTCACCTGTCTCAAGCGACTCATTATCTGAGTCGCTCTCGTTTTCCTCGCAGGTTATACTATCATCGGATCCAACTCCTTCCTCATCCTCAATAGTTTGAAGATCGGAGTCCAGAGGAGTTTCTTCTGATAGTTGTTCAACGACAGCAGGCTCCTAGAACCAACAGGTTCACCTTGTGGGAAATCGGCTAGGGTGAACCTGACTGAGACTGATCGAACAATTCCTCCGTTTGGAAGGTATGCGTGTGGTCGGTTTTTTTGGCCCTGTTCTTGACGAAAAGCCTTCAGTTTCGCAGCAAGAGAGGAAGAGAGGAAGCTGAAGTGAGGGCAGACGAACCTTGACATTGTCGCAGGTCATGGCCTTGCCTTGGATCGGAGTGGCATGAATGGACGTCGTCGGCCGCTCAATGACCAGAATACGCTGGCTTGGAGACCTTCATCACCAAAACGGCAGAGGCGTGATGCGCGTGGCACTATGCATCCCACGCTCCCAGACTTGTGTGGCGTCACAATCGATTCGCACAAATCCACGCGCAAGATTGTGACGCCACACACACCACACGGCTTGCCACACAACCTATCATAGAATTTATACTCTACATATACAAGTGCTATATGCTACTTATACTACTCATTCGCCCGCCTTTGTCTTCCACCACCTCTTCACAACCTTCTCGGAGCAGCTGGTAGATCAAGGATCAGTGCGATGAGAGTGAGAACATGATCGAGTTATGAAAATAAACTCACCGTTCTAGTGCGGCTGGCCGATGCGGCGGACGTGAACGCTCGGTCGCAGGAAGGATACTGCAGCTACAATTAGTGATGTGCCAGGCCAGGCTCAAAGCCCGGAGCCTTGCCATACCCAGCCTGAGTTGAGCCCGGCCCAGCTAAGCCGTATCGCAGGCTTTGGTAGGCTCAGGGCTGGGTGCAACAATTTGGAGGCCCGAAGCCTGAGGCCTTGACGCGGGCCTCAAAGTTTGACGCGGAGATTTCCGATCAACTGTATAGCCATTCTGGTGGGTCAACAATACTTTGTTGGCGTACTAAATTTATCTAGGAAGTATGGCCACTGGCACCGGTGTAGAACCACACTCTAAGTGTTCCGGTAAAGCATCTGCACGGGTGCTAGATCCTGCGAATGTTGGCGAGAAACAGTTGTCCTCGCACAAGGCTGCTCAAGCAGAGGCCATTCAAAAAGCGCGGGAAGCAGAGGCTCTTCGACGAGCACAAGAAGAAGCCGAGGATGCGGCTTCCCATGATGGTCCACCATCAACTTCCCAGGAGCCTATGGACATAGAGGGGGATTCAGATGATCATGGGAATGACAGCGAACATGGGTCAATTCATCTCACACGCCTTTGCTTTGCTCCCTCACGTCGTCCCAGATACTCCCGGGTCAGTGCGGGCCAGCAAGCGCAAACGAGCCCACACTGCCATTGACGCAGAATCTGACAAAGATCCTATACCACCGACATCAAGTACGGCCTCAAAACGACAAAAGCCTGTTGCGAAGCCACGACCTGGTAAGATTATGTTCGTTCTTGTAATGCAGCCTAACACCTCATCACCTAGCTTTAGTAACTGAAGAAGTCGATGAAGACGGCTTCCTGAAGGATATCAGCGTCCAGGACATCAATGATGAAGCTCCCCGGAAACAACGGGAAGACAGTAGCCGCGACATTCAAGTGTTCTTCTCTGAAGCATTCGAGACCCAGACCTCAGATGGGAAGAGGAGACGGCGACGGTGCATAAAATGCCCTAGGTGAGCGGTTATATGATACATGTATAATCAAGCCATATCCTCACGTTACCTGCATTAGAAAGCATGGCGACGAGCAACCATCATTCGTCGCTGATGTCAGTACACTGCGTAGACATGTGGAGTCAAACCACCGGGTACGTACCCTAAGTTGGTACGGTAATCTTCTCACAGGGTATCATTTTTTAGGCAGCATACATGGATTGGTGTGCGGCAAATGACTTCGAACCAAAACTGCCCAAGTATCGTGCTCAGATTCGCGAAAAGAAGGCAGCGAGCCGGCAGAAAACATTGGAGCCACATCTCAAGGAGATGCCAACATGCGCTCTACCATATAGTGACCATTTATATCACGAGGCGGCGATTCACTGGCTGGTAGAGAATGACTTGGTATGTACATCTACTCGGTCTACAAAGTTACTTGCTATCTAATGCACTATAGCCTATACAAGCCCTCGAACACCCATCATTTTGAAGCATGATTGATACTGCTGCCCGCGCAACGAACGGAGTCAAGCACCTTACACGCAAGATGACACGCCAACAAATCATGGATACCTTCAAACGTTCTCTGACGAAGATACGAGACCGTGTCAACGTAAGTCCATCATTTCAAGCTAACGTCTAGTCTAATCCTGCGAGAGTAGAGTGAGATGGTCAAGGGCCGTGTGAGCTTGACGTGCGATTGCTGGCAGGCGTCAAACGTTGATGCTTACTTTGCGGTCACGGCTCATTGGATCGAGGAGGAGCGGCCAGGTGTCTGGAGGATGGGCATGGCACTCATTGGCTTCACGCAGCTCAATAATTCCCACAACGGTAGGCGCCTCGGTCAAGCCCTCTATAAAGTTGTTGCCCGGGTACAGATCCAACGCAAAGTAAGTGTTATCTATGACGACGCCCCGCCATTACACTATACATGGTAATTAATGCACGTTAGGTGGGATATATTACATGTGATAATGCGTCAAATAACATCACAATGCTCGATAATTTTGCCCAATGCATGCGCGATGATGGATATTCCTTTGACCGCTATGAACAGCATATACGGTAAGCGTAGGGATTATAAGCATTGGTCTGAACAGAGGCTAATTGACGTCTAGATGTATTGCTCATGTCGTTAATCTTGCAACCCAATTGCTTCTGAATACATACAGCAAATCCAAGTACTACGACCCGGCCCATCCTGAGCAAGATCTTCTACTCGATGAATCGGAAACCCAGCGAGATGAGATTGGGCTGATTCGAACGATCTCAATCAAGGTAAGCCTATGGATTACCACATACAGGCTACAGTGTTTCCATGTCACGTTTAGGAGCGATCATCATCAAAGCGGAAGGAAATATTCCTTGATATTCAGCGTAGCCATCCTCCAAGTTCAAGATATACACATCCCGTACATCTCAAGAATGACATGGCCGTCCGATGGTCCTCAACATATATAATGCTTGACCGGGCGGAATCACTTAAAACGGTATGCTAGTAATACATCGGAATGACTAACTGACATTACTATAATAGGTCGTTGATGCCTTCCTACGCCGTTTGATGAGTGAAGAGACGTCTCGAAGTAAGCGTGATAAGCTCAATGCACTTATCCCTACTGCCGAAGAGTGGAAGCAAGTCCAGTCATGCGTCGGTTTATTGGCAGTATGTGTGCGAGGTTGCTCATTTACCAGGGTCACTACTTATTCGTGATTCTGATAGCATGCTGATAATGCCCAGCAAGCGTTCTCGTCGGAGAATGGCCCCTCGCTTCACCTGGTATTACCTGCATTGGAGGCGCTTCATCGGGCCTGGAAGGTGCGCTCCGATCCCCTTGCATGGCCCAAATATGCTCGGTTTGTGCCTGCCTTAGAAGCCGCACTGGAGAAGATCACGGAATACTACAGTTATACTGAAGATTCAGACGCATATACGACCGTAATGTGTACGTCCACCGTTACCTGTACGCATAACCGCATGTCGGTAACTCATCATGATACAGTTCTTGATCCGTCTTCAAAAGGCGAGCATATAAGAAAGCATTGGGGCGAGGATCTTTACAAGACCGCGTTGAATCGTCTGGAAGACATTGTGCGTTCATATCCCTATGATCTACCCCATCATTGTCTCATTGTTTACTTAAGTATCGGGACCGATACGAGGCTCTTTACACCAACGAATCTCAAGGCCCTACACCAGGTTCCCAATGTGCTGATTCCTCGACTGGCCGCAAAATCACTTGCCTCCTTCGTGAACTCTCAGATGATGAGGCCGATTCCGTTGCCGCACAAAACACTACAACCGCCAACCCACTTAGGCCATGGTTACCAGGATTTAATGAGTACATTCGGACGCCTAAGGAGAAGCTCAATGGGCTTCCCAGCGTTGAGTGGTGGGGCGTGAGTTCAATCAACTTCAATACTATATTGTGTTGTCCTCGCTAACTGACATATAGATTAACTCGAAACGGCTCCATGTATGGGCCTCCCTTGCTCGCGACTACCTTCCTATCATGGCGTCGTCAGTATCGAGTGAGCGCGCCTTTTCATCGGCGGGTATAACCATTACAAAACGGCGGAACCGGCTCAAGGGAGACGTTGTTGAAGCGCTGCAGGTACTCAAGTCAGTTTATCGGCGGAATATATTCTTTGAGGGAGAGTCGCTGGATGATAACGAAGACAGGGAAGATTTTGAGGACTTGGGCAATGATCTTTTCTTGGTGAATGATGATGGTGGTGAATTCACTGAACCTGATGACGATGGCGAAGACAACTTTACTATACAATCATTAGATTAGTGAACTACCTACACATTGTACTGTCAGCCTGGGCTTGAGCCCGAGCCCAGGCCCAACCCTTCTCAAGCCCACACACGAGGCTGGGCCTGTAAATTGTACAAGCCCAAGCCTTTGTATACCCGGCCCAAGCCTTGGGCTTCTGAGCCCAGCCCAGCCCGCACATCACTAGCTACAATAAGGCATGCCACGCGGGGCCTGTACGGCGCCGGGAGCTTGTTGTTGAACGGGTAACGTGGTAGCAGGTAATGGCGTAAGACCGTCATGCGCGCGCGCCAGCGTTGAGTACCGTCGTTCCAGCTGGGGGTCGATCTTGCTTGATATTCCTGTGATTCAGCGTAGTTGCCGCACCCGCGCCTAACCTCCGAGTGGAGGAAGCGGCTGGATCTCAGGCGGTTCCCATCACGTCTGACGTGTACAGCGGCAGTATTGGCGCGGGGTGCTTGTTGTCGAGGAATAAAAATACAGGCAGAGGGAGGCGGAGCGAGTCTGAAATGAGCAGAGCTGAATTTAATTGTGGTCAGCAAAGCTGGAGGCACACATATCAAAAGAATGGATGTCGCAATGCCTTGGTGCACCTTGGGACTGGGCTGATGTTAATCACAAACAGAAACAGCCTATCGTATCACACACCGAGTGAGCACCTGCTGATGCTGCCGTTCTCAGCGCAATTCATATGTGTCGCAACGGTGCGGACCTTCCCTACAACTGCGCTCGACGCCGCTGACAGCTGGGCCACGAATTGGATGACTGTGATCAGCAGGAACGAGGTAAATCGAGCATAACGACATACATTATTTGACTCCAATCCCGTTCGCAGCTGAATTTGTGAACAGGGTTGCTTTCCTTCGATAAGACCATCGACAAAATCCGCTTTGTTGGCTCTGTTGCATCTGAGAAGAGATCGGTTAATCTACGTGCCCAGATCATTTACTGATCACATCGAGAAGAGGCCGCTACTTGCGAGCCTACTTTCCGATGATCTGGCATGATTTGAAGGGTAGATGGTGTAGGCGATGAGAGACAGGATGCATTATTTCCACTCGGACTCTAACAAAACGTCAGTCACCCTCTCAATCATTCCTTTCAGAAATTCGAGCTCACTTGTACCAGAGCCTGCCATTTAGTATCTATCAGGAAAAATCTCCACCTCCTAAAGCGCTAATTAGTGCTTACGCGGGATTAGGAGAAATATCAGGTCGGTTTGAGGGCTAATTGAAGATGAGCATGAGCATAGGAAGGATAAGTTGAGCATGCTGCCGGACATCATGGGCCACTGGCATGCCATGGCAACGAGTCCGTTTTTTCTGAACTCCTAATCTCAGACTTGTCAATCTCAGGTAGTTTCAGACTTTCAGTCCATTCACATTCAGGATCCTTCATACTGTATATAGTGAATCGATCTGAGCCAATAAACACATAGGTTGGCGAAGGGTATGCGAGCTCGATTAGGGCGAGGCCTGCCATACCACATCAAGGTCACCAGCATGACCAAGCTGCCAAGTGCCTCAGTACGCACGCGCTGATCCTGATCCTCGGCAGCAAAATTCCAGCCTCTGGTTCAAAAGGTAGGAATCCCTGCGTGGCCGAGCCGTTACTGGACAAGTTTGATAGCAATGATGGAGGTTCGTGCGGTGAATCGTGTACGCAATGAAAACCAAAAGCCTCACGCCGGTATGTGTCGTAGTTGGCGGGTGCTCGGGGCAATCGAAGAGTGTGCGATGAAGCGCTGGCAGACTCAGACCTTCACATTGTGTTTTTCGGTGAGGGGCCGGGAGAGAGTCCGATGTACGTGGTTGACAATGTCGAGTAGCTCGACGAGGGAGATAATGGGTTGGATACGGTTGGGATTGACCTGCTTCGGCAGTGACACCATCTGCTGCCAACACAACGGCAGGATCGGGGTGGTTATGGTAACGTGCGGCTGTGGCGGGACAGGTGTACACGACAGTGAACTCTAATGCTCTGGCACACTGATTATAATTGTCGGCGACAATCTTTGCAAAATTTTGACCTTCCCCAGAGGCACCAGAAGGGACGTAAGACCCCGACGAAATCAGTGTTTGCAACAGTAAAACGGCCATTTTTTACAGTGAAATTCGGTGTTGTGAGCAATGATTTAAAGTGTTCGTGACATTCAAATACACTGCGCCGCATAATGGAATTCACTGTCCTGGGCATTGCAATTGAGCGTCAGGTGCATTGATTTCTTAGTTGAATATACTAGCAGTACGTCTAATGATTTATACAGTTTAAGTGCTACAATGATTATAGGAAACACGATTGAGAGGCAAGACGAATGAGCGAGAGTCCGTCGCATGTAAGAAGAACAAGGTAGGGGACCATCGGTGAGCAGGTGTCCGGATTCGATCAAGTATATAAGGCCACAATTGTCAAAGGAAGAGAAGGGTCCATCAAAGGCTGTCGTGCGTGAGTGAGGAGGAAAACTCTAGGGTACGAACGTCGGGGGTCCGTCCAACGAAGTGGTATGTCCATGCTGGGTACCAAAACAAAGTCCATTCCATAGCAAATAAATCACACATAATGAAGGAAAGGCCATGGGCAGTCGGCCAGCATGAGAGCGTAGAAGCGAGGAGTCCGAGCCTGGATAAGTTGTGACTATTGGGATCTTGGGAATGCATGAGGATGATAGGTTGGAGAGGCTAGATGGAGCCACAAGGAATTGGTGGCAAGA